AAGCTTATTGTTATGTGATCTATCCAACTTCCTCGGCGGTGTAGACTGTAGAGGAATTGAAAAAATGGGACAGATGAAAAAAAAAAAAAAAAAACAAGAAAGAAGCTCACATTCCAGTGATGTGATAAGATCGTTGGAAGGGGGGATTAAATCAGAGTCAACGTTTGAGGAATTACAGTATCCAAGTACCAGGAACACCTACGGTACGTACATGATACCCCCGAGTTCGCGTGCGCCAAATGATAACGAGAATCCTTATCCTGTCGCTTCCCCTATGTAATTAGGTGATGACCGAAGATAGGCAATAATATTACCAGTAGAGTACGGGGACTACATATGCATATTGTCGATCGCTCGAGTCCTGGCGTCCTCAGGCAATCGATCGCGAAGGCCAGTCTCGATCTGGTCTACGCCATTATTGCTATTAATGCTCTGCCGCGAGCTATCGTACGGTCGAGGCGACTTTTTTCATGCCTCGGGGCCAATGATCCTCGACGCAGGTGCCTCCTGGATATACGTAACTTCCCGCGCTTCCCGATCGATCGAAGACTGTCAAAGTTTATCGTATCCGAAGTGTGCAGGCGGGTCGGCTTCAATGGACTGTGGATTAGTACAAAGTGGCATGCTAGGGTGCGGCAACGACCGCTGTTCCACGATGCTGGGGGGCCTTCTTTGGGATAAATTTGAGGTTGTTGTACAGCACAATAGTGGATTTGATTTCCGGGCTTGCCACTCTGACTAGTAAGAGTAGTGCGGTGGTGGCTAGCTGCTACTGACCCTGGGGGCAGCAAGTGGTGGTATACGTCAGTGACTTGGTGGAACTCGAGCCACGATAGTTATCTGGAAATTTTGACAACTTGACAGGTCCTTATTTTTTCCCTGCTGAGTACCGAGAGGCCACGCTATGAATTACCGATCAACTAATCCAGACCCTCTAACTAGCTTTGGGTTTTTTACTCAGCGATCGGTGCTTTTTAGGAGGGTTCCAAGGGATTTTTAGGCTGCATAAGCTGACAGGAGTACTTCTGATGATGCGAGTTCCAGCAAAAGTACTCGGTACTTCCTACTTTATGCAAAGTACATAATAATATAACTATAACTTATCGATTCACGACTCCTGACTATCACAAGATACGGTTCTCGGAGCCTAGCGGATGGGTAATTTTGCTCATGGAATATTGACCATGTTTCACGTTTGGCTCGCTTAAATGGTTTCACGCCAGTCACTTTGCTTCTTATTGCCTTGTTTTTGCCTCGACGGCAAGCCCAAGTATATCATTCGATAGCTGATCAAGTAGTTAATTAATTACGTGTTCTCCATTCCTGCTTGTCGTTCTCAATTGTGGTTCACCCATTATTATTTTCCACTTGTTTAGCGCATAGTTCCTAATAAACTACCCGCGTACCACAGAAAGACACTCTCTGGCCCGGAAAGGAGCAAGCAACATCCGCGCTCCAATGAACGCGGGCCGATCGCGGATTTCCTCATCACGAGTGGGCGAAAGAGTCCCAGGACCCAGTTGGAGAGCTCCATAGCCGCGAGGGGAACCTCGGAATTCAATGATTCCCCATGCCCACGACCCACGGTACAACCAGATGTCAATCGCAGACTCAATTTCCAAGCTAGTACTACTATAATCCTTAGTATGAAACTAAAAAAAAAATGCCGATTCACGATTCGAATACTCTCCGTACTCCATACGGTGTAATTCATACCGTATGAATGTGTTTTTTATTTCGCCCTTCCCGTCGTTTCACCCGGTTCGCCCTAACGTTTCCCCCCGACCAACAGGAAGCTTCCCCTTCTCCCCCGCCAGTGGCGACGCAGCCCCATCGGAATGCAGGATCCGGTGCCGCGGTGACGGGTAAGAAATCACACTCTTTCACTCGATGGCGTCCGATGAATGGCTATTCAAGGCGGATGACTGGCTGAGAAGTGTCGGGCCCTTGCAACGATTTTCCACGCTATCGACTCCTTCCTCGGTCATGTGAGCTACTCTCCTTTTTTTGAGGCCGTTTGTGGTCTCACTAATTGTACCGTACTGGAGTAACATATCGTATCTCAATTTCTAGAAACCCCAGCAAGGACGTACTGTTAATATTGTAGTTAATAATCAGGTGACTTTTCTTCTTTTCTCCACCCTTGCGCCGTTGGCGACCTTTTTTTGCCACCAATGCGGCGTTTCCGTAGTCGACACCGTAGTCCATACAACCCAATCTATTAATGGCTTAAAGCGCCTTTGTTTTGTGGATCGTCACTGGATCGAATCCATCGCCTCGGATATCTCTAGCTTCGAACTAACCCTTGCGATGTATCTTTGTTCTCCGCTCCGCGGATCCAGTGGTTCCTGCTTCTCTGCCGTCCTTATCCAGAAGACTGGGATAAAAACCTGCTTTCGTGGGTCTAGTACTTTGGCACAGAATTGATACGTACTTTTCTCAGCGCTTGTACTTTGTCAATAATAATCTTTTCTGGCCGTTCTTCCGCGGGTGCGGGGGCAATGGACCAAGGATTGACGGGAATCTGGGCCCTTGGTGGTGGATAATGAGGCGTGATGATCAGCTTGATGGAAAAGTGATGGATAACATTTTGCCCCTGCAGCTGGCACTTTTGTACTTTGTACTTTGGTAGCTGGCCCTCGGCCTCGTCTTCCGTGGTCTGGCCGCCTCCTCGTGAGAGTTCAATTGTATTCGGTACCTTTTTCCCTGAATAACAATAGTATGGTAAATGGTGGGATGAGTATGGATTATTACTTTGTATGGAGTAGACTAGATCCTTTGGGGGCTGACGCGCAGTCAGATGGGGCGATTCCTTGAACATTGGGCATGTCCGCTCCGAAGTACTGCCGGCGAATGCATCCTTAGACCTATTAGAACAGGCATTGGACACTCGGGGAGTAAGGTGTTAGCTGGGGTTATATAGAAATATGTATCCAATGCAGCATTTCATTCGCGAATACTGTCTCTTGTAAAGACCGATTTAAATGAGTTGTAGACTCGGGCAAGGGCTACTACGTCATTGAGGATTGACGAGGTTTCGACTAGATATTTCCGCAATATATATCGAACAGTTCCACAACCAGATCGCGAAGTATGCCTGCAGCGGCTAGTTCCCATATTGAATGTGACACCATAGTAGACATTATGATTCAAGTCTTTATCCACGGCAAATATCATGCACATTCTCAAACTCAATCGACTGGAGTGCAGCAAGTAGCCCGGACTCAATCTGGGCAGAAAGTACGATCCGTTCGCCGGTACTTAATGTGACATGAACTAAGATCCCTTTCCGGCTCTTAGTAGTGTGACTAGCTCCCTGACATGCGCGCCATAGGTGTGACAGATGAACATAGATCCCTTTTTAACTGTGATGAACTAGCAACCAGACCAGGATAGTCAGCCAATCAAGGCATTAAGCAGGAATAATCATGCCATGCGGCGGTTGCACCATGGCTTTGTCCTTGCTGTCATTCAAATTCCCAATTAAACCCAGACATAGATAGACTTCGCGATATATCAGATTTAAATACCAATTGGGAAGTACAACTACCACAGTGACCGACCATACACCATATTCGATATGACTGACAGCGCCTCGGTATGCACATCTCACCCGCTGTCCATCATCTGCAACTATGAATCTGGCTGCATCTGCCAACTGCCGAGATCTCCGACTTCCAATAGATCGCCTCCCTCATCGGGCAATGGGGAGGGAAATAGCGAGCTAGATGGTGGCTGAACGTAGATCAAGTCGTATCGGTTGACCCTGGCCAGTGAAAGACCAGTCTTCAATTCTGCTGTGACTTGTACACATTGAATGCCATTGTCGAAATTGAATATTGTGTCAGTTAAACGAGTCCCTCGCTTTGAAGCAGGTATGAACAAGGCCAATCCCCGTCGTACGAGACCATGTATAGACCCTCCCAGACGGGCATCTCCTTGACGCGCAAGACATCTAAAATTCGGATTAGAGCAAAGGTTCGGCGGTGTTCTGGGCCATTAGATGTGCATACGGATACAGCAAGACCACCTGAACCGGTTCAATTGCCTGCCGTTAGTATATGGCTGTGAGGGGGAGTCTCTTGCCGAAGAACGAGGCAAAAGTCCCTTTCCAGTCGGGTTTCAACGGAAAAAGAGCCCGACTGTCTGCCTCGTTCGATGTGGACTCCCATCTGCGCCTCACCGGCTAAAGAGCCCTTTTGAACTTCAATACTCGGGCAGTCCGTTCTGTGCAGCCGTTGAGACTGGAACTTGGAGAAAAGAACGCTGAAAAAAGTAAGAAGCATGTTTCGCCCCAAACGCTAGGACAAGGCTGAGCCTAGCTGGTCAAGTGTTTGCTAATGACGAAAATGTCATACGAATTGGCCTCATGAAGGCTCAGCTGAATAAAGAGTGGATGAGAGCCCCCAAATATAAACAAAGCCCGAGTTCACCCATTGGTTGACCCTTGACTGCGCTAGGTGAGTTCGGCAGCTACGGCGGCCTCATGTATTTATCAACAGGGCCAGTCATTGTAATTTTACCTGGAAAATGAGCGAGAATGGTGGTGAATGCGGGAAGATGTTGTCCGTTATTTTGCATAGGCCTGAATAAAATGCCATTATGCATGCTGACGGGGCGATGCAAATTGTAGACACTGAACCTGAACAGTCCAGAGTTCTCGAAGCATCGGGCCATACTTACAGCCTAATTTCAGTTTCAACTGAACTGGCTTGTCTGTACCTAAAATCCAAGCTCAATTGGCCTAAAGTTGGGGATTGATATGCATTTATCAACACGTGATGATATGCTTATCGGTTATCCAGAGCTCGAGAAATCCACGACAGACGAATCCGTCGCGGTGCCTCACTCTCTATTTCCAAGAAAATTGCCTTGTTTATTTGAAAGAACATCCCTGCTGCTCTCGTGTATCTGCAGGCTCATGAGATTGTCGTGATTGAATTGTCAACAAGCGTGCACAGCGCAGAATGAGGCTGGATTAGTCTGAATTGCGCAGCATCATGGCATATCCTCGAGCCTGTTTCAACCTTCCTATACGGTCTCTCCTCTTGAGCCGCGCGCGGATCTGCTCAACAAGAGCATTTCCAGCGATATCTGCACCTATACTCGGCCAAAGATGGCAGAGTACGACGCCCAGCAACGTGCGATCCGATGACGACACCTCCTCCCACGAACCTTCGGATCTGTCGCACTTGAACCCAGAACCGGAAGACTATTCGCGATTCATTTTCCAGGACAAGTGCCACGTCACTGTACATGCCGGTGCCGGTGGCAACGGATGTGTTTCCTACCTGCGTGAGAAATTCATTGAAGAAGGACCTCCAAACGGCGGTGATGGTGGCAGCGGAGGCGGTATCTACATCCAAACTGTCGAGGGCTTGACTAGTCTACACAAACTTGCACGAAGGGGCATCATCAAGGCTAGCCGAGGGAGAAACGGACAGGGCAAAAGCAAAGGTGGCAAGCGCGGCGATGATGTGCTCCTCCAAGTCCCCGTCGGTACCGTGGTGCGCGAAGTCGAGCGATACGACCCCGTCGCAGAGGAGATCGCACGGATGCGAAAACCTAAGGTTGAACCCGTTGATGAGGATGAGATTGAATTCACGCCGATTCGGCTTGACCGCTGGATGCTTCATCCCGGTGCCAACCCGTCTGATTTCTTGACGGTCAAGTTCCCTCGACTCAAGCCACGGAGACAGGCTATCGCAGCAATGGAACCGAAAGCCCCCATCTATCTTGATCTTGACCAGCCCATGGACAAGCCCATGCTTCTAGCTGCTGGTGGTGCTGGTGGATTGGGCAACCCGCACTTCGTGACGCGCAACATGGGCCGCCCCAAGTTCGCGTCCCGTGGCGAGGGAGGCATGAAATTGGAACTCGATTTTGAGCTCAAGCTACTTGCTGACGTCGGGCTGGTTGGTAAGCCCAACGCCGGCAAGAGTACGCTTCTGCGCTCTTTGACTAACAGTCGTACCCGCATCGGCAACTGGGAGTTTACTACCCTGTCCCCTCATATCGGCACAGTTATCGTTGATGATAACAAAGGCCGACCGCTGGTTGAGTCACAGAGAAAGACTCGCCGGACTCACTTTACCATTGCCGATATTCCTGGCTTGGTGGAGGACGCACATCTTGACCGTGGTCTTGGGCTTGGCTTCCTGCGACACATTGACCGGGCGGGCATCTTGGCTTTTGTGCTTGATCTCAGCAACGGAGATCCGGTTCAAGAGCTACAGAAGCTTTGGCATGAGCTCGCAGAGTATGAACGATTGCGCAGTGCCGAGCCTGAACCTACCATCAAGGAGAAGCCTGGTGTGATTGATTGGGACCCATCTGGATCTGGACTTCCAGAGCTTCATCGGCCACGCAACCGAGAGATTGAGATCGAACCCCCCGAGTATGAGGGCTCAGGCCAAGCCCTCAACTATAGATCCTCCGGGTCGTTGCCTCCTCTCGCCATGCCGCCTCTTCACACCAAGCCTTGGTTCGTCGTTGCCACCAAGGCCGACCTCGAGAATACCCAAGAACAGTACCATGCTTTGCAAGAGTATCTCTCTTCCGTGGAGAAGGGAACTGTTGAGCATCCATCTGGCCATACTGACGGATGGAAGGAGAAGGTGACGGCTGTTCCAGTCAGCGCCATCAAAGGTGAAGGAGTGTCTCGCATTCCCAAATTGGTGATGCAATACCTGGCGTAAACAAAGGGCGACCACAGTCCTGGATAGAGGAGTGGCATATGTATATTAGAAATATCCCCATAAAGCATATAATGTACAATAAAAAGCATCAAATAATTGTTATAATTGAGTGGTTTCCACCGTGAAGAGTTGAAGATTGTAATTTTGGTGTAGTGCAGAGTGAACCACAACTCCGAACTTCCAACTCTGTCGGGCATAGCTTTTGCACCTAACAAGAGCTTTCTCAAGATCAAACATGGAATGGACACAACACTTCTGAGTCCCATTTGCCGCATCTAGGTAATCTGCTCAGGTATCCTACCGGAGCTTCGACTCTCTAGTCCTCCTCCAGCCTCTACCAACCGGTTGTCGAAGTGCGACGCAACGATGAGTCTCTCCGCCGTCCTCAGTAGCTCGTTGACCGCCATCGCCACACCAACCTCCGACGACCCAATCCTCCAGTGCACCGATGACCTGCAAACCCTCCTTTTCAAAGACACTGCGAATGCGCTGAAACTTGCTGATGAAAAACTACACGTGTTCCCATTCAAAGACGTGCACAACAGTTGGCGCCGGCTATACACCGACGCGTCAATCGTGAAAGCATGCGTCGACATTATCCGCAACTGCAACCTCCTCGGCTCCCAGACAGAGCAAGCCACAGCACACGAACTGGATGGGCCTAGGCTTATCCAAGACCTACAAGATCAGACGAAAGATGTGAAAATCTGCTCGAGTTCCTCATGGCTTCCTGACGTCATTCACACTCTGGACAATGCGTTACTCATGACGGGCGGACTGCTTCGAGAGAAGCTCATTGAGACCTTGCTGTCTACACTGCACGCGGCTACCTCTGAACCTGATGTCTCAGAACACGCTTTCGACGACGAGTCCATACCTCCCTCCAAGCGCCGTAAACTCTCACAGCCACTCTTCCCTCCCGAGTCCGTCCCCTCGCCTCGCCTGAATTACCCCATCCCTCGCGTCTCAGCACCGTCCTTCGATACCATGCAAGAGCATATCCTCGAAGTTGGCACACCCCTGGTAATTACCGACGCAGTGGAACATTGGCCGGCGATGTCGACTCGGCACTGGAATTCCCGCGACTACTGGTTCGACCGCACGTTCAACGGCCGCAGGCTTGTGCCCGTTGAAGTGGGCAGGTCATACACAGATGAAGGATGGGGACAGAAAATTATGGAGTTTAGGGAGTTCATGGACAAACATATTTGGCGAGGAAAGCTGAATTTCAATGCTCGACAGCGTGATGAGCATGGCAACTCTGGAGACGAAGATGAGACTGGGTATATGGCACAGCACGATCTTCTCTCGCAGATTCCCGCTTTGCGCAACGATATCAGCATACCTGACTGCTGCTATATCGAACCCCCCAGCGCGGAACCGGGCACGCCTGTGTACCTAGCCAAGCAGCGAGAGCGCGAAGCAGCAAAGGCCTATAAGGCGGAGAAAGCGACGAGCCCGAAAGCAGACCAGTCATCCTCTTCGACTGAAAAGGATGACAACGCGTCAGAGGCGGGCTCTCCAATGGCATTCCCGACTGACCCCATCATCAACACCTGGATCGGACCGTCATGGACTATCTCACCTCTTCATCACGATCAGTATCACAACATCCTCGTTCAGGTGGTGGGTACCAAATACATCCGACTCTACTCACCGCACACCCCAGCTTCCCAGATTCACCCACGGGGTCAAGAATGGGTAGCTTCCAAGGACGAAACCGAATCGGGGACTTCGTCCGAAGGCGAACCAGCCACGAGACTCATCGACATGTCCAACACTTCCAAGGTCGATGTTGCAGCGATTGAACTTTCCCCCGCAGAGGAGGAACAATGGGAGGCTATGTGGCCTGGATTTCTGCAGGCGGAGTACGTTGAGACCGTGCTGCACGAGGGCGAGTGTCTATACATCCCCGTCGGATGGTGGCACTATGTTCGGGGGCTACGAGCTGGAATTAGCGTCAGCTTCTGGTGGGGTTGACCGAGTTTATCAGCGATGAGATATGCTTTCATGGATTATGAGCAATGACCATAGATGTATGGGCTACATGAATATCAATTTTGAATGACTGAGACGTATATGACAACTATCCCTTAGCGAAGGGCGAGGCTGCTGCCAAACCCTAGATTTTCCGTTCACACTCCATTGGGGCCTTAGGTTTCTGCCTAGTCGTCTAGAGTCCTGCTAAGCCCGTCATAACAGTATTCTTTGTAGTAGCCACCACCACCTTCCTTACACCCACAGGACTATTTTCAATCACATGGCCTTCTTCTCTGAAGCCCACAACTCGTGTAGACCTTGAAGAGGTTCCTATGTTTGCAAGAATCCAATATTTATCGTCATCCCATCGTCATTTATCTTACTGAAATGGAACTATTCATGCGCCCAATAGCCGATGTATGTTTATTCATAATTTAGTGAATATCATCTACTGACATCCCACATCAAGCTAGAAAGTCGCGAGCCTAATGGATCTTTTCCACTGGACGGGAAGGATCTTAATTCTGTCACAGATGAGGCTCTAACAACTCTTCTCACAACTTCTCCTATTCTCCATCAGTTAGGCGGAACGACGGTTGTGCGGCTGTCAGAGATTTTAATCATGAAGGGTGGCGGGAGTGTCATGACAAGCGAAGTAGAAATGCTTCTTCTTATTGCTTCCAGAACCGCTATTCGAGTCCCACGAGTCTATCGCGCGTTCCAGCTAAAATATGATACACAATACTTTGGTATATCTGGGTATATTGTCATGGATTTTATCCCAGGCCAACCGCTGGACGAGTGCTGGAACGCCCTATCCAGTGACACCCAAGGCAGAATCGCAGCGCAAGTTGCTGAAATGATCCAAGAGATGCAGTCCATTGAGCTTTTAAAGCCCGGCCCCATTGGTGGAGGGCCTTGTTGGGCTCGGTTCTTCACAGATTATAGTGCTGGGCCTTTTATGGACACTGCTAAAATGGAAGCTTGGTTTAATCACAAGCTGGAAATCAGCAAGAGCGTTAATAAGGCCCCAAGGGACGTTCCGCCATTCTCTCTTACCAAGTTTGTCCTTACACATCACGATATTAGTCCTCGAAAGTTGATCTTGGATCAGCATGAACAGGTGTGGTTGATTGACTGGGCATATTCTGGTGCATATCCTCCTGTCTTTGAAAGCGCCGCATTGTCAATCCAGCCGTCTTTCACTGATTTCAATGAAGCGGTATTATCCCTTATTCCACGTTACCCTGAGGAAGAAATACAACTTGATGCTATTGCATATGGGTCAACCACCGCCGCATTGGCATAAGGGAGGCTGAGGTAGAAGGGGACCGTACTCGTCACGACAGAAATCGCTGGTTGGTAAAAATGCAAATTTATAATACTGAATTCGTCTTATTCGCTCCCTTCTACTTATAAAAAGGTTTTCTATAGATTATAATGGTTTGATCTTCACTGTATCTCGGTAGGTCCATGTCCATCATGTTTCAAGCATCGACTTTGACATACATATCCGTTGGCACGGTTAGTACCACCCCTCCACCAGCTCACACAGAGTGTTCTCTCCACCCACATTACCAGGGAAAACCACGAAGGGCACTCCGCGATGACGAGACGTCGGCTCATCGCACCGCCAAAGCGGCACACCAGGCGCAGCCTGACCGACGATAGTAGCACGCTTGACATTTAACCCCTTGGTAGCAGCATCAGATGAAGTGATACCACCCTACAGTATCCGTTAGTAGGAATTCCTCTATGCTGTATATTTTCAGCGGAGAAAATAGGTGGCACATACCTTGGCAATAATATATCTCGGCCGCACCTCAATCTGCTGTAAAACACTAACAAGAGCCTCCGCAACAACAGACCCAATCTTCAAAGACGAAAGCTCATCCGCGCCAGTGATAAGCTTTCGACTAGTCATAACCAAAGTATCCTGACCAGCCTGAAGATAAGCCTCCGTCTCCCGAACGACCTGCTTCACGGTCTGCGACGCTGTCTCGGGTGACGCGATCAGGTCTTCGACTTTCATCTCGATAATGGCCAGTTTGCCGGCGGCACCTAGCCGGTCTGTGAGGACCTTGAGTTGAGCTGTAGTCTTTGGCACGTATGATCCTGCGACAATAAGACCGCCGGTTTGCCGTGGGGATGGGAGTTGCAGTTCGGTGGCGGAGATGGGAGCTTTGGAACGGATGCCGAGTCTAGTTGAGACGAAGGCTGCGCCGGTGCGGTAGAGGAAATGTTTCCCCTTTGATTCGGCTGATAGAAATATGCTTAGTTAGACGATATAAATGCGAGTGAGGTGGGGATGGGCTTAAACATACCGAGTAGCAGTCCAGCAACGAAGACATGCATATCAGACTCGGCGGCAGCATTCACAATGACCACACCCCCAACAGGCGTCGTAAGTAATTTCTCACAAACAACCTGTGGTCCTCCCCGCCGAATCTCTTCAATAGTCACCGAATGCAATTGATCAGCTGTAAAGCGCCCGGGGGCTTTCTCATGTATATAATCCCGCAAATTAGAACTTTTATAACCGAAAGTAGCATCCTGGGCGAACGGCGTCGCCCCTGCTGGAACGAGACTATCACCCTCAGCAACATAATGAACATCATCAATTGTGAAGCGTCCACCCTGGAAAAAGAACGGTGCTAGAACGAGGCCATCGGCTGGTCCGAAGACAGACTGCGCGACGTCAGGCTCTAGCGGGAAATGACCGCGTAGTGTGCTATCGCCGCGTAGAACGATATCTACTTTGTTATTGGTCTTCTTGGCTGCCTCAAGAACGTTCTCGCATATTGTTCGGATGAGGACCTCGGCGTCTGGGGGAGGGAGGGCGCGCGAGTTGGTTAGAATGAAGAAACCCGGTGAAGTGGTCTGGAACTCGGTGACGAGAGTGGGAATGTCCCATACGGCGAGTACGGAGATGTCATGGCAGGTTTGTGTGCCGGTTGGGTCATCGTCAAGTACGACGAGACGGTTAATTGAGGGTGTAGCGAGTATTTGGGAGGTTTGGTCTTGCGCGTTGGTGGGGTATTCGGCTGGGAGGTTGGCGAGAGTGCCCTCCCGGGGCAGGGTTGGGTATTGGCGCGGTTGTGACATGGTGAGACACACGTAAGGACTGGCTGGTATTACGATCAAGTTCAATTGACCAAGTCGAGATTATTGGGTCGTTGCCAGTTGTTTATAGGGGTCTGCAGGTTTCGGGAATCGGAGATGTTGCGATGGAATTGCGGGGTGCGGGGAGGAATGAAAGTCGGAGAGAACCCCGGTGTACGTACGGCGGACGAGAATCTCGATTTCAGCTATTCTTTGTCCCATATAATCTTATAGAAAAGAGATTTAAATCAACTAACTAATAAGATTACTTAAGCTGAAATTTAAATATAATCTATAGCTAATCTCATAGCTAATCTTAAGAAGACCGATCTCAAGACCTAGAATCTTATAGCTAATCTCCTGAATCACCCACCTTAGTATATATAGGGAAGACTACTAATAGGGCTATAGATAACGATTTGTTTCTTGCCGTTTAACTGCCTTGGGGAGGGGGGGGGGGAGCCCCTGGTTCAGTAGATATGTATAATCTATTATCTATATAGAGTATAAGATATAGCGCTTCGCTCCGCACTTATTGGTGTCCCCCATGGGGCACTATTGGAAACCTTGTATAAGCTACATAGTTAGACGTACGTACCTACCTAGATAAGAGGATTTTGGGATATTCGGGTAGAGCGTATAGAGACGGTGGAAGAAGCGGCAAAGGCACTTAGTAGGATTTAGGAGTATTGGGCAAGTCTCCTCTATCGTCCGCCGTATGTAAGTCGAAAAAGTAAACAGAGTCAAACAGTAGAAGGAAAGTTAAAGTAAATTCCATTCAGATGGCTATCGAGTAATACTGGCAATAATAGATCATAGGAATTGCGCACAAGTGAACAGCAATGAGAAGGAACACCTCGAACGCCATAGCCCAGTGCAGAGACCTCAGATGCAAGATGCAAGATGATCGTGGACGGATGGACGTGAATAATTATGCTTGCAACGGAGAGAGAGAGAATGCAATGCACACGCTCATTCATCATCATTTGGATAATCCTTTAACGGGAGGTCAGATCCAGTTCCCCTCGCCATCCAAACCCAAGTTGGTCCACCCTCCATGTCTCCAAAAACGCGCAAAACAAAAAAAAAAGTGCAAGATGTCAGGTCGTAGACTGCGTGAATAAATGTGGTAATGGGGGAATGTGAAAATTAGCCCACCACGCTGCGGAAACTCAAGGCTTCAAGGAAGCCACCCAGGTCATCTTTTTGAACTTCAACAACGCAGTGGTCGAAGCTGTCAATACGGACGCGGGCATTGGTCTCCTGGACCACTTCCTGGAAGGCGATGCCAAAACGATTGCGCAGCAGATGTTTCTTTCCCTGGGGATCTTCGTCTTCAGACTCCGATTCCGAGGATGATTCGGAGTCCTCCGACTCCTCGTCTTCGGCATCCTCGTCGTCTTCTTGTTCAGCTCGCTCCGCTGCACGCCGCGTTCGCCGCTCCTCTTTCTCCTTTTGCTTCTTTTCCTTGGCGTCTTTCTTCTGTCGACGTTCTTCCTGGCGCTTGGACATGGCAGCAAAGTCAATCACACCGCCACCTCCCCCGGTACCCACGACCACGTAAAGATCTCGGTCTTCGTCAAGCCCAGCGAGAACGAGAGGAGTACCAGCTGCTCTCTTCCGGCCGATCTTGACAGAGTCACCTTTCTCGCGCTCTTGCACTTTGATTGCCTCGGCAATCCAGAGTGCCAACTTGGTCAGGGCTCCGGGATTAGTGAAAAGTTTCACATCAGGGCCGTCTTTGACGACTGCAATGCGGAAAGCTCGGAGATGGCGGATTTGGTGCTTCGACAGTAGCGATGTACCGGTGCGCAGAATGGCACGGTGAAGATGCTGAGCCAAAGGCAGGGCCTCCATGAGAAGAGTAGGTGACTCGGAGGTCAGCGATAGGGCATCGTATGCGCTCCAAAAGCGAGGTAGAAGACTAGCCAAGTCAGATTCACCAGGGCCACTGCTGGCTTCAGTATCATCGTTGGAGCTTCGTGGCCGAGGAAGACGTTTGGTATCCCACGCTCCGGAAGCTTCATGCGGGCCAACTTCCAACATGGCACCAACAATGACACCAACGTCTGTAGCAGACAGACAAGCCTTCCAACCCCAGCAACGCACGAAGCCCCATCCCTCACGGGAACTGGCATGCCCGCCAGATGGCTCCGGAGGCACCAAACCGTCCAGGCCGTACATTGGTGCATACTTGAGAAGCCGCCCGCGCAAAACCCGCTTCAGCTCCATATCCATGTGCGTATAATTTTGGTGGCACTGGCTGAGGCTGACACCCATCTTTGCCAAAAGCTTGTGAAGGCGTTTTCGACCGTTCTCCGTCCAAACGTGGAGCCTTGTTGCCAAGTAGGGACTGTGTAGCATACTGTCGTAGAGTGACCAGTGTCGAACCAAAAGGAAGCGAGGTTCGGGCGACAGACGAATAGATGTATCCGTAGGTGACCTGGCAGTCGTTGGAATAACGCCATTGATTTCCCCTCTTATATCGCGGTCCCGCTCCAACGGGTCTGGTGGGTTCAATCGGTGGACTTCATCTCGGAGGATCTGACGGATGTGCTCTCCGCGCTGCCCACCCCAGCCTGCGGATCCACCTGATTCTGATGTATTCGAAATGCCGACACCAGTCATCGTTCGACCACTAAGTTCCAAGCTTGATGCGCCAATAATCGCAAGCCACAGAAGATCATTGTCTTCACGACCGAGTTCAGACGCAAGAGAATAGACCAAGGACGAGATCGGCTCCGAGTATGATGTTCCCGCGGAATAGTATTTTTGGAGAACTGTCTCGTGTTTGCGCTTCAGTCGAATAAGCCGCCGTTTTAAAGAGCGTGCTGATGGCTGCTTTGCCTCCTCCGGCGACGGTGAATCTGACGTAGGGGTCGGTGAACGGGATGAGTTGGAGGAGTTTATGGCGGTCCTCCTTCGTTGACTTGGAGAGGAGACCAACGACGAGCCCTATGGAACGTGTGTTAGTATTTGATATGCAGTACATGATCGAACGATTTGCGCACCGAGTTACTTCGCTTCCGCTGGCGTGGAGGCCCGTCTTCATCTTCTGACTCGTCTTCATCCTCGCGCCCTGACCAGGATTTGCGCTTCTTCGACCCAGAGGCCATGTCGTCATCGTCATCACTAGAGCCATCGTCACTACCCTCATCATCATCCACCTCAGGCATTTCCAGGAGTTCGTAATATGCTTCTCGTTCGTCGCGGAGTTCCTCCTCGATGTCACCGTCATCAAACACGACAATGCCGCCGTGTTTCGACGTGTAAGCGGGGGTAATACACCCTTTTTCCACCCCGCGCCCGCGTCGGCGCGCGTTAACATCGATTTCCGCCATCGCCTGGCCAATTCCAGCCTGTCCACCAAAGACGTTGGCGAGATTCCATGGCCGGCGCGCGTCGAAGACCCAGATCTCAATTCCACCCATGTCCTCGACCTCGTCTTCTGGGTTGTTCAGGTTGAGGATCTCGCCAAGATCGACCAGTCCGCCTACGCCGAGACATATCACGACACCTCCGCTGCCGCCATTGGTGGTCTGCATTGGCCGGACCAGTTCCTCACCGGCGCGCGCGAGGTCGCCATATCCGGCGATGGGTTGGATTTTATGAGGGATATAGTCGCGTTTTAACAAAGATGTAAGGATCCGGCAGGCACATAGCGCGTCGGGTTCGAGTGCCACGAGAATGAGAACCGGCGGGGAGAGTGGGTGGTGAGATCGGAGGAGTTGTAGGTATAGGTGCGAGATGAGCTGCCGTGGAAGATACATGGCCAGCTATGGAGGAAGGCTAGAAATGCATTCGAGCATGAATATGGAATAAGAATAGCAACAGGCCCGGTAAATGGTGAAGGAGGGCAATTGGAGGTTGTTGTGGTCTGCAGGACTTCGTCTGATCGAGTCGAGAGTCCGGTTTGGAGGAAAGCAGCCAGAGCCAGGCGCGACGCGTCCGAGGCACGTGCCCTGAGATTCCATTCCCCGTCGCCTCGACAAAGACGAGCATTTTACGATCCTTCTTAATCCCTTTTTCTTTCCTCGTGGAAATTATTTACATGCGCTTCTTATTTGTTTCCTTATGCGGATCCCAATTTATTGAGCTATTCCTCAAGGGACCGTTGACTTGATTCTTTAACATTCGTTCGTGACGGGAGGGTCGTAACTATACAAACGAACCAATGGGAGCCGTGTCATTTCAAGGGTTTTCTTCAGACATTAAGCGATCGAGAACTCGGGTTCAATTACCTCTGTCAAAGCTGATGATATCCTAGCTCCAATGCAAATGGGCAAAAAAAAGAGAACAAACCATTCAACACCCCTTAATGGACTTTTTCCCAGAGCAAGTCTATCTTCTGCACCACCTCCGTCGGCAAGGGTCCTTTCGATATATCGGCCAGGTTCTGCGCGATCTGCGGGACCTTGCTGGCACCCAAAATGACTCCATCTTCCTCACTTAAGACAGAGTGATAGTACAGCCACCGGAGACAAGCTTCGGAGCCCGCAATGCCAAGGGGCTCCAAAGTATTCAGTAGATCGGTCATAGCTGCATGCATTTCCGAAGTGTTATACTTGGCAGTCAGAGGGCTGGCGATCTTATTGCTTTGCCCGAATCGAGTCCCCTCGGCGTCTCCACGAGTTGCCCGCCCAGTCAAGAATCCACCTGCAAGAGGACTTGTTGGATAAATTATGGTTAGCCTGATCGTCCAGATTAAGCAGTGTATCGGTCGTGGCAAACCTACCTGTATGCGTTAAATGCGATTTTATGCTTTCGGAGCAAGGGAAATAGCGTCTCCTCGCTTTCACGACTGAGAAGGTTATACAACCCCTGATATACACTTGGCTTGACGTAACTCTTTTCTTCGCAGACAGAAATAAAATTTGCGACCATTTCAGGTGGAAAGTTCGATAGACCGAACTATTACCTTGTCAGAATGAAGACCACTTTGTTAAAGGATAGACTAGAAATGCATACCTTGTCAAAGCGACCAGCCAGATGTTGCCTATGAATCTCGGCCGCTTGCTCGGCGACAGAGGTTTGAGGATCAGGTCTGTGGAAGTGCAGAACGTTGACCTTGCTCGTTTGTAGACGAGACAGGCTCTCCTTTAATGACTTCTCGATAGCAGCTGCGGTCAATGACCCTGCTCCATCACCACTCACTGCGTTAATCTTGGTATCGATAATGAAGCCCTGCTCTGCGGCTCTTGTTTCACCTAGAAGACGCTCAGATGATCCAGGCGCAGTGGGCGAGTATCTGGCTGCAGTATCGATGCGATTAATGCCGAGAGATTTTAATAGATCAAGGAGCTCTTGCACCTGATCTGATGTAGTGAAACTGGTGCCTATTAATGCGCCGCCGAACAAGGTGTTTGGTTGAGGCATGATTGCAGAGTCCTATTGCGTGGGCTGCTTTTGAAAAAGCTACTGCAGAATAACTTTTGTGGTACCCCGCTCATTCTAATGAAATTCATGATGACAATGGTTTACCAGCTCGTCTTACCAATCATGGTAGGGCTAATCGGCACCGGAAAAGCGAGCCTTGTCCGTCCCGGAATCGGCTCCCTCGACGGGCCGTAGATCAAGTTCGATCCGAGTGCTATTCTGATATTCCAATTGTAAACAATTAGTGTGGTCCTTTACTGCAAAGTCTTAGTATAGACTATCTTATCAGATCTAGTTCTACATATACACCTGACAAAGGGTCCCGGGGTTGAAACGAAACAATCCCATGAAAAGAGCCATGCACCATGACCGATATCAATCATTTTGTTTCATTTTGTTTCTCCGATTCCATCTCGGCAAGTGCATTATCCCGTAGTATCCGAAAGATGTGTGTCATGGTTTGTCGCTGATGCATTATTGTGCTCAAATCTTGAAAAAGTTTCATCTTGCTTTCTTCCAGTTGGTCCTGAAGGGCGCTGGTCGCCGATGGATGAACCTTCAAGTTGGAGAGTAATTTAATTAGCCAATTGCCGGGCAATGGAGTCGTCTAGAGTCAGATAACCTACCAAGTAGCCACCATTGGCGATACGCTGGCAAGCGATGCACGTGTCTCTATCCAAGGTGGGAATTTTGCGCAAATGATCTAAGGATTTATGGAGTAGGAACTGGCAACCGTGGCAGATCAACACGTAGGAAACGGTGGGCTCGGTGGCAGGAGATTTGGCCTGATCTGATGGAGCACTAGGGTCCCGCATTTTTGTAGCTCTAGGATATGACAGAGAAGTTGACTACCAGGTTAACTTGAGATTCTTAAGATCAAGGGGCACGAGGGTCAGGTACAACAAAAGAACTCAGTCTGCTACCCCTCCTGCTGGAACAATATTACATCCGCTGCATAGATCAGCCCGATTTGACGTGTAAACTTTTCGAAGATAGATGTGATATCGCACATTCCGGCAGAAATCTCAAGCTGGAAGGCCTTATGGAAGCCATACTTGTAAATAGATAGTTTGAATGCTACCCATGGGTGAGGCTAATTGGTTAATTGGCTAATTTTCAAGCCCGGTGTTGCCATAGAATAAATAGGTTACCCTTATAGCGAACATAGCCGAACTGTGCGAAGCGTGTTGTCGTGGCAATTTGTGTATGATGTGGTGAAACGGGAGGCCGCTAGTAAGCAGTTATGATAATTACCCCATGAATTCAATCACCGGTAATGTCACGGGCAAGATTCACCTAAACGCCTTGCACCCATAGTATGCTTGTATGTACAGAGAAAAGAAAGACTGAAAGTCGACAGGGAAATGTAGGATCACGACGCAGAGCCTTAGGCGGAACGACCCAAGATCGACCCAGCTACCCACACGGCAGTGCATGCGCCAACCACGGACAAGCCAACCAAGCGCTTGCCCCAGCTGCCAGCCTCGGCCATCTTAGTAGCGCCGACAGGTTTCTTCGAAGACAACTGCACGGTATGTGATTGTGCACCCTCGCTTTGAGACTGAGACGAATTGCCAAGAATAGCAGAGTATTCCTCGTCTCGCTTGCGCCACTTTTCAACAAGTCGCGCGATCTCAGCTAGGTCTTCCTTCAAAGACCCTGGATCGGTAGCATTGGCGTTTTCAATCTCGACATTCTGCACATTTCCGAAGAAATCCACCACAGTTCGTAGACGGCCCTCCTGCTCGCCACCCGGGAAGAGGTCCCAGCGAACACCAGGCTGCGAGTGAATCTTCGACATGTCGTAAGAGTCAAACAGATCTCCCAGGGTCAATTTGGAGTTGGCGCTAGTCACTTGTGTCTCGAGGAACTCTAGCACATAATAGGTCCACCGATCAATGACCGCGACACCGACATCGTTATCCGCGTGATGGGAGTATGAAGATTGGTCGAGCTCACTGGAGCCAGTGGCGACAATGTTAGGCGAGTAGAAATGTGTGTACATCGTGTTGGCCTGGCATGTATCAATCATGAAAAGCAGTTCGTGGTAACGCTTCTTCTCCCACATCTGTCCAAACGCGTCCGCCAAATCCCATGCGCCAATCTCCTCGGCATCCTGGAACTTGAGGAATTGATCTCCTCCATGACCTGTCATATACACCAGCACATTGCTACCGGCATCAGACCCAAGCCGCTTGCTGCGAGGGACATCTTCGTCCAGCCGGTCGGTCAAGAGTCGGATGAAGTTCTCCACCGTCACCTCGTAACCCCTGTAGTCCACCTCAATGTTGTCGCCATAGAGATCCACCGCGCGATCTGCGTTACTGTAAACGGTTCCGGGGAAGGCATTGCGAGGATTGCAGGCCATGTCATCGGGGAGCATGAGGATGATTTGCGAATCGGGAATGCCGAGGCGCTTGACTGTTCGATATAGGGAGAGGACATTGGCGAGGTGGCGATAGTTGAACCAGAATCGGGATGTTGAGACTAGAACAGCCCAGTTTGATGTATGTTCAGCGGTCGCTGCTCCAACGAAGAGCAGGAGCGCAAGCGCTTGCAGCAAGCGAATGAGAAGAGACATTGTTGTAAGTCGCGGAGGGAAGGAGAGTATATCCAAGAAAGGAGAGACCAGCTCACGCAGCTGGTAATATCGGGATTTGACCCGGGAATGGGAAGGAGAGGTTAATGCTAGGCCCCAGGAAGTCAGTCCCCATGTTATACCGAGGCCATCCTCGGGGTTGCAGTTAGATGGGCGTGGAGACAGAAGCAACGCGTGGTTGTCTGGGGACCGTCAGCGATGACAAATGAGGCCAGGAGGAACTATCGGAATTGGGTTGCTGAGCTCATCTAGGTGCACCAATCGGGTTTCAACAGGTCTGAATTGCTATGTAGCCCCTTTCTGGCAATTTGGATGGGCATAATAATGACTAATACATGCGGGTTTATAGTATCTCCTTTCTTCCGAGTATCCACTACTGGTCCTGCTCCGACACACCCCCTCAGCGCTTAGCGAGTGTTGAATAGCTTCGCCAGTGTTGAATTCAATCGAGATGAGCGCTGAACACCATCTAAAAGCTCTCTCTTTTCTCTCAATTACACCTCAAACCTCAATTAGGTGCTGTATATCCTGCATGCGCAAGATCTTGATAAAATCCTCATGTTTCTGGCGTGGCAGGATCTTTGTGAGCCCATCTGCTGCCATCTTGGCAGTAGGTACCCATTTGATTGTGATTCGACCTTCTCTAATCTCTTGTCTTAGCCAGTGCCCATGGATATCGACGTGACGAAGCTTTGTATCGATTTTGGCATGCTCCGAGGTCAACAGGTTGACTGTCTGCTGATTATCACATCTTAATGTGATTGGGTGGCTTGGTTTGAATGAGATTCGGTCGAGAAACCTCATCCACCATAGGAGAGATCTTCCTGCATCAGATAATCCAAGCAATTCGGCTTCGGTGGTTGACGTGGTAACCGTGGGTTGCTTGGTAGCCTTCCAATCCACTGGTCCGCCATAAACCTGGCAGATATACCCTGCAGAGCTTCTGCGATCTTGATTGTCAGCGAAGGATGCATCGCTTGCTAGCTCAACTGATTCTATATCTCCTTTATCCCCATACTGCAGTGCTAAGTACCGTGTGGTGTATAGATAGCAGATCACTCTATCAACCGCTCGTTGGTGCTGTGGACTTGGATTTCGAAGAAATTGCGATAGCTTTGCAGCTGCTTTCGCTGCATCTGGTCTGGTAATCGTGGTTGGATACTGCACTGAGCCAACCTTTCCTTGGTACAATTTGATCTCGGCAGGTGTCGCAGTGCCATCGTATGGCTTCATTTCTTCCACTGGTAACGGTGTGTAGACCGGCGGACGGTCTGTTAGATTGTATCGGGCTGCCATACTGCTGATATAGGCATCCTGGCATAACCAAAGCTTATATTCTCTGCGGTCACGGATGATTCGAATGTTTAAGAACCATTCAGCTTCCCCATGGTCTGTGAGTTCCCAGTGTGCCTCGAGATCCTTTTCTAGCTGCTTAGCTTTCTCGCGCACTGATGGGTGATTGGCAATGAGGATATCGTCAACATAGAAGAAGACGATGATTCCGTGTGAAACGAAGACACAGGGGTCTTCTGGTATTGGTGTGAGACCTAGTTTCTCGAGTACTCGAGATGCTTCTTGTTGCCATAGCTTTGGTGAGATGCGCAATCCATATAGCGCACGCTGTAGCTTCCAACACATCCCTGGTCTATCGAATCCTTCTGGCATTCTTGTGTAGGTCTCGGTAGGCAGTTTACTATTCAAGAACGCTGTAACTGCATCTCTCTGGCGGAGATCGAGGTTAAACGCTGCGACCAGTGCAAAGATCATCCTTGCAGACCTTGCTGCAAGTGTAACCGCCCTCTTATCCTCTGGGGATATCGTTTCGAGGTCACCTCGCACGCAGATTCGCGCTTTGAGCTTCTGGAGGTAACCGTCCTGGTCGAATTTATATGCAAAGACCCATCGGAGTGGTAGGATCTGCTTCGAAATATCTCTCGGTCGATTTATGGCGGTAAAGGTTGATTTCTCTTGCAGAGATCGTATCTCTTTCGCGCATGCAGCTAGGAAACCCTCTGCCATTGGATGCTTCATCATCTCTCTCCACCCATCAGGTACTGGTGGTAGATCGTCTCTGTGGCGTTGAATCGGCTTCTCGGTGTATAACGCTGCTGCGAACGTGCGAAGCAATTCAGGTGGTTCGTTTTCGACGGCTGGTTGGATAGTGGCGTATGCGTGGTAGTCAGGGTTTACCCTCGGTCTTCTTCTTCTGCTACCCTCGAGGATATTGGCAGTGTCGATTCCATCGCTTCTTCGTGTGTGTAGCTCAGTGTGTAGTTGCTGCTCGCTATCAGAAAGCGAATCTTCTTCTTCTTGGGTACTCTCTTCCGTGAGAGATTCAAGCGGTATCTCCGGCTCTGGCGGCTGGTCTTCATTAAGACAAGATCTCTGGTTGGTAGCCTGGGATATTGGCTGGTTGTCCACCCCCTGACCAGCTGCAGTAGGAGACGCAGTGGTACTTTGATCTCCGGCGGGACTCGGAGGCAAAATTGGAGGCTCTTCGATTGGAAATGAGCCTGGTAAGGTCTCAGTCTGGTGACCCTGATCTGCCTGTAGGCGGTCTCTCTCGTCAGGTTCCGGGGTAATGAGTGTAACCACCCCCTGAGGTTCAGCGGTAGCTTCTGTAGGATCCCCTTCTTCAACCCCAGACACTAGAGGGTCTTCCTGATGAGCTTCGTCATGATCTTGCTGCCGATCCTCCTCTGTATTTCGGTTTGTTGACGGCTCTTCAGGTATCCCGAGGTCCTCGCGTAGGACATCTAGGTGCTCTTCGTCGGTCAAGATCGTCGGTTCAGGCGCAGGCAATGCGATTTCTTGCCAGTACTGCATATCAGGTCTCCATCTTCTCGATTCATCGAAGCGTGCATCTCGTACAACCTCGACCTTTCCTCTCGATGGAAACCAGACCTTCCAGATATTCGAAGCGACGTATCCAACCAAGAATCCAACCTCTGCGCGGGGAGAGATCTTCTGTAGGCGTGGGATCTTTCGAATTCGGCAGTAGGTCAACGAGCCATATACGCGAAGATTAGCAAGGTTAGCCTTCTTCATCCTTTCGCTGCCGAAATCCTGTCGTGCTTCATCCCACGGTACAATCCAGCGGTTCTCGTCCTTCAGGTAGGTAGGGATTCGGTTCAAAATCCATGCTGCGGTACTAACCATCTCTGGCCAGAGTTCCTTCGGCAGTTTACTCTCGATATGCAGATGTCTCGATTTCGTCAAGATGACACCTCCTGAACGCTCTGCAGGCCCGTTCTGTTCCGAATGATATGGGATAATCTGTGAGACGACGATCCCTTCGTGGCTTAGGAAGCGTTCAGCTTCTGCACCCGCAGACAATTCGTTATCATAGTGAAATGCCTTGATTGGTAGATTCCACCAGTTCTTGACAAGGGCTATAAACCTCCGAACAGCTTCTCTGCACTCATATTTCCGTTCATGCGTGTACAACCAGTGGAATCTGATACCTTCCACATAGAAATGGGTCATCCATTGGTGGCCATTATACCCAGGCGGAAACTGCACCAAATCGAAGTGGATTCGACCGTATTTCCCGAAACTACGACCGATAGGTCGTCTTGAGATCTGGCGTGGTGCGCTTGCAAGGTTGCATATCTGGCAGAGTTCCCTTTCCTCTTCTTCTTGTGACGAATCTGGCAGATCTTCGTTGATTTGGATACCATCCACCATCTCAGTAGCCTTCTTAACCACACGTTTGGATACGTGGGCTAGTCGTCGGTGCCAGCGGTCTGCTGAAGCTTCTGCAACCAGTGGTTTTACCGAGGTCCTCGAGGTCGAGGTCCCTACTGCATACGCATGTGCAGTAGTGTCCGGTACAGATTGGTTTGGTTGATCGAATCCCCATATCTTCAGCGGTTTGATGAGACGTACGTTGACGATCGGTTCTCCAGCAGAATCCTTAATACACTCGTTGTCCTCGTCCCATCGAACACCCTTCTCTTTCAGCGCTGCATAAGACATCAAATTGGCATGGAATCCGGGCGAATACACGACGTTGCTTAGCTGAATCGGCCTAATAGACCCGTCGGGTCCTATCCCAGTCATGATGGCACTTCCGATTCCTTCCACAGCGGTAGACGAGTCTCCGGTCCTTAGGTTGTCTGCCTTCGGAGTGAATTTGGTGAATAGGTCCCTTTGGTTACACACATGCACTGATGATGCGGTATCTAGGAACCATCGCTTGCGAGTATCATCACTAGATCCTCCTGCAGCTTTCACGCTTTGGTACACCTGCTCGATTGGAAAACTAGTGAAGTACGAGCCCCAGAGCTGCGTTGAATTGGCCGTCTTGGTATTGTTGACCCCGTTCTTCTCATTATGATCCTTGACCATCTTGTCTATCCAGGTCTTCCACGCTTCATCTTTCGAAAGACGTTCCTCGACACGTTTGACCTTCCATCTCAGTACAGGTTTGTCTGGGAAAGCCTCTCGGTTGATGATCCAGCAGTCCCATGGTTTATGGGCCTTGTTACCACATGGGCACCAGCGCTTTGGAATCGGTGGTAAGGATCGTGGTTGCTGCGGTTGTAGCGCTTGCGCTTGCTGTTGATCTTCTTGCTTTGCTTCTTCGAATCCTTGCAGTGTTGAGAAAGAAGCTTTTGAGATCGTACTAACGGTCGATCTCTGTGGATGTATCTCACGATAGGTTCCTCTAAAATTTTCAATCAAATCGCGAGTATCCCACTCTTCTTGATGCAATACAATTGCCTCGAATTTGGATTGCCACCACATAGGAAGCAGATCCTTGACCGCACGAAGGAAATCCTTATTGGCGTTCTTTATTTCTGGCAGGTCTAGGCTGACACCCTGCTCTCTTAGTGAATCCCATTCGTTGATCCACTGGTCGATATCTGCACCTTTCCTTGGTGGTAATGCAGACACTCGCTTCCACTGCGTACGCACGTCTTCTTCTGCGGCTGTGGCTCTTCCGAATCGAGTATGGAGATATACAAGCCTTTCGTACGGAGTTTGGTAATTCAGCATGGAAGTATGGTGAATTGGATCCAAATTGGTGATGATCCACTCGTTAACAGCGTCTAGGCTCTTGCTCTGTTGTTCCCATTCGCTTAGGTCTAGTTTATAGATATCCATGCGGTCTCTCCACTCTCTCTTCGCCGATTCGTTGCCATCTTCTGGATATTGAGGTCTTCGAGGTCTTCTGATTGGTTCCTCGAGGTAACCTTCTTCGGTATGGGGGTCAATGAGGTCCCACACCCTTTTCTGGCGTGCATACAGCTTAATTCGTGCGAACCAGTTCCTCCATTGCAGAGGGTCTTTCAGCTTTTCGCCCTTCATGGCGGAGATCACTGTTGACTCCATATCGATCGGTTCTCAGCGGTGTACACTGCGATAGGAAGTTCAGGGGCAAGGTGAGATAGATCGTATGTGTGTGTGGACTACCGCAATCATCGGCGTATAGTCTCGAAATCGACGAATCTACCCTTCTCACTGGCGAATCGGGCTCATAACTATCGGAATTGGGTTGCTGAGCTCATCTAGGTGCACCAATCGGGTTTCAACAGGTCTGAATTGCTATGTAGCCCCTTTCTGGCAATTTGGATGGGCATAATAATGACTAATACATGCGGGTTTATAGTATCTCCTTTCTTCCGAGTATCCACTACTGGTCCTGCTCCGACAGGAACGCATCCGGGCTGACACCTGAGACTTCAGGCATCAGTAACCACCAGCTGTATAGCAAGGTACAGAGTCTATACTTCAAACTTTGTTCAAACACAAAAGCCCTACGATAAGATATTACGAGGTCTAAAAGAGCGCAAGCTTCATCTATCTTCTAGAAGTATCTATTGCCTTTACTACCTAGCAAGTGATCCTCAGCAATAGCAGATTAGTCACTTCGTCACCGCCTACATCGGAATCGGCATAATTGTTTTGCGGATCGGATCATCCAACAGAACAATCCACTTTTTTCTCCTCCACTCTCCTCACAGTTCATCGAATTTGTTTCAAAAACACATTTCGAAGTACCTTGAACCGCCAATATGGGAGGCAAGAAAGCTGCGGGCGAGAACTCCAAGAAGGCTGCCGGCAACGCTCGCGTATGTACTAACCCCGCCCCCGCTATTGATTGCCACCGACGCGATAGCGTGCGCTAACAACTTCTTCAGAAGGCCGAAGCTGCCGCATCAAAGAAGGCCGTTGAAGATTCGAAGCGCGCCGCCGAGGAGGATAGGGAGTGGTCTAAGGGATCCAAGAGCAACGCAAAGAAGTGAGCTTTGATTCTGATCCTTCCAAGTAAAAATACTTGTCGAGGATGATAAGCTAACAAGGTTGATTTTCTTCCAACCATAGGGACGACGCCGAAGCCAAGAAAGCTGAAGCTGCCCGCAAGAAGGCTGAACGTGATGCCCTCCTAGCCGAAGAAGAAGCCTCCCAGCCATCCAAGGCCAAGGGTGCCGGCGCAAAGACGGCGCAGAAGAAGACCCGCGGCCTCGATCTTTCACAACTCGATGACTCTTTCTCCAGCAAGAAGGGCTCTGCCCTGAACGCTTCTGGTATCGACAATGCGCTAGACGCCCTGTCCCTGACGAACAAGGATACTTCTAAGGTTGAGCGTCACCCCGAGCGACGATTCAAGGCGGCATATGCGGCGTTCGAGGCCCGTCGTCTACCGGAGATTGAACAAGAGAACCCCGGTCTGCGCCGACAGCAGCGTGTTGACCTGTGCCGGAAGGAGTTTGAAAAGAGCGAAGAGAATCCTTTCAACCAGGTGCACGTTGCGGTCAACGCCACCAAGGAGGAGATTGCCCAGGTTCGGGACTCGGAGCGCAAGAAGACGGAGACTCGCCTGACCAGATAAAGTGGCGTTCTCTGTTTCAAGCCCTCAACTGGAAAATTGCTGAGAGCTTGAAACTTAAATATCACATTGGTGGTGCAAAATCAGGAAGATCTTGTGCGACATTGGCCTTCCCCACATTGGCTGCTGATGCTTTTATATGGTGAATATTCAACCCTCTCGGAAGGTCAGAGTCAAAGCGACTATGATAGACCAAGCGTGAAATTTCCTTGTGGATCTATGATTTACGCATCATGACCGGGAAGGGCTTCCACATGGACATAAAAATTTACGAAATGAAATGATCAATATCCATAAACATTCTGATCCCCCTAGGTCGTAGCAAAAGTTGGAAATCTACTTATATAACCTCTGCTCCTCTTCCATGGGAGATGGAACCTGATTAGGCATTTTTAGGTGGAATCTATTATGTGTATCAACAATAATAGTTGTTAGGGGCTCTTTCCTAGCATGTCTATGCATGCCCATCGGTAGATACGTCATGATAATAGATAGCTAGATGAATACATCAAAGAGGCAGGGGAATCATTCACGATGAAATTACTCCTCGCACATCCCACACATAAAGGCTTTCATCCCATCCGACACTGGCACACCACCCTTCACTTCCAAACAGACACCAGTCTACACCGGTAGCAAACTCTGTGTGTCGTCCCATTCTTCCTAGCTCCGAGCCGGCAACCGGACCCGCTGGACCAGATCGCATAAGGTCCACATCACCAGCCCCGCTGGTATTTGACCGGTCACTCCAAACACGACAGGTCATATCGTAGCTTGCAGTCAGGAGAACGTCTGATAAATGTGGCGACCAGGCCATTTTTTTAATCGCGTAGTCATGGCCAAGCATGATGGATAGAGGTCCCTGTTGTGGGGCACGAATATCGAATGTGCGAATGGCTCGGTCAACACCGGCTGTTGCAAGGACTGTAGGGCGATATTTGTTCCAGTCATGAGTGAGAATCTCGGCTGGTTGGGCCGCGGCCGGAGGCATTCCTGGTTGACCAGGAATGGCGGGTGCCACTGGGGCTGCGTGGTTGGGTATCTGGACAACAAGGTGGTTGGAAGCAGAAGCTGGCGTTCTGAGATCGAAGACACGGATATAGGAGTCTGAGGTGACACATGAAATGAGTTCGGGGTTATGTGGGCAGAAGGCCGCGGAGTAGGTGCAGCTATGAGTAGGTAGGGTGAGGATGGACTGCTGGCGATGAGGTGTCCAGAGTCGAACAGTGCCATCCCAACTGCTAGAGCAGAAGCGGTCTTTTGCCACCATGTTCCAATTCACACTAAAAACCTCCCGACCGTGTTCTTTCCAGTTCATAATAGGGAAATCATCGGCGGTCGTGTCGTAGAGCTTGATGCTGCCATCACCCGATGCAGCGAGGACCTGGTTCTCGTGGATTTCAGACCAAGCAAGGTCATAGAGGGAATCTTGTGTGGTGAACCTGAATAATTATACGAGACGAAGATTAGTATATATTGCGACAATGTCCGAAGAAGAAAGCAGATTTCGGCAAGTTATATGACCGACTGCGTCCCTGAGCGAGGGCCCACATACCATTTCACGGGCACAATCCCATTAGCAGTGAGCTCAAGAACGTATAACCGGCCATTACCGACCAGGCCAAAATTGGCTGCACTTGCGATGGCTAAGCGGTTATCGAAGAAAGGCGAATATTTTACCGCATAGCCATTGTAGCCCTGTGTTCGGTAGTGTAGCATCGTGGAGGGGCTGATCGGATCGCCGACCACGGGAGGTTATGAAGAGTAGACGAGGGGAATAATTTAATTAAAGCCACAACAGCTTAGGGTATCACAAGCGACAGGATGGATGCACCGTCATAGCTCAGGGCGCGTGTCGTGACGGGAAAGCGGGCAAAGTGACGGGAGGATTGCGGGGAGATCAAATGCGCAATGGGCCGAGGTCAGTTTCGAGGGCTCAACCTTATCGCCCTTTCCGTTATCGTCTGTTATCGCTATCGCTATCGTTATCGTTCGCCGGGGGAAACTATAGCGATAGCCAGGACTAGGTACTGAATTGATGATCTACTAGGCTGAGAAGTATAGAAGGCTTTGGAGAATTCTCAAAAAAGGAGGATAAACCTTGAATGTATTATTTTATGTTCCGAATGACAGTCTTTGTTAAATTGTTGGTCGATTCTCCGGACAACTATAGCTATGTAGTGTCACGACTGCCCCGGTGCTTCAAGCTAGGAGAAGGATGGCTGTACTAGAATTTTATTGCTCTCTCATAGAAAGTGAGCTCAATGTGTTAGAATTCAAGGTAGTGTATTCAGACATGCCCAGAAGACATGCTCTGATTGGTCAATTTAAAGCTAGTCATGTGGTGATAAGGCCTTGCTGATAAATCCTTATCGCATTTACGAGGTACTAGGCAGCACCAGGACTTCCTTCCCAGCGACTAGTTAACACAAGATTCAAGAGTTACTTCAAGGCATATATGGACGCTTTCGTTTCAAGGAAGAGGCGGCGGCTGTCTCAGTCAAGCTTGGGGGCTATTACAGCGTCAGCGGGGGCATCAAATATCCCAATTCCCGATACCTCTGGCGAGGACTCAACAGACATCAAAATTGCCATTCTGCTCTCGCTGTTCCCAGATATCAAGCAAGAAAATCTGTTGGATATCTTAGTTTCTTGTGATGGGTCTGTGGAGGCTGCTTCTTCTCTTTTAACATCCCAAGGCACTTCGTCGAGCTCACCTTTCAAGAAACGTGCGACTTCGAATCCAGCTCGCGGGGCCCAAACATCATTATCATCACACGTACTCACCAAAGCAAAGGATGGATCTGTTACCACTCTCAGTGAGAGTCTCATTCATCGAAAACCATTGTCCACTAAGAAAGGACAGACCCTACACCTTTACTCTCCCGAGGATATTGCAGCCTACACGCCTTGCACAATTATCCATAATTTTCTTCCCGCCGAACAGGCAAACGCACTCCTGATCGAACTACTTGATGAATCGGAACACTTTTCACGATACGAGTTCCAGCTGTTCAATCGAACGGTTCAGAGTCCCCATACGACGAGTTTATACGTCTCGACGGCCGAAGAATACCAACAACATACCTCCGAGTACAAGTATGGCGGCACTTACCGCTCAAACGTTCGACAAGCAACGCCAGAACTTCGCTCTGTATCCCGAAAAGTACAATACGCGGTCAACGAAGTAGTTCACGCTCGCATACACAATATTTACCCTGATGGCAAGAAGCTCAAGTATCAGTCACCAAAGGAGTGGCGACCGAATGCAGCCTTTGTCAATTGTTACGATGGACCTGGAGAAAATGTGGGGTATCATTCCGATGATCTGACCTATCTTGGACCCCATCCGATCATTGGAAGTTTAAGCCTAGGCGTGGAACGAGAATTCCGAGTCCGTCGAGTTCTACCTCGGGATGAAGAGGATGATGCAGGCCAAATAGGCGCCGAAGATAACAAGAGGAATCCACCCTCAGGAGCGACCAATGATCGAAAGTTGTCCACTGCTCGTGCAGATGCGCAAGGTCAGATTTCCATCCATCTGCCACACAATTCCCTCCTGGTCATGCATGCAGAGATGCAGGAAGAGTGGAAACACTCAATCGCCCCTGCACAAACTATCTCTCCACATCCAATATCGGGCAATCGGCGGATCAACATCACTTATCGCTGGTATCGCGACACACTTCACCCTCGATATACACCTCGATGCCTCTGTGGTGAGCATGCGGTCCTTCGATGTGCTCAACGTAAACAAGAAACGCGGGGCCGGTACATGTGGATGTGCTACGCTGGATATGTACCAGGAAAAGAAAGCTGTTCGTTCTTTCAGTGGGCAGAGTTCGACGACGATGGCAATCCTGTGTGGACTCATAAACCGCAGGAGGAGGAAACCGCCCCAGCTCTGGCCAATTTTTCAGCTTCTCAATAGCCCATTCGGTTTTTGGTTAGCAAGGTTACATTTTTTATTTCTCCGATAGGTTCATCGTGATAAGAGTGGAGGGAATCCATAATGGCCCCGCAGAGCCACTATCGATAGCTTCCTCAGTTTCAGGGTTCACCAAACCAGCTTGTTCGCCCCCATGGGGAATCTCGTCAATCAAGAATAGCTATAAAGACAACGCGATCGCTGATCACCAAGCGGTCCATGGGAACAAATTAAGGTTGTGCGGGGAATACTCACCTCTGCGGAAAACTGCCCAGTTGATTCCGCTCTTCAAGTTTACCCGAATATCCCCCGCATTTCTAGCCGCCCAGCTTCACTAGCGGGCAGTTTACAACTCTGCGATGCAAAAGTAAGATGCAGTTAGCGTCTGCGGACACCGTGTCTCGTATACAGCCCAGCCAAAACAACGTGTCACTTTGGAAAATCTTGTCCCGAAACGGTAGTTGTAGAGCGGAACCCACCACCGCCCATCCCGTATTCTTGAGGGCCACCTTTTATAAGTAGTGAGCTTGGTGTACTTTTGCTGCTCGTTTCTGGGATTTCAATCCAGAATACAGTTTGACTTGTGTGCAATCCACTGCCATCCATCATGGCCTCGGAGAGCAAACAGACCTACGATTATATCGTGTGCGGGTAGGTGAAGTATGGTCCAACTATGCAAGAATGCCAATTAACAACCGACAGCGGTGGTACCTCTGGATGCGTGGTCGCCGCCCGACTCGCTGAGAACCCTGAGATCAAGGTTCTGCTTCTGGAAGCTGGACAGCATAATAAGGACTTGGAGAATGTGCATATGGCTGGAGGGTGAGCAGCATGATCCCGACCGACCGCGACCGGAACGATTGCTGACAGGACAAGATGGTCGAACAACTTCGATGCCGAGACAGATTGGAATTTCGTTACCCCACCTATGGCAGGCGTCGACAATCGCCAGGTCAAATTGAGTCGAGGCCGGTTCCTCGGCGGTTGCAGTGGTTGCAATGGCACTCTATGCATCCGTGGCTGCAAACAAGATTATGATGATTGGGGTCTGGATGGGTGGAGTGGAGACGAGTTTTTCAAGTACATGAAGAAGGTGAGAAATGACAAGTGCGCCCCAGCGTGAAGAATTTACGCTAAATACTATTGCTATTGCCTAGGCCGAAACCTTCCATCCCAAGTCCTGGCATGAAGCTGATAAGGAGAGCCATGGATACTCTGGGCCGCTGCACACGGAGCCTCACGACCTGGCGCCAATCTCAAACCTGCTACTCGAATCTTTTGTTTCGGAAGGCATGCCACTAAATCACGACATGTTCAGCACTGGCGATGTGCCACACGGTTGCGGCCATGTGCCTCGCACAGTTTACAATGGAATTCGAACAACCGGCGCTGATTTCGTGACCAACAAGAACAGCCGTGGAAATATTACAATTCAAACCGACACCACGGTTGATAAAGTGATCTTCACTGAGCAGGGCGGGCAACTTCGTGCATCTGGTGTTTCTACAAAGACCGCCGATGGTAAATCAAAGATCTACCATGCGCGAAAGGAAATCATCATTTCGGGAGGCGCATACTGCAGTCCTGCAATCCTTCTCCGTTCGGGTATCGGACCAAAGGAAGAGTTGGCCAAACATGATATCCCATGTACAGTGGACGCTCCTGGAGTTGGAACAAACCTCATGGATCATTTGGTAAGTCACGACTCGACGAATAACCTAGCACTATAACTGACAGTGGCATTGCGAAAGATCGTCTTCATGTTCTACGAAACCGAAAACGCCGGACTAACAACCGACCACCATGTATACCACGATGACAACTTCAACAAAACATACGCAGAATGGAAAGAGAAAAAGAGCGGCTTCCTCTCAACCTTCCCCTTCGGCGCCTTCGCCTTCGCCAGACTAGACGATCGCCTAAAAGACGAACCGCTCTGGAAAAAGGCACCTCGTCAAATCGGCAGAGACCCAATGGGCCTAACCCCCAAACAACCCAACATTGAATTCTTCACCACGGAATGCTACGGTGGACCGAAGCAGTACGATCAATTCCCCATTGAGCATAAGCACGCTTTCTCGATGATTGCGGAACTCTTTGCGCCTAAATCTCGAGGCTCGGTTACGTTGAAGTCGGCGGATCCGATGGAGAATCCCATCGTTGATTGCAATTATCTTGCTGATCCGCTGGATGTGCTGGTTCTCAGTGAGGCATGTCGATTTGGTAATGAGATCGTTATGAAGGGAGCTGGTACCAAGGATATTGTTAAGGGATCGTGGCCTCCCAATTTGTCTCATCATACTTACAAGACGAGAGAGGAATGGGTTCCGTATGTCAAGGAGCATGCTACTACATGTAAGTTGGAGACCGATCAGATGTCTGCATGAGGAAGCTCGAGACTAACACTGTATAGGCTATCATGCCGCAGGAACATGTGCTATGGGCAAGGAAGATGACCCCATGGCTGTATTGGATGAGAAATTGCAGGTTCGTGGTGTTGTTGGCTTGCGTGTGGCCGATTGCAGTGTTATGCCAGCGCTACATGGAGGTCACACCCAGATGCCGGCGTATGGCATTGGCGAGAAATGTGCCGATTTGATTAAAGAGACATGGTGAAAGGCTGGTAATGTCTACAGCCGCATCTAAGATATCCATTTGGGAAGGATTAGACTATCGAATGCATTTCTCAATTGTTAATGAAGAAAAACGTGCGTCTCGAAGTAAAAACTAGAAGCTTAACATAAGACCTCCGAAAACATGCAAAAAGGCACGCATGGCTAAGAATAGTAATGAAACTAGAAGGTAACAAAAACGTCCAAAAGCACCATAAAGCCACAAGCGCTATTTCAGAACATAACCAGCTCCTCGCCTTGTTCAATTACCACAACATTCGGTTTGCCAAATTGACGGCTATCTTCCATCCGGACAACGGTCAGTTGTGTCTCGGCGTGAATTAGATTCGGTGTTGGGAGTAACGAATGACGATAATCGACCGAAGCGGTCAAGATCGGCTGAGTGATTTCACCGGTGAATTCTTCCAAAAGCTCATTGATCTGAGCAAACAGGTCTCCGAGGATAGGAGATTGAACGGGCGATTCAGACGGAAGAGAGGCTGGAGGAAAGGCGTTTGGTATATGGATCCGAACCGGAACAACCCATGTTTCACCAGGACGAATGGAAGTTAGCCGAGTACTATCTATAACTGTCTGGATGAGACATCCATGGCCAGGTGACAGAGAAAGTTTGAGGTCAGATATGGACCCTGGACGTATGCCGGTACGAAGGTGCCGGATGACCTTGGAAACTTTGCGTATAAAATGTGCTCCATGAGGGCACAGGTCACCGGTCGCAACATCGTAAGAAATATGCCAGCCAGCCTGGAAGTTTGGTCGAGTCACTGGTAGACAGGTTTTGGGAGTGATGGTATGGAATCCAATGGCCTGGTCAATCCACGGTATCAAGAGATGATCGGGTGGGGTAGCAGAGACAAAGAACAAATGACAGAAGGCGGGTCGTGTGGAAGTACAAAACATGTTGGCAACTTGCTGGATGGCGTTTCCGAGGTTCAGAGGTGCGCCATGTTTCATGGGATGTTGGCGTTGGGAGAATCTGTTAAGAGCAGATCGAACAGTGTCAAGGGAATGGAAGCCCAGAGGTAGCAAGATTTCGAACCCGTGCTTCCTCATTCCGTTTACACAGACTATAGCAATCCGGTCATGATTATGCATCAAATTGGATGCCAACACAGAGGGGCCCAAGGTTATCTGTGCCAGCAAGTTGACAGACGGCTGAGACCTGGCAAGCGAATGAGTCCGGGTGTGCCGCCGTGTTTAGATCAACGAAATGCAACTCACAATCTATCAAGAACAACGATTGCATCGAGGGGAGCAAGACCTGATGTTCCCGGAAAAGGAACCGAGGTGACATCGGCAGAGACATGTACGGTAGTCCATAGAGACATGGCCCCTAGGCCGATTTGCGGGCTGCTAGTCGTCGACTTCACATCAACAAACGCGACGGGCAAGTCCATTGAGGATATGTATGCTGATTTGACTTGAGAAAACTGGTTCAGTTCAAGGTTTTCGATTTGAGGTGTGGGGGCTCTCGATTGCAATGACCCGCTTGCTGGGTTGGATGGTACAGATTGTCCGGAAGAGTCCCAAGATCCAGAACTCCAGCGAATTGTCAATCGCGGAAGTGCTCGATACCGATTCATGGGATGTTTAGCCTGTTGTTCATCGGTAAGGAGTTGCGGGTTCTGAATCACGATGTTAACGAAAGGACAAAGAACTGCAGAGCAAGGGTGCAGGCACCTTGTCAACGAAGGGGTCGTCCGGATCGTAACCATTCGAGAGGGCGCGCGCGTTCTGTTCCCGGATTTTGACAACTCGGATTTGATAAAGACTTTCGGAGAGTGATGGGGTTCTTGTTGAGACTGCTTGGCCACTGGTGCCATCGCTCAGGCTCGCCGACAGTGAAGATTGTCGACGCGGGATCTGTGGATAGTATGCAGTGGAGCTTGTGCTTTGACTTCGCATCAACGTGATCATTCTTGCATTGAGCGGCGAGGGCATTGGATCGTCCATCATGAAGCAGATCTAAACGTGCTCTCGACTTCGAACGGGCTCTGCGTACTCGAGCGGAGACTCCGAGGCCTCAGTCCACTGCGTATTGGTGCCGCCTTCGGGATCAGAACGGCTTCTCTTCTTTCTGTATCCCCGTCTCCGAGGAATGAGACGCTCTAGCCAAGCAGGTCTCGCGAATCGGCAGGGGCAGTGTTCGGAGCACGAAATGGCCACAGCCACGGCAACGAACAGGATGACAATAGGGACAAGGACTAGAGAGATAAGCAATGCCGAGCTTTTAAAATCCAAAGAGAAAGTGTTGGTCATTTTGTATAGATGTAGCAATGCATGGCCAGAGGAATGAATCGACTCTCTGAAGTCGCTTATGAGGTTGGGGAGACGGCTGGCCGTGGCAGAGACGAGGCAGGAACGATGCACCTGGATAATGGTATTCGCTGGGTATATTTCCAAGGCAAGCGCTATGATCACTCTTTATGCACGTCGGCCACCGTCATCATCATCTCCTTCACCGAGCTCAAGGTTGCGTCGTCTAGACGTGAAAACCGAATCTGTTTCTTTGGTCAGTTACCAGGTATGACCAGACGACGGAGTTGAAGACGCGTACCACTTCATCACCACCACCACCACGAGCAGCGCTTCCAAAAAGCATCGGATCGGAATGACTTGCTTGAATTTCATCCCGAGCCCGGCGAGCCCAGATTCCATCCCAATGCCAATCCCCCGGGAGCCGTGCCTGCGGACTTCCTCGTTTCAAATCGCTTGGGCCAAGCGCACCCCGACGATGTGCTTTCCATGCATGCCATGCTCCAGGATTTCCTGCGGCCTCTACCGGCAAGGAATCCAAAACTTCTTCGTCATCAAATGTTGAGCGAATGTACTCCAACAACTCCGCGACAGGTACAACCGTTCGTTGCTCTCTAAATTGCTCAGCTGAAGGTACTTGGGAAACTCGAGGCTTTTCATCGCCCGCAGTACCCTGCTCCTCTTGACTTGGGCCGGTGGCCGATCCATTTAAAGCCACATTTCCTTCTGCCCCAGAACCGCCAGATACAGTTCTCGCACCTGGGACCGTGCCAACAGTATTCCCGCTCACATTTCGAGAGGACCTGCCCGAGCCTAGGCCACTCCGTTTTGATCTGCCAAACCAATGTGGGAAGCCATGGCGCAGACTGAACCCTCCGGGTGGCAGTCGCTCCTCATCGGTCGCGCTGACTGGATCGTCACTTGCTGAGCTGGTACTAAACGTGTATGTGGTGAGAGGAACAATCAATGGGTGGAAGACATCTGTTGCAAAGGTGACTAGTGGTGGAAGATCAGGGTAGATGTGTGGGAAGCGGATTTGGAAACGAAGGACGGCGGAGGCGTAGGGACCTGAAAGGAGGTAGACAGAGGGTCAGTCGAAAAGCCAGAGGACTTCCTTGAATTAACACTCACCGGAACGGACAAAGATGACTCCATTCCACAGGGTCGGGTCTCCGGGCGCGAGGCTCACATAAACTCCAAGAGGTGCGGCTTGTCGCAAGCTTGCGCTGTACGGGGGAGCATCAGTCTGTGTCGCCTCCTGAATAGGTGGAGTTAGGGAGAGTGCTCACAATTCAAGATGAAGTTGCTGCTTCCGGATAGAGGGAATGCAAGGTAATCTGGTTGTCGACATGATTGATCCCAGCAGAGTTGACCAGCAGGTTTGCAATTGGAGGTTGTTCTTGGGAAACGCGGTCTCTCAACAAAACACGGTGACGCCGCCTCCTTATCGCCTGAGCTTATCGCCGATCTATGCAACCATCAACAACACCGAGCGATGATGAATCGTTATTCCACTTGATTGAAGAGCGCTAAAAACAAGCCATGACTTGCTATCGTGGGCTGCAATGGCCAGCTCTGTAAGCGAACTGAAGTGCGCGGTTGTAGGATGACAGGGTCTGGCGTCCCCGCTTCTTCTCCGCAGACCATCCCTTCCACCTGGATTTCTATCATCTATCCTCACGAGTAACTCAACATGAAGACGATTGGAATCTGCATTCCGACAATCGAGGGAGGTGTGGTGTGTCACCAGGAGATTGGTCGTGAAGCCATGAGGCGAGGCATTGCCTATCCGCCCATCGTCACCCATACCCCGCTATTCGAGGGAATCGACCAAGCTGTCAAGACCGGTGATTTCGACTCGTTAGTGGCAGTTCTCAGTGAATCAATCAATCGAACAGCCCAAGCGGGTGCAGAGTTTGCTATTATTCCCTCGAACACTCCGCATATAGTACTCGATGAAACGGCAAAGCACTCAACGATTCCTGTCCTCAGTATCCTGGAGGTCACCGCTGGTTATTGCGAGAAGCATGGCTATAAGCGCGTTGGGATACTGGGGACAATACCAACTGTCAGAAATGGTCTATATGATGCTTCATTGGCGAAAAGGGGCATTGCATCGGTCTATACATCCGAGTCGGAACAGGACCGCGTCCACGATATCATTCAGACAGAATTGATTCGTGGTATCTTCCGAAATGAGACGCGTAATGAGCTCGTGGGAATCGCACAACAGCTGGCGCCGAAATGCGACGCTATCATTCTCGGATGTACGGAGCTACCTCTCATCCTTGACGAGGAGAACTGTGGGATCAAAGTCGTGGATACTACGAGGAACCTGGCGCATGCCGCGTTGGATTTTGCAGTCAGGGAATAGGGTCTCGCCAGCAGTCCTTGATTTGTAAATAATGCAGGAAGATGAATAAACCGCGTTTATGTTCGAACGTGAGAATCATAACGTGTCATTATATCTAGTCTATCTAACGTCTCTCTATCGGCAGCGCCAATCTATCAAGTTCTAAACCAGGCCTCAATAATCCCAGATGCATCATACCCTCACCTACACCTTCATAAACACCCCCTGCAACACCTTCAATCCACCAACTGGCAAGGTTTGCCACCGCAGTCCCAACTCTGCCTTCATTGAGCTTGCAAACCGCCGAGCCAAAGTTCGCACTACTTCTGCCCAATCCATCCGCCGCGTCCATTGTAGTTGTGACAACCCGTTCCGTAATTCGATGTGAACGCTCATATTCATAAACATGGCGGAGGAAGAGCCGGAGATACGGCAATAGGAATCGAATAATCAGGAATACCTGCACGATCCCCGAGGCGAGCAGCCGGTGGAGGTATGACCTTGGAGGCTGGATAGCTCTGGAACTTGTGGGTCCCTCTAGATGAGCTATTTGTGGCTGTGGAGAAGATGCTACGGCGTCTATCACTTGCTCGGGTAAGCGATGCTGGAGCATTGTTGTCTCGTCTGGTGTGAGATCCGAAGGTAGTGCATCGAGCAGATACATCACGGCACTGATATAGAGAGATCGAGCGAGACGACCGTCTGCTTGTGGTTGCTGTGCTTCGTATCCGGCATTTCGAAGGAGATTAAATGCTATAAGAGATAAGAAGCATTAGCCATTCGCCACTTTTGCAAGTCTTTCAACCTCTGGGGTGACATTCTCACCAGGTACAACCCGATTCCATCGCAGACCTGATTCGGTCTCATATTTCGTGGGAGAATCCACCTCTTCCACAGGGGGACTATTCGATTCCCTCGACCCCGAGTCAAAAGACCTCAGATCATCGCTCGCCGTCGAAGGCCGCTGCACTTCCATAACCGCTCGCTCCAACAGCTGGCCGTTAAAAGGCAGATACGGCTCGGATGAGGTGGTCAGCTCACTTCGCAAGGCCCCGCTCGGCTTGTTATCGGTTACAGCCCTATGGGATGAGTAGAGTCGGGATAGCCGACGCCGAATCAAAGCCGGGATGGGAAGAATCGGGATACGTGAGTACTCCATCAGCTGGTGTGTGAGGTGTGTAGAGGGAGATTGAGAGGGAAATCGGGCTCGTTGAAGGTGTCAAGTGGAGGGGCAAGATGTATAATATGCAGCCGCAGCTGCGAGAGCGTTGAAAATGATTTGACAGATAACGGGCATGCTGGGGGCAATAATTTCTTGCATGGCGCATGGCGCAGAATTGCGTTTCACATGTCAGCGTTGCGTCGTCTGATATGCCGATAAGAGTGGGGTCGGGATCTAGCGGGATTAACCACTCGTAGTATTAGGGGTCCTGTTCAAGAATAGATTGTAGAGAGGCTGTTGTACATTTAATATATTGATTTTACCATGTTTGTGGTTTTAAACGTATAATTTCGTGTTCGGGTGTTATGGCAAAGGCGGATGTCATTGATGGCGAAATTGCGTATACTCATAAAGCTAGTCAGGTACAGATGATACTATAATTATAAATACTAGGATTTCTGGCAATCTTTACCACTATCCTCGCCTGATCACCGCTGCTCCTTGCTCGAAATGCTTCAAAAATCGACCTGCAATTACCCTGCCTTCTCGTTCTCCTACAACAATCGGCCATAGTACGCGAGCAGCGCCATCCTCGAAGCCGATAGGACATCCCTCGGCTCTCTGATACTCTGGAGCCGCACTCATATACCCTGGATCCACTGAATTCATAGCCACGCGGCGATGACTCCACGCCGGCATCGCTTCTGTCTCGGTAATCATATTGATAGCCGCCTTGGACATGTTCGTGTGGACGTGATGGCCCGCTTTGCTGCGGGACTTCGGCGTATCCTCGAGAATACCTTCTCGAGAAGAGACATTCACGATGTATCCCAGTGGCTTGGTGACTGATGTGGTGTCATCAGTTCCCATGCAAGGAAGAAGCTCGCGGCACAGAATCAGTGGGACAAATGCGTTCACGGAATGTGCGGTGATGAGATCTTCGTACGGGATCTCTTGGAGAGACTGCACCCATGATGACTTGTTAGGGTCTTGATCGCCGGTTGTACGGAGGCCTTTATGAGTAATGGCACTCTCTTCCTTCTTATCTCCATTGTCGATTTGCAGTTTCTCGGCTCTGCTCTCGATGCGTGGAATCCAAGACTCTTCCGCGCCGCCCCTGATCCTGGGCTGATAGGCATGGCCAGCACAGTCCACTAGGAGTTTCTTGGTTGGTGCGAGCTCCCTCAACTGGTGCTCACGAGATATAGCCATCATTTCTGATTTCACTGCATCCGTCAAGGTCTGCGCCGCATTGTTAATCAGGATATCGAGGTTTTTCCGTTGCGTCGACCCGGTTTCTCCATTCCAGGACCTCAACAGCTCTGACACCACATGAACCAGCCGGAAAGCATCCTGCGCGGTTCGGAAATCAGCGCCGACAACCTTTAGTCTGGACTCCCACTGCGTGAAATCGGCTTCTTTGGAATATCGATCCGCTGCATCAGCAGGATAACGAGAAGACACGATCACATTTGCACCACAGCGGAGCAACCTCAGAGCTGTATAGTATCCAAGATTGATTCTTCCACCGGTGACAAGGGCAATTTTTCCGGTGAGATTCAACTTCTGAGGTTGTGACAGTTGTGAAGAACTGAGATTGAAGGCCCCGCATGGGCGGCACAGTGAGGGGTACAGGTCATGGACGTTGAGGATGGTGCACGTCTGGCGACACATGTAGCATCGCCGGGCTTTCGCCTTTTGCTCTTCACTTTTAGGTCTGCGTGCTTGTTTGGCGTATTCAATGCGGGTATTGCTGTCCATTGAGATCTGTGCTCGGATGGCCGCAACGACTTCCGTCAATGGACTCGAGAGCGTGATTTGCGATGCCGACTCATTTGCTTGAAGATAATCCAGGACTTTGAGCGCTGCCTCAAATTCTTCATTCTTGGGAATATGTGCAGTCCCATCGACCAAGGCGTCCTTATCGGTGTCACCTTCGATACGGTCTAGTTGACCAATATAAGCCTTGATTCCTTCTATGATGCTCTCGCATCGTTTAGATCGAAGTGCCTTCGGCACGTCGACGTGAGGTGTGAGATGCCAGGCAATTGCTTCAAAGAGAGAAGACTGTGCACCTGGCAGACGACAGGCGAGAGTGCTAGGGATCTTTTTTTGGCGGCATAGCTCTTGATCTTGCCTCAGACGAGCAGCGATCGCTTTTGCCTCGTTTGCGCTGGGATTGTCAACTTGATCCAAGTACTCCTTGATCCCTTCGATAATGTTTTTGCATCGGCCCACTCGAAGCTCTTTAGAAACCTCTTTTTGGGTTAAGAGATGCCATGATACTTCATTTAAGAGCTCTGGTGGTGCTTTGGATAGCTGCAGGGCAAGGCTGCTCGGTCGCTGATTATCATGACACAGTTGCTGGTCTTGTTTTAGACGAGATGCAATCTTTTCGGCGCTCCCCAAGTCCGAGGACAAGGATAAAGGATGCGGATGATATTTCATGCTCGTTTTTGTTAATCTTCTTGGATTTTAAGAGATCAATTCTTTGACATGTCTTACATGGGCTCCCCGCCCACTTTTATTTGCGGCTCTGTACTCGGTTAGCCTCTTGTTGTGCATGGAACCTTCTACCAAATTCACCCAGTCTAAGTCGAGTGAGTCAACAGTCAATCCGAGGTTCCACTCTGACTTCTACTTTCTATTAAATTAGTCTAATTCTTTTCGGTGCTTAGTGCAAGACATCATCTTATTATTGTCTTTTGTTCGGAGTCGACAGAGCGTGGAGTACTCCCTAAACACCGCCAAAATGGCCGACCCACGATTCGAGGAGATCGTTCAAAGCATGTCGCTGATGCCCACAGAAATGGCCCACGCGATTATCGATGATCTTCGAGTTCTGGATGTGCTCAAGTTGCTGGTATATGACGATCCCATGGTCACTGCTGCGATTTCTTCGCACCCAAGCTGCCAAGCCTTGTTCGGCGTGGCCCCCAACACGTTCTGCGAAAGAAAAGAACTGATCCAAAATTACTGGAACCTGGCCGGTAGGATTGGAATCAATTTCAACACATGCTGGTACAGATCAGTTATTGCGCTCAATGTCAGTTATATCAAATCGGAACCTTTCGACTCGATCACCAACGACCTTCACGCTCGCCTGTTCACGTATACCAAGAGCCAAGCCGACGTGATAGATCTGAATCGTTACGTCGTTGGCTCCAAGCGTATTTCGCACATTATATCTACTGCGTCTTTCGAGCAGCTCGAGGAATATTGTACAACCGTGCATGAGGCTAAAGTTCGCTTTTTCCAACAAGCCTCGGGCCAGCTGCGCCGGGCGTGTACTTTATTGGAAGACAACCCCGATCTCTTGAAACGCACTCTGGACCCGGAACAAGAACGACGTCCTAATATCACACACCTGACCTCCAGGATGAACCTCATTGCCGACAAAATTGCTAAGAGCGATATGCAAAAATTGGTACACACCGAGCACTACCGCTACATCTTCTACCCGTTGACTCCGTTCGACTCCGCTTTGGCAGAGTTGCTTCGCATGATGGATGATTTTGATATCACCACCGGCAGTGTCTTATTGCTCAACAAAGACGGTTCCTCGACTCATGGACATCAGCATTCCCCGGAGATCTACCGACTGGTCCGTGTCGTGATTGATGGTATGGCCCATCATCACATATTCTGGCCCAAAGATCCAGACCGGTTTGGGCAAAACCAAGTCGAGAATGAGGAAGGCGATACCTTCCGAACAGGGAATACTCCTTGGTCAGAGCAACCCGACTTGATATTGGATGAGCCGGTGGAAGGACCGTTTTTCACACCCCACAAATCCGGTACAAATGCACAGTGGGTTCGGCCCTGGGAATATGCTGGGCGTGAGCCGTTTGACACCAAAGAGGAAGAATGGGTGACGTCTTTCGTTCAGCTATATCGATACCTAGAAAAATTGGGGGACAAGCCAAACACTGTGGAATGAATACGTGTCTGCACAGGGGGATAAAATATAGAAGCGGAGAGTCTGCTATAAACATTATCAGACACAAGAAGTAGCTCATTCTGGCACGTCCCTTATCAGCCACGTTACTTCTTTTCCAATGACTAATTCCTGGAATAGTATATATCTGCCCCTCTTTCCCTCGCGTTATAAATTGCTTGGAAGTTTTTACCAAACAATGGCGCATCTAGGTGCCATGAAAGGAGATCAATCTGCAGGCCGGGGTACACACCGAGTAGGTCTCAGGTGACGAGGACGATGAAACCGCATGCGGGTGGAAGAACTCCTCAATGTGGAATCTCGTTATATTTCTCAATCAAGTTGTCTAGATAGCTAGAGCCGGACTGCGGAGCTCATAATTGTGCACAGGGCCCCTCAAATTGACAAACTTTGCTTAATGAGCAACGGGTTACATCCTTTGCGGTGACATCCGCCTACCGACACAATTCATGTGGCGGTTACCATTTTGCATCACAAGGTCTCATGAAACAAGACTTGTGCAGAAACGCCACTTTTTTCTGTATACTTCCACCAAAGAGAAAATCGACTCCTCATTTATTTAGGCATGACGGCCCGCATGGCCCGCGCTTCGGCTCATGTGCGACCCTGGTAAATTAACACTGTGAGTTTGTTTTGGACCCTAGCTACGCCTCTTCAGACACGGTGGACCCGGCCTTATTTGGATGCGGATCCCAAGTCCGGGGTAATATAAGAAGAGGATCTTACTCCGCAATACGCTACAGCATGCCTAAAAACGCCAAGTACTGCTGCAGAAAAACAAAAGTCATGAATTTGATTATCTTTCTGGCCACTTTGATCTTAACTCTGAGTACTGGAGTAACAGGCCAGACTTCTTGTGCTTCTGCTTGGTATGTTTCTATCCTAAGGTTGCTATAGTATATGGCTATGTTAAGACTGACAATTCACAGGGGCCAATGTGGTGGAACTAATTATAATGGAACAACCTGCTGTGTTAGTGGAGCGACTTGCTCCGTTTTAAATGATTATTATTACCAATGTGTCCCAAGTACTCAGGTAAGTTTCTCGAGAGATACCTCTCACTCGACTATTTCTGGTTACTCATTCTAGAAGACATCAGGATCTGGCTCTACAGCCTCTACCGCTGATGTAGGCGTGACTTCAACTTCTATGTACACGACCAGTACTTCCATTCCCACAGGAACTGCCACGCAGCCGGCATATCCATCCGCAGATGCCAGCTCTTGTGGATCTTGGACACTCGTCGACAATGTTTGTTGTCCATATTACTGCTTATCCAATAATGAATCAGAGTCCTGCGTTAGTGGCTGCACTGGTGGCTGTGGATCTCCCGACTCCTCAATGTGCAAGTCTGGTACTATGTGTAAGGGCTCATTCTAATCGTTACAACTCCCTCATTCTGACTTATCTTGGGAACAGGGGGAGAGCAACTGACCGTTGGGTCCGATGAAGATTGGCACTATAGTGTGAGTATAGCCGATTCCTGTTCAATTTTAGAGCTCATGCTAATGAGCACGCTTACAGCGCTCAACACATTTCGGACTTACCAGCGGCGGAGCTTGCGGTTTTGGACTTTACGGCCTCTGCACAAAAGGTAGTGTCACCGCAAGCTGGACTGACCCGATGCTCGGTACAACGTGTGATGCGTTCTGTACTGCATATCCGCTTCTATGTCAGGATCCATCAAACGTCACCTTAAGAGGAAACTTTGCGGCACCAAATGGCGACTACTACACCCAGGTATTCATATACCGATACTATCTCAGTACCCCTTTACATACTTCATTAATCACTAATATATGCTTAGTTTTGGCCTTCATTGATTGCAGCTTCACCAGGCGATCCAGACAACTATCTTTCGTGCGGAGAATGCTTTGAACTCATCCGCACCAAGGCCGATGGAACCGACTACGCTGTAGGGGATGATGGCTACACCGACCCAATTTACTTAGAGGTGGTGGACAGCTGTCCCTGTGATGCCAATTCTAAGTGGTGCTGTATGTGTCTCTTCATCTTTGACAAACTCCACGAAAAGAAATCTTTACTTACGGATTATTTTAGGTGGTTCTGGTGCTGACCACTGCGGCGAGATTGACTTCAAATACGGCTGCCCCATTCCTGAGGATAGTCATCACATGGACTTGTCAGACATAGCGATGGGCCGCTTACAAGGTAATGGGAGTCTTACCGATGGGGTAATCCCTATTCGCTATCGACGCGTGCCATGTCCCAAGCCCGGGAACGCATACATCTGGTTGCGGGACGGTGGTGGAGCATATTACTTTGCTTTGAGTGTGGTTAATACAAACGGCGTTGGTTCTGTCACTTCGGTCGAGGTTAAGAGCGCAGATTCAAGTTCCTGGATTGCGCTTGATCACGATCCAAACTACACAAGCAGTCGGCCACAAGAGCGATATGGAGCTTGGGTTCTACCCCAGGGTGATGGACCATTCTCGTTTCCCATTGGTATCAGAGTCACATCGCCAGATGGTCAACAGATTGTGAACGAGGAGGCTATCACATCCTTCACTGCGCCATCTGGGTCGGTCGAGGGATTTTACTATATTGACCTGGGCGTGCAATTTACTTAGTATAGGAAGGAACTGGAGGCAACGCAAGCATAGTTGACGTGTCTACTTCGCTTGGGTCCATAGTGAATCTACCGGCCATATATAATTGGCCCTTCAATCATAATTAACGAGTACTGCGCCAATGAATATCGCTCTAGGTAATTCTCGATAGGCCAAGCTCATTAAGCCTAGAGTGGAAACCACCAAATAGGTTTGCACAATTTTGGATAGACTTTGCATTTGCACATGCCACATTTTGCCGCTATTACTATTTGCCAATCCCCATTGCTTTCTAAATTGCCTAATCAACTTGAAAACATTGAGATAGATGGCCTGACTCATTTTCTTTATTCAACAAAAAGCTAGAAGAGTCTGGAATTCAGCCTAATTGTCTACCATTTCTTACTCATCGAAGTTTCCACCCACCTGAATTAGGAAATTTACTCTAAGGAAATGGCTAGGTTAGGTTACGATTTCACTGTCTTCTCCACGGCACCTTGATAGGCTATTCGGACTTGGCTTCAAAGGGGCCGCGATAGGCTATTTCCGCTTCTTTTCCTACGTCATAGTAGACCGTTGAAGTCCAGCGAATACTCGAGATTCCTATTAATTATGCGTCAACAAATTTGGCAGGGCTGGCCACATAGTCCCATGGTTCAAAAATCAAACCCAGAAATATGTATGGTGTGTTGTTTCTTAATGCCTGGTTTACAAGGAAGCCAGCCCTGCGGGAAGATTTGGTGAGGCAAACGGGCAACACATCCTTCCACCCCAACGACCCAACAAATTCGACCACCTGGTAAAAAGATCACAACGTGTCATTCACACATGAGACCGAGGAAGTAATCGATTGCATCTTATAATCATCTTATAAACATGGCTTCATATTCGGATATTCTGTGCTTAGTTGCATTTATTCTTTTCCATGCCATTCTCATCGCTCTAGATTCCTCCGGTTTGCCGATCAATCCCTCCGGAAACCACTATACTGCCGAAAAGCGAGGCCACGATGGCAGAAGCTAAGCCAGCTGGTCAGAAAGTGCATATCAGCGAAAAGCCTATCACGCTAGGTAACTGGTATCAGCATGTCAATTGGATTAATACGACCCTTATCTTGATCGTCCCCGTTCTGGGCTGCCTTGCCGCTTTCTATACTCGTCTGCAGGTCCCAACAGCCATTTGGGCAATTGTTTACTACTTCTGGACTGGCTTGGGTATTACTGCGGGCTATCATCGGCTCTGGGCACATCGATCATACGAAGCGTAAGTATATACGCATCATGTTACGCAGAATGATGGATGCTGACTCGCAACCCACTATCACAGAAGCCTGCCGTTGAAGATATTCCTTGCCTGTGTCGGTGGCGGTGCTATACAAGGCTCCATCCGCTGGTGGAGCAGTAAACATCGGGCCCACCATCGATGGACCGATACGAACAAGGACCCTTACAGCGTCCACAAGGGCGTGTGGTACTCTCATTTCATGTGGATGGTCTTGAAGCAGAACCCCAAGGATAAAGGTCGCACCGATATCTCTGACCTGAACCAAGATCCCGTGGTTGTCTGGCAACACAAACACTATGTGTTTTTCATTCTTGCTTTTGGCATGCTTTTTCCAATGACGGTCGCTGGGCTAGGCTGGGGCGACTGGAAAGGCGGCCTGGTATACGCAGGAATTTTGAGATGGTTGTTCGTCCAGCAGGCGACCTTTTGTGTCAATTCTCTTGCTCATTGGCTTGGGGAACAGGTGAGAAAATTTCCATTTCCGAATATCATGGGCCATACTAACAAGGTACAGCCTTTCGATGACAGAAACTCGCCTCGCGACCACGTAGTTACTGCTCTGGTGACGCTGGGCGAGGGTTACCACAATTTCCACCACGAAGTAAGTATCCCGGTATACCTTACTCGAATTACTTGCCTGTTCCTTTTTCTAGTGCTGACTTTCGAAGTTCCCATCAGACTATCGCAACGCCATTGAATGGTGGCAATATGACCCGACCAAGTGGTCGATCTGGGTGTGGAAGCAACTCGGCCTGGCCTCTAACCTCAAGCAATTCCGAGCCAATGAGATCGAGAAGGGCCGTGTCCAGCAACTACAGAAAAAGGTTGACCAGAAGCGAGCCAAACTCGATTGGGGAATTCCCTTGGATCAACTGCCAGTCTTTACCTGGGATGATTTTGTGCAAGATGCTCAAAGCGGGAAGGCCCTCGTTGTCATTGCTGGTGTGATTCATGACGTCACGGACTTTATCAATGAGCATCCTGGCGGCAAGATGCTCATTAGTTCTGGCATTGGGAAGGATGCGACAGCACTTTTCAACGGTGGAGTGTATAATCACTCGAACGCGGCGCATAATCTTCTTTCTACTATGCGCGTTGGAGTTATTCGTGGTGGAGGTGAGGTTGAGATCTGGCGGCAAGGACATCCGGAGAAACTTGCGCCTGTCAGACCTGCTTGAATTTGATTCACTCGCAATGAGTGCTGAAGAGGCATGGAGTTTTTGATATTGAGTTCGATATCGTTGTGCCATCTCCACTCTACATTATTATCTGTATACAAAATTGATCAACGAAATTGATATTTTCAAAGGAAAAAATTAAGAGCATAAATGACCATAAAATTAATAGTATTATGCCCATTATAAAGGACTCCTCGTTGTAATAATCCTAAATGTCTGTCTGATACTGTTGAGAATGAAGGAACACAAATCGAAGGCATTGAGTGCGGCCTTATCCATAAGGTGTCTAAGATCCACCGTGCAGAATTTTGATGGGGCAAAGTGGCAGAAGGTGGGTCCCAGAAGCGGTCAACAGTATTGGCGGATGCCCATTGGCCAAGCAAAAATAACGGACGCAAAGTGATTGGCTGGCCCGCTCCCTAAACTATGGACTCTTTCTACAGCTCCATCAAAACCTAAAGGAAAAAATTTTCATTGTAAAGAATACAAAAAGTAAAGGATTAACTCCGATAGGGGGAATCGAACCCCCGGCTGCCGTGTGAGAGACGGCGATGTTAGCCACTACACCATATCGGATCTTGATGGAAGCAGGTTTCCAAAAGGACATCATGGAGGCGCGGCAAAAGAATTGGAGGGAAGTCGCGCTTGGTCTCGAAAGTCCAATGATATTAGGTCTACATACAGTGAGCAGAGCTGATTCAAAGACTCTGACATAGGAACTAGTTCAAAAAGACCACGAGGCGCTCACTAGTGTATGAAATTCTGTCCAAATTGCAACCAAATTCTGATTTCACCTAATCTGTGTAATAAATAAATATTCCAGGTTCCACCTTGGCTGTAGAGTTAATAGCATAGTCTCCATGGCTATTCACACTCGATCGAAATGAACACGTCGAAATCGCTGCAGAACTCTAGCTATCTTTCGATTACCATGAGTTAACGCTCCAGTTTCTGCCTTTGTTAGCTCCCGGTACAATTCCTCGGACGATTGCTCAGCCCAATGGAGATCGAACCATTCAAGGATGGTTTGAACATAATTCTCATAGCAAATAAGCTGGGGGGTTCGTGTCGCGGCAAATATCAAAGGAGTCTCTCCATTTTCGTCTCGAAGGCGGGGATCTGCACCCCTCTGGAGAAGGACGTCCAGCTGGTTGGCATGGTAATCGGAGATAGAGTTCCAGATACAGGTACGCTGGTGTTCACCTCGAGTATTTATGTCCACTCCACCTCTCAACAGAGTATCAAGTAGCATTTCAGAGGGGGAGTCTGAACTGTTAAGACGGGCGGCGTGGGCTATGCACCCCGGAAGTAGATCATCGTTATCGAGCCTGAAGCCTCGATTCAAGAAGAAACTAGCAACGGGGACGTCTTCTCGTCGAATCGAGTCGCGTATCGCGCCTTGTATATCATCATGGCTAGCGGCTCCAAAATCGAATCCATTTTGCAAAAGGGTTTCGAGCATCGGGACACCTCCACGGGTAGCAGATAACAACGTGGCCCCTCCTCTGTTCCCTTCAGATGAGACTGGTAATTCAAGTGGAAAACCTCGGCGGACCAACGCTTGAGCTAGTGCCGGGCGCCCTGACTCGAGCACATGTTGGTTCAAATGCTCACCCTCGTTCCAAATGCCAGTAGGGTTGGCCCCGTGGTCCAGTAAGAGCTCGAAGCATTCGTCATTTTCTAATGCGGAAAGCAATAGTTCGTCAAACCAGCTTGTTCTCCGAAACTGCTCCACATATCTATCAAGCAATATTTTGGCGACACGAGGATGTCCATTTTTCAAGGCAAGCACCAACGGCTTTTGAAAGTTCCCGTCGATACCGTACTGGAGTAGTAGCTTGACCACCGAGTCGTGTCCTGCCTCAGCAGCCCATTCTAGTGGTCCTTGAGACCCCACATGGTGAAAGAGGACCCCATCTATCCATTCATCATCTGGATAGCAATCTTCCTGTAGTAGCTCTTGGACAAGTCCATCTTTACCAAGAGCGGCGGCAATAGTCAGGAGCGTCACCTGATTTTCGTATCTCGTCCGAAGCAAATCGAGATCCATATTATCGGCAATAAGGCGTGTCATGGCCATCTTGTTTCCTCCAATTGTGCCCATTGCCGAGTAGATAGGGAGCTCTTCACCTGGAACGGGGTTCACGTTGGTGCCGTGTGCAAGCAAAACTCGAACAACTTCGATATGACCTTGCTCGGCCGCAATCGTAAGGGGCAGCCCCTCGCCCCGCATCCGCAGGTTTGGATTTGCCCCATGTTCAAGCAAGAGCGTTACAGCTCGTGCTTGACCCGAACTAGCAGCGGAGGCTAATGCTGTATAGCCACCGTTGCTTTGTTGATTCGGGCTCAAGCCCACCTCCTCCAATAGGTATCTTATCATTTCAAGATCTCCGCTGGACGCAGCAGACAAAAGTAGTGATTTGTTTCTTGGGGAATCAAAGCTGTCCATTCCATACGCAATTAAAATCCGTGCGACTGCTATGTGACCCTTCCTCCCAGCATAGAAAAGAAGTGTATCCCAGTAGCGCCGAAGGTCGGCGCGCGGGCCAGTTCCCCCCTCATCATGAAAGGAACTGATGCCATTCTTGATGAGAAGTTCAAGTATTCGATCCTGTCCGAGCGATATTGCTTTCCGCGGTAACATCGAGGTAGTTCGCTTGTCCACGTATGCCAGGATATTGGCCTTCAGGCATTGGGCGAATGCATCTTCATTGCCCTTTTCAACAATCCACTGCAATACTGCATCGCTGCAGTTAGGAAGTGTCTGTTGGTACAAATATGTGCTAACTAGCCCATGAAGGTGACGATTAGTCACGCCAAACGCCGTCAAATCCCAGCCATATTCCAGAAGTTGGATGATTTCAAAAAGAAGTTCGTTGGGAAGATCGAGGAGTTCCATAACTGAAATTACCATGAAAGTCTCGGTGGTGCTCTAGAAGTGCAGATTCAGAAGAAAACGATTGTAAGAAGCGAGGGAGCCTTGGGTGATCTTGATCTCTCCGATCATGCAGGGGGTTGGTTAGGCCCCCACATTAATGGTCGTACTGAAATGGGTGAGCTTAGCGAGGCTTAGCACTACCCAAGATAAGACAAAATCAGGAACGAAGATAAAGGGCATTCAAGATTCTGGGATTACTCGGTGCAAGAAGAATTGGGGGGCGGTCCCTGCCGCAGCTTGGTCCCTGAGTTTAGTGAAACGAGGCGAAGCTTCGTCCCAGGCGGCGAGCCGCCCCCGTGGCGCCGAGTGGGGGCACACCCCGAACCCGCCGCCATAATGCACTACATACCCAATACCTACCCCTATACTACTATACTACTACCTGCGCTGAACGGAAATAAATTCTCATTTTAGCTTCTGTAGAAGGGTCAGATGGGTCCATTTCTCGCCCTCTTTGCTCGAAGATAGTCATATTCCAAAAAAAAATATCCAATCAACTTTATTATCATGCTCATCTTGGCCTCATGGAGGCCCAAGCCAGAGAGCCCGAGGAGGTCGCTGGACAAAATGTGTACTATAAATGCAACCATGTACCCGAACCCTAGGCCTTGAATATTGTATATGAATATATTCGCTTCAATCACAATCCATTACGGCCACACCTCCTTTCAAACATGCGTGTCTCCTGGATTAAGGCTGTATGCCTTGGGTCTATACTTGCTAGTTCTGCCTCGGCACTTTATCGACAAACCAGCGTAAGTTCACCAGCTTGCTCTCTCTTTATTTGGCCACTCCATACCGTTGGAGTATTTGACTGATCTAAACACTGCCTAGCTTGCAAACTAGGGAGCTAAATATGCTTGCTACCCGTGATATCCCACAGGACTGGGAGGGCTTTGACCAGAGCAAAGCTGGAGACAAACAAAAAGTCCAAAAAAATCACTCAAGCCTTTCGAGATATGGATAAAATGGTATCTCGTGTCCTCAAGGCCCTCACTGCCAAAGACTCGAATGATGAGTCCCAGTCCTAGGACAAAAAAACAGCCCTCATTGTCCTTGGAAACTACTTCAGTCCTGACAAAAGACTGCCGGCGGCCCTACCCAGCAGAAAATCGTTACTGATGTGCTGACGAACATAGTTGATCCCCCTAGAAAAACTCCTAGGACCGGTTCAGCTATGTTTGTAGCCATGATGATTGGAAATGGTCTCGATGAAGAGAGTTGCTCGGCGGAAAGCCGAGTAGGTACTGTTGCGGCGTACACCGTTTTGGGAGGAAACGGTGGCACATTAAATATATCTCTGCGATAATGATAGGGTCAATCCTTTCAAGTAGGCATCCTGGTCTTGCTCAATTGCCAACGGATGCGGCCCAGTGCAAGAAGGGTTTCAAAGATGGCAAGCTGTCTTATAAGGTGGTACCGCTGGCTTACATTCAGATTCATGAATTGACGTGAGTTGGAAGGAATTCTTTCTGTCTTGATCGCATCACTAACACAGTACAGTCATACTCTTGGGGTCAGTGAGATTCCATTCAAGAAAGCAAAGGTCACGGATAAGCTGAAGGCCACGGGCGATCCTGCAGATGGACCCCAGAATGTGAGGGCACTTAGAGATAAGCCAGAGCATGGAAAGTATGCCGGGACCAAGGATCTTCTGCTGGGGCCAATTGAGAATGCAGACAGTTACGCCTGGTGTGTTGTTGTAAGTGATCCTCAAGGCTCGGGTCTATTCATTTCAGTGCTAACTATCATGACTTTTGTAGGAGGCCTACTTTTCCTTGCTCTGTCACGAGAGATTTGGTGCACCAGCCTCCAACCAGATGGCTCCCGACGGTGTCTGCTCGAATGGGCCAGACAAAGTGTACACTCATGTAATAAGTCAAGCGATCATATTTTTATCAAATATAACCTTCATTTGATTGGTGATAAAACAACGTACAGCGTAAAAGGTAGAGTTTCATATGGCTTGGGTAAGGTGTTCCGGGTAGAAATTGAAGGGGGATTTTGAAGATATCCGATGTAACATATCTAAGGGTCTCGATGGAGGGCTTCACTATCTGGGTCGTTCCTGGAAAAGAAAACGGCTTGCAGTATGTTATCATTAGCATTTCCGGCATGGATTCAGACTGTGGTCGGTTCGACCTTTCTCATAATGCATTCTTTAGATGTAATGTATTTTACAATCTCGTATTGCAAGATGGCCATGATAATATTTGCTATCGATTTAAATGTTATCTACTGATTGACGGCCAGGCGCCAAGTCATGGACCTCACTGTAGATAGTTCCTCCTGTCTCACAACTTTTCTCTTCATCTTCAATATGTATTCATCCAATTGCATCAGTAATCTTGCCAAGTCATCAGGACGTACTCAAATCAGGGACGCTATGAGTCAAGAGTAGATGTATCCTACTCCTTCGGGCGCTCTGGGAGCTCCTGCTCCTTGGCAGCGCCCGGGTGGCGAGTGCCCCTATCCTTGACCTTCTTTTGCTTCTTCTGCACAACGGGAGGAGGGTAAGCCTTAAGAGTGATCTCTTGCCATTCAGCCGAGGCCTCGTAGGCTGCGTGAATAGGTGCCATGAGACGAGTGAGAGCTTCTGCCGCAGCGGGCTTGAGGGATTGAGGGGTCAACTGAATACTTGTTAGTAGATGCTTTGTTTTCACTGAATATTGAAACACTGATCACATACAATATCGTTGGCGTAATCATCCTTGAGTTGTTGAATATCGGTGTAGATCAGGGGCTCGGCATCCCGGCGTTCAACGCGGAATTCCTTGTTGCCTGTGAGAGCTGCCGCAGGAAGCAGGACGAACTCAACTAGGGCGATAATGCCGTTGTTCTCAACGATTTTAGGGGCCGCTTCGGATTTGCGGATCTTCTTGGCAACCGTCTCAGGCGGGTCAAGGAGATCAATCTTGCTATCTGTTTGGAGTTAGAAGAGTCATTTGCGAGAGATTCGAATTTTGCCTACCTTCAACACTGGAGCTCATCTTGCCTCCACTCAAGCCTGCCACCATTGGCGTGATGAGATGAGCGCGCTAGTGAGTGATTCTGATTAGAATTGTTCAAATAGCCAAGGTGGGCAGATGTAGAGTAGTCTTACCTTTCGGTAACCGAGCTTGGGCAGCCACTCGGTAGCCGCCACGAAGAGCTTCCGCTGGTCGAGACCTACTCATTGCATTAGAAATAGCGTAAATGCAGAAAGTATATACCAGAACATACCGCCCAACTCAGCATCGACCTTGAGGTACTCCTCATCGAGGACCTGCAGAATCGGGTACAGCAGACCACTCAATGGAGCATTGGTAGACTGCTTAACGATCTCAGCACCAGCCTTCCTGCAATCGTGCTCGGAAGTCAAAGCGGCCAGCCGGTAGACATCCATAACATAGTCGGCATTGCGCTGGTAGGAACTGCCGAGAACGAACTCGAGCTTCTCCGTGGACACGCCAACAGCCTCGAGAATCGCCGTGATAATCTTCTGGTAGTATTTGACACGGTTCTCGACCAATTCGAGGGGCGCTTTCATTGAATCCAGGAAAGCGTGCACGTCGGCAAGGAGGATGACCACCTCACATCCTGCGGCGAGCAGCTGGGCAATCTTGAGCGCGGCGACGAAGTATCCGGAGTGAGGCTTGCCAGTAGTAGCGGTACCTTGAAAATGAAACGAAGATCATGTTAGCCGGTTATACTAGGTCACATGTGGAGGTAGGGAGTCGTTACCCCAGTACACACGAGGGTTGCGCCCCTCCTTGAGGATACTCTCAATCAACTCAGGATTCAGAACCTCGCCGAGGTTTTCCCGGATGAGATCAAATCTTTGCTCTGGAGACAACGCCATGGTCGCACAATGATCTAGTAGATGTCGACTTCGAAGTGAGCAACAATATGAGGGGTAGAGACGCAAAAAGAAAATAGCAGAGAAAATGCCAGGCGGAATAACCCCGCAATTGAACCGGCAGAATTAAAACGGTATGAAGGGCGGTCAGGTCAGGTGAGTCACATCCACGTGATTTTGGTTGATGCAGCTACCGTCAGCCTCCAGTCAGATTCGTTGGTTTTCAACTACTGCTCCAGTGTTCTGGATTTACGGATAAATAGAAGTCCAACGGGGACTATAACTGGGTGCAAGCACTCGAAAAACTACCCACTCACCGTCAAGTTCGGCTCCAATTCTTTATCATAAACCCGATCGGACCCATATCTAGAGGAGCCGTTCCGCGTTCCGAGCTGGTAATCCGAACAACACGTTTCCCCTAACAACGTTTTTCTTCCCAATATGTCATCGCTTTTGTAACACTTGTGAGGACCACGGTCACTGGGTAAGTGATGTTGGCCAAAGACAAGAGGCATGGTTCTTTGAACGGTATAGCGAGGATTCAGCCTCAGTGGGAAGCGAGATAAGTGATCGATTTCAATCCAAACAAATCCTGGTCTCTCAAACGAAGGAATGGGAGGTCTTTAAAGTCAAATGATATATCGGCGTGGGAATCATGAGAAATTTTGAAAAGAACTTCCCCTAAGTGTGTGCCTTGTAGGTTGTGCTAAATTCCCAAATCCTCCAGAGAGCAAAGCAAGCAAGAGGAATAACGCCCTTGCATGGCGCATCATTTAAATTGATATACTTGAACTAGCAATTCAGGCTGCTCAGGGGTATACGTTTCGAGGCCTACCGCGGCTTCATACCTTGCGCCGAGCGCCTCTGCTAACGACAGTGTACCCACGAAATGCAAAATTTGCCAAACCTCTCATTACGACTTCATCATATGCTCTCTGAGCTCACAATCTGTTGAAACATGCCGAACTGCCGAGGACCGTTTTTGAGCCACCAGAAGGAATTACCCGCTTAATCTACATTGCTCAATTTTGAGTCAACTTGATTATAGCTCCGTCTTATCGTCACAATAGGATTGATCCCATCCCAACTTCGGAACTTTTCATCTGTAAGATGGATTTGTGCTTTATTTAAGGGAAGAGAATCGCTGGGTGAAACATTATCGTGACCCACGCCCGTTATATGCTCCTCGAACCAACCCCAATCTTCACGAAAAGGCCGAAGATGCGCCGCATAGGCATAGAAACCTACAGCAGGTGAAGAAGCCCTATATTTCCTGGTGTACGTAGTTCTCAAGACCTTTGAGCAACAAAATTGCGTTGATATATCGGAGCCACGATGGAGCACTCGAGGGTTTGCCCGTGTTCTCAGCCATCCGAGCCACTTATAGAGCCAATAGTTGTTGAAGGTTGCCTCACAATCGAGTGCAATTTTGGATCTTGGTGCTGTTTATAAATGTGTGAAAATGCAATATTACAATAGTTTTGCTTCCACCCATGTGAGTGCCGCGAACTATGACTTGACTGGCAATCTCTCCCGTATCCTGCAACTACATAACGCTGGATATCCGCTTCGGAATATCTTTGTAACTGCTGATCTTTCCACCATTCCATCTCTCTCTTTTCCCTTTCTTCTTACTCGATCAAAGAAGATTGTTCTTTAGTTGCATCTCAATGAAGGCCTCCCTCACCCTGTGTTTGGTGGCGTCCAGCCTGGCAGTCCACACTGCAGCGACTGAACCCAGCAGCGGGAACACAATCCTGTCTGCTTTTCTGCCTCACGATATTCCTAGTATTCCGTTGGGCTGCCTCACTCTACCACATGAACTTCCTCAGCCCAGTGGTCTATCCATCCCCAGCGATTTGCCTATCCCCATCGCACTTCCGGTGGCAACTCACTTCCCGAGTCCTAGTGGTCATCCTGAACCTACGGGATTCCATCGTCAGGCTAGAAGACAACTTTTTGGCATAACGGAGAATGATGTTACCACCAACACTGGCTGCCAACCATTGACATTTATCTTTGCTCGTGGAACTGGCGAGTTGGGTAATATGGGAACGGTCGTTGGCCCGCCTGTCGCGTCGGCGCTGTCATCATTGACCGGAGGCAAAGTGACTATCCAGGGAGTGAACTATGATGCATCAATAGTGGTATGATCCTAATCTATCTGGGTAGCTTGATCACCTGTATCGCCTTTGTTAACCTCCAATAAATTATATAGGGCGATGCTACGGCTGGTGCAGACGGTGGTCCTACAATGGCGAAGTATGTCACCCAAGCCCTTCAGCAGTGTCCAAATACCAAGGTCGTCCTGGGTGGCTACTCTGAGGGTGCAATGGTCGTGCATAATGCGGCAAACTCCCTGTCTGAGGGCCAGGTAGCTGCTGCAGTACTCTTCGGTGATCCATTCAAGATGTTTGGCGTGGGAAAGCTCTCGGCTAGCCAAGTCAAGGAGTTCTGTGCTCTTGGTGATCCGGTTTGCGAGAATGGATTCAACATTCTGGCCCATGTTTCCTATGGAACTGATGCAAACACGGCGGCGCAGTTCCTAGTCCAGGCTGCTGGGATTTCGAGCTCTTGATCGGCGTGGATTGGCCATGGATCGGAGGGAGCTGAACAGTGAAGGGGCCATTTGTTGACAGTAGATCTGTCATTTCTCTTCAAGAAGTAAAATTCTCTAAGACACCACCAATTTGAATCACGAGCAGCTTCATAGAATAATGGGATATCTTGGTTACTATAGAAAGATTGTGAGAGTTAGTTGTGGAGAACCCAGGTGCCACTAGTGAGATACAAGGCGACACTAAGCCCCGCTGAGGAACACTTCTTCGGGTTCAAGGCCTGAGCTTTTCGTCAGCCACTGGTATCGGCACACCTAATGAATTCAGGGTTCAGTTTTTTCTAAGGAACTTAGAACAAGGACAAATCATGCGAAATGAACTGTGACTTGAAAACTGAAAACGGAATACTATTGATGAAGGCAATCATGAAATAACTTTTGCTCTTTTCCTAGCATACGGGTTAATTTGAACTGCTAGCAATTTATCGGACAAATCAAAAGTTGACCTTTACGTTGTCAAGTATAGAATAATAGTCTTTGAATGAGACCCTGGGCCGAAGCGTTGACTCAAATTCTGCGGTGCTAGCGACTAGAAGATTTTGAGATTACGGCTACCATCACGGGTTATCGAAACCCCTTCCCGGGACATTGCTGAGGAATTGCGTGACTGAAAAGGAAATCTTGGCATATGGGGCGCCTGGTGGTTCCGGAGCCGACATAGTAGTCATGTCGTACCTAGTCGGGCTGGGATAATGCTGTGGAGGCCTATATCGGTTGGCTAAAGTGCAAGCTTTGGGCAAGGTCTATCTATAGTGGTGGTCATCTGAGTTGTGCCTAAAAAAAAACGATACTATAAACGCTTGATGTTTCAAGCTAGGAGCAATGAATATTTCCATTGACCTATCAAATCATTCCTATTAAGCCGCGGTTCTTCTAGAAATCCCGAGAAAAGAAAAGTCGATGACTCGTCCGTACCGACGCTAGCAAGTTAGGAGTACTAGTCACTCCGTTAAACGGTTAGACTCGCAAGCATGGGATCCATAAATATGATCAGGATACGAACAAGACCTGGCATAAGTATGGCACTAACTGTACTAACTCCGATATCGCGGGGAGAAGATGAATCACAACTGCCCGAATGGGAGTGCCAAGGCCGATGACAAACGAGGCAAACCGAATATATGGAACAAGTGGAACAAACCGAACAAACCCAAATCCACCAAAGACCCCCACCTCGCGGCAAACCTTTCCCAAAGAGGCTTGGCGCTGTCATTGGAAGGGCGTGCAGGTGCAGCATCTTCTGATCATTCGGAACCTCGACCCTTTCTCCGGCCCCTCCCTTCCAGCCATCCGCCGGCCTATCGTTCGCTCTCGGCCAATCTTCAAGAATGACGTTGTCGTTGATCGGCTATCCCGAAATTTTGATCCCATGTCGCGGACACGAGCGCCCCCTCTTCGTTGGACGGGTAAATATGCGCCTTCTTACATTTCGTTATGACCGATGGCTTATCGGACGTGGCAGGATAGCACGAGCCCTCCCAAGATGACTGACCTGCTGGCTGCGTGAACTGAATAAAAACTGATGCTCGGATCTGAGTGGTTCCAAGTGGATATCTTAGCGTGCTAATGGCACATGGCTGGTTGGTGCCGCAGCCTGGAGGTTCAAAAAATCGCATTTGCTGGCTCCACCGCGATTGATTATTCACCCAACCACCGTGGCCTCTCGCCGCTACCCCAGACCAAGGATACGCCCTCTTCGCAGACCGACTCTTCTCTTCGAAATCTACAATCTCTCCACTCCGTGGCCTGAGCCTTACTTGATTCCCATATATCTCCGAGTGGTTCATTTTTATTTTCTCTGTGCAACAACTCCTGGAATCTCACGTCTGTCCCCGTTCGTCAGGCGCGCAGTCCCAGAGATGGAGTACTTTGATTTTGAAGGCGCCTCATCGGCTCATGAATCAAACCATCCGAGCGACGAGGTCGCCTCGCTTGATCTTGAATTTGATGAGCCCGAAGAGCGGGACGCCAGATTCGACTCGTTGATTCAGGACCAGTCGTTGGACTTTCTTGACACTGCTCCCGTGCCGGAGTCGGCCGAACAGTATGTGGGCGACTTTATGGGCCCCGATCAGGACACCGGAGTCTACCCCATGTTCCGCGCCCAGGAACCCTGTGACTTCTGTCGGCGAATGGGCCTGGACTGCTTTGTTGCTAAACGTGGAGTGATGCAGAACGGTTGTACCTGCTGTATCTCTCTCTATCGTGAATGCAGTTTCACCCACGCCAAAGTCCCTGGCAAATTTCTTCAGACCTTACATCCCGTGTCAGAGAATGCCTACATCCCTACAGGTGGCTTGACGGGGAAAAGAGCACTCAAATCTGTCTCGTACGGGGCCTTTGGAGACGATACCGATGCGCGCTCTCGTAAAAACAGCGCTCGATTCTCTCGCAGGGCCGTCACCATTCTCAAGGGCTGGTTGCGCGAGCACAACGAAAATCCTTATCCCAACGAGGCTGAGAAGGATGAATTGAAGCAGAGTACGGGTCTAACTCGAACACAAATCTCCAATTGGCTTGCAAACGCTCGACGACGCGGCAAAGTTCGACCTCTTACCGGCACCGATTCGCCCGTGCCAGGAGCCGTCGACATTCCTGGACAGCAACATCCCAAAGATCCAGCTCTCATGACCCCTCTTGAACGTTGGAAGTACTCTCCTCCTGAAAACGAAGCGGCTACTATAAGTGATATTACCCGTGCTTTGGCCAATCCTCCATTCGATCCCTCGCGTCAACGCCGGACCCATCCTGGTCACGTGAGGTCCCGTCGCCCGGGGTCCAGTACCAATGAGTCAAGCCACGCAAGCTCAGAACATAAAAGATATACTGCCTCAGCCAGTAGTTTGGATACTAGTCGGTCATCCCTCTCTGACCTCTCTTTCGCTTCTGCGTTCTCCCATCGATCCTCTCTTTCCTTTGGTTCAATGGATCGTAAGGAACGTCGTCGCCGCCGCAAACCTTCTGTACCTGCCAATACTTTCAATCATCAGAAGGCCAAGGCAGTTCGTCCTTTCCAATGTACCTTCTGTACTGATTCATTCGCCGCCAAATACGACTGGCAACGCCATGAAAAATCCATGCACTTGATCTTGGACAAGTGGACATGTTCTCCTCATGGTGGTGTAACGGAGGAGAACGGTATACTTCGTTGTGTATTCTGCTCCGCAGCTAATCCAGATAGGGATCATCTTGAAACCCACAATTACATTAGCTGTCAAGAGAAGTCTCTTCAGGAAAGGACCTTTTATCGGAAGGATCACCTGAATCAACATCTGCGTCTAATGCACAATGCCAAGTTCCAACCCTGTATGGAAAAGTGGCAGAGCAGCATTACGGAAATCAAGTCCCGCTGTGGTTTCTGCGGAACTATCATGCAAACTTGGAAAGACCGCGTGGACCATCTCGCCGGTCACTTCAAGAATGGAGCCAGCATGGCGCAATGGCAAGGAGATTGGGGCTTTGAGCCACCGATCCAAGAGCGCGTTGAAAATGCCATCCCACCATATCTCATTGACTATGAGTGGAGGTCCCCTAATCCCTGGACTACCGTTCAAGCACAAGGGGATGGCGTCTCACCTCAGCTCCAATTCCCGAATGACGCCAATTGCTACATGCGCCTCTCACGTGAACTCACTTCATATATCCACAACCAAACTGCTCAAGGGATCATCCCAACAGATCAGATGCTACAGACTGAGGCGCGTCGAGTTATCTACGGCAATGACGACGACCCCTGGAACCAGACGTGTGCAGATAACCCTCTCTGGCTGACGATTCTGAAGCGGGATACCGGCCTAGAAACTCCTGCAAGCAATGACGACATCCAACTTTCCGACCTTGGGTTGCAGCCTCCTTTCGTAGGTCACGGTGGTGTGCGGGAGCCTTCCCAAGAATCCAATCTCTTAATCAGGGGAATGGGCGCTGGCGCCCTACCCAGTCCAGCCGTGTCCAGTCCCGGTCTACGAAGTCCCGCATACCCCCCAACAGGCTTCTCCTCTGCCGCGCCTAGTGGGCAGGGAAGTCTTGCAGGGAGCTACGCCGGAAGCTCAGGGATGATATCAGCTGGCGTGCCAGCATTCATCTCTGATTGGAGCAGCAGTCTACCTGGCCATGCTTCATCATCATCTGTTCATGCAGATGGAGGGCCACCTGATCCTGATCCGCTAGTGCAGATGGGCTTCGATCCGGAATTCTTGCAGCGACTCAGCGACAGCTATAGCGAGCTTACGCCACCTGATATGGAGATCGTACCTTTGAACGCACCTCTAGACTACGAAGGCAAGGGAAAGCAGCCGTGGTTGAATCCAACATCGCAGACACCGCCACTCATGGGAATTCCGGCTTCAGATCCCCTCGCAGCCCTCCATTCTAAAGAAGGCTATCCTCCTGCGTCAGATGCTGCCCAATCTGCGCTACCTGCATTCCGTGATGATTCCGGGAATTTTTGATTTTTTTTTGTGACGGATACTATATCGATGCATGCCAGCTCAAGCTGAGCTGGTAAAAGTTTAATGTTCATTGCGCGGACTAAATGGAAGACGAGTGGATTTAGTATGGGACTTTCGATTTGTCTTTTCTTTTACGAGGATACTACCCAATCAATTACTGTTTTGCATTCTAAAATTCATAATATCTCGGTTCATTATCCTCGTGGTAGACGGTCAAGTTTGAAATCGAGCTATCACCACACGCCCTGCTGGACACCCTAGATTCCTCATTGAGGCCTGGCAATGCTTTTGATTCGTCCTAGAAAGACGTGTACCTGATTCACCACCTACGCACGTGGTATCTTCCATCGTCCAGACAATGCTGAAATTCGACCGCTTTGCTGATTTTCGTATCCGGGTTTACTGGTTGGTTGGTTGACCGTTGGCTCACACCCGGTCCCTACCAATTTTTCTTTATTCCAAGACCCAGGATCATGGTTTAGATCCTTGTCTGACACGCAGGGTGCCGAGACGCACTATTCCTGAGTCAGGCGTGTCCTGTGGGTCAGACACTTTTTGATCTTAATGAATGATTCGTTCCTCGTACACCACCGCTGTTAAGCCGAGGTTCATGGGTGGAGCATCCTTAGGGCTGCGATAGATGCCCCGCAAGTCTCAGCCTCCATCGCAAACTTAGGTTCTTCACGCCGCCGGACCATACGTCGGGCTATAATCTTTCCGAGATCTAGAGGAGTTCTCTTTGGCCTTCGATGGGTGAGCGACCTTGCCAGATTGGGATTTTCGCATGTACGAGCAAGATCCCGTGCTGACGCCACGAGAGCCTAATGTTTTATGATTGGCTGCGTTCCAAAATCAAGATCCAAGATCCTAAGCTTATATTCTTGATCTATAATGGCGGTCGGATGAACTTTCCATCGCATCTGATTTTTTCTGCAGGGTTTTGCTACAAGCTATGGTCCCCGATCAACATTTGGGAACTGTTTCTTTGATCAGTAGTGACGATGGGCATCGCGAGCAAAACAGCTCTTCCATTATGACCGGTTGCTAAGGCTCGTAGGGCGCCTTTTGACAACTTTCAGCCAGAATTGATATTCTTCATTTGCGAATATCGTGTTTTTATAAAGCTCATTTTTGGATCTATGGTCCTGTATATAACCGCTATCATCCCAAGAATCAAGATGGTGCCACACTGCATTTAATATTTGACTTGATCTACTGAACAGAAGCTAAATCGTCATGGGTAGCTTGTTTCTGTTGCTCTTGTGTTTCACGGAGTGGGCTTTTGCCGCTACCGTCTATTTTACGGCCAACCTTACCTGGGCCGAACATTCTGTCGCAGGGGTTCAGCGGGAGATTATCCTTACCAATGGGCAATACCCCGGTCCTGAACTACGATTGAACCAGGGCGATGATGTCTATTTTGATGTTTATAATGGTTGTCCGTTCAACGTGACAGTGCACTTTCATGGTGAGCATGGTGGCCTTATTATGACAGATCGAATGCTAAGATATATTCTCGTAGGTATCGAACAGATCGGCACACCGTGGTCAGATGGAGTTCCTGGATTATCCCAAAGGCCAATTGAATCAAACAGCGAATTCCGTTATCACTGGAAGGCTGACCAGTACGGTGCCTACTGGTACCATGCCCACCATCGCGGCCAATTGGAAGACGGCCTGTACGGGCCGATCTATATTGCCCCCTCGAGAAGCGTGACAAAGCCATTCAGCCTGATAACGAGCAACGATACCGATCTCCAAGCCATGATCGATGCGGAAGAAAATACTTCGCCACTACTGCTCTCGGACTGGCGTATTTTGACCTCGGAGCAGATTTGGAATGCCGAGGAGGCCTCTGGGATTGACGCACTTTGTGCCAATGCTCTGCTGATCAACGGGAAGGGCTCGGTGACATGTTTTTCACAAGCTGAAATTGATAGCCTAACGACACCTGACCAGAGGGCGGCTCTGGGAAATGAAAGTCTCACTGATATAGCGTGAGTATTTTGTTTATCTTCAAAAGTCAATTCCCAGGAGAATCAAAGTAACTAACGGGTAATCACGGAACTCAGATGCTTTCCTCCGGACATCGGGCAAGGCGACTACACTCATAACCTCAGTGCTCTCTTGCCAACAATGTTTTATGGATGCACACCCTCTCAAGGCTCCCAGCAGGTCATCAACGTAGACCCAGAATGTCAATATATCAGTCTGGATCTTACCAGTGCTGCCGGCTTACTCAAACTCACATTCTCCATCGACGAACATTTCATGTGGGTATATGCTATTGATGGACGCTACATTGAGCCCGTCGAGGTAAACGCCATCACTATCGCCAATGGAAACAGATATTCCGTGCTCGTTCCAGCAGACCAGACACCGGGAGACTATACAGTTCGCATGGTCAGCGGTAGTGGCCAGCAAATTCTCAATACAACGGGCATCTTCCACTACCAAGCTCCGGATCAGCTCAATCGACCCTCCAATCCATGGATTACCCTGACCGGTGGCAATGCCACGGCAGATACCGACTTCTTCGATGATAATCAAGTCGTACCCTACCCAGCCATCGCCCCATCCACCGATGTCGCCGCCACATATATTCTGACGATTAGTCGCTTCAACGCATCGTACCGCTGGACACTGGGAAACAGCAGCTATGACCTCGAGCTCGAAGAATCCCAGCCCCTGCTTTTCAATCAAACCGCCATCCCCAGTGACCTCATAGTTCGTACCGACAATGATACATGGGTTGACCTGATCATCCAAGTTGACTCCCCAGCTCAACCCGCTCATCCAATCCACAAACATTCTAACAAGCACTTCGTCATTGGGTATGGTTTGGGAACATTCAGCTGGTCGTCGGTCGCAGAGGCGATGCAGTTTATTCCAGGTTCCTTCAATCTTGTCAACCCCCGATCAGGGACACTACTTCCACCCTGAGCTCTGGCACTGGTCCTGCATGGCTGGCCATCCGGTATCAAGTTGTCAATCCGGGTGCATTCTTGATACATTGTCATATCCAGGTTCATCAGAGTGGTGGAATGGCGCTGGCATTGTTGGATGGGGTCGATGAGTGGCCCACTGTGCCATCGAACTATCTCAATGATTCGGGGTTCTGAATTTAGCAGTAAATACATATCTGGGTTGTAACTCAGACATGAAAATGGTGATTGCGGGTGAATAGACGGGGTTGCGGGCAGTATCGGTTGAAGGATGCCATGTCTATATCGAAAGTGAGATGTTGAAATGGAATATGACTGATGTTGAAGCTACTTCAAGAGCTAGCAATACGGATTTGAAAAGCTACGCCTCCCTCCTTCACAGTCCTTATAAAGCTATCTAGCCAACAACCAGATAATGATGTCACCTGCCTGATGTAAAAATGGATGTGATCACCCCCTTTCCATATAGTATTTTAAGCACATGCGAAGTTATAAGTTTCGAGTATTCGAGTACAATACCAAGCGATGACCCTAGAAAGGGTTCCTCGCACTAAAAAAACAACTAGCAAAAAGGAAATGATCTCAGGTTATTTGTAGGAATAGCCGAACGCGGGGGTCGAACCCGCAACCTTGAGATTAAGAGTCTCACGCTCTACCGATTGAGCTAGCCCGGCAGGGCTGGTTGAAGAGGGCTGAATTATTAGCACTCTTATTCAGGCTCTTGAGCATTTCGCATCATGCATTCCGGTTGAGGCGGCGTGGGGCTGTCTTTGCATGCTTCGCGTTTAGGCAATTCGAAACTGTCCACACCCCTAATAGCCAGCCACAGAACAGAGAATACCTATGAATATATGATTAGTGTTTTCTTGATAGAGATGCAGCTGAAGCCTGTATGTTAGTTATTTTCTAGAGATATAAAATGATTCTTAATTGAAAGTTCAACTAAAGTAGAATTCTTCAAACTATATATATCCAGCAAACCGTTACCTAACCGTGCGAAATTCAATTCCATAAACGAGAGACAAGTTGGCTAAATAACTTCGACATACGCCCAAAATGATGAGAATCTGCTAAGTGAAAAAAAGTACATAAATAAATCAAACGTCAACATCGCAGCTCATGTCGTTCCAGTCGTTAAGGGTCACATTCAAAAATTCGTGTTCGTCTTCCCCAGGTCATTCGGAGATCACCTATTCCTCCGGGTCGGGTTGGAGCTCAGGTTCGACGACATGGGATTCCTCTACAGACTCGACCGGCTCAGTCTCGCCAGAGTAGAGTTCTTCACTAGCATCGACTGGCTCTGGCTGAGATTCATCATGACGTTCCTCGGTGATCTCTTTGTCGTGGATCGGTTCACCGGGGATCGGTTCCTCGAGGATCTCGTCAATGATCGCTTCATCGTGGATATCTTCATCGGGGATCGCTTCGTCGTGAGGCTCTTCGTCGGCGATCACTTCATCGTGGGCCGCTTCACCGTGAATCGCTTTATCAGGGATCGCGTCGCCGTGGATTTCTTCCCCGTGGGTCTCTTGTTTAGGGATATCTTGGCCCTGGATTTCCTCACTCTGGATTTCCTCACTATGAATATCTTCGTCGCGGGATCCTTCGTTGTGAATATCCTTTTCTTTGAAATCTTCCACCGGCGCAGCTTCAGGCGTCGGCTCGGGGATGAAGGAAATGGGTTCGACTTCAGAAGCCGTGGGGGACGGGACAGTCTCCTCAACCTGCGACTGGGCAACCACCTCAGAAACTGGCATAGAAGCCACAACGCTCGAGGTAGGAATAATGCCCTCCATCAAGATAGAGCTTGAAGAAGTCACCGACAAAGCGGGAACATCAGCACTTATGTGCACCTTCGGCGCTGCAGGCATCTCAACGAAATCTTCGCGAGCCAACGAATGCAACAAACCCTGGAGCTGATCCTTCTGCGGCTGTACCCCAATGGCGAGGAAGATGACCAAGACACCCATGAAAACCAGTGCGACATTGCGCCTGTCACCAGCTAAGACGCGAATGTAGTTGATCATCAGAGTCCGGAGGGCAATCTCATGTTGTTGATTGACTTGCGGCAAGTCTGGTCGCTTCATTTGCGGCGGAGGTTCCACAGTGTGTCCACTACTTCGGAAGGACCCAGCATCGCTGAATGTCCTGGAGTAGGTCTGGACGGACAATCGACGCTGGTCGATATCCAGCTTATCTGGATTGTGGAACACCATTGCCTGGTGAGCATGCTCCGCGGACGCAGCCGCAGCGGCATGTTCCTCTGCGAGTCGTTTCTCCAAGGCCCGCCTTATATCGGATGGCAACCAGACGCCAACCTCGACATCTACCTTCTCCATCTCTTTCCACGCTGCAGCCCACGCGCCGGCCCGCATCAGACCGTTCGCCGCGTACACCCGAATCTCCCACTTGCGGTTTGTGTCGCTATGATGCAGGACACGTCCACCGCAGTCGGGACATTCATCGCCTTGCTCACCATCCGTCTCGCTCTCCTCTCTGTCCGAAACTTCGCCCTCTGAACCAGGATCAGCCTCTTCATGACCGAGGAAATGACCCCTGTGCACGAGCGGGCGCTGTAGTTCCAGACTCTCCAGCAATCGCTCCTCCAGCATATCATATAGGTCCTCGGGGTGAGAAATCAACACTCCACGATCGCGGAGTACACCAGAACCAACCTTGTCCTGGAGTCTGCGCCATCGCTTCCAGTATTGCGGCGGCAGCACCTCTTCGACGATCTTCTGGTTCCGCGGCTCCGCCGCACCGGGCACGGGTAGAGATGGGGCGAGTAGTGTGCAATGAAGCAGCACGAGTGGGTATTCCTTCTTCACGGCCGGCTTGCTTTGAGACGTCTTGGGCGAATAGTACGGTGATCGTTTCAGCGGTGATGTCCCGGGCGATCGCATGCCCGCACGACGTCGGGGTGGTGTCAAGAATTCATCCTCATCCGCCTCATCCTCCGTATGCATCTGCATAGCCCGTACGGAGCTCGGTTTCCGGAATGCAGCTTCACGTTGACGAATCGTCCGAATCGATTGTGGCGGTCTATCGAAGCCGCCGAAACTGGCTTCTTCTTCTTCCATCGAGTATGCGGCGATTTGCTCATGTATGCCGATGGCGGACATTTGCTTCATTTGATCGAGAGGGTGTATAAGGACTGATGCCGGCACGGAAGAGAACGAAGAGCGACTCGACGCTCGGGACTTCATCTGCTCGAGCTCGTCGTCCATCTCACGGCCGAATATATCGCTTGTTGAATGTCGGGTTGAGGAGCCGGATGAACTGTATTCGTAGCTTTGGGTTGACATTTGGCCGTCGTCAATTGTCGATCCGGCGTCGCTCGGTAGGTGGGCTGCCTCGAGGGAAGTGACGAGGAGCTCCTTGCTGGGAGGGGCAAAGGGCTGGGGGCTTAGAATGTGATCGGAGGCATCGACCTCCGTATCGGGGATATTGTCATTATTCAGTCCTGCCATGGAGACCACATTGAGTAGTCAAAAAAGGCAAAAATCAATGGCAATGTGTAAATAATCGTGTGAGCTCCCCCAATTGTACGGTGTGCTGGAGTGATGCGTGTTGACAGCTTCTCACCGCCCGGTTGTGCTGGGCAACGCGGCCCGTTGGGCGGCGCTTCTCCACTTGGGCAGACCCCGAACTATACACGTGACGAGTTAATTGTCGGAGATAGATTATTACTTTGGACACCTTTCATCAGCGTAATGGTCCCCAAAGGGACCGAGTCAAGTCAGTAGAATAATCGAGGTATTTAAATGTCCATTGGCCCAAACCTCGAAAATAACCTCCGACGGCGATCTATGTGCTGCCTAGGGATATTCATTCCCATCCGCGATACACCGGTAGTACAGAAGTTTTCACAGCCCCAAAAAGATCCAAGATGGCAACGCTAAACAGACAAAAAATGCAAAAAGATTTGCCAAGAAAGAAATACATATGTACTAGAATGGAAGAAATGGCATCAAGCAAGCATCACTGAGGAGGCTGGGGCTTGGTATCATCGGGACTCATCAAGGGGAAATTTTGGGTTTCTCCAAAGAAGCTGAGAACATCTTGTGGCAGGTATTCCAGCCACGGGAGGATCTCGCCATTGGAAAAAGGAAATGACTCTTGCTGTTGCAGGGTGTTCATGTCCACATCATGACTTTCAATCATCATGCCGGGATGCATGTCACCGGGCCTAGATCCCATATGGGCAGTATGTGCATGCTGATCCGCTGCAGAGGCCATGGAGTAAGTGTACTGTGGAGTCTGGGTAGATGGAAGGTTATGGTTATAGCCCGAGTGGGCGGCTGCAGATGCCCTAGTATTTGACTCGGGGTATGGAGAGCTCATTCCCAAGAAGTAAGGAGCCTCACTGCCAATTAGGTGAGATTGGACCGGGGAGAATTTGGAACTGATCGGCGCAAAGGAAGATGCTTTGCTTTCATCTTGAGATCGGATTGGTGGGACACTCGGTGAGAAGGAAGAGCTTGAGCTTTGCGCTATACTCGTGGGAGCTGGCATAGCTGGATAGGTATGGTGGTATTGCGACGTGTGAGCAGATTTTCCGGAGATGGGGATATTCTGGGTGGAAGGCATCTGGTAAAGCAAGCTTAGGTTGGGTTGCGAGGAATTAGTGGCTCCAGTTAGGGCCCATCCAATGGCTATTTTCCGGGAAAAAACATGATTAGTGAGATGAATACCAAAAAATATAACCCGATATGCTCTTACCTTGACCAGGATCGATCTTGGGTGACGAGGCTCGATCAGGCACTGCGTCAGTCACAGGTCTTTCGGGGCCTTGAGCTGGGTCCGCAGCTTTGCCTCCAGGCCATCCAGCAGCGCCGAGTGGTTGGATAGGAGGAAATTCAGCGGTATTTTCCATATCCTCGGCCGTGTAAAGAAGCGGATCGACGATGCCTTTAGCCTTTTGATCCAGCACTGTCAAGATATACCTTGTGCCCTCCCAATACGCATCCAGTGCTTTGAGGGCTTTGTAGCAGCGTTGATAATTCTCCTTTGCAGCGGATGCGAGAAGAATGTGCTTGGCGGTGGAGTTGCGCTCAGTACCATTTGACGAGTCCATAGACGGCATCACAAACCCACTGGCTTGGCTGCTCAGCAGTGGCTGGGGTGCGGGTGAAGTAGATCTCGATGAAGGCGACGAGTAATATGCGCTCTCCATCAAGAATGCACAAGCTGCGATGTACATCGGCTGACTGGTGAATGGGTTGCCAATAAAGCTCTTTCCGTCGACCAACTCTGAGAACGAGAGGATATCGGCGATCGTTTTGGCAGAGGACATGGAAAGTTCACGACTATTTGGGTAGAGATGTTGGATTGTGCCACCAAAAGAGTTGAGGAGCGTTGGCTGGTGGAGGAGAACGATGAGAGTATGGAACCACTAGAACGAGTCAGCCGACAGATAATTAATTGATGGGAATATTTCGGATACTCACGAAATGCAGTAGGATAAAGTTGGTTCCTTCCTTGGCCTTCACATATGCCTGAAAGTTGGCGGCATTAAAGTGTAGCCGTGGTGACAATCGCTGATATATGCCTGTCAAGTCGCTCTCCATACCAGCCAGTCTCTTGAGTGTATTTGAGGTGACGTGATTGGCACCCTGAATCCCGTTGATCAAATCGGTCACCCTTCCATAAAGATGGATGATGCGAATTAAGGGTGGAAATGGAGCGGGCCATCCATTGGGCAGCTGAGATTCGGATTGAAGCGGGAAGCACAGCTCAATATCTTCGTCGCGTAGTGTCACAGGGCGGCCCGTTCCAGAGGAGATGACGCGATCAAGGAAGAAAATGCTCCAAAATGAGTCCACCCTCTCACGTTCTCGAGCACGCTCGGCACCTATTACAGGCGGGATAGTCTTCGGGCTCTGGTAGACGTCCAAATCATCGTACTGATCCTCCCGAAGTTTTCCAGCCTGTCCAGTCATAACTGCACTGGGAGTAACACCTTTCTGGCCATAATTATACTTGAGACCTTGCAATTTTTGCAGGCCAAGGTCCTGCGCCATACGTATGGATATACCGAGATACATCCAAAGACCACTATCGTGGTTAGATCCGAATTGCTCATACGCCAACAATAGACAGGCTTGAACTGCGGACAATGTCGGACACGCGAGTGCATCCACGAGGGCGTTCATCGCTCGATGGGCAAACGGCAAACCACGGTCACAGAGGTTGACATCGGCCGGGGGTTGTGAGCGATCAATCGGCGGCGCTTGAGGAGGACCGAGTAAAGGGTGAGGAGAGAATCTGGCCGCTAGAGAGCAAACCGCATCCACCAACATGGTATCGATCTTCTTCTCTTTGAGATCCTGCAAAAAGCGATCTCGTTGCAGAAATGGAAAGCTACAGCCAAGATGTGCAAAGAACAAGTCGCATAAATGAGAAACAAGATTTGAAACGGGTAAAGCGTCATCGCGGTCGTAAAATGGGATCGTGTTGGCGTCGCGATCGTCGCGGGGAACTAACAAGGCTGCTTCCAGATTGACTGGAGCATCGGATAGCTTGGGACTTCGCAAGGGAGACAGCGAATCTAGATCATGGTGTTACTAGCGATTTCTTTGAATTGACCGACAGGCAAAGCATGCATCTCGCAAAGCGACGAACCTGATGACATCGAGGGATTGCTTTTCCGTGAACCTCGGACTTGGACGACCTTGAGAAGAAATTAGAAAAGCGAAACTAGTGCAATGATGACATTTCGAATCCGAACCATTTGCTTGAAGCCCGGTACAATGGCAGTCGGCCCAAAATAGCGAAAGTATGGAACATGAGTGCGGTTGCTGGAGCTCACGGAGGTCCGGCCTGTGCGAAAGCGAACAAAGTCAATATTGCAATACACCAGGCGCAGCCGTGCAACAACTAAAAAAACTCACCGCTCTCTGGACTACCCCCCACCCCAAGTAAATCCGACTCTCTATGCGTGCGCAACGATGTTTCTCTGGAAGAAACATCCTTTTCTGATTGTTTCGGCGCTTGCGGGGATTTATCGGTCTTGACCTGGGGTACGGATGGCGGTGGGGGCTCTGGGGAATAGCTCTCCACCGCCCTGGGGACGCGCTGACTGGCTTCTTTGGAGCCAGCCAGAGGAGGGGCTTGTGAGCGGGATGCAGAGTCGGATTGGGATCGCAGGTGGGCAGTGGAATCGGTATAGCCGAGGCAGACATGCTTATAGTCGGAGCAAGTCTTACAGACTGTCGCAAAGCCGTGAGCGAAGGGGTCCACAATGGTTAAGCGCGCCTCGGTGTATCCTACCTGGTTGTTCTCCGGAACATCGAATCTTGCGCCGGCGACATGTTAAACAGCTAGAGAGAATTAAAGTGCAAATTAGCGTCGCCGCATTCACCTTGAAGTTCCTGGGCAGAATGCGCTCCCCACTTACGCAGCGTTGACCCGGCGGCGTTTAGTTTGGGGTTGGCCATCGGTAGCAACGAAGCGGATCTGTCGCGGGCCAGAAGAATTGCCGCCGGTTTTCTTCTTGGGAGAAGGGGGGCTCATTGCGAGCGAGAGATTTATCCGTGGTCGCAATTCATTGGGCACCGGGTTGTGTTGCTCCGACCGCGGAGTGGGTGAGTCGACCGACGAAGCTCCGGTAGCTTTAGTCTGAGATGTGACCGGATATCGGGCAGATGAAGCGGTAAGGGAGATCGTGGGAGAGGAGGATCGAGACTGGCAGAGAAAACTTCATGAGGCTGCGTTGTCGAGGCAGAGCGGGAGGAAGCGCTTGAATTTGATCGAGGGGAAGGGGGCCTTAGAGTCCAATAAGAAGGGATGGAAAGCTGTTGAGGATGGAAGGAAGGCAATAAGAACGGACGGAGGGGTGGTGGTGTGGACGGATGAGAGCGAGGAAGAGGGAACGAGAGCGCGATAGGCGTGGAAGGTGGTCTCTTCCGTTTTGCTCGCTTGAAGAGCCGTGGCTTCAATAAAAGAAAAGAAAAGAAAAGAATAAAAAGGACAGAGTTGAGAAAGAAGGAAGCGCTTGTGTGGTTCAAGGAGTAGTAGCTCCACGCCACCGGAGGGGGATTTACGGGGTTTATAGGACGTGGAATTTGGATCTTCGCCCTTGCCAGATCATACTATGAAAGTACGTAATTCACGATGTACACTGCTTATGTCCTCGATATCTGATACAGTCGGAGAACTCCTACAAGTACATTATTTGGTCATAACCTTTGCCTAAGGAGAATACTTTGACCGCCTCTAGACTTTCTTTTCTCGTCGGCGATCCTAGTGAATAATTATTAACCTGTTGGATAGCTCATAGTCCTGTAGACAGGGATTCCCTGGCATTTTGTACTTACTTTCCCCTCTAGCCGCCAAAAACAATTGGCCCGTTATGAAGAACGGTTTACTACTCTCGAGTTCAGTAACACCCACACAGTCCGGTACTACTCCAGTAGCCACGACTGATCCGCTGATCCCCTCCAGAGGTCAAGATCTGATGGTCATGGGATCACTGGTGGGGCGTCCACTCGGAGATCCGCTGGGACGTTCCTGGGGGCCCGGACCCGGGGTCCTCGGGGGGAGTTTCGTCGTCTTATCGGGGTTGGGGTTTTGTATAGCGGGGGCTTTGGAGTACATTGTCCATTTTGGGGTGACTGTTCCTGCAGTAGGGAGACTTGGGTGGGTGAGGTTTGGGCATTTCGCGACTGGATATCATGTACGGAGTATAGCCTTACCTAGGATATAGATCTAGATAGCGTGGTCAAAGCTACCTCCATCTCGGGAGAAGTTTCCTCTCTTCACATCATCCCCCACGTTCGGTCCCCATATACGATACAACTTGTCTTTTTGGGAATTGGTTGGGGGTGCTTGGGAGACTTCCAGACCGGCGTTGTCCCGTTCCAACTCGGAGCATCTGCGACCGCTTCTCCTCTATCCTTATCCACCCAATCCACTTCTTCCGGTTATTTTATGTACCACTCCCCGACACGAGCTTCTCATAAATACTGTCAGTTCTTGGTTCATCGTCGCGCATAAACTAAACTCTCATGGCAAAATAAGCTTATCCACTCGATCTTCGTGTTCTTCATTTTACCGGCATAATTTACCCGCCGAGCCAGCTCCCTTTCGGACGAGAGACAAACCGAGGTTGACAGTTGACCCACGGAATACGACGGCCCAAGAAATTGTATAGAAGGGTTCTAGAACGCACGTGTAGCGGGCTCGAACTATAGAAGATTCCCCAAGGCTTGTACAGTTCTGCCATTGGAATCTTGCATTGGATAGCTAACAACAGTCTGCAGCATTCTCGTACACTTGCCGATCGACCGAGCGTATGCTTACCTTAATACCACGCACGGTGCGTGTGATGATCCGCCCAGTATGCGTGGTTATCCCACCACATCCACATCCCTGATTCCTGATTAAGGCCGTGGCAGTAAGCCCCCGCTTCGATTGGTAATTGAACGCTCTGACGTAGCACTGGCTGCTTTTTAGGGTCGCGATAGCGAGAAAGTCGGTATCAATTGGTAATTAGCCCTCAATGAACTCATTTGCACCAGCTTTTCGCGCGACTCGATCAATCTCTCTCAAACTACGGTATGTCTCGCAGCTGCTTCACCGTCTCGGTGGCAAGCGCAACCTAACCAACCCCTCGTCGCGTATGCAACAGACGCCGAATATTTCTGCGGGGCATTGTCGAGCAACCGCGCTGACCTGAAAAATCGTTACTACAGTGTTGCCTCTCTAAACCGCACCTCCTTCCCACTGCATCGGCCGCTCAGCACCACCCCCACCATGTCCAAAGCTCACCCCGATTTCGAGCAGCTCCAAGCTTCCCGCCCGGACTTCCGTCACGATGCCGAGGTGATCGTTTCCAAGTCCCCAAACCCGACCTGGAAACAAGGCGATGGTGCCAACGACGGCGGAGAAAGCCTCAAAAAGGATCACGTCGAGATCGACCCCTATGCCGATGGCCGGCCCGTCGCGTCCAACTACAAGCTCCTGATCTCGGGTATGGTGCCACGACCTATCTCCCTGATCAGCACGCAATCGGCAGACGGGAAGATTACGAACCTGGCACCGTTCAGCTACTCGCAGCTCGTCAACCATGATCCGCCCTTGTTTGTCGTCGGGTTTGTGGGCTCGCTGGAGAGGGCCAAGGATACGTTGAAGAACCTGAATGATACGAAGGAGTGCGTGATCAATATCATCTCAGAGCACTTCCTCGAAGCTGCTAATTCGACTTCGATCAATGCGCCCTACGGCCACTCGGAGTGGGAGGTGTCGGGCCTCACCAAGGGCTCAACGTCCGTGGTTAAGCCTGCGCGCGTAAAGGAATCGATCCTGGCGATCGAGGGGAAGTTGGTCGAGGTTAAGGAGTTTGAGAGCCGGGCTACTCCTGGAAAGCCGAGTAGTGTGCTGGCCATTATTGAGGGTGTGCGATTTTGGGTCCGCGAGGATGCGATTGACGAGGAGCAGACTGCCATCGACCTTAAGGTCCTTAAGCCGATTAGTCGGCTGGGTGGTATCTCGTATGGCCGTACCACCGAGGTGATTGAGATCCCCCGCCCACAATTTTAGAGCTTTGTATAGATTATAGACATACACCCAGCGAATATGGGGAGAACAGGGCGAAGGAGACAGGTGTGACGAATCAAACAACCCGTTCGTGGTATCACTCAAGTCTCCATTTTAAAGCACGAATGACGGGTCTTCGCGAAGATAAATTCAAAATTATCTGCTAAATTTATAGGTATGGATGCATTTCAGAGCTTATCAATCGCATACAAGCGGACAGAGACGCCCGTTGAACTCCCATGGAACGGCATCCCATTCAACTGCTTACAACAGCCTTAAGGCAACGTCAAACTAAAGCATGACAAACTTTGAATGACAAATTTTTGGAGACGGAATCCCAGCGGAAGTGTAACCTTGACTCCAAGCGTGCCTCGTGCGGAGAGTACTTCGTACTCAGAGCGGGGTAGTTATCAGCAGGCCGCAGAAGTATAAAATGCGTGAAGCCCAGGGATCGGATATCACCGAACCAGAATTATTTCACCCCAACCAGCCTTGGATCAACGAGTGTTTAGTCAAAAGATTGCAGCCATGTCGCAGCCAGATTACGAGATTTACAAGCTTGGGGACTGGGACTTGCAGAGTGGGGAGAAGATTGTCGATGCCCATATCGCGTACAAGACCTTTGGTGATCCCAAGCTCCCAGCGATCGTTTATCCTACTTGGTTTTCGGGTGGTATGTTGCTACTAACCTCTTACTTATTGAATCTACTGGAATTCTGAAAAAAGCTAACTTACTGCGCTTCTTGTGTAGCTATCGCTGACAATATCTGGTTAATCGGAGAAGACAAGACCCTCAACCCGAAAGAATACTTCATTATCATCACCGCACTATTTGGTAATGGGCAGTCCTCGTCTCCTTCCAACCAACCCAGTCCGAAGCCCTTCCCCAAGGTTTCATTCTACGACAATGTTCGCGCTCAGCACAAGCTCGTCACCAAGCATTTCGGCATCACCCACCTGCGCGCCGTCCTAGGCTGGTCCATGGGCGCAGGCCAGACCTACCAGTGGGTGACGCAGTTCCCGGATTTCATGGATATTGCAGTGCCATTCTGCGGCTCGGCAAAGACATCCCTGCACAATAAGGTGTTTCTCGAAGGAGTCAAGACGGCCCTTCTGGCTGTGAAGAATACTCGCTCGGCTGGGTCTGGGAATGGTGCAGTAAAGGAAGACAGCGCCGAGGTTCGGATTTGGAGTGATAGAGACAGGGAAGTTGGTCTCAAGGCTATGGGGAGAGTATATGCTGGATGGTTGGTTTATTCCTTCTTTCTTGATCTGGGTTGAATCTGGTCTGATGAATTTCTCAAACAGGGGGTTCAGCCAGGCATTCTATCGTCAGAAGCTGTATGAAACAGCCCTGGGATACAAAGACCTCGAAGACTTCTTGCAGAATCATTGGGAGAAGTGGGCTTGCTCGAAGGGTAAGCGCTATCTACCTGGTATTGCAGATCACTTGAGCTGACGACAGTATTTAGATCCTGAGAACCTACTTGTGATGATGCAGACCTGGCAGAATGGAGATGTCTCCCAGCAGGAACCATACAAGGGAGATTTTGAAAAAGCGATGGCCTCGATCAAGGCGAAAACGCTAGTTCTGCCAGCCAAGACTGATCTTTACTTCCCGTAAGAAACATTTCGTTTCGTTTCAACGATAGAAACTGACATACGTTCTACAGACCCGAAGACTCGGAATACGAGGTCGCCTGTATGAAGCCTGGCGTTGGGACGCTAGGTGTTTTCCCTTCTATCTGGGGACGTGAGTACAAATTAATTAGCTAGAAACGGGAGCAAGAATATTGCTGACTGATACGCAGACTGGGCGGGAGGCCCCGGTGATAGCAAGGAGGATGTCGCATGGTTGGATAAGCAGATGGCCGATTTCTTTGCGGCTAACCCGCCGGACGGGGTTAAGGCATTGGGGGAGAAGCTTCAAGAAACGCTGTAATCGGCAGACGAAGCGCATTTCGAACGTATTATCCATTGAAGCTTGAGTATAACGGTCAGAAGTAAATGGGAGTAACGTCATAGGAAAGTATAAGTATGAGAAGAAAGAATGCATAAGTGAGAAATCAACAGAGAATATGAATATCAGGCCGATGCCCGAAGAAATGGGCATAATTATCAGCTATTATCCTTATCTAACATTCCTAGTGAACGCTCCTTTTGTGGAGAATATATTTTATAGTAAAATCAGTGTCAAGCCACTATTGAAAATGTAGCCAAATCAGATTCCAAATTCATACAGAAACAGCCTTGGCGCTATCGAGAGCCAAAAGTACGTGATCATGTGACACTGAGTAAGCCGTCCTTGGAAGCGCCGGTCGGCGATAGAACAGACCTTTGCGCGGTCACCTCACTTAACCCTCATTCTTGACCTGTCATTCATTTGGGGTCGTGTCGCTTTCCCGAGCTTTCCTTTGTTTATCTCTAATTTACCGCGCCTTCCCCTTCCTATTTCCTTCTGTTGTTGATACAGACACGCGACTGACGCCGACTCGGTACTCTCTCCGTTATCTAATCCCTATCTTCCTCATCTGAATCGCGACACACAATCCACTCCTCCACAAACCGACGTTCCCCTTCCCTTTTCCCACAATGGCGGCGACCGGAAGTCGACAGTGGGGCGTGACTCCCCCAATCTCAACTGTCCTACCGACACAGGATGAGTTGGCTGCGAATGACGATCTCATCGTGGAGCTGAAGGCGCAGAATAACTTCGAGCCACCTTCGGACTCCGAGCGGAGGTACGTTTGATGGATACCGGCTGGGAAGCAAACGGGGAACTGAGAGAACTGACGGGTCGTTTTCAGAATCCAAATGCTCCAACTACTTCAGCGGGTCGCCCTAGAATTCGTCAAGACTGTTTCTCGGAAGAAGGGACTGTCGCCTGCAGCCGTCGAAGCTTCCGGAGGCAAGATCTTTACCTTCGGAGGTTACCGACTAGGTGTCTATGGCCCTGGTAAGCACGACCTAATACCTCCGCATACATACTTCCCGACCTGATCTTAACTTCCTTCGTCCTAGGATCCGATATCGATACACTTATCGTCGGCCCGAAGCATGTATGCAGCGAGGACTTTTTCGCCGACTTCCCTCCTCTCTTACAACAGATGGCACCCGAAGGCGTGGTGGAGAAGATGACTCCAGTTCCGGATGCCTTTGTCCCAATCATCAAGATGGAGCTTGCCGGAGTCAGCATCGATTTGTTGTTTGCTCGTCTTGTGATTCCTTCAGTGCCGATGAACCTCGATCTCAAGAACAATGATTACTTGCGAGGCTTGGATGAAAAGGAGGTTCGATCGCTGAATGGAACTCGTGTTGCGGACGAAATTCTGGAGCTTGTTCCTCAGCAAAAGACCTTCCGCATTGCCTTGCGTGCAATCAAACTGTGGGCCCAGCGTGAGTCGCGACCAGTCAATTTTCCCTTGTTCCTTGATCATTGTATTTTGCTAAGCTTATTCTTTGTGTAGGTCGAGCTATCTATGCTAATATTGTCGGATTCCCTGGAGGTATCGCTTGGGCCATGCTGGTAGCAAGAGTTTGCCAACTCTACCCGGCCGCCTCGGGGTCAGTCATCGTGGGCAAGTTCTTCAGAATTATGAACAAATGGGCATGGCCTCAGCCTGTTCTTTTGAAGCAGATTGAAGAAGGCCCTCTCCAGATGAAAGTCTGGAACCCTAAGGTAAGCGTAGCTTGCAACATGCTGTGTTTGATACTTAGACTAACATTCTCTTGTTATTATAGATCTACCACGGCGATAAATTCCATCTCATGCCCATCATCACTCCTGCCTATCCTTCCATGTGTGCAACTCACAACATTTCCATGTCAACCAAGACTGTGATTCTTCGGGAACTCCAGAGAGGTGGAGATGTTGTGGACAAGATCTTCACGAAGCAACTGTCATGGAGTGATCTCTTTACCCGCCATACCTTCTTCACCCAGGACTACAAGTACTATCTCAGTATCACGGCTTCAAGCAAGACCAAGGAAGATGAAGCCGTTTGGTCCGGACTTGTAGAATCAAAACTGCGCCACCTTGTGGGCGCGCTTGACCGCAAGGCTATCATTGCAGTAGCACACCCGTTCCCGAAGGGCTTTGAAAGAATTCATATGATCACCAATGCTGAAGAGATGGAGGCGGTCAAGAACGGATCAACAAAGTATCAGGCCAAGGGGACTACGACGGAGACAACCGACGAGACGAAGGACCCGGCTCACGAAGCTGCGGCGCAAAACGGAATGGAGAACGCAACTGTTGCGCCACCAACAGAGCAGACTGAGCAACCCGAGCAGAAACTCGAGGGTGGCAGTCACACCGTCTACACCACTACCTATTACATCGGGTTGGAGTTGAAGCCGTTGGAGCCAGGTATGAGTCCAGACTTTGGTGGTCTTCACTTTGACATGTCTAACCCATATACAGGTACCTCGCGGTCTCTGGATATCTCTACGGACTCCCAAATATTCAAGTCAACGTGCACATCCTGGACAGGTTATATTCCCGAGATCCATGACCTGGCTGTCACTCACGTTCGCAAGTAAGTTTTTGAAAATTGCCGTCTCCAGTTGGATGATTTGATTTTTCACACATTCTAGCTTTGACCTGCCCGACGACGTCTTCCAACCCGGCGAAACACGGCCTTCCCGACCAAAGAAGAAGGTGATCAGAAAGACTGAATCGACCCGTCAGAAACGCAGACTTGGCGAGATGCACGTAAGTCAACATGAAGAGAACGAGATTGAACCTGACTCAGCAATGATATCGACACTCGAACTCGCCCTTCATCCTACGAACCTAGCTGCCTTCCTCGGGTATCGCCGATCGGGAATCACTAATCTTGTTCTCGTTGTAGGACTCTTCGCTGGATGCCTCCCAAGGAGCCGCTAAGCGCCAGGTCACACCGAACACCATGTCCAACACTGCAACGCCTGCTTAAGCACCGCTCTACTGTCCGCGCACAGCAAATACAACACCTCCACGCAATCCCGCCGGGGCCGGTCCCCATGAAAATGAAAGAAAAACAACAATCCAATCATCAAAGCCACCGAAGTTCATCCCACTGGAACACGAGCTGCGGGTTTATGTTCCATCCACTGTTTTGACTCTTGGGCTCTCTGTTCTACATAGACGTGCAGAACAGAAAGCCCACCAACACGGGAAATTTGTCACCACGCTCATAGAGCACAAGGTTGGTTTATTTTCCTCTATCCCTCTCATCTCCTACAGGTCTGCCGACTAGACACGTGTCTTATCTCCCCTCTCCCATCTATTCTCGGAGATGTCCGAGTGACTTATTTCCTCTTGCCCTCACACATCTGCAAGTGTCCGATTATTACTATCTTTTTTTCGCTGTCGCATCACATCCTAGGCCGAGGTAGTTCAGGCGTTTCTCGGCGCTGGGGACAGTCTTTGCGCTGTTTGCATTGTACTTATTAGTTCGGAACCTTCCAGCAGATATCTCAGCTAGGGTAGTTCAATCAAGGGGTAGGTCCGTAATATGCGGGCTAATCGTATCTGTTCCTCATTCTATTCTATGATATAAACAAAGTACAGCTATTCAAGCACTCTGCGCCTCGTGCATACTCCAACCGTCAGCTCCTACTAATCCTTGGCCATGAAGTATGGCGGTCCCATTCTGTTGTAGATCTTGAACTCTCTAGGCTTCAAGAACATAGGCTCCGTGGCAGCAAAGTATTCTTTGTAGTATTCCTTCGTTACTTGTTTCTAGCCATCAAAGTTAGCAAATAATATCACGAATCGTGCGCTCTGCCCGTAAACCAACCTCCATGAAGTCCTGAGTGCTCATCGTCCTTGTAGACTGTTAGCGTCATGGCCGCTAATATTTGTTCTTCAAAAATTGTTTGCCACTCACCAGTCCTCAACCCAACTCAAGGTCCCAGGGTCCTCTGGGGATTGATACAGTTCGAAGAAGCGACACTCGGGCTCGGCAATTACAGCGTCGTAGACTGGCTTGAGATACTCAAAGAACTTGGGCACATTGGCTGGGTCAATGTAGACTGTGACATGGAGACTGAATCCAGACTCAGATGCCATTGTGATTTGGTGTTGCGAAGAGAATAGGGTTGGAAGGTAGGTAAGCAAAGCCGGGAGGATGGATAAGCTCTAAATGATGTTGACAGGCTAGATATATACTAGCCAGGAATTAAAGACTCACGTAAGATGGCACTCGATAATATATCATTCTAACTAACTGTGTACTAGTCTCCCAGTCTAGCGCAGATAGACAACTGTTTTCGCCTGGTGTATCTGCATAGACGCGCAAGGCTGGGGCCAAGGCTGTGGGATTTCAAATCAAGGACTAGGGCCTCACCCCGCAAATGAGCTGAGTGATTAGATTGCTTGGACAGACAACGGATGATACGCCTCCTCCAATAGGGCAGCCTCTTCTCCTGTCAATTGGATTTCCAGCGACTCGAGTGACGCCTCAATTCTCTGAATACTGTTCAACCCAACGATTGGACAGCACCCTTTTTGTAACAACCAAGCCATCGCAACCGAACTCATTGCACAGCCTTTCTGGCTAGCCAATTCGTCCAACCGACTCACAATTATTTCATTCTGATCACCAACAAACCATCGTTTAGTCTTTTGATCTTGATCTCCCCGTGCTGACTTCTCCTGCCAAGGACGCGCTAATAGCCCCCTGGCCAACGGACTCCAAGGAATCAAACCAATTCCCTCTGCTTGACAGAACGGATTCATCTCCCTCTCTTCTTCACGATATAGTAGGTTGTATAGGCCTTGCATACTGACAAACGGCGTCCAGCCGTTCATCTTCGCGATATACTGCAGTCGCGCAAACTCCCAACAGTGCATACTCGATCCGCCTAAATAGCGGACTTTGCCCATTTGTACCAGATCATGCAACGCTCGCATAATCTCCTCGGGTGGAGTTTCAGTGTCTAAGCGATGCAGTTGCAAGACATCAATGTAGTCCGTATTCAGTCGCCGCAACGACCCTTCGACCGCATCGAAGATGTGCTTTCGACTCAAACCCATCTGATTAACCAGTGGCCCGTCATTAACAGCCGGATTTGGCCTTGCATCTGGATCGTCTTCAAGTACTGGGTAGTAGACTTTTGTCATGATCACCACGCGGCTGCGTGGGATGCCGTATGTTGTGAGCATTTTTCCCAGGATTCTCTCGGATTCTCCGTTGGAGTATGTGTTTGCGGTATCAAAGGTGTTGATTCCAACGTCATAGGCCTTTTTGAGTAGAGGAAGTGATTGCTCTTCGTCAAGTACCCATGGAGACCCTTCCCATTTGGGGTTGCCGTAAGTCATGCATCCGAGAATGATGCGGGAGACCTTGAGGCCGCTGTTTCCCAGGCGTTGGTAGTGCATTTTGGGTGGGATGCGGGAATGTTGAGCATCCTGGCTGGCAGGGACTGTGGAAGGGGTCGAGGTCATGTTGGATTGATTTGTTGTTGAGGAAGGAAGGGTTGTTGTCTTTAAAACAGTTGGCTTTTACTTGATCGGCCCCTCGTCGCCGAGGGACTCGGAGAACTCTCCGTCTCTGATGCGAGGACCAACTTTAGGGATATTCCTATCCAATTAGGCCCATTTCTACCCCTTGAAAGTTCCTCTACGCTAGAAGGACATAAATAAATTAGGTGCATTACAATTCAAATTTGGCGGTAAGCTAAGTGACACCATTCGACATCATTCCCGGAAAAGTAAACTCTCCAAAGTCAGCCAGTAAGAAGTCATCTCCAGGATTAACGAATGACTCTCCAGTAAAAGAAAAGGGCCCGGGTGGTGGATGCATTGAATCTTGCACATTATGCGCTGGATAGTCCATCGGGCCCACTGCAACTGCCAAGGAGGTAATTATTTCCTCGCCACTCCGTTGTAGCGAAGCTATACATTCATGCAACTTGCGAGTCAACCCTGGAGTCATGCGACAGATCGGATGCTGCTGGATACTTGGAGTCTCTTGGAATAGCCCCAAAACCTTTCCGATCAATTCAAAATCTTGACTCGGGTCAATTGAGAGCCGAGCATGGTAGTTCTTGGTGACTTCTAGCAAGAAGTAGCCTGCAAATGCAATCATGATATGAAAGTAATGAGGCATTCCAACCAAACTACGTCGAAGCTGCTCCTGGTGTAGTATCATTTCAAAGATAGCAACAGCGGCATCGTGTGCCATGTTTGCTGCAGTCAAAAAATGAGGTGGGATGTCATCGCCGTTCAACCCTTTGAAGACTTGGTGCCCAAGGTAAAGCTTCCCAAAGTGGTAATGTAATTGTAGGCCACACTTGGGGAAATCGCCGATATTTGGATCTGGCTTGAATAAAGCAAAGAATTTGGCGAACCATCGATCAAGCTGACGGGAGTAATGAGTGATTTGGTTTGATAAAGATTGTGGTAAGCGAGCTTCTTTGTCAGAGCCTAGCAAATCACGAACTTGGCTCATGATTACCAAGAGAGCAACTTGTGATATGAGTCGTATATCAGAGTCTGTTGTGTCGTCCCGAGCTAAGAATGTTTCCCAGCTCATAGCAATCTCCTTATCATTGCGCAAAAGCGGATCTCGATTGTGGAGAATGGAGAGGTGCTGGTCTGAGATGAAGATCAAATACCAGAGCCTGACACGGTCTTTCATTGCCCCGACCTCGATCGGCGTTGATACTGCTGGAGCGCCCCCGGGCAGTAACCTTGGATCCATGGGAGTGGTAAGATGGTCGAAACTGCGATGCAAGCGCATATCAGCTGCGCGGCGGATGGCATCACTGGATAGGATCCTGGACGCGTCCGAAAGCCAGAAGGAGCTGATACATAAGGCTCGGACATACTCCAGGTCATGCTTCTCAAATAGAGATCGAGAAACAAGGCGCCTGAATTCACGATTGCAGGATTCGTACAGCGATTGACCGTTTGGATCTTGTAAGGCAGCTACTGTGCACACTGCAGCGAACATTACAGGCGACGTACTTCGGAACTGCGCAAGATCTTGATAACCACAACATATCCCATATAGATAGGGATCTAGATGGGTCAGGTATCGTTCGACAAGCGCTTGTGCCACCGTTGGGGTGATAACTCCTTTATTGATGAGATCCTGAGGCACTGCATGCTGTCTTGGACGGGTTGTGCTGGGAGGGGTGTTGTCTGACGATCCAGGACTGCCGAATTTGGCGATATCTAGGAAAGTGTCGATTGGAGCTTGAACAGCAGATGGTGTGTCGGGTGGCGATATTTCACAGCCATCTAGGTCTTCCTGATCCCGCTCCAACACCTCTTGATGATCAGTATTTCCATCGCCTTGGGAGGGTTCCCCAGTAGTCAGAAGTGGCTTTGGCCTTGGTAGGCTGAGATGTTGACAGATAGAATCGAGAACTTCATGTATCCCTTGAACGTCGTTCTGGAGAAGCTCCGTGTTCCTTCGTATGTTAATAATACGCTCTCAAATTTACTATAAACTGCTTGGAAAAGAACTCACTTTACCTCCTCTACTAGGGACTGCAAACTCTTATTCAATACACAAGACAACCCGCGCCGACGACATCGCGTACAAGGTGGACCATCGGTCATATCACATTTGATCTATATAAGTGAGAAAAAATCCTATCAGAGGGGATAGAATCCCATTACACACCTTCTGTTTCCTACATGCGCCACACGCAGTAATTTTTCGGGTAATCCCCGGCAAAACATCCAACACGCTCTGGTCCTTCGAATCATCATGATCAGCTCCTCGAGAGCTCGACTCCGGCAAAGTTTCCGATGCCTCGTCGGTCCAGGTCCGCTTTCGTTTGCTCATGACTAGAATGATGAGGAAGTTGAAAACGGCCACCAGAACGAGAGCTCACCGGTGAGTACCCCGAGGGGGTTTATCTACGCGCGGGAGGGGGAAACCACACTCCAGGCCTGACGAAATGCGACTCTCCTATTTGCTGAGAGTGGTTTGCTTTGAGCATCGCAGCCACTTGCGCAGAAGAGGGATGGATCAGCCTATTCCCCGGAAGCTTCCCCACACCACCCACGAGGCCTATTGGGCCCATCTCACTATTCCCCCGCATCGGTGGAAAAGACTCCGGGGCGGAAATCTCGGTGACTCTCCGAGGTGGCTTGAAAAGTGCCCGTTAAGTTTTCAGCTAGCAGAGTATAAGGTAGAGGGATGATAGGCGACCGCGCTGGGAGATGATCTAACGAAGAGTCCAGGAAGACATTTTTAAAAGAACTACACCATGACATCAAACATTGCCGCCAAATCCAAGCCTATCCCGCCCGGAATATATTGTCCCGTTATCTCATTATACAAGCCAACCCCGCGGCAGGAAATTGATTACGATGCATCATACAAATTCTTCTCGCATTTGATTCGCAGCGGAATTGATGGGCTTGTGTTGGCCGGTACCACGGCAGAGGCTGTTCTCCTCTCTGCCGAGGAGCGAAAGGAACTTGTCACGGTCACGCGGAAAGCTGCAGTTGACTCTGGTCGCCCTCATTTCCCTGTTGTTGCGGGGATCAGTGGACAGTCAACAGTGGAGTCAATTCGACTGGCCGAGGATGCTTTGAGCGCAGGTGCAGATTTTGGACTGTTACTACCCCCGAGCTATTGGGCTAAGGCTGTTACAAAGGAAGCCATCCTCGGCTTCTATCACGATGTTGCTGATGCAACTGCTCTCCCAATCGTTATCTATAGCGTCAGTACACCTTGATTTACAAGAGAATCTAGACTAACATGACGAAGTTTCCGGCGATGTGCAACGGCATAGACCTGAACTCTGATACCCTGTCCGAACTCGCGCAACACCCAAACATCGTCGGCGTCAAGCTCACCTGTGGCAATGCAGGCAAGGTCACCAGGCTTACACAAGAATATACGCATGGTCAGTTTGGAGTTTTTGCCGGTTCTTCGGACTGGTTGCTCCCTTGTCTTGCTGGCAACGGAGGCGGATGTGTGACTGGTATTGCGAATGTCTTCCCTAAATGCGTGGCCAGACTATATGCGCTCTGGAACGAGGACAAAATAAAGGAAGCGAAAGAGCTGCAAGGACTTGTCGCCCAAGCAGAAAAGGCATGCAAAGAAGGGATCGCCCCTACGAAATATGCGACTGGCCACTTTGCTGGCCCAAGTGCTGGCGTGACTGAGCTAAAGGCTTTTTGGCCTCGGAAGCCATATCTCCCTTGTGACCCTCAGAAAGCAGTCTGGGTGGAGAATGTTATGCAGCACTTGGTCAAGCTGGAGCAGAGCCTCCCCGATGTTGTTTAAAGAAGGATGTCCAATATTATGAATAGAAAGTATGCTAAAGCTCTAGAATACGACGCGGAAATTGCCGGATTCACCCTCGCATTTAAGAAACTCTCACAATCTTAGTTTGGGATGTGTATGTATAATAATCTCACTTGCAAGTTGTAGGTAATAGTGTTGATTTGGTTTCTCAATCGACTCTGTAAAGCCTTATGTTATGATTACATTCCCAGATTCTAAAGTATATGAGTGGAAACCACTCTGCTCAATAGTAACGCGTTAAATGGTGGGGCCTTGGTCTTTTTAATGCCAAGTTCTCCGGTGTATATCAGTTGTTGAAATTCTTCGGATCCTTCTTGATAAAGTATTTTGTGTTAAATATATCGAGTAGTATATCGTATGATGTGTGAATCAAATGTTGATTTAACTTAAAAAGTCTTCTCCTAGGCGGACGTACTTGATCCGCTGCCTCCAGAAGGTAAACGCGATGTGAAGCGAACCGTCGCTCTGAATGGTGATACTGGGGTATGAAAGCTCCCGATTCAGCTTCTGTTCGCTGTTATTTGTTAAACAATACCCATCTCCTTCTTCCAAGGTCTTCCACTTCCAAGAAGATCCATCATCATCGCTCCAAGCAACACAAAGTGGTGCTCTTGGCGCACCCCAAAAAGCCTCCTTTCCATGCTTGTTCTTCTGATTGGTTCTTGTATCGCTTTCATCACTGATGTCATCGTAAAGACCATCTCGCCGACCGACAGCGTCTTTCTTCGAAGAATGGTTATAGACGAGGACGACTCTTCCGGAAGGTAGAACATCGAAGCAGATTCCTGCGTTAGGGTTTGGTAAAATTGTCGCCTTGGGCTCACTCCAGTCAAGGCCATCGGAGGATGTTGACATGTACACGTTATCGGCCCAACGACTTCGGTAGAGAGCCAGATAGGTACCATTGCTGAGCTCCCGGATATTCATGTGGACGCATCCATAGCTATTGGGTACTTCTCTCTCCGACCAAGTGCGTCCTTCATCCGTGGATATGCGAATGCACGATATGTCATCGCTTCCAAGCCATCGCTCACCTGGCTCTGCACGGCATTTGAAGATTGGTACAACCCATGTTCCGTCTTTGAGGACCTGAATGGGCTGCCTGATGAATGTACCCCGTTCTTCAAAGAGTACTGTAGGATCCGTCCAACTTTTCCCTCCGTCAATGGAAGCCACTTGCTTCACGATTGCAGAGTCTTGGTTTCCCGCATCTTGCGATGTGTATAGGAGCCGGATTTCTCCCGTAGAGGGAACTCGGAAGAAGACGGGATTTTGTTCGCTTCGAGTGTGATCATGAGTCATTTTCACCGCATCTTCCCAGTTATTTGAATGGGCTGGAAGACGAGACATGTAAATGCAAATATCGGGTCGGCCCTCAATGCTGCCTCCAAACCAAGCGCAGAGGAGATCGCCATTGGGAAGGAGAAGAAGATTTGACGCGTGGCATTGTGTCGTGAGAGCCGGAATAAATGCCTCGGCGAAGTTGTATTTCTCGCGCCCTTGGAATTGGAGGCTGGATCGAAACTCGGGGGCAACAGTGATTGTCGTGGTGGCCATGGTGACAATCAGTGAAGTAGGTAGGTGTTGAGGTAATTGAAGACTCGCAGACTTCATGACCTCATTTTAAGATTAGTTTATCTTATCAACGAGCACGTAAATTGCTAGTCAGGACTAGCATCGTCCTCAAAAAATGTCGGGTTGGTGCCCGGCATACAGCTAGTCATGGCAGACGCCGGAGAGAAACCCGACCCCAGACCAGCCCGCGTTGCCCTCCTTCTCCACCTCCCCACTTCCCCATGGGGTTTGCAGTTGAATGATCAGACATGCAGACTGTAGAATTCGACATGGGCCGTAAAGGCATGATCACTTGACAAAAGTCAGTTGTATTTCTGGCAGGATTTATATTCTGGCTGCAACCTCTTGAACTTCCAAGTGCCCTTTGAATTGGCTTACATCCCCAGTGCCCCAAGAGCCAGATATTTCTCAAGCGTGTTTGCAACTCCATTCGGAGAAGAGCTCTACAACACCATCAACATGGCTGGGGGAACGAGCATCTGGGTTAGCAGTGAGGCAAAGACAGATCCAAAGGCAATCTTCAACCTCCGCCTTCTCTACCTCTTGGTTGCCGTCTCCTGGGCCGGCTCCTTTTATGGATTTGATACAGGGAATATCGGCGGGATTCTCACTCTGCCATCTTTTCAAAATGCTTTTGGAATGAGTGGAGTAACTCAGTCTGAGTTGGATAACAGAAAGGTAGGGTGGGAGATTCCTTCCCATAACTTTGTTATTGAAAATATTGACTGAAACTATGTAGGGCACAATTGCGAGTATGCTCGCAGCAGGTGGATCTGCCGGCTCCTTGCTCGCAGCACCAACTTCTGACTACTTCGGTCGAAAATGGTCGGTATTTGCCTGGGGTCTGGTGTTCTTAGTTGGAGCACTGATGCAGATGATCGCTAACTATGAGGTCCTCCTCGCCGGGCGGTTCATCGCGGGTATGGGTGTTGGTGCATCGTCGATGCTTACCCCTCAATTCCTGGCGGAAAATTCGCCGAAGTCCGTTAGAGGATCCATGACTGCCACCTATAATCTAATGATTGTCACATCTCTTATGCTGGCATTCTGGGTGAATTATGGTGTCTCGAAGTGGTCTTTCCCTGGTGTGGAGCACGACAATTCCCAGTGGCGCTCCGCAATGGGCATTCAGTTGATTCCCGGTGCCCTCTTGTGCTTGATGATTCCATTTGTGCCAGAGACTCCACGTTGGTTGATCAACCACGGAAAATCCGAGAAAGGTCTCGAAAATATTTGCAGATTGCGGAAACTTCCTGCGGATCACATATATGTGCAAACTGAATATCGTGAGATTGAGGCACAGGTAATTCACGAGCAGGAATGCTTTGCTGGACATAGCTACTGGGTTGTCATGAAGGATATCTTCACGTCAAGAAGTAACTTCCAGCGCTTCTTCCTGTCTGTGATGCTGTTCCTGTTCCACAAGTTCACAGGAACAGACTCGCTCAATGTGAGTTTCAAATCCCAATCCGGTAATTCACCATCTGGAATTATCACTAATTCTGTATACAGTACTACGCACCAGAAATCTTTGCCTTAATTGGAGTGAAGGGCAGCTCCTCCAGCTTGCTCACTACCGGAATCTATGGCGTTGTCAAGACAGTCACCACAATTTTTTATGTGGGTTACCTGGTTGACCGAGTTGGACGTCGTATTCCACTCCTGATCGGAGCTACATTACAAGCTACTGCGATGCTTTACCTGGCGCTCTATCTTCGGTTCGCAGGAACGAATACGGAAACGGTAGGAGGTACTCCTGCGGGAGGTATTGTTGGCATCATCTGGATCTACATTTATGCTTTCGGCTGGTCATTTGGCCATTCTGTTGCATGCTACGTGGTCGCTGCAGAGATTTTCCCAACGAGAATTGTAAGTGCAAACCTCTGGAAACAAAAGATCCACGCTAACTTTGTCAGCGATCTTTCTGTATGGCGATCTGCTTTTTCATTAATTGGATTGTGGACTACGGTATTACTCGAGCAACGCCGAACATGATCACCGAGATGGGCTGGGGTGTGTTCCTACTTTATGCTATGCTGACCTACTTGGGCGTCATTTTCATATTTTTCTGTTTGCCTGAGATGAAAGGTCGGTCAATTGAGAGTATGGATAATTTGTTTGAGCGACCGCTATGGACAATGTGGCGACATGCTTATCCTACCGAGGAAGAGAAGACTCGTTCTGATGTGCGAGAGGAAATCATGGCTGGCAAACTGAATGATCAGGATGACGATGGAAAGAGAAACCGCGTGGAGCATGTTGAGTCGGTGTGATCAGATATGGCGTCTGGAAACGCTCGCTAGTGCCATTTTCAAGGTCCAATCCATAATTCTTCCGTTAATCAAACAATTGCACAAGAATATTAAGTTTTCGAGAGGAGTAACGGAGTGAGTCCGATGCATAATGAGGGGCAAAGCTATTAGGCTTCTTACGGCTTTCTCTCCGACGAAGTGCATCCAATGGAATGGATTCTTTCAATTGAGTAGCGGGGTCAATATCGGCTGAGAGCTCCGTGGTATGACTTTAAAGAACTTGCATTCTTGAATTGGGGTGTAGAGAATAACAGTTTTGAAGTACATTCATTATGGCCACGAATATTCAAACCAAGAGCTTTGTCCTAAACACCGGGGCGAAAATCCCCGCGATCGGCTTTGGAACCTGGAAGGCTGGGCCCGGAGAGGCAGCAGCAGCAGTTCAGGCTGCATTTGAAGCAGGCTATAGACACTTTGTAAGAGTGCTCCCAAGAGATTCGGCAATATTCAAGTGTACTAACCTTTCGATTCTTCATTAGGATTGCGCTCCTCTATGTAGGTCCTACCAAGAAAAAAAAGACAATAGCGATATGCTAATGAAGATCATCAGACGGAAATGAAGCAGAGATAGGCCAGATATTCAAGACAACCAATGTGCCACGCAGCGAATACTTTGTAACTACCAAGCTGTATGTGCGAATGCCCTGTTGCCCTATTCAAGGCTGACATACCTATTTCGAAAATAGCTGGTCCTCAGATCACCACCGCATTCAATCTGCGCTCCAGAAATCTCTTGACGATCTGGGCCTCGACTATGTGGATCTCTATCTTATGCACTGGCCCGTCACATTACCTACCTCAACCCCCGAAACATATGGAAAAGAGGATCGAACCGCCCACGACCCAGACTGGGACTTTACTGATACATGGCGCGAGATGGAGAAGCTGCTTGAGACAGGAAAAGTCAAGGCCATTGGGGTAGCCAACTTCTCGACCGTGAATTTGAGCAAGCTACTTGAAAGCTGCAAAATTGTTCCAACTGTGAACCAGACAGAGATTCAGCCATTGCTTCCTCAGAAGAAGCTTAATGCGCTGTGCGTACAACACGGTATTCATCAGACCGCATTTGGTCCTCTGGGTGGCAGTGGAAGTACACTTCATGAGAATAAAGCTGTCAATTCTATCGCCGAGAAGAGGGGATGCAGTTCTGGAAATGTGCTACTTAGCTGGGGCGTGAGGAAAGGTTGGAGTGTGATCCCGAAGAGCACAAACCCGGTGAGAATTGCCACCAATTTACAGAAATGCTTCGATATGGATGACGAAGAGACCGCGCAAATCGATAATTTGGCCACAACACTCGGAGGAAAGCGATTCAATCGCCCAAACTGGGGAACAACCATCTTCCATGACGACGAAGAGGCGAACGTGCAATAGTTCTTAAGCCCCGCATGACAAGTCCCGCCCACATCTGCATCTAATGAGTATTTGTTAGCACACCGAGGCTGAGTTGGGCATCATTTGCGTGAAACTTGGGTTACAGCTGAGCAAAGCTAGGAAGCAAGTTACCGTCTTTTTCGGGATATATCTTCAGAGTGGCCGATAGAATATGTTAGAGGACGAGTAGTTCATTTCGAGTATATGATAGATAAGCAGACGTTTATCCAAAGTCAACATTGATTACCTGCTGCTCAGGTAGGAAGGCCTTTAATGTAGCTCAATGAGTTGACTAGGTAGTTTTGAAAGTAGTAGAATGCATTTCACGATCATTAATCCAGATCCTACATTATTAATCAATTAGTGACCCACTTTGGAATGTTGCATAGTTAACTGTGAGCGGGTAAGTTACCAGATGCAGCTCGGCCCGCTTGGGTTGATTATAAAAGAAGCCATTCTGCGCTGACAAATTGTCAAGCAACGTTAGGTAACATTGGCTTTTCGATTCAAAGTCGCGAGGAATTTGAGTAAAATAAATACCTGGCTTTCGACTTCCATAGATCCGCACATGCGCTATCGTCACAATGTCGCACAATATCCTTATCACCGGCGCTTCCGGGTACTTGGGTGGAACCATCCTTGCCCGTTGGGCAAGGGCCAAGCTTCCTCCCTATCAAACGCTCTACGCTCTCGTTCGCACAGAAGAGCAAGGTGAAGCCGTCAAAAAATACGGCGCCAAGCCAATCTTCTTCGATGTCAAGGATGAAGCCAGCATCAGAACTGCAATCGTCGAGAACGAAATCACCGTGGTCTACTATCTCATCGATGCCATGACATCAGTATCGCAAATCCCCATGATCAAGGCGCTTGCGGAAGTGAAAGAGAAAACCGGAAAGGATGTTCACTTCTTACACACGTCTGGTGCCAAAATATTTAGCAACCATGCCGGTCTTCCGACAGATCGACCTATTCCAGACAATGACCCTAAGCTCTACGGTCTGCAGAAGAGTTCTATTGCAAAATATGCCCCAGTGCAAATGGTTAGTTCAACTACACATTTCAGCTTAGCTTTGCTGACGCAGATTAGGCTTTATCCACAAACAACAATGTGATAGACACAGCGGATGCGCATGGGGTGAAAAGTTACATCTTCGTACCATGTGTTGTGTATGGTGAAGGCGAAGGATTTGGAAACTCGATATCTATTCAAACTGTCGCCATTGTGAAAGCTGCCAAAGCTCTTGGGCGAGTTTACCGACCCGATAGCGAAGAGTTTGTACGTACCTTAAAGTATATTCTCCTTTCTATTCACGTTTACTAACTTGAGCCTAGACCTGGCCCGTCAGCCATGTAGCAGATACTGCCAACCTCTATTTAGAAATCTTGAGAGGCATCTTGAGTGGAAAGGACATTGGATACGGCAAAAATGGCTATTATTTGGGCGCGAGCGGAAATATGGCATGGAATGATATTTATCGTGCAATGGCGACGGCTCTGGCGCAGCACAAGGTGATCAAGACAGATAAGGTGGATCTGGTGGATGATGCAGCTCAAGGTGAAATGGGGAAGGCGCTTGGGTGTCCAAAGGAGATGGTACCACTCTTTCTTGGTGGGAAATGCACACTCGAAGCTCGGCATGGGCGCAAGATTGGCTGGAATCCGCAATATCCACCAGAGCATATCCTCGACGTGGCTGAAGCAGAGGTCGATTTAATCCTTAAGAATATCTAGATAGACGGTGCCAAAAACCAAGGATTTTCTTTATCATTCTATAATTTAAACACAAAATACCTGCAGTCCTTCAAGCGAGCTGTGAAATCGGAACCTTTGACCACCAGAATTCGGTTTGCTCCCTCGCCCACTCATCCTTGATAAACTTTGCAGGAGGAGCCGTGGTGCCTCCAATCAGTTCCTCATTGCCTTCGCCAAAGGTCATCACGCGAGGATCATTAGGCACGGAGGCCTCCCATCCGGGTCTTTGGGAGTAGCGACCCTTGATGGCATTCGGGTCGCCATTGGTGATAAAACTGGTAATATAGGCATGAAGAGTGCCAGATAGCTCTTTCTGCGACCCCGAAATCCCCGTAATACCCTTATTATATGACTCATAGTACATATTATCTCCATGGTTTGCGCGGTTAACCACGGTCCTGGGAAGAGCCCAGTGGTACAGGTAAACTGGCACGCCCTGAGAAGAGGCAAAATCGGCCGTCTGACGAACAGGTGCAACATATGCGTAGTGAGCATACGCTGCCTCGATCCGCTTGTATTGAGGGCCGAGACCATGGCCCTCTCGGGTTTCGATATACGGCGAAGCCGGGTCCGTACTCGGGTCCGGGTAGAGTCTATCGATTGTATCCAAGTCCGAAGACGACAATTCAGGGAGAAGATTGTTCCAGAATTTGCGGAACTGGGACGGATCGGACATCTTTTTGTTTACGTACATGCTTCCCTCGTTGGTGGTAAAACCTGTCATGATAGGCACTTTGTTCCAGAGCTCAGACTCCCAAGCATCTAAAGGCTTGCGATAAATTATATCATCGTCTATCACGGGTTGGAATGCCCACCGAAGAGAAGGGTTGTACTTGTCGAAGACCACTGTCTGAGCATTTGTCACAGTCAAGCTAGGCAGTGACCGGAGAAACGGGAATATCTCGTCCTCAGGCAGATCCGAAGGACAGCCAACTTCGCGAAGGAAATCTTGAAACTGCTGTTCGTGGATCTTCGCATTATATGGACGGACTGCGCGAGATGTTGGCGAGCCAGATTCCATGATGACGCGGTGGAAAAGAGCCGGTGCGTTCTCCTTGTAGTTCAGAAGGTGATGTCCAATCTACCATCTTCGTCAGAAATTGTTCCATACCATGTTCACTGAGGGGGATGTTAATACCGAATGCGCTCCAGCCGATAGGCCAAACAGCGTGACATTGCCAGGGTCGCCACCAAAATTGCTAATGTTTTCTTGTACCCATTCAAGCAAATGAATCTGATCGCGAAGTCCGAGGTTCAGGACGCCTTCTTTCTTCGACAAACTTGAGGGCAGGAATCCTAATGCGCCAATCCGGTAGCCAAAGCTCACACCAATGAATGGTGACTCGGACCAAGCAACCATCGAGGCCGTGTCATGCATTGTAGCCGACCCTCGATTGAATGCACCTCCATGGATATACACTGCGACTGGCAGTTTGTGTGATTCATCTGTTCCAGCCGGGCAGAAAATATTTGCAGTGAGGCAGTCTTCGCTTTGCTCGAGTTTTGGTCCACCAGCGAGCAAGGCCTTTCCTGGAGCTGCCGGGCCATATTTTGATGCATCAATGGTCTCGGTAGATGCTGGTACCTTGAATGCCGGCTTGAATCGTCTTTCTCCAATGGGTGGAAGAGCGTATGGAACACCCAAGAATGCATCGACGGTCACGGGGAACCCATCGTCGAGTTGGGTTCCAATTAGATGGCCCTGAGGAAGAGAAACGGACGGACTAGTGCTTGGCGCAGACATTTTGTTTTTGACTTCTCAGATCAACCGGATATGCTCTGGTGGCTGGGTTAAGAAGGGCGAGGAGTTATGAGGGGGAGAAGGCGTCTTTTCGGGGAATAAAAGTAGTTCCGTGCGGGGAGAAGCTGTGCGTGGTGGAGGCAGTGGAGACTCGAGACACCGGCAATCAAACACCAAGAGATAACGCTGTTTGGAAGGTAGAAAATGAAACCAACAGGAAGTGTAGTCTACTCTTATGCCTAGCGACATCATCGCACCTGGCACTCGTGAATTGGTCAATTGTAGGTTTCGGTTGCAAAGAAATATAAGGATCTTGGTAGCTCGGCTAAATCTCGGCACTTAGCCCGATGTTAATTCAGTTCACAGTGTACTTTTGAAACTACCCAGTCACCTTAAAATAGTCAAAATTGCCGGCAGTTAGCAAAGAGACCTGCCCAAGATAGATGTAAATAACGAGATTGTGAACAAACGCTTCGTCTTCATTCTTATCGTGGCACGTCCCGGCCATCTTCCGTGCCGTCTAGACAGTCGTAGATAAGGTTATCAGGAGCTTGGATTATCATAGGAGCAAATGCAAAAGCCTATCTCCTAAATCTATCGTCTTCGGACAGAATCCGTGCTAACAGGGTTCCCCGCATGGACAATCCTGGGCACGGGAGCTGATTTGGGGTATATCAATGATTGCCCATTCTTGTTGGAGATGGTCACTAAAAGACTTTCAAACATTGAGGTCCCTCCTTTCTACTAGGCCCTTTCATTTATCATATTATTATAATTTTCATCATGGAGGAAAGTAAAATCGAAAAAGGCTCTATCAGAAACCATGAAGATGAAAAAGATGTGCAAGTCGGTACCATCGCCGACCTCGACGAAGGTGGAGCCTTTCTTCATGAGCACGGCTTCACGCATGATTCTATCCAGGTGCTTCTGGACGATGAACCACGCAATAAGAAAGTGGTTCGCAAGGTAGACATTGTACTCCTCCCACTGCTTGCAGGAACCTATGTCCTGCAGTATATCGACAAGTCAGCCCTAGCTTACTCCGCCGTCTTCGACCTCTTCACGTCAACACACATGTCCAGTAACCAGTACAGTTGGCTAGCCAGTATTTTCTACCTGGCATATCTGGTCGCCGAATATCCCTGGAACATCCTCGCGCAAAAGACTAAACTGGCTAAAGTGGTGTCGGGGAACATCGTCGCTTGGGGCGCAGTTCTGATGATAACCGCTGCCTGCTCTTCATTCACTGGCATGGCCATTTGCCGTTTCCTTCTGGGTATCTTCGAAGCACCTATCACCCCATGCTTCATGATGATAGTTGGAATGTGGTACACCCGCGACCAACAGCCGTTCCGTGCTGGCATCTTCTACAGCTGCAATGGGCTCGGTGCGATCATTGGCGGTATTCTGACATTTGGAATTGGCCAAATCCACACCATTGCCGTCTGGAGAGCCATTTACCTTATTCTGGGAGGTGTCACGGTGGCCTGGGGAATTGTCATGTTCCTCTTCCTCCCGGACGATATCATCTCTGCAAAGCGTTTCAGCTTAGAAGACAAGGCTCTCTTGATCGGCCGCAGTCGCCTCGGACGAACTGGTGTCATGAACCACCAAATCAAATGGTATCAGATTCGCGAGGCCCTGATTGACCCTCAAGTCTGGATCCTGTTCTTTTTCACTCTGTGCAATGAGGTCATCAATGGTGGAATTGCCAGTTTTGGCAAGCTCATTATCAAAGGCTTGACTGATGATCCTCTCAAGACTTGTGCATTGGGGATACCATTGGGCGCATTCCAAGTCTTTTACATTCTGAGTGGAACTTTCCTCGCCTCGCGATTCCGTAATTATCGCACTATCGTTATGCCATTGTACCTGATTCCCACGATCGTCGGCACCTGCTTGATGTGGAAACTATCCCACAAAACCAACAAAGTAGGCGTACTTTTCGGGTATTATATCGTCGGTGCATATGTCTGTTCTTTGGTGCTGTCGCTACAGATGCCGGCAACGAATCTGGGAGGCTATACCAAGCGATCCACCGGTGTTGCTCTGGTGTTTTTGGCATATTGTGTTGGGAATATCATCGGCCCCCATGCATTTTTGGCCAAGGAGGCCCCTTTGTATCAGACGGGCTGCAAGGTCATTCTTGCATGTGCGTCTGCTCAAATAGTTCTGGCTATTGGTCTGCGACTGCTGTTGATCCGTCGAAACAAGACGAGAGATGCGCAGGCTGCTGCGGATCATGCTGGGGCTGGACCCCAATCGGAGTACGACGAGCTTGCTGATCTGACTGACTTTGAGGTGAGAAGTGTTCGACTCTGAGGCCTCCTTTGGAACATGCTAACGTCTCGATAGAATTCGAGATTTCGATACGTGCTGTGATGCTCCGTAACCTTGGACAAATGAAACAGCGCGAGTCTTGATCTTTGTCTTTCTGCTTTTCTGTACTTCGCCTGTCAGTCTAAACGCCTGTGCCATATAGCGGCATCTAGAGAAACTTCTCCTAACAAAGGTACCTACTATAATCTTCAAGCCAGATCTTTGGCCTGTAAAATGTCTCTAAGGTAGGATCATGAACGTCAATTGAGACAAAGGAAACCGAGCATGTTTTTGAAGGAAAACTGAGACAAAGTATTGTACATCGTATCGGGGGGATGGACAAGGGGGAAACGTGAAAAAAAATCTAAGGTAGTCTCTATCATCCTCCTCATTCTACAGGACTCGAAATAATTTATTTGCCAATCTCGACACCGCCAGTGGCACCAAGGACACGCTTGATGTCACCGTAGATGGCGAACTGACCAGCAGTGAGGGAGCCGACCATGAAGAGACGGGCACCGATACCGGAGTAAGAGCCACGGAGACCGAGCTCCTTTCCGATCTTGATGAGACGGGAGATAGTGCCCTCACCGGGAGCACCGGGGGTCTTGTTGATCTTGGAGAGCATGGTGTCGGCGGGCTGGGAGACGATGGCGGCGGCGAGACCGGCAACGAGACCGGAGCCCAAGTTGATACCGGTCTTGGCACCGTCGGAGAGGTTGTTCTTGTCAACGGAAGCGTAGATGGCCTCGGAGACCTTCTCGAAGACGACGAACTTGGCCATGGTGTAGGGGACCCTATTAAGAGATGATACGTTAGACCAGGATCGCGTGCGAGATGCCGGATATGTCGGCATTGGATGCGCCCAATTGAGAGCGAAAAGGGCAACTTACTGCTTGAACAGGATGGGGCCGAATCCAGAGTAGAAACCGGCGACACCCTCCTCCTTCAGGATACGGCTGAAACCGCCGAAGAGACCGTTGGCGAAGGAAGGCTGGGAGACGAGACGGATACGGGTGGCCTCGAGAGGGCAGAGGGCAATATCGGCCATGAACTCAGCGCAGGCGGAGGAGGCGAGGTAGACAGCGGTACGGTTGTTGGTAGCAGTCTCGAGGCCGAGCTGGTTGATGGCCTGCTGCTTGAAGAACTCGTAACCACCGAACTTGAAGGCACCCTGGAGGAAGTAACCAGCGGCGGTAGGGCCGAGACCAGTGAGGAGAGCGCCAGCACCCTCGTTCTGGATGACCTGACGGAAGCCACCGATCATACCACGGTTGTAGGTGGCAGGGTCGAGCTGGATACGGGTCTTGACGCTGTATAGAAGATGCGCACAACGGTTAGAGGGAATTCTTTGTATCCGTTCATATCAATGGTCGCAGACTTCCAACTTACACATCAAGAGGAGTGACAGCGCCGTGGGTGACACTGCAGCACACGGCACCAGCGAAGGCGAAGCGGCTGTACAGGGCGAGGCCCGACTTGGGGGTTTCCTGGGGGGTAGTGACGGCAGCCATTGTGTGTTTATCACCCGAGAAGAGGGAAGAGGATGGGGGAAAGAGAGGAGATTGGAATTGAAGCTTGAGAGAGAGAGTGAGAAAGGAGGAAAGGATTTGAAAGGGATGGGTCCCAATTCCGAAAACTTTTCGCGGGCCAATGACGGGCCTTTGCGGGTCCCCGTCGGCAACACACGGGGACTTGCCACCTTCTTGCGCTACTCCTCCGGTCATCCCCCGGTCAACCGAACAGTTTCTTGGACTTTTGATGGCTCGAGGGTCTTAGTATGAAGTCTTTTGCATAAATTATTCCCGCGTACTATTGCCAGGCACGAGCTCATGCGGCGTGTTATGATTCGACCATACTATTTTCTATAGGTAATGTATACCAGAACAAAATGTGATAGCCTCTAACAGACTTCCTTTATCCTAGAGATAGGATAGGTATCCAGTCAAAGGACTCTTTTTTTTAGGGTCTTCAATTTGCTATCAAATTTTCCAATATCAAATGAAGTTAAAAGCCCATTTGCTACGTCACCAAGTGGACACCTGGCGGCAACGAACGGGGCAACAAGGTGGCCGCCTTGTTTTTTCGGCCACCACGCCAAGACCGGCCTGAATGGCCTGGCCTTCCGTTCTCCTGCATTGACCTTACAGTACTGCTGCTGCTATTATTATTTCCACAAATCACCGTCTATAAGCATTTCCGGCCAGCTTGTTCCTATCGCAGTCTATGATTGGTCAATGGCCAGCTTCGGATCTCGGAACCCACTTACAGCAGAGATGTACAATGAGTACGAACCTACCAGTTGGAACCCAAGGCCGAAGCAATCTAGTTTAGGCCCCCAATGGTCAAATTTGTATGAACCATGAACCTATTCCGAGCGACAGTGTCTCGAACCTTGACACCCGTTCCATTCTTGGCCAGGGTTGTAGAACTTCAATCCATTCCACGGTAGTGTAGTACCAGATCTTCTTGGATAAATCCCCCACGGTCGTGAATATATATCCACCGCTATCTGCTTCAACGAGGGAGCCGCACCTATGAATTTCGAGCCCCCAAAAAGCAAAGACGATGGTGCAACACGTAAGCTGCCAATAGAGAGCCAATGAACTGGATAGTGTATATCGACTCATCGAGGTCCGCATATCTATTTAAATAGAATCACACAACAGTGGGGAAACCGTGTCACTATCGTCAGTTCCGTTCAGTCCTACTTTAAACTTGTGGCGTTCCAGGTCGATATATCGGCCGCGACCGAACATTGTGAATATCCCTTTCGCCCTTCACCTTCGCCTATCTTCTAAAACGCTAGGGTTGGATTGTGCTGATCCGATTTAATTCTCACCAAAGCTCGTGTTCCTTTACCTCATGTTGTCCGAGTTGAGCTGCTGTTTGAAAATGCGACACGAGACAAAGAAGTGGAGAGAGATCGAAGGTGGTAGTTGCCTCTTTCCGAAGCATCCAGAGACATGGCATGGAAATTAACCAATCCCGAGTCAGAAACAGACGATCCAGAAAAGTCCCTGGGATGGGATACTCCGCAGAACACCTTGATGATGCAGGGCTTTGAATGGCACGTGCCAGCTGACCAGAAGCATTGGCACCGTCTTAGAATGGCTCTACCGAGTCTTCGGGATGCCGGGGTGGACAATATTTGGATTCCCCCGGGTTGCAAGGGAATGGACCCGAACGGTACAGGGTATGATGTTTATGACTTATACGATCTCGGGGAATTCGATCAGAAGGGTTCCATATCAACTCGATGGGGACCGAAGGAGGAACTACAGGCTCTAATATCAGCGGCGAGTGATATTGGTATAGGAATCTATTGGGACACTGTCTTGAACCACAAAGCTGGTGCAGATTTTGCAGAGAAGTTCTCAGCTGTGAAGGTGAACCCTGAAGGTATTAAATTTACTCTGATTATTTGAGAGAGTTTGAAAAGAGCTTACATTGAACTAGATCGAAATGTCATTGTATCAAAGCCCGAGAAGATTTCTGGTTGGGTAGGATTCGACTTCCCCGGCCGTAAAGGAAAATACAGTACGATGAAGTACCACCATCAACACTTCAATGGCGTGGATTGGGATGAATCAAGAAAGCAACATGCAATATACAAAATTGCCAACTCACGCAAATACTGGGCACAAGATGTCAGTGATGAGCATGGCAACTACGACTTTTTGATGTTCGCCAACCTCGACCACACAAACCCGGAAGTACGAGCTGATATCTTCAAATGGGCGGAATGGATTGGAACCGAGTTACCAATTAGTGGAATGCGGATTGACGCGGCTAAACATTACTCGGCTGCATTTCAAAAGGAATTGGTTGATCATCTCCGGAACACAGTCGGCGCTGATTATTTTCTAGTGGGCGAATATTGGAGAGGAGATGTGAGACATTTGCTTAACTACCTCAAAGTGATGGAGTACGGGGTTTCTCTGTTCGACGTACCACTCCTCGGCCGGTTTGCAGTAACCTCGCAGACTGAACGAAGTGACCTTCGCAAGATATTTCGGGGCACGTTGGTGGAACAGAGCCCAGCGCATGCAGTAGTAAGACTCTCTCATCGATTGATGCTGCAGGAAGATGCTAAACTTTGGTACTTCCACTAGACATTTGTGGGAAATCATGACACTGTAAGCTGTTGGAATTCTATAACACATTGAGTCATGCTTACACTCAAAAGCAACCTGGCCAGTCACTCGAGGCAAGTCTCAGAGATATACTCGTATTTATGTCCACATGGTGCTAATGAGACAACATAGACAATAATAACCCCATTCTTCAAGCCGATTGCCTATGCATTGATACTTCTCCGTGGCCAAGGGCAGCCATGCATTTTTTATGGCGACCTTTACGGAATCAGAGGTGGCGTCGGTTATCTCTCTTTGCCATCCTGCAAGGGAAAGGTCCCTATATTGATGCGTGCCCGTAAGCTATACGCCTACGGAGATCAACGAGACTATTTTGATAAGAAAAATTGCATTGGTAAGCATCCATCGTCTGACTTAGACTGGCCTATTAAATCAATGCAGGTTTTGTGCGCTACGGAAATAATTATTTCCCAGATGGTCTTGCATGTGTTATTAGCAACATGGGAGCCACATATAAGCGCATGTACGTGGGGATTAGCCACTCAGGAGAGGAATGGACTGATATACTCGAGTGGTGCATCGGGACTGTGTTTATTGACACTCGTGGATATGGGGTCTTCCCGGTATCTGCAAAAAGTGTTAGCGTGTGGGTCAATAACAAGGCTAATGGAAGGAGGAAGCTTTCCCAGCTGTTGTGAGTAGGGCTCATTCTCTGCATCCAGGCTCTTGTCGAAACAAGTGGACTGACAAATTTATTACCATAGTAATACTAATATCTATGGCCCGTGAGAGAGTTCAATAAAATCTTTGAATGTCTGAAGGTACTACCTTGAAATCAAGCCTTCGTTTGAGGTTTGACGATTTTCGGGCATCCTTGTTTATTCAAACTTATGTAGAGGGGTTCTATTCACTGGATTTGACGCCCTTCTGGTCTTGCCCATTTGATTCTAGTCTCGAAAAGGTGTCTTTTTATGACTATTAAATCATAACTAAGCACGCTAACCCAAGCCGGAAGCTCCGCGTCAATGACTGTGAATTCAATTACATGAACTATACGGAGATGGTTTGACTGACCCTTGAAAGGATGGTAAACCAAAACTCAATTCCGAGAAAGTTATTAATAAGTTTCTGACAGATGAGCTGGCTTTTCGTAATCTCGCATATCTTGTCACTTATTTTGTTTATCACCAATTTTAACCAAACAGCTGTAACTCTGTGGATGGAGCTTCTGATCTTGTTAAGAACAACTGACGTGGAACTCCGAAGTAGATGGCAATGATCCGGTGGTTGCTTGACAAGATTCCTATAACCATGCTTCTACAGATTATCTAGGACAGCATCTTCCTGCTAGTTATACTTCTCCGCGTGCCGTCGGCAGCCGCCGGTCACATGAGCGGGGAGTGGATCCCGCCACCAACGTCCGAAGATAGTAGAAACTCCACTCTTGTCAAGGAGTTACGATATCTCCATTTGGGGTTTCTCATAATCCACCCCAACTGATTCGTGCCCGCATCCTGTATCAAGCTCCACCTGGATGTTGTGGGCCGGCATGCCAGTATCGCCAGCGAGTCGCAGGCTCTTGATTTGATGCACGGGAATGGCAGCGTCTCTCTAGCCCACCCCAGGTACAAGACTTGCGCCCCACAGTTTATCAAAAGGGTCTGGCTAACACTCAAGCTAGTGGTCTATAAAACCAGCCCGCATCACACAAACTGGTTGCGTTGCACATCTCTCGACACCACACTGAGTGTCCTCAGTTGGCTGTTTTCTTTCACTTCACACTCGACGAGGCTACAAATAAAATTCCTTGGAATACCGCAAGAAATGACGACAAAGATCGATAAGATGGGCGGGACTCATCCCGAAGATGAGGGCCAGGACCCTACAGTGGTTGCCTCAAGCTCTGTTGTTGATGGCTCCGATGATATGTTATGTCTTGGTCGCGTCGACCAAGCTCTGGCTACGAAAATGCATCTTGTCAATGATGTAAGTTTTGTGAAGACAAACGTACGCTGTCCAATCCATGTTGACGACGCAGGCAATCGACGAAATCGGGTTTACCCCATATCATACGAAGCTATTTTTCCTGAACGGATTCGGGTGCGTTAACTTGAAATTGATCAAATGAATAGCCACACAGTGTCTAACATATGATGATCAGCTACGGAGTGGATTCACTATTACTTTTCCTCATGAGTATATCCGCCGACCAGGTGGTGGCTCAGTACCCTCCGAAATTTACAAGGGGTGCCCAACTGGGTTTCTATCTTGCATTGCTGGTGGGTGCATTATTCTGGGGTAGCACAGCCGACATTATAGGCCGGAAATGGGCCTTCAACTTTTCTCTGTTCACTAGTGCCATCTTTGCCATCACTGCTGGGGCCGCGCCAAATTACTCGGCCTGGGCTACGTTAGTCGCAATTTCAGCTTTCGGCTCTGGAGGAAACTTGGTGCTGGACACCACCGTCTTCTTGGAATATCTGCCCTCAAACAAGCAATGGCTCCTGACACTTCTAGCCGGTTGGTGGGGAGTTGGGCAGACCGTGGCTGGGTTGGTTGCCTGGCCGTTCATGTGTGAGCATTTACTATCCGCTTCTTGCTCATTTGTCTGTATGCTCACTTTCAAACAGCAAACTATAGCTGCCCCACGGATGGCTCTGTCCCGTGCACCAACGCTAACAACATGGGATGGAGATACCTATTCTACACCTGCGGAGCTCTGGTATTCGTCCTGAGTATTGCTCGAGTACTTGTCATCCGATTCCACGAGACCCCCAAGTTCCTTCTCTGCCAAGGCATGGATGAAGAGGTTATTCAAACGCTCCAGAATCTGGCTCGGAAGCATAATCGACCTTGCAATCTCACCTTGGAGCAACTCCAGGCCTGCGGCCAAATCCATAGTGCCCATGCCGAAAATAAGGCCTCCCTGTCTGAGTTGGTTGTTCACGTGAGGGGACTGTTCTCGACCCGAATTATGACCCTTTCGACGTCGCTGGTGTGGTTTTCATGGGCACTAATTGGGCTAGGTTATGCTTTGTATTACGTTTATCTTCCTGAGTACCTGGCTTCTCGAAACGCCTCGGCAGGTGAGACGTCCCCGTATCTCACCTGGCGGAACTATGCAATCACCAATCTCTGCGCCATCCCGGGCCCTATAATTGCAGCATTTATGTCCGAGCTTCCCATACTTGGAAGAAGAGGAACGATGGCCATTGGCGCATTCATCACAAGTGAGTAGATCTCGTTTTGCCAGCCCGCAACCTCAGCTTATCAATCACCAGTGGCCTTCTTCTTCGGCTATACTGCTGTCCGCACAAGTGCGCAAAACCTGGGATTTGCCTGTGCGATATCGATTACAATCAACATGTACTACGCCACGCTTTACGCTTACACCGTGGAGATCCTCCCGTCCGCGCATCGAGGCACTGGCAATGGCATTGCGGTTGCACTTAATCGACTGATGGGTATGGTATCGGCATTGATTGGTGCTTTTACGTCTACAGCCAGCTCAATCCCAATTTACATTTGTGCTGCTCTTTTGGGGATGGCTGGTGCTCTCGCTGTGTTATTCCCGCTCGAGTCTCGCGGGAGACACAGTATTTGAGGACATCGGAAGGCGCCTGGATGGAGCTTGTCGCTAGACGGTCAAGCATGTTTTGTCAAATGGAGAACAAGGAGCAAGGAATGGACCAGTAAGAATTTACTCGCAACCCGGGTTAGAGTCCCTCACATCAACATTAGCATCCTTTCCTGCCTATCTATTACACTAGGTAGATTCTATCCGCAATCTTTATCTCAATATAGCAATAAACGATATTTCCCCACCAGCTTTCAAACTGGGTCGGGTCATTCGTCGTTACAAATTTCCAATCTCCCAAACCCCCAAGTAAGGACGGTCCTGGTCTTGAAACTGATAAAAAGGATCACGGGTGATGTCCATGAATGAAGCATCATTCTGGAGCCCCGGTACCGACCACCCCATAGGGTCTCGTGGCAATGGACCCTGGACAGCGCCATTACTCATTGAAAGTGAGCTGCTTTCTCTCCACATTTCTGAACCGTCAGAAGACCGCCGATCTTGTACGGTACTCGAATATGGTGGCAAGGCTTGCCCACCATCAGAGGTATCCACCGTTCTCGTAGAGTGATGGAATATCTCCGTTTCAACCGTTACCTTCTCGGCATTTTTCTCTCCCTGTGTTGCAAAAAATGAGGGTTCGAAGAGACCTCGCCCAGCAGCATTATATGGTGCCTGCGGAGAGCTTTGAAGGAGAATATCCCACATCAATGCCGTGTCGATTGATATTGTTCTGCGTGGTGTCCGGCTGTTGCTTGAACTTGGGCTCACGGCAAATGCCGATTGTATGAGAGCTTGGACTTTTTGATACTGTTATATCGTTAGCCAGGTATTGTGTAGAATAATTTGGTCTGTACTGACGATAACCTCGCATGTGGGCCATTTTGCAGCCAAGTCGCTTAGGAAATTCGTACAGGTTTCCACCTTGCGTTGTGCGGACTCTCTCAGGGCGGGATCTGCAGCGCGACAGTAATAGAGATGAATCGTGGTCGCAATGGCTACTAAATGGCCGATCGATGGGTCGGAGAGCTGATAGTCCTTTTCAGTAACCATATCAATGAGGCGAACCGTCCACGTTGTGTGTATCAGTGCCAACTCTGACGAAGTTTTCCAAAAGGTGTTTGGCACTGCAAGTTGAGCAGACTGCTGAGGCCGCCAGGAGTAGAGAAAAGGATGGTTTATCATACTGTGCACAGCATGATATGTGAATTGAAGATATAACCATGGGCTCCAGTACCAACGATCGCCATGCAGTTCCTCAATAGACTGTTCTTGAAACCTGGCGGAGTCGTATCGATGAGACATGGGGAAGTTTGTTTCAAGATTCATCAAATGGGCTCCGATAATAGAATAGCCGGAGTCAACGGACCATGGTGGAGTGAAATACCCGCTAGCACAATGTGATACGTAGTGCTGGACCTCTCTCCAAAGGGATCCCAATTGAACCATGTAAACCCAAATTCCTCCTCTTGACGAAAGGGAGCCGGTTTCCTCCGGAACCTGAGGGGGGTATTACACCCATCTCTCGAGGGGTGTCAATGTTGACGGCCGTGTACTTTGGATTTGAAATATCTCGTAGAATATTCAACGATAAGTTCCGTGGTCCGAATTGCTGATTCAGGAAGTTGATGCTCCAAAATAGCCTTCGGCGAGCTTCCAGCGTAGGCGTAGTTTGTCCCTCATGTAGTTCAATGTCAATATTCCCACACTTGGCAAGATTTGTGACGAGGCCAATGTGAATCCAAGCCAGGTGGGTATCATTAGCTGCGCGAACATGAGCGAAGTGACTTCTTCTCATTCATTATTAAAGACTAACCAATGTACTCAGCAAGTGAAATCAAACAAAGAGCTTGCATTGTTGATAGATTCACACTCCCCCGAGCAATTCGAAGAGAAATTAGACTGTGAGCTGACTCTGCGTATTGCCGACACAGCTGGTCGGCCTGGCCATCTAGAATGTGGCTCCGTGAATACCGCAAGGCTAAACTGGAAATACCGAATGTAATCTCATCGGGAATTTCTGATAAATTTGAGAGTTTTTCAGGGTCAAAAAGCCACAGAGGTTGCTTGTGACAGTATTGGAAGTAGAGGGCAACGCATTTAGAAATCATGTCTTTTGGGGGCAATGTAAATGTTGTCAGATTGGTGGTCATGTTTGCAGACTGAATAGTCATATCATCATGAGATGGCATTCTCCGTGTTGGAGTCTTGCGACTGCCAGCTGTAGACTTTGATGCAGGATCCCCGCCTGCACTTTGGCTTATCAAGCCCAGTGGCCCCGGTATTCCAACATTGCGGTTTGGTCTGACTTTGTTAGTTCCCTCTCCTCCTGATGGTCGTGCAAGTGTATGCGCTCACACTGATTGTTCCAGCACTAGATTCATCTTCTCCTCTAGCTGCTGGAGTCGATCTTCCTGGCTCTGACTTAGCCAAACGATTCAGTAACTACCAGTCGTAGAAACTGCTCACCAGGACGCCATCGCCCCCAGCACTGCTTTCCCAGGAATCATAGTTCCTGCTATACTGGCATGCCTGCTTCAGACGAGTGCAGGTTGAACACGCCGGTCGCTCTCCAGGGCATCGCGTCTTCTTTCGTCTATTCCCGAGTTGATTGTTAGTTGGATCCACCTTGGAGCTAGTGGGATTTAGCTTACCTGCAGTTTTCACAGGCCTGATGGGATCTCTTACTGATACGAGAATTCGCCAGCGACATTTGTAGTCTTATTCGGCTCTCCCATGGACTAAAGAATAGAATGGCGGCATTACAGCTCGAGGGTGTGCTTAAAGAAGGGGGAGCGCGGGGTTGTCGGACTCGAGCCGACGAGGCGGAAAGTAGCGGGGAGCCGGCCCACAGTTATGGCCCACTCCTGGAAACAATAGCGATAAGGGGAAATGCTGATATCATTAAGTTTAACTGGTGCATAGTCGGCATCAAGCTAAGAGCGCACGAAGATCTTGATACGTGCGAGTAAGGCCTAGCCTGTGAAGCATAAATCAAACGCCAGGTCTAATTCTTCAGGTTGACCGAATTCCTATCCCATCGGAGTCCCATTTCTGGGCAATTGATTGGCCCTAAACACTGGGAAAGTATCTCATCCGTCCAGCCTTACGTATTGCTTCAATAAAGTATACCGAGTGGTTTCAACTCATTAAGTTCAAAGGAATTGTTCAACCCATCAAGTATGATCCAAAAAAGAGCTACCACTCTAACTTGCTATTACCCTCCGCCGAACATGCCAATCCTGAACAGAAATTAATATCTTCCGCAGTGGCTGATCCAGCCGAATGCTGACGAGCGGGCCAAATTTCTCGCTGTTCTCTCTGCTCTTCCTTTCGATGATTGAGGAGCAAGTCCCGGACAGTATTTTGAAAGAAAAGCGGTGCACTTTCCAGCTCAGGATGAAGTTGGCCATTGACGAAAACACCGGCATTAAGATTTTTCTGGGCTTCATTGCAAAGCCACTTATCTTCGGCTAGTACCCGCTTGAAGAATCCGTCAATGTGCTCGAATTCCTTGTCCGAAGCCTCTTTGTGTCGGTAGACTTCGTACTCCATCGAGCATGTCCCTACCGAAGTTGGAACGCATCGCATCATGTAGAAAAAGTGAGGGCTAATAATTAATCAGTATCAGGCTGCTTCTAGTTTTCTTTTGATCGACAGAAAACCCACGAGACAGTCATGCATGCGTTTGGAAAGTAATAGGTACTTGCGTTCTTGATATCATCTTCCGCCTTGTCTTGCTTTGGCCGAGAGAAATGTTGAATATGCCCAGGAGTAGAGACCGTGTAGTAGTACGAGAGATCCGCGAGATTTGCGACGTCCGGGTGTGCGACTGTGCAGTGATAACATTCGTTGTAATTATCGGCCAAAGTTTTCCAATTATAGTCACCATCCATCTGCCATGTATGGTCAAACTTGTACTGGCTGAAGTCGAAATTCTGGAATCGTTCTTGGGTGTCGACCCCTTTGAAATCTTCTTCCCAGGGCACAGGACGAGGCGAAGAGTCGAGGTTCACCCAGACAAAACCAAGTGCATCAACATGAACATGCACTGGAAACAGTCTTTGGTCTTCTTTGGAAAATCCGGGGACATCGTCAAATCGCGGTGCCTTGGCCAGTTTGCCATTTAGGCCATAGGACCATCCATGATACTTGCAAGACAGAATTTTGACATTGCCTTCGTCCTCTGATACGAGAGGGAACGCACGGTGACGACAAATGTTGTGAAAGCCATTCAGGTTACCCTCGCGATCCAGGCATAAGAAGAAGGAGAAGCCAGCTTCGTGAAACCGCAGGTAGTCGCCCGGCTTCGTGAAGCGGAGCTTGTGTGTGATCAGAATCCACTTCTTGGAAAAGATAGCCCGTCGTTCCAATTCATACAAGTCTGGCGAGCAATACCATGAAGCTGGTAGAGCCTTGGGTGGCTCCTTGACAGGCTTCTTTTCCACGAGAACATTGGGTTTGTATCCAAAGAGAGAGGCGACGGCAGCTGCCATGATGCTAGAAATTATCTTCTTCGGAGCTTGTGTGCTTGGAAGAAAGAGCCTGTGAAATATTGTCCATTGCCTCCACTATAATATTCGATTTCGTTGATTTATCTTCTTGTTTAATGCCTTCAAAGTATCCGATCATGTGGCTATACAGGCCCAACGCCATAGCAAGACCATCTGTCGCATTGGTTAACACGGTATCTCACCGACGGCGAACTTACCGTGTCATACAATAAGTGGATCCGCACCCAGGCTGATAAGGCCCCGGTCAAAGTAACGGTGAAAGTTCGTGCTCCCCAACCGGCCTCTCATCAAGTCTTACCTTCCGTCGGCATTGACCGGTCAGGTGAGCGGGTGGTCTTTTAGTCTTGATAACCGATGGAACAACCAGCCTTTTAGCAGCGCTAAGGTAAATGCAATGCGGAATGAATGACCAGATATGGGAATAGGGTCCCCGGGGAAGCTTCTGGCGCATCCTGTGAAACGTTGTTGAGTGAATCTTTTTTCATAGCCCACACCACCAGGCCTCAAGTCGTGAATTCTATAGCGGATTCCATATGTCTCATTCGGACTAGCCACAAACTTTGCGCTTCTCTGATACATATCAATCAGGTAACAGGTCATCCTGCAGCATACATGCCGGACTACGCAACGAATTCAGGTGACATCCTGTGACGCAGTCGGATATTGGAATTCACTGCTTCACAGCCCGGCAAAAATACGGAGTTCTCCGCGCATGTGCGCTGCAGCTCAAATTGGGAAAGCCTCTGTTTAGTTCGCATGGTGGCCCTCAAACTAGTGAATGGGACTGTGCTCTTTACTTCACCTTTTCCTGAACACTAACTTCAATCTGGCATATTCCCACTTCAAATTAAACATCTTACCATCCCGCCACATTGAACGCTGCCTATACCCCGAAAGACACAATGGGCTCTAGCGATACGACCGACAATGGGTCAAAATTCATTCTGACGGCAGACGCCCTCAATAAAGCTCTGCCCAACATGAGCATGGCAACGAGAGCAGTTCACGCCGATGACTTCGTCAGTCCACACCGTGCCATTGCTCCCGCAATGCACGTCGCAGTCAACTTTCGATATGCGAGAGACCCCGAAGACCTGGTCCCAGAAGAGAACAAAGATGTGTGAGTCCCGGCTCCATTGATCAATCTGAAGCCTAACAATCTGAGATAGCCAAATAACCCCCATGATTCACATGTGTACTCCCGTTACACAGCGCCCAACTCCAAACGATTGGAAGTTCTCCTTCGTAATATCATGGGCGGAGAGGTGATTACTTACTCGACGGGTCTCTCTGCTTTTCATGCTATGTTTATCCTGCTCAACCCGAAAAGAATCTTTATCGAGGATGGATATCACGGATGCCATGGTGTTCTTGATATCATGCAGAGGCTGAGTGGGGTCCAGAAATTTGACTTGTCGCAACTGGACCAAGCGGGCCCGGGTGATATCATTCATGTCGAGACGCCACTCAATCCGACCGGTGAAGCGCGGAACCTCGCATACTACCGTGAGAGGGCAACCGAGAAAGATGCCTATCTGACTGTTGACGCAACTTTTGCGCCTCCTCCTCTTCAGAACCCTTTAGATCTTGGTGCGGACATTGTCATGCACAGTGGTACCAAGTATGTCGGGGGCCATTCAGATATGCTTTGCGGTCTTCTAATCATTCACCCTGACCGCGTGGAAAAGGATGGATGGCTGAAGAAGCTACACAAGGATCGCCAATACATAGGCAATGTGATGGGGAGCTTGGAAGGCTGGCTCGGTATCCGATCTGCTCGGACGATGCACCTTCGGGTCTCCAAACAGTCACAGACAGCGGAGAGGCTGGCTGGGTGGGTACATGACCAGTTAAAGGATCCGAAGAGTGTTGTCAGTCAAGTCGTAGATCAAGTCAAGCATGCCTCGCTTCAAGTGGATGACTTGAAAGACGGTTGGCTTCGAAAGCAAATGCCCGGAGGCTTTGGACCCGTATTCTCAATGTGGGCCAGGAATGCAGCTTTCGCCCGGCAACTTCCAAGTCGTATGTTCATTTTCCAGCATGCGACCAGTCTTGGTGGGGTTGAAAGCTTGATGGAATGGCGGGCAATGAGCGATGCATTATGCGACGACAAATTATTGAGGATTAGTTGTGGTATCGAGGAGTTTGAGGATCTACAGGCCGATATCCTGCAAGGCGTGCAGTCAATTTTGCGCAGTTCTCATTCATAGGCTTTATTATACCACTTTCAATATGACGACGAAGGTCACTATTCGACGATTGACTGTATCAAGGGTGGATGCGACACAACTAGCAAGTTACTCAAACATTTTATTTCTCCGTACCTAATTGTGCACGGTTTTTGAAAAATATCACTCTGTATGAATAAGTCATTTCTTAAGCCACTTTAAATTGATGCTTTTATTGCTTTACTGATGGACAAAGTGCGGTTTTAGATAAACGGGACTCCAGGTTATTGAAGCTCCGCTTTGAAGTTTTGAAATTGTGCTGCACCTAAGCTTTTGGGCAGATAGGAAATGTCTATGAATACAATGTCGAAAAAAATCCAGAGTGCAAAGTCAATGTTTGGGCTCTGTCATTGTTGGTCAACAAGGGACCGGCGGGACACCGACCACGTGACCGGAGATAACGTGGGGAATATGCAAGTGAACGTCACGAGCCAACCGCCAAACGCTAAGTTGCAGCCCACTTTGAGAGCTAGACCCACACAAGCTCCTCAATCGCCCTGCCGACAGGTTGACTACCCATTTTTGGGGGTTCTGTCTCAATGTATCACCGATGGTCATCTTCGGTGTGCCCAACGCACTAGCTTCACGTGGACGGCGGCACCCGTGATGGAGGATTGTGCCTGGATGGTCTTAAATTCATGGCCATGGAGGGCTTCTTTCAGGGGATAAACAATCTATTCTCCCCTACCAAACTCGATCGAAACACTCGATAGGTGGCAAAATGGACCAATTTGATGTCGCAGTTGTTGGCCTCGGAGTCCTCGGAAGTGGCGCCGCATATTACGCTGCTAAGAAGGGTGCCAAGGTCATCGCTTTCGAGCAATTTGAATTAGGCCATGTTCATGGTGCTTCTCATGATACCTCACGCATCGTTCGAACTTCAAATTTTACCCCGGAATTGGTTGCACTTGCAAAATCAGCATACAAAGATTGGGCCGAGCTTGAAAAAGCCGCCGGTCAAAAGTTGTTGACCATTACTGGCGGCGTGGTTTTCTTCCCCGAGGAGCCAAATGCGCCCGCTCTTGCGAGTGACTTCACCAAGAGCCTCGATACAAACGACGTACCTTATGAACTTTTAGATTCTCGAGAAGTGAAGGACCGATGGCCGCAGTTTCAGATTCCCGAAAATGTCTCTACAGTGTACACAGCCGACACCGGCATCGCACATGCTTCTCGAGCAGTGAGCACCTTCCAGACACTAGCGCGTACCCATGGAGCTATTCTCAAGGATCAAACCCGAGTGGACCGCATCATACCGAAGGCTGCGGGTACTGGTGCGGTTGTGATCAAAACTTCAAAAGGACAATTCCAAGCCGCCAAAGTTATCCTTGCCACCGATGCGTGGATCAATAAGCTACTTGGCCCCTTGGGCACACATATCCCAGTGTCTGTGATGCAAGAGCAGGTTACATACTTCAAGCCTACCGAATCAGCAAATTTCGAGTCCGACCGTTTCCCCGTCTGGATATGGAATGGTGCAACGTGCTACTACGGGTTTCCCTGTTACGGAGAGCCGACTATTAAGGCTGCTCGAGATACTTCCAATAATTTTATGACGCCAGAGCAGCGTACGTATGTTCACTCGCCATACCTGCTCAATCAACTTTCGACCTTCCTAGGGAGCTTCATTCCGGACAAAGCACGTCAAACGCTCCGCACCGTGACCTGCCAATATTCGATTACTCCGGACCGACAATTTGTTATTAGCCCTCTTGAGAACCACCCCGACATCATTGTGGGCCTGGGCGCAGCTCATGCTTTTAAGTTTGCTCCTGCATTTGGCCGTGTACTAGCCGAACTTGCGGTGGATGGCACTACCAAGGAAGATATATCGAAGTTTGGTATTCCGACATCCGCTACTCATAGCAGCAAGCTTTAGTGTGAAAGTTTGTACTCTCAGTCGCTACCTGATCTGAACCACCGACGTAAGAATCAATGAATAATAAATAGTTCTTCCAAAGGAACCATCTTAATTGGCACCATGTGACGAAGTGTAGAAGATAAATCCCTTGATCCTAGGCCTTACGCGCTAGACGTTTTCATAGAGTCCTTGGAGGTAGATGTTGAACACTGATACGGGGTTTCTGATGTCACGTGCTCATGGAATAAATTATTGTTATTATATGCAACGCACTCTCTATTCTATGACGACTGGTATACCTTGAAACTGTTAAACTCCCAGTATGCGTTCGTGAAGTTCGCACCGTTCTCAGCCGCGAATTGAGTGCATGTGTCTGGACAACTGTTCAAGTCCGTGTAGTATGAAGTTGCACCAGCAAGGTCACCACATATATCAATATTTGCGATAATACTTTGATTCTTAAAATGTGAGCCGATGTCACAGTGGGTGCTGGGGAAGTCTGCTAGGGCCTCCCCCCACGTTGAGGGATCCGGGCTACTCGTTGAGTTTGAGATGTCCGAGGGAATATCGTCTCTTGAAAACATCCAAACTCGGATCCCGGCATCACGAAGCTCCATGGCGTACACCTAGCAATACCGGAGTCAGTATATGACCGATAATCTAACCCTGATATTGAAGAACTTACACCACCACCATTATCGTTGAATGCCTCGCCATATGTGGCAGTTTTTCCCTTGACGCCACAGCCGGCGTTGTCATTTGCCGTATTGAGGCAGTTCGAATATAGTGCTGTGCCGGTCTCCTTGCGCTTGGCATTCATTTTGCAGCCGCTGGTTGTGTGCAAGGTCATATCATTTCCATGCGTTCCTTTATTGTTGGACTCCATAACGTCGATCTCACCGTGTTCAGGCCAATTGGAAGGATCGGTGAGCCAAAGTGCTGGCCATGTTGCGCATCCATATGGCGTGTGAACAACGTCGAAAATGAATAAACCGTTGTCGTAAGTGTTTGTCGAAGTAATGCGGACAGACTTGCGGCCACTCGTTTGGTTCTGAGTATCGGTATCAACCTTAATCACGGCGGTCGAATCTGATGCGTATGTCAGGTTCATCATTGAGGCAGTTTGCGAGTCGACATATCTTTGCCCGTTCTTAGCAAGTGGTAACCGAGTCAGAATATTGAAAGAAGACATACTGTACCCAACCGTTTGTTGGATCTGTGGATGTGTAATACTCAAAGTTATCGAAAAAAGACGACCCCGAAAATGTGTCAACGAGGGTGTAATTTAGTTGAGAGTAATCGGGATAAGCATTCGCTTTGACTCCTTCAACTGCCCCAACAATGGCTGCCACGATCACCACCACAACACACCCTGCAATGATCAACTTCTTTCTACCAGACCATCCCCGTGGATCATACCATGGTCTCTCAATCACCATTCTTGAGCCAAAAACATCCGAATAGCGTGGAGGCTGTGGTGTTGTCTGAGGTACAGAGCGACCGTAATTTGTGCGATGATCAAACCGAGGTAGATTTGTCGTTGCGCTTCCAAACCGACTGTAGTCGTCTTCGGGACTGGCAAAAGGGTTTTCGGTTCTCATTATCCTTATGGGCAGGGTGAAAAGCGCTCGGTCGCGGGGTTACCAAAGAACTGGTTGAATCGAAATTGAAAACCCAATTGGTTGCGACTTGCATGCAGGAGCAGAACGTGCCATCAATGAGCAGACAAGAAGAGAAAATTTGCGCGCTAGAAACAAGATATCCCTCTTAAGCGAATGCGATGTAAGTAAACCCTTCATGGATATACGTCGCCGCGTACGTCCCTCTCGACGCTAAGAGCTCCACTTTCGAGAATTTCCCCTCTCCTCAAACAAGACTTCTTTCTCCAGCATGGCAATTATACCCATAAACTCTGATAGCAAAATTGACTTTATTGAAACCTCAAAGAACAACAACAGCGGATATCTAACCAAATCTGCTGGTCGTAGTCCTTCTCTTCGGTCATTGCATTTCTCACAGGGATCCACCTATCAGACCATGATTGCTCAAATTCCAAACCCCAGGTCACCAAAGTTGGAGTTCGGGGATTCCTGATATCTGCAGATTTAGGATTATTAATATCGAATCCAAGTGAGGAGTTCTGATATTTGCCAAGAAATTGCGCGAGTATCGACCCTGGGCTTGCCGGCTCGCCGCGCAACAAGGACGCGTAACCAGGGTCTCCAGCGGTTGGATTGTCCACAAACATCAGAAATTCGTCCACATGACTCGCATAAGTTCCACTTCTCTATTTATACGAGTTTCAGCAGCTGTTTGTAGCATTCTATTTTGGAAGTGTGAATATTAATATTCAATAACCGACGGGATCGCGTCCATTCGAGTAGTGCCTCGTTGCTGGATGTCGGATCCTTATCGTGTTGGGATCTGCAAGTAATACGTCATGTAATCAGGGTTTATTATGGCTATCTAAAGTTGAGCTTATATGCTAACGAAGACTCGTCGAGATGGCACAAGAATTTTTGTGTATTTAGCTCGTGAATTTCACTACCAACTGAGCCGACCTCGTGATGATCAATGGTAGGAAGTGAAGTTAAGACATCTTTAGCGTCGGTATGAATTTAAATTGGCGCAGGTAATCGACAGGGAATCACAGACTGCCCTGTCTCACAAGAGCAAAAAATGCTTGTTGATGAAGCGCTAGAGTGCTTACATTGATGACAGCTCCTAGGCACATATAGTCTGGATGTCGGGATGAAGCATTATGGGCTTATTCTGCTCTGCATATCGAATCAACCACAGTTTTGGTTTCAATCGCTGTTAGAATTGTTAATCTACTACAGGATAGTCTCGACCTTCGAAAGCTCCTGACGGATTTGCGCAGACAGCTTTCTAAGTACACCTTTAGACTTCTCCTTTCTATGTAGTATCTCCTTCATGGGAATGCAAATACTCGCCATGACAGCTTGGCTATTGTTCAGGGTCATTATAGTTAAGACATTTAGGTGGGGCAACCAAGATTTGCCTCGTGGCAAAGCAAGCAGTTCGTCCACGGAATTATCCATGTCTCTGAGTGGGGTGCTTGGGAAAAAGTCAGTACTGTATGTAATAGAATATCTACGGTAGTGAAGAACTGCTCACAAATAGCTCACTCTTATGCTGAGTGAGAGGTATTTAATGTACCATGTGGTAATTTCGGACATCTACGTATGGTCTCGACAGAGCCCAGCGAGGCACTGAAGTTTCTTTGGCACGATGAAATATCACTAATAGTTACACGCATTTTCTCTTGACCTTGACAAGATATCTGCTATCGTAAATGAAAGCACTACGAGAGGAGGGCATTCTCGATGTCTGCCTAAGGCATGAACATACCTTCTATTACCATTACCCTGCACAGTTTTAGGAGAACTCTGAGGGCAGGATTTGTTTCATAGTGTGTACTTGACACTCTTGAGAAGAACAGTATTTATTATGCGCAAATGATGATGCCCCGAAGTTGGAACCAGTTCTTAATTGTGGTATTTCTATGTTTCTATCTAAAGACCGTTCTAGAATACTCCCAGGAACGTCTCAAAATCCCGAAACCGGGCGGTCAGTGCAGATCGGCCAGAAGTCCGAACCCTCAACCGGCACCGGATCGCAACCGGATTGATGCCGGGGATTTGAAGGCTTGGCGCGTGGTTTCGCGCTCGCCGGAAAAAAGCAAAGAAAGGGATCATTGGTAGCATGATCCTCCATGTGTACCATGCACATGCATAAACAAGGCAAAGCACAAGTTAAATAGGACCGAGATTCTGCTGAGAATCTCCATTGATTGCCATAGTTAATGTAGAAGAACAACAATAGCGGGTGTGATTGATAGGCTGTGGAGTCGCATTCGGCTTCATGCTCCGATTCTATGACTCAAAATCCACAATAAATGCGGAATCCCCCCGTTTGGTTCCCCGAAAAATCTGGCAGAGCGTAACTGAGAAATCAATTTTCATGTTTTGGGACACCCCGCGAATGCCAAGTAGTGTGTCTGACAAGAAATTGGTCGAGGCTTGGTCTGCAGGGCCATTTCGAGTGCCAATCTATCATGAGGACAGGCGCTCGGCACCTCGCCCGATATGGGGGTTTCTTCATGGTTGAGATGTCAATTGTAATCTATAGCGCTAGCTCAAAGGCATAGAAGGTCATTGGGTTGATCTGCATGGTATAATGACCCCTCTTAAGGTTCTCGTGATGGAGAATGTCGGCCCAAAGACCGCGATGAATGCGGGTTGCGATGATCCAAGGCCTGCCTTTTGTGAATCAACACTCTGCGCACACATTCGCAAACGATTATGACAGTAGGTACCTGCTCAACGGCAACTTTGAAATATCGGGCTACTTTGCGAGGTATCATTTTAAATTTCGGCAGATGGCGAACTGTAGTATTAATAGGTTGCCACTTAAATCCACCGAAATCTTAGCTCATGTTTCCCGCAAACTTTGCGATGCCTGAAAGCCGTCTTAACCGAGGGAAACCTGGCCATGAAAAGATCAACATTTCCAAATACCCCATTTGAGTGGATCTGGCCAGGCTTTCTCCTTGTATTGTCCAGAACCGTGTCGCACACAGACTCGTTCGTCAATTATAGGGCGTAGGGAGTGAAAAAAAAAGTGGCAGAGAGATGTGGAGACCGAATCCACATCAACCTCGAGTTTGACTGATTTAGCTTGAGAATTCTGACTGGGACCCTGGGAGTGGAGCTGGGCTTGCTTTCTTGAATTTTCTCTGTCACAGGATGTACTCCATAGTCTCTTTATAATAATGTGCCATCCCACCTGAGATCGTCATACAACGTAGTCGCGTCTTTTATTGAATGGGAATTTCCCAGTTACCATCACAATGCCTGACCACTTTCCCATGGAGGAGAACCTGCAAAAGGTCATGTCAGCCACAGGTGAGTCTGCTCTGTGTATAGGTATGCTTCTTCTAGATATTTGATTCTAATTCTTTCAAAGAGGGTGCCATCATAGTAACCCCTCACGAGTCACGACGAGATTCACTACCCGATTCGCTTTCCGACTCACACTCGGATTCATCGGATCAAGACTCGGAGGTGACACATGAACCAATCCAGGAACGATATGATAACCCATCATACTCTCGTTTTCGACGGGTGGCTTCAAAAACAGTCGTTTCCTTCGGGCCAAACGATCCAGAAAACCCAGTGAACTGGAAGAAGGTATGTATAAGCATGTCAATCACGATTTCATGTCGAACTTGGAGGAAGTAATATTTCTTTAATTATACTTGCTGACATGAAACTCCAGACAAGAAAATTTCTAGTCCTTCTCGCCGGTGTTATGCAGGTCATGAACAGTACCATCGGCTCGTCTATCTGCAGTAATGCTATCCCGCAAATCGCTGAAGAGTTTAACATTACCAATCAGCAGATGCTGGTTCTACCCATCTCTATATTCCTGATCGGCTACATTTTAGGCCCACTGGTATGGGGCCCTAGCTCCGAATATTTTGGGCGCCGACGTCCTTTACTCGTCGCCTTCATCGGATTCATGATCTTTACACTAGCCTGCGCTGTGGCTAATTCTTATGCCTCGCTGTTGATATTCCGACTCTTTAATGGCATGATGGCATCTTCTCCAATCGCTACCACCGGAGGCTTGTTTGCTGACGTTCACGACGACCCAACCTTGCGAGGTCGCCTTATGGCGTACTATATGGCTGTATGCTACATCCCTATATCTGCCTCCATGGAAGAAACATGCTGATGATTCCCAGTGTACTACCTTTGGTCCGATTATGGGTCCCTGGATTTCCGGATTTGTTGCCGTCGTTAGTTGGCGGTGGTGCTTCTGGATTGGGCTCATTTGTTCCGGTGCAACTTTGCCCTTGGTCATCTTCATGCCTGAAACATATGGCCCCGTCATTCTGACACACCGGGCTAAGAAGTTACGGAAGGAAACCGGAAATTCCAACATTGTGTCGCCCTTGGAGCTTGAGAGCCGCGACCTTCGCAGAATGTTCATCATTACCATCTCTCGGCCCTTCCGAATGATCTTCCACGAGTCAATTGTCTCCCTGACATCGTTGTACCTGGCGCTGGCATATGCAATCTTCTACCTGTACTTTGAGGCATATCCAATTATTTTTCAAGGTATGCTCATCTCCCAAACCGGTATACGCAGTCGCCAGTCGAGCGATACATATTAACGTGATGAATTTACAGATCTCTATGGTATGAGTGCCGGAGTTTCAGGACTTATGTTCCTGCCTAGTAAGTTTACATTACATGAATTCTTGGCTTGCATTTAGGATCTAACTGACTGGGGTTATAGTTGGTGTTGGTGCACTCTTGGCTTGTGTGGTCTTCATCTGGTATGATGGATTCCTTGCTCGAGCTAAAGCTCGCGAAGCAAAGTGGGCGAATATTGAAGAATATCGACGACTTCCACTTGCTTGCATTGGAGGTCCCCTGTATGTCATCTCACTCTTCTGGGTGGGTTGGACAGCGTCTCCTAATATCCATTGGGTCGTGCCCTTCCTCTCAGGTATCCCATTCGGAATGGGGTACTTGCTGATCTTTATGGCAATGCTGAATTACCTCACCGACGCTTATGAGACGTTATCAGCGAGTGCTCAGTCTGCAGCCAGCTGCACACGAAGTATCCTGGGTGCAGTTCTCCCTCTTGCTACTAGGCCCATGTTCAACAAGTTGGGTATCCACTGGGCGTGTAGCCTAATCGCATTCCTCAGCCTTGGAGTTTCTATCATTCCTTTTGCTTTCATTCGCTACGGCGACCGCATCAGAAGCAACAGCAAATTCTGCCAAGAACTGAAGAGAATCAAGGAATTGGAGCGCCTCGAAATTGAGAGAGAGGAGCGTCTACAAAAGGATTCCAACAATTTGGAGATCATTCCATCAGCCAACACTGGCCAAATTTCTCGAATCGACACGGCGCGCAGTCATGCGGACAAAGCATCTATCATCTGCTAAGCCACGGCAATTATGAGAGCCAACCATGGTTTGAATGACATGATCTCATGTTATGGCAGCACATATTCCTGGTCGAGCGATTCAAAAGTTTTCTTTACTTCCCTTTTCTGTTCCATGACAATTACGATGTGACGGTACATTTATTCTTTAATACGCTGCACACTCAGGACATCGTGGCCGCTGCATTCCAAGGGAAACCCCTGAAGCCGGGCGTTATTCTTTTTCTATTTATGATTCCCCGACAGCCTTTCTATAGCCTCGACCGTTCTAATAATATACTACAATAATCATGACTCTTAAGAACCTTCCCATCCCTGGATTCCTCCTATTCACAGCGTGCTGGATTTTAAATTACTCTTGTTTGAGGCCAACCTTACCCACCTTTCGTAGCCCCCAAGCACCGATGCCAGAGGCAAGCATCATCAAACCAAAGCAAGTCCAAAAGACAGCACGGTAGCCAGCCATCAAAGCACCAGGTGAGCTCTTATCAGTATAATCCGAATCCTGCGTGACGCTTGCCGAGATAATAGCAAAAGCTGTAAGTCCAATGGACGTTCCGAACTGTGCGATCGTGTTGAATACGGCACCAGCGAGACCTTGGGTCTTCGCACTGAAGGAATCGGCAATAATCAAGTTAGCGACCGTGAAAATTACTACACAAAAAAGGTTAACAAGCTTTTTTTAACCTGAATGACAGGAATGATTACCGTCAGCCGATAGAGGACCCAGAAGGACAGCCCAAAAAGCACAATACCACCATGACCATTGTGGATCAATGATTGCCAAAAGCAATGGAGACCCAGCGCTGAGGACTGTCGTGACGAGAACTAGATAGTTGGCATGGAGGCGGTGCACTAGGAGTCCAGTTCCGAGGTTCAACACAATGCCAATAAGGACATTTGGTAAGAATCGAAGAGCGGCCTGGATTGCGGATAGTTCCTGGACCTCTTGAAAGCTATGATCGAGAAACTCCTGGTTAGCAGGGTTCACTCAAATTTGTTAGTTTACACGCACAAGAGACTCAGAATCGTTTCAGTGCCGTTCAGAACAGCCCAGGACAGAAGAACCATGACACAGATCGACGCAAAAGCAGTATTCTTCCACAGAGAGTTAGGGATCAAAGCCGATTTCCCGTTCTTCTCTCGCCAGCTCATCCAGCCTAGGAAAGCAGGAATCATGGCGGTTGCGGAACATAGCAAGGAAATGTTCTCGGGGCGATGAATATTCGAAGGATTATCGGTGATAACGCTTCAGTTGTAGTCAGCTTAAGCCCTCACAGTAACTACAGTGATGACATTAACTTACGCAAAAACATAAGAAATGATTCCTAAACAAGAACTCGAAAGCACGATCCCCACCCAGTCAATTTCGGATCGTAGCCGTTGGAGCGTGAAGGGCTCGCGGGGCTTATCCTTGGGCAACTTGAAGAAATTGACCACGGTGAGTATGGCTGTAATACCTGTGCAAAGGTAATAGCCAAATCTCCAGCCGAGCGATGATCCTTGGAATAGACCACCAAACACCAGACCGACAGAAAATCCGAACGGTTGCCCAAGACCCAGGCAGGCGAACCCGATATTCCTCCGTTTACCAGCAGGCATGGTATCCGTTAGAATACTAAACGCCGTAGGAAGACACATAGATGTCGCGATACCTTGGAACGCGCGAAACAGAATCAACTGGATACCACTCTCGGCAACACTGCAGGCCAGAATGAAGGCACATAGTAGAGTACAACCAATCAGGTTAATAATCCTGTTGCCCATGAAATCTGCTATTGAACCTGCTAGCAGAAGGCAGCATCCATTTGCAAGGCTATAATTGGTCAACTACTGTCACAAGAGGAGAAGGGAAGAAAGAAGAACTCACGAGTAAACCGAGGCGGGCCTGGGCAGTCCAGAATCATCATGTTAGAACATTTCGTACATTGAGGGCCACTTTCAAGTTGATAGATCAGGGTTCTACTTACCAAAGCAGTAGATTATCCGGAAGATTCAGATCTGCCGCGATCCACGGTAGACCAATAGTCAATAAGCCACCACTCATACTACCCACAAAAGTGATGCCAGTGAGAGTAGCGATGAGAGTTATCGCCCTGAGTCGGGACAAACCAACATCCTGGCCCTCGTAGAGACCATTACCAAGAGTCTGCCCAGGATTCAGGAGGCTTTGGGGCCTGGGGTCAGGTCGAGAATTTTTCGATGGCCACTGTACCAACGGGATGCTGTTTGAGTAATCTACCTCAAGGACCGTCGCCGTGGCCCGTGTCGGGGCGAGGATGGTAGTCGCCATGTTTCGACCAAAGCGTTAGACTTGTCGTGGCGTTGCTATTCATCAGCTAGTGCTCCTCGGATTTTCTGGCCCGGCCTTGGAAGTTCTTGACTCGGCTCAGTTGGGTTTGCTAATTGCGGTGAACCCCGTCCTGCCAAACCCTGCTCATTAGTCATTTTCGGGTGGGGTTCGGCTATTCACAGATTGCTATTCTAGAAGCTTCAATTGAAAGTTGACTACTAACTAGGACACTAATTTGTACTTCCATTATCTTCGAGAAAATTGGATCATATCGCTTTGAAGGGGATTTTCCATCTGATTTGAGAAAGTGATGACGAGTGTGGTTCGACGAAGCTGATTCTATGTTGTATATCCGTGCCATACAGAAAGTATATCCACCCCATCACTAGAAAACATAAATCTCCTGTAATGAGTTTCTTTTAGTAATGGAATTATGAAATAGAGTCTCGCTGTCGGGAAAGATCCGTCAATTCGTCTACGAGGTCGCCCAAGCGTGAGTTGGTATTGAGGTTTGTATCTGCTGATTGCGCATGAAGAGCCTAGATACCAGTCCGTTGACCTAATTGGCTTCATTTTCGTACGCACGGAGCGGTTAATTCTGTCAATCGTAGACCTATGACCCTTAAGAGGCTCTCAACAGTCCCTTCAAACCAGACTTAACCCCGAGGCTACTGTTTCCTGCCGAGGCAGGGTCAAAGCGAAAGGTAAGTTACACTCTCAACTCGGAAACAAAGCTGGGAAGGGATTAACACGGCACTGCAGTAACGCACAGAGACACGTCGCCCTTTGCACTGAGTCGACGATTTATTCGGATCAGTTTGGTAACAGCACGATGGGAACCGGCCGTTGACGCTCTCCACGAAGTCAAGCAGTGGCCACTTGTCAAAAGCAGATTTGGCAAATTGAGTGACCGGTACCTCTTTTGAGCTAACGGATGAACTTGAACGGATTAATTCAACTTGAGAGACATATGGGGCATATCTCTCAATTGGAAGATTTCATCTATTGCGTTTGAGATATGCCGTCCATATCGGAACGCGTCACGCATACTCCTGCCTATTTTCTCTGAGGAATATCCAGAGCAGATACCCCGAAACTGATCGCAAGAAATGGAAACTATTCCTCGTACATAGCTAGCAAAGACTATAGCTGTCCATGAATTCCAATACAAGGTTGTAGTTATGGATGTAGACGGCTTAGTCAACTCAACACAGCCATCGTGCCACCATAAGTAGTTAAAATATTATAAATATACTTTTAATATTCTCTAGCGAGCAATTCGAAGCAGAAACTAATGCAAAGAATAAAGCACGGTCCTCTTTGGTGATCAATGGAGCAGTAAATCAGGGATATAGTTTTCTGGATTTGGGGTATTCAAAAGTACCAAGTACCATGTATTTCTCACTATGCGTCAGCCTGATACGAGCTGACTTTGGCTGACTTGTATTCATACTGGATATATCTATTTTAAATCCAACAAAGGCCTTCTAATTAATTTAACTAAAGAATGGTGTTGATGTCATCAGTAGGCTGATATGTCAGCCCACCCAAAATTTGACATATCTGTTCCTGTGGCTTGATGGCGGCGATTTCCAGACCCCAACAACGTGGGTGACTTGCATTCTCCCCCACCAGTACTTTGTCAAGGGCTCAATGCACCTTAGATCAGAGTCATAACAACATAGAAGCCCCTCATCAATACAGTGCTATCCATGCGTCCTAGTGAAACTCAGAGTATGTAGATGGAAAGAGACAAAAGGGAGATGATGTGTAATTTCGGGGTGCATCCACAGTATTCTCTCTACCCTGGAGCGCAATTGAAAAAAAAGAGACTGGAAAGGAACCAGAAGTACATTGAGATGACCTCATATTTCCTGAAGTGTGTATCGAGTGCAGAGGCCAATGCTAATCAATGAGGGGGTCCTACAGTAGTATGTACAAGCCGCGGGGAAAAAGCAAATATTGAAAAATCTTTTTGCTGGGACAGACTCCCGCCACAATAGGAAAAAGAAATGAGATGCTGAGGATGATTATGCTTTAAAAAATTTGGACCCCTGGCGTATTGAACCATGGAACGACAAAATAGACCCAAAATCCCGAGGAAAAGGGGGGATTAATTGCTGGTTTTTTGCTCCAAAGATAAGTATGGAGGATGCCTTGGACCATGAAAACAAAGCAGCGGCAAGCGCGCTTTGCGCGAAAGGGGGGAAAGCGGTTGCAGCGGAAACCCCAGATAGGTGGAGTTGTGTAGTGGGACCGTGGAACCAGAACACAACGGGGTACACCCTACTGTACTCAATTGTATATTACTTGTAAAGCGCCATTCACGGTGTATGGAGTAAGGAATACGGACGCAGTAGTTAGTTGCATCGTGGGGAATAATTGGGGCTTAGACATGATTCTGGACCTGGTGATCACTTCGCTGGTAATCTGCACTCGTGGTTTCAACAATAGCCAGCGCTATGGGGTGCATGAGGGCTGCGGGAAGCCCATGTGTACTGTACCTGCTGCACTCCTGCCCTACTCCATGCCGGTCGGACTTGGAGGATTTTGATTTGCGCCCGGTGGATTTGGGCGGGGGAAGGTAAGGCGCGGTATCCGGTCAGAATCAGATCAAATTCATGTATTCAGCAGACAGACTGTAGTACGCTAGGGATAACCCTAGTATCCCAGTATCTTGGTACTGTATCTTCAACGTCTTGGGATGTCTTGCGGGCAAAGGAATTAACGGGGGGCTGTGAAAAGAGAAGCATACTGGACCTTCGTAGGGAGGAAACCCCCACACCTAGGATTATGATACGCCAGGGGCCTCCATGTGCCCCGTCCCTGTTTAGTTTATGTTTAGTTTGGTTACGGTGTGATGTGCACTTGGAACTAGATCGGAGCCTCCTGGCCAGTCGGGTCGGCCTTGTTTGAAGAGCAGTACTGTGCTTGGGCGATCCCCAACGCATCTCAACTCCCTATGGATCCCTATGGATCCCAAGGGATCCATGCTGGAGGCTAGGGCCGAGGAGAAAGAGGGCAAAAAGGACCCCCCTCCATTAAATGACAGCGTGACTCAGATCAAACACACATACGTACCTCAGTTGTTCCAGCCTGATGCTTATTGCTCGCCTCACGCGGCGCGAATCAGCTGCTCCAGGTTATCCCTCCGAAGGTATCCGGCCACCCCGTCGCACGACTTGGGTTCGGCCTTTTGGTCCTGTCATTGCTGGTCTCGAGAGATGTTTCCCGAATTGCCATTTCACCACACTGCAGTTCACGAGGGGCATTGTGCGCACGGACGGTTGACGCGAGCTTGACGATTTTTCGAAGCTAAATGTTGTATGTGCCTAGATCGTGCCTAGCGGCTGGGTCTCCTCCGCCGAGACCCAGGCTATAGGGTGACCCGTCCTGTCGAAGCGCCGAATCCAAACGAAGTATTCCCATACTCCTGGGAACAACAACGAGGGGACAAAGACACACCCCAAACGGACTGGTCACCCCCATCTTACAACCTACTCCACCATACACCGAGACACTTGGAGTGGAGAAGGGGGTGACGGTACAGTTTAACACAGCCTAGACCTTTTAACCCGTCGATGATGACCCGACCCCTAAGAGCTGAAGCCAACCGATCATGTGGCTTGCCGCCTATAATACTCCCCGGAGGCGAACTGAGGCGTTTTTTTATTGCGGGGAATCCCTGAGCGTATCACAGTAGTTCCGCAGGCACAGTCTCGCTAGATCAGGAATGTGGGAATGCAGTCGTGGTGCTTTGCTTTGTGGGTATCCATTTTTTGACTGGAGCTAGTGCTGCTCACTTGACCATCAAGTGATCAACTTGATTTTGATCTGGGTTTGTTACCTGGGTCCAGACGGGGTCATATCGTTGCCCGTATCCAGACGAAGAAGCATATTAAGGTAGCCTTTTCGCCGAGCTGTCAATTCCATAATTCAAACTATTTCCTTCTCCTTGTTTTTACTTTTTTTTTTTTTCTTCTTGGCCGATACCAAAAGTAGCAATCGCCCAAGTTTTTTTTGAAAATCTATAAAGACCAAGAAAGCCCACTGCTTATCACCATATACTTGCACAACCACCGCATGGAAAAAGTATGACAACCTTCTCTCTGGTGGCGCTTCCTATAGTCGTCCTACTTTTTGTCGTGCGATATCACAAAGATATTTGCAATTGGATATCGACAACTGCGAAGAACTACGGCTTCTCAAAGAAAAATGGAGGTTCCCATAGCCCCTCCGATGTCAAGCGCATGGCACCATACCCAGCGCAGCCTATCAAAGGCAGAGAGCGATACCGAGTCATGATGGACATTCGCAAACTGGATGTTCAAAACTGGCTTACGCTCGACAAAAACTACATGGAGGAGCATTCCGTGCGAGACGATCTACTCCGTGAGAAACGGGACAAAGTTTTACAGTGCTTGCCCGAGTCAGCGCAAGCCTGTCAGGAGGCACTGGAAGAAGTCTCCGAATTCCTCTGCGAACGATATCCCAACATGTTTCAAAAACTGGTGCAAGGCGGTCGAACGTCAATTCAAAATTGCATGACAGGAGAACGATTCGATATCGGTGGCTCGGCCTCTGGCGGTGAAGGTATTGACGCGCTTGAGGCGGCTGTACGACTTACTATGGAGGATCTCAGCATTTTGATGATGAACGAAGATGGCGAGTACTATCTGTATGGGCCCAAAATTTCTTTTTTCTCCTTTTCTTGAAGTTTTTCTCTTATCAGTCTCACTGACTATTTTCCAGCGCCGCCAGCGCAAGTCTTTTTCCTACGGGATGGACGGTCGAAGAGCGTATCGGATGGACGATCTCCCGTTTGCACGAACCCGTGCCTCTATGGCATCAGCACGTTGCCAATTCTGTGAGCAAGTAAGTGGATCGTGAGAGCGCATTTCCTAGGAGCATTTCCTAGGAGTGTGTCTGTGCCTTCGTATTTGCGCAAGTTCTAATCTCAACTAGGTTTCTGGCGCGGCTGACGCCAACGTCCCCAATGGAGCGGTCAAACTACTTTGTTGAGATTAAACGGCCCGACGAGGATCTTATCGAGATCTTGTATCGGCCCAAAGGATTGTGCGAGAAAGATCTATCCGATCCTTCTCCCGAGGAGATTATTATTCGCCGCGAGAGACAAACTTTCCGCCGTTTGCCAAAAACGGGAACTATTCTCTTCGGCGTCAAGACCTACCTGACTACCCTTGATCAGCTGCCAATGCAGGAGCTAGAAAATCTGGCGACAGAAATGAGAAGCTGGCCTGAGTACGTGGGCGAGTACAAAGGCAAAAACGTTTGGGGTGCCAAAGTGCTCGAGTTCTACAAAAGTCGAGTTGGTCAGATGAATGAGAAGATCGAGGTATGATTTGTTGAATTGTTGACGCGATGACGAACTATGTTGCTTTTTCTTGCCTTCTTGTTATCCCGCCTGGATGTTTTACTTTTTTTTGCGATGCATACTCCCTGGACTATTTTCTTTTTCTTTTTCGCTTCTTCCCTTAATGCGAAACAAAATGGGCTGGCTGTCTGAATACTTTTTTTTATTTTCTTTCAAAAGCTGTTTACCGCTTTGAATGTTCTTTGGCATGATTCGACCTATGCGAAACCCAGCGATTTTTTTCCCGGCAAATATGTCGAACTACGTCATATAGAGATTGAAATGAAAGTTTTGAAGAGTCATGATTGATTGAGTTTTAGTTAAATAAGATAAATTGTAATGTCACCAGGAATCGAGACCGACTGAAACAGGATGCGGTCAGGGTAAGGAAAAAGGCAAAAAGTCAATGTCTATAAAAAATGTGCAGCTGGAAGGATACTATGGGCATATGAACAGCCCGAATGTCAACATAAGGAAGTTCGAGAAAGGGTATAGGCGAGGACATGTTTAGATCTTTGACAGGGGTGGCTTATCCTGCTTCAAGCGGATAACACCCTAAACAGAAACGGTTAGCCATCAGGCACAAGTAGAAAAAGCGAAGAAGAAAAAAGTACTCCGCATACCTCTTGGGTACAGGTGGCAATCAAAGTCCCATCCTGTGACCAGATCTTTTGAATAGCCAGTCCACGACCTTCCCCAGCCCACGGGCTCTCCATCTCAATGAACATCCACTCGTCGGCTCGGAAAGCACGCGGGTTATGGAAATAGATAGAATGGTCTAAACTGACCATCATGCCTACTTCTTTCTCGGCTTTATTTTTACCTTGAGTCGCGTTGTCCAGGGCGCCTTGCAGTCTACGGCGCAAATCGGCTGCCTCCTCCTCCTTGAGTTCCTTCAATGCTTTGGTGATATCCTCATCGTCGAGGTCGGAGGGGTTCTTCAATGCCTTGAGTAGTTTCTGGAGTTCCGCTGGAGACGAGAATCGGGGAATATCGTGAACTCGCGAGACCGTACCGATGAAGTAGCTGTCGGTGACGTAGGCAAGGGCCGACAGATGGGCCTGGAAACCACCCTCCTCGGAGATGTGGCCTCGTGACCTAACAAATCTTCGCACCTTCTTGTCCTCGGGATTGGGTGAATTGCCTATGCTCCATCAGTCAAAGAGCACCACACGTGGAGACTGAGGAGCAACCTACGATTGACGATGCCCGCCTTCCTTGACTCAAATGGACCCCCGCCCACATTGTTCAAAGCCTGCACGGTTCCAGGCAGCGGATCTTTGGGCAGAGATACGTCTGGCATAGGAACTGCATGTGTAATGGTCTTCTCTCCACCACTGCCGACCCTACTGAAGCTGAGGGTCGTGGTGAAGATTGGGCGTCCACGCTGACGCGCCTGTACGGTGCGGGTTATGAAGCTTCGCCCGTCGCGTACTCGTTCCACGTGGTATAGGATAGGTATCTCGGAGTCGCCGGCAAGGACGAAGTAGCAGTGCATGCTGTGGACAGCGAAATCGGAAGGGACAGTTCGCATGGCAGCTGATAGGGACTGGGCAATGGCAGCGCCGCCGTAGATGCCGCGGGCGCCAGGAGGATGCCATAGCGGTCGTGTATTCGTGAAAACATCCTATATGCGATGCAGCAGGTTAGCATTACCTGTCTCTGCAACGGCCTATACGTTGGAAGGAGTTCGTACTGGGCCGAGGTCCACCACCGGCGTCAAGTCAAGCACATTCTCGATAGGGGCCTTGGAATGGTCCTGTGGCGGGGGATCTAGGAGCGTCACACGTTTCGGCATATTGTTGTACTTCGATAATAGTGTCTTAAGCCGACCGAGATGTTAAATAGGTTGAAGGATTGCAACTTCGGAGCTGATGGCTTTCCCGCTCGGATGACGGCGGTTTCCAACACTTTTAAAATGCGGTCGGGGCTTACGCGGGAATCTGAGCCGAGGTCCAACGCGCTCTGCAAGTCGCGAACTTATTAGGCATTTGTATTATGCTTCATTATGTCACATGAATTACGCTAACTAACTAATTAAAGAAACAAAAGTCAAATTCAGATGACTCAACACGAATATTAACTATCCGAAATATCGAGAGGGTCATGTTTCATCACGTCGTGGTTCGACTCAAGCTGCTCCAAGTCGTCGATGGCGGGGGAATCAAATGAGGATCCCAAGTCTTTGGGGTTGGGTCGAGGCCAGGGACGGTCTCGAGCCGATAGGTTGTGTTAATTTGACTAGGGTTTGGAGATGGTGCACCAGAACCCTGCTCTTGTAACAGGCGAAGCAGCTGTCGACGCTGCATCTCTTCCTGACTCAAAAGAGGAGTGCCGTCCTCAGCCCGATGGCCTTGACTGGGACCATATTCATGGTAGATTAAGAAAGATGCGAGACCATATATGACGATGAAAGCGCTCGGAAGGCCAATACCGATTACTCGAATCGCGTTTAACGGAAAGAGGCTGCGACTGAGAATATTGAATAGCACATTGAATAGTGCGATCAAGTTCACGACCAGAAAGGGCCTAGCAATGATGTTAGTAACTTTGCGCAGCACAGCATCGAGGATAGGAAAACGACCGACATAAACAACGATCGGAGGAGGAATAATTTGCGCCTGCGTTGGAAATAAGCGATCGCGATCGAGCCTATATAGGATATTCCGATGAAGAACAAGGCAAAAACGAGCGACGCGGTCCTATCAATGTGCAGTTCCTCATTGGGGTCTCCAAAGACAACTGCCAGTATTAGATAGCTAGAGAAAGATTGCCACTGGTTAGCAAAGTTGATGGCATTGACTCTGCCTCGGGCTCTAGAAGTAAGCTGTGTACTAACCCCAATAACAGCAGGGCCGCGGACAATGCTGTCACGAGTCTCCATGGCCTAGAAACCCGATGGGCACTCGAGATCGTTCCAGATTCAACCCATCTATCTGATTCAGCCGAAAGAGCTTGCATGGTGGAGGCCTATCATCGCATCTCACGCAGTCAAGATGATCAAGGGGCTGGTTGGCGCTAAGACACGGGCGAAGTAGAATCACTGGTTCTTAGTAGAGTCCTAACAGACTCGTAGTCGTCCAAAGACAGCCGGATATTCAAATACAGTGCTCGAGGCACTAAACGAGTGAATAGGGTGGGTTCATGAAGATGGTAAGAAGTCTCAGGATCAGGCACCGAGCTGAAAACAAGAGCGAGAGAAGAACCCCCACGTCAGAGCCGCAGGAAAACCTGACAAACCTGAGAAACCCAGACGGGGCACAGCTTGCAGAGTTTAGGCTCTCGGCAGGGCCACTCAGACCTACAGAGCAAAGCCCAGCCTTCAGGAAGACTGGGGGCCAGCCTCCAATCATATCAAGGTGGTTCTGAGATGGCAACGGGCGGGCTGCCTCAATCTGCGGCTGATCCGTGCTGAGCATTCCCCTTGTGGGTACTGAAGATGTACAGCATCAATTGGGCTGGGCTATGCTCGAAGAAAAAAACGCCTCGCATCCTGGCGCGATCCATTTCGGTATCAGTCCCTTCGCTAACTATTGCATCGACAAAGCCTCTTCGAAGTTCGTCAACAGGCGTGCAGCCCCGCCTCCTTCCCGCCGCCCCTGATGCTCGCCACTAAGGATGGTCCGACATAGTTTCCACCAATAGGTTCTTGGTGATGAGATGAAGGTCAAAGGTATCGGGAACCCGAAATCTACATTGCCAACCCAGTAGTACTTGTCAGCGTGATCTTTTCTGCAGCGGAGCGGGGCTAACTGACTGTACTTCGCTGTCGTCCTCGCCTGTAATTTGTCCTCCGGCAGATTTGACCAGTGACTTAAGCCTGCTTTTAAACATCAGTCAAGTGCTATGAATATGGACATTATAGGAGGCTGGCCTGTCAATGTCGGCTTGGGTGATGCCATCCTGCAAAATGACCTAGTTCAATGCTTGATTTTTAGGAACACACACGTTTATCTTGTGCCAGGCAAGAGTACTTACTTTGTGGAGAGGCATTCTGTATCTAAATCTGTAGGTGCTAAGTAGGTAGGTGAGAGTTCTGAATATATTTTGGGTGATTCAAAACTAATTAGACGGTCTCAAACTTCAACTCCGGGAAAACATGCCGCCCTTCATGGTCAGTCATGATGATATCATATCCAATACCCCTTTAGATGATATAGAACGGACTACCTGGCTGTCATAGCGATATCTTCCATCATCAGGTAGATTGAGTCATGGCGTTTCTTCACATGGAGATCATCGGACTTGTGCACCTTCGATTCCTGGCTCCACGGTGTGGGGTACATCCTCATAGTTAAAATATATAACCCCAATCCCCCGGAGTCACCGTCAAAAACAGGAAAAATACATGCTATGGCACCTTTTCAAAATTGGCATTTCTGATTCCTTTTCTAATGCTTTTCACATCATGTAATGCCCGAGGGATTGGTGTTGTTATCTCAGAGTGGACATGGATATACGCTGATTTTTTTAATTCAAACTACTATTACTGATGGATTTTTTGCGATCGCGGTAGATAGCAAAACTTCGAGGCCTTTTCTAGGAGTATCTATGTCCAAGGTGACCAAAAATGTGCCTTAGCATTTGGAGCATGAATTTTGAACATACATATCATGGACACCAATTCAATGCGATCGGGGAAAAGAGAGGAGGGGCGTCCAGAAAACAAAAACAACATTAGTGTTAGGAGGCATTTGAGATTGAGAGCAACAGTAGTTTCCAAATGTCACACTGCTAGATGCTGAGATATTCTGAAATGGGGTTGCAGTATCACTTGTCATGTTTGTCATCGCCCCGCCCCATTTCCCGACAAAGACATGACCACATCATTATTCAGGGTTCCGTAACCGGGGTTTTCGCCGTGCCAAGAAAATTTGCGACAAGCCAAGCTTAGATTCGGACAAACTGCATCATTCAGTAAGCAGGTGTAAGCGGTCTAATCTTCGCAACACTAACTTTTTTTGATATTCTTCGGGCAATATAATATCTATTACCGATGAAAATGAGACATTATCATGAGTGGGACTACACGAGAGCCGACATGCGGCATTCAGCGGTGAATTAATGATAGAAGATCTCAATCTACAAACATAATCCAAGATGCTTGGCATTGGGGATCGGGATCGCAAATTAGACTAATGAAATCTTAGAGGGAGAGGGGAAAATGACTCCGAGCGCTGGAGTTTTGGGGTAATAACGGTAGCTAACACCTTCAGGGCCTATATTGACTTAGGGTCTAGGTTGACGTGCATGCTTACTGACACATTTGTAGGTCGTTTGTCATGCGCTAATTAAGCTAAAGTGAAACGACAGGTGCCAGGCTTCCGGCGGGAGTTCCCGGTGGATCCGAAAGCTTCAAACCTTGAAATCCAACGGGCGGTATATCTCCGGTGGCTGAATTTAGCATCTCGAAGGGTCTAGAGGGGGAAAATCTAGCTGCAGATGAAGGGCAGAGGTTCGAATATACGGACGTTGTGTAAGGTCAGTCAAAGGCCAATACAATAACATTCTTGCGAAGTGTATGGACAAAATACTCCCTCGTTGATGGCAGCTTCTACATTTGAAGGATCATTGGATTAAGCTACAATCTCCATTGCTCAACTTAATAGACAATAAGACTGTCAGTTTCCTAAAGAGGAAAAAGTTGTCATATGTATCTTGGAACAGATGGGACCCTCCATCGGAGTAAAGACCTGTCACCGATCTATCCGTGCTTGTACCTGGCTAGCCGAGCCGTGACACGTGTAATAGTTTGCATATTGAAGCACTGTCTGTGGGCCAAGATCATGTGGAGAAGGTAATTATCGCCATACTAGATCTGGGGTGGGAGTAAGCAGACTCGGGATTAGCAAACCCTTTGTCAAGATTATCTATCTCCATGGTCAAAACAAATGTCGACATAATTTACATGGAGTGTGTTGGATATAAAAGGGAGGGATTCCTCGCATTCCCTGTGTTTTGTATCCAGACTCAAGACAAGATCTCAAGAACACTCAAGACTTCCTCAATCTCTTCGGTATTCCGCAGCAAGAATTCAAGATGTACTTCTCCAAGATCGTCCAGACTGCCTTCCTTTTGGCCCTTTCTGTCCCCGCTCAGGCGTGGAACAGACTGGACAAGGACAACGCTGTAAGTCAACAAGTCCCGAACTAGAACCAGAACAAGAATTGATCATTGTTCCAGGCTCTCTTGATCATCGATCACCAAGTCGGTCTGTCCCAGGTCGTCCGTGACTTCAGCACCAATGACTTCCGCAACAACATGCTTGCGCACTCTTCCATTGGAAATGTATTTGACTTGCCTACTGTCCTGACCTCCTCTTCCGACACCGGCCCCAACGGTCTCCTCCTCAAGGAGATCACCGACATGCACCCCAATGCTACCTTTGTCCGTCGCCAGGGTGAGGTCAACGCCTGGGACAACGAGGACTTCCGCAAGGCTGTCAAGGCTACCGGCAAGAAGCAGCTGATCATCGGCGGTATCGTTACCGAAGTTTGTAAGTTACCCTGCTCCTTGTTGTACGATCTCCACAGATCAATTCTGATAATATGGTGATTAGGCACTGCTTTCCTGGCTCTGTCCCTTGTTGATGCCGGTTACGAGGTCTTTGCCAACACTGATGCTAGCGGAACCTTCGACGTCAAGCTCGCTGAGGATGCTAACCGCCGCATGGAGCGCGCTGGTGTTACTCTCATGGGCTACTTTGCCATCATCTGTGATCTCATGCGCGACTGGCGTAGCAGCCCTGGTCTCACCGAGATCCTCCCCGTCCTTGACAAGTAAGTCATACACTGAAATTTTGCCAACCGGGGTTTGCAGCTAAACTAACTTACTATAGGTACCAATTCGCTTACGGTCTCGTTGCTCGCCACCACGCTGGTGCTATTCAGAACGGTACCCTGGCTGCCGTTGAGACCACTCTGATCTAAACGCAGATCTAGCACTAGTTTATGCTCTCGGTTCGAACTAAGTGTCAAGATCAAGTCGGCCCGATGATTGAAGCGGCGGAAGAGTTGAAGAAAAAGATGGAAGGGATGAATGGACAGATAGACGGATGGAACAAAGACTATTAGATGGACGAGAGAGATGGGTTGATGTATGAAAAGTGTATAGCTTTACCAATCATTACTGTTCTTCTCGTGACGCGAAATATCCAGTAATTGACGTCAAAGCGCTTGACGAGCCGCCTCTAGCAAGTCAAAACTCCATCAACAAATAAGCCTCCGATAACTTCAGTCTCGAGGCCCATCTACCTCTTTTCACAGCATAAGCCTGATCGACCGTTTGGCATAGTAGAGCCAACCAACCGGGCCAAGACTTGAATGAATTCTTGTGAAAATTCCACTCTTTCCAGAAAAATAAAGTCCGGGCAAATGAGCTTGCGGACGTCTAAGATATTATCCAACGAGATGATCGATTATCAAAAGGCGACTAGGCTCTACAAGGTAGGGCCAGCCTGATGGTCCTAGCCACGCGGCAGAAGATATACACATGCGCGCACCCCAATTTTCAAAGCCACCAATCAAGATGAGTCGTAGAATCAGAAGATAAAGAAATGCCGTTAGCTCGATATCAGAGTAATTCCAATCATACTAAAACATTAGACAGAGCTACAAAAGCCCGATAGGACAATATGTGTATTCCTCCTGTCTATCAACAGAGAGTTGTTTTATGTTGGGAGGCTGACGGATGACAAAATATCTCAGCTTTACGTCCCGGTAGCTGATGTTCAGCTAGTTATCGCTTTGTTCCCCTCGCTGACAAACAAGAGTTCATGCCCCCTTGGGTTTAGGCCTACAGTAACTGAGTTATACCCCGCTCGACAACACAATGCAACCTTCCCAATTGAAAGAAGCGAGATCGAAAAGGGGGAGGTCTTATCGTTATCAGGGGGGAACCCGACGGTCGACCGGGTTTAGTTTAATTACATGATCGGGAATGCAAGACAGGTGGAGATGATGATGAGCTTCCTTGTTTATCAATAAAACGACTGCCTCTTCCCCTCAATTAAGTCTCCTCAGCTATCGTAGCAGGGCGAAGTTCTCTGCCATAGTACCCTGTATTTTCTTTCCCCGCCAATTTATATCTTGGCCAAGCTTTTGCGGGCTACGATGGCGCGATATTCGAAAGTCTTAGCTATCACGGCAGCTTTGTTGCTCCCCTGTGCCTCGGCACAGTTCGTATCTGCCCCAACCGACTTGATCACGAAGAAGGGCCATGCGGGAATCAACGTGCGATACAAGGAAGTCCCGGCTGGAATCTGCGAGCAGGATCCCAATGTCAAGAGCTATTCTGGATATGCTGATGTTGGCGAAAATGAGCATATCTTTTGGTAAGCGACCTTCCTCCTCAAATCGTGGGGTACTAGAGGCATCCGTTGCATGCACGCGACCTGATGCGATCGCATTCCATTGAGAAATAATTGTCTGTTGCAAGGACCTCCGTCCAACCGGCGCAAGATAACGCAGTAAGATTCTCGTTTGAATGATCGGACTAACAATTGAGCTATAGGTGGTTCTTCGAAGCCAGAAATGAAGATCCAAAAAAGGTATGTTCTGCTCCAACTCCGTAGAGCCAACTATATGAAGCCAATAAGTCCTAACGATTCACCCAGGCACCACTCACCGTCTGGATCAATGGTGGACCAGGTTCATCTTCCATGATTGGACTATTCCAAGAATTGGGACCCTGTGGTGTCGATTCCGACGGCAACGCCTACAACAACCCGTACTCATGGTCCAACGCAAGCAACATGGTAAGTTCGGAAACACCGCAATACTAAAGGCACTTCATCTAACAAACAGCCAGCTCTTTATCGACCAGCCAACCACTGTCGGCCTTTCATACTCGATTCCCGTCCCCGCATATCAAGATAGCGATGGCAACATCATCCAATTGCCCGACGAAACATGCCCGGACTACGCCGAAGAGGTTGGCACATGTGGCACATACTCCAAGTCAGACATTAGCCTCGTGCCAAACACGACCCAAGGAGCAGCCCCGAACATGTGGAAGACTCTGCAGGGTTTCATGGGCGCATTCCCTAACTACTCGCGCAATGGCTTCTCCTTCACGACGGAGAGTTACGGCGGTCACTACGGGCCCGTGTTCAACGGTACGCAAGAAACCCCTCTCAACCATCCCCTACGTTTCCACTCCCATCTGATCCAACGTAGAATACTTCCTCCAACAAAACGCCAAAAAGATCCCCGGCGCAATCAACATCAACCTCGAAAACGTCCTCATCGGAAACGGCTGGTTCGACCCCCTAATCCAATACCAAGCCTACTACAATTACTCCATCTACCCGGGAAACACCTACGACTACGACCCGTACAACGCCACCATAAAAGCAGAATGGTACAATAACCTCTACGGCCCCGGAAACTGCGTCGACCAAACGAAGCAATGTTACGCAACGGGTCGCAATGATATCTGCGCCACCGCGGATAGTTTCTGCGCGAACAAGGTCGAGGAGATGTTTGATATTTACTCGGGACGGGATGAGTACGATATGCGCGAATTGACGCCGGATCCGTTCCCGTATGAGTTTTACGTGGACTATTTGAATAGTCCCAAGGTGCAGGAGGCTATTGGGGCGTATCAGAATTTCTCCGAGTATTCGTATACGGTGGGGAATGCGTTTTCGAGTACCGGTGACGATGATCGGGAGTCGAATACTATTGAGGATGTGCAGAAGTTGTTGGATGCCGGTGTGCAGGTTGTGATGTACTTTGGTGATGCGTGAGTTTGCCTATTCTCCCCAGTATTGTCTTCCATGCACATGTATAGCTAACTTGATATGTGGAACAGTGATTACAACTGCAATTGGCTAGGCGGCCAAGTCGTTGCCGAAGAGATCAACGCACGCGGCTACAAAGACGCTGGCTTCGTCAACATTACAACCTCGGACGGTATCGTGCACGGCCAAGTCCGTCAAAGCAATCTATACAGCTTCGTGCGCATCTACGAGTCCGGCCATGAAGTGCCCTTCTATCAACCCCTCGCCGCTTTGGAGCTATTCGAGCGAGCCCTCGCAAGAAAGGATATCGCCACGGGTAAACATTCCGTGACTTCGCATGGCGGGTATAAGACCGATGGAACTCCCACGAGTGACTTCCGGGAGGGTAATAGCACGATTGTGATGGAGGTGCTTTCGAGTGATGCTACGTATAACACGACTTTGAATGGACCGAATCCGTCGACTTCGAGCAAGGCGCGGAGGGATGTTTCGGCTCAGAGCAAGAAGGCCAAGGCTGTTCGAAAGGTGAGGCGGTCCATGGGGGGAAGACGGTTGGTGTAATGTTGTGAATAGTGATATGCATGAATCGGCTTGTGATCAGAGCCACGGGGATGGTAGTGTAGGTAGGGTTGGAGGTTGAAGAGATATTTTGTTTCAATCAATGTTTCGGCTTCTTAATGCCGTTCTTTATTTATGCAGTAAATTGGATGGGATACAAAATAGATATTCACAAGAAGGTAAGTATGTGGATGGATGTGGCCATCTCACGGCTTCAAGAGCCTAATGCAGATGTAGTGCTTCTCCAAATGAGCTGTAAGCGGACTCTTCTTTAGGCCTTTCAATACCCTAGGCCAGTGGTCTCGGAATTTCTGCAAGTATAAAGTCCAAACTCCCACCGAGCGATGTTTGACTTCGGCGGAATGTCTGGGGGTTAGGAAGCTGCTGTCTAGCTTCGCTGTTTGCCTTCCTATCTGTGGAAGGTTGGCCAGCATAAACCTCACTATCAATTGAGGTATACTCTCTACTACATGCTCAGATAATACTGGCAATAGTCATACGCGAATGAGCAGAGCTAGACCGACGCTCTGTCGTATCCGAACCCGCTGACTGGGGAGCGAGCATGGCGGAAGAATCCGGTCTAGAGTCCATCGCGACGTCGCGACGTTCATACTCACGGCGCTGTTTCTCGCCAAGCAAATGCGCAACGGTCTTCTCAACCCACTCCCAGCCTTCCCATTGCGAGTCTGACTGAGTTGGCGCTGGAGCCGATTGTCCGGGGATATTCTCCAGGTTGGCACCGGTTTCGCTACCCTGCCAGACCCAGCTACCATCTGCAGTTCCCTGCATATCCCCAGAGACATAGGCCATCATCGCCTCGTCGTGTTCAGAATCCACGATTTCGCCTGGCTGGGCGCGGTCGAGAAGGCACCGGAGGAAGAACGCTAAGTACCGGCCGCAGGCAGCGTTCACCGCACGATCATCACCCACGGCGGCACTAGCCTGCACACAAGCCAATGCTGCGGCGAATTCTTGCCGGAAGAGAAGGAATAGAGCACAGCGCCAGATATGTGTGCAGAGAAGTGTCCCTGCACTCGAAGCGAATAGAGTTCTCCAGTCTCCAGTGCCAGAGTGACTGCGCATGCAGCGCGAGAGGATACTAGCGGTATCGATTGCTATTGAGACACAGTAGTCCACAGCGGCGGTGCGAACGCCGGGCTGGCAGTAAGGGGAGATGTTGTGACGATGAAGGAGGAGGCGGGCATTTTGGAGGTAGATTATAGGAGCGAGAGATCGGGGATCAAGGTCGGTGTCTTGCTTGAGTTGGAGGTGTGCTGGGAAGGTCGTTCGGCAAATGGTGAAGTGGCGTTCGAAAGTTTCGAGAGTTGCGTAGCTAATGGAGGGAGAACGGAGGGTGCGTGTGAGCTGGCCGATGGAACGGACGACGTGGATTGTGGCAAGTAACGTGGATGGCGCAGTTTGCTGGTCTTCGCATAATTTGCCTTGGGCAAGAGACTGGTCGTCTACGGGGCAGGGTAGGTCGATATCGCAGTCCTGATCATTGATCAAGACTGGTTTGCCCATCTCGAGAGCCAAAAGTCTAGAATAAAAAAACATCAGTTACGTTTCTTAGATTTGCAGGTAAGCCACGGGATACAAACCGGTCGTAGGTGTACAATCCCCACCAGATGCGCTTGCGCATTTCGCCTTCCAGCTCAGGCCATGGACCAGACTCGATATGCAAACCAATCTCTTGCGCGACGCGCACTGCTGATCCGATCCAGACCCAACTAGCGGATTTGGAGTTGACTTCGTATAGGAAGATGCTAGCAAGCAAAGCCGCCCGCACTCGATCCAGATTGAATTCATCTTGCCACACATCGATGATCCCACAAGAAATGCGAACAAACTTCTTGCCCTCTTCTTCTCGGTTCGGCTCAGCTGTATGGACCGCACCGCATGCGAAAACACCGAACAATACCGCAGCCCATTCGCTCGACACGCCCGTCAAAGACCCCGTTTGATACAACTTCTCATATGCGTCGATAAACTCAGGCCAGTGCAGGACCGGCAGAACTGAGTGAATGCATTGGTAATACTGAGCGAGGAGATGATCGGCAACTTCTTTTGGGGGAAGCTGTGGCGCTCCCTCGGCTGGTACCACCGATTTTGAACCCTGTTGCTGGTGCGGATGAGGGGCCTTCAAAATCCCTCGACCGTGCTGACGCAAGTTCGATCGTACTTCGGACAAGTCTTGCGTGATGAACGGCCTGGGTCTTCTGGATGGTTTATATTCGATCTCGGGTAACTTGATTATAGGTGCTGACGTTGATTCCTCGATGTCCATCATGCCGTCTGGTCGAAGCATGCCCGATCGTAGTTGTTGGAGCTGTTGCTTGGTCGTTTGTAGTTGTTTTTCGAGATCCTGAACCTGCTTGATCGAGGACATGCGCCGATTCGTCTCTTTGGTGAATAAACAGCGAACCTTGCGGTTGATACACTCCGTGCAATGGGACGTCTCCGTCGCATCGCACTTGACCTTACGCTCGCGACAGGCATCGCAGCTGGGATCTTTCCTCCGTTGGCGATAAGCTCTCTTCTGCTGGAGCGGGGTGGGCGTCGACTGTGGAAGCCCAACCGGGCTCGTTTGGTACATGCCGGGGGCTCCTGGCACCGATACCATCGGCGGCGCATCAGGTAGACCTCCACTCTCCGCAGGAGATCCCGATGCCGAGTCATAGAATCGCGCATAGGGTGAAGTTGATGGGGCTGGGGTCGGGCCCGGTGCAGACATCTGCTGCGGCTGGGGCGGTGGAAGCGACGCCTGAGCCAACGGCGACACTTGTGGTAATGGTTGCTGCGGCTGTTGAATCGGCGGCATAGGTTGCAACAGATGAGCCATTCGCATTCCGCTGTCTGGTCGACTTGGCGGAGCGGAGGGCAGCCCAGGGGCGGGAGGGAATGCGCCCGTTACGGACTGCACCGGAGGAAGCTCATACGAGCCACTCCGGTTCGGGTTGGCGGGGCGAAAGGGCGTCTGCTGCATCGCGAGAAAATGAAGCGTCATCCAGACTCCACCGCGGCGGCGGGGAGGATTTCAGAAGAGTAGAGGACCGACGAAGGGCTTCAATGCGAAGAACCAAAGTAAATAGTCGCAAAATCAATAACCCACAGATTGAAGCCCAGGTGAAAAATATAAGATGGGCAAGGTGAAGAATGAAAACAAGAATATCCACGGAACAAACCAATCGACCAGTGGATAAAAGGAGGCAAGTTCGTGGAGTTGGTAGAGTGGACTAGTTTTAAGTTGAAGTTGGCGGGGGGTCATCAAACCCGTCGCGGCGCGAGGATACGACTGGCCGAAGGAGAACGGGCTCGCCACCGGGTCAGTTCATTCGGTCGCTTGGAAACTGCCGAGCGCTAAATAATCCCACTGGCGGAATGTGAATTGTCATTCGCGGGAAGAAGTCAAGTCGCAAGTAGCCATATTGTCGAGTTCAAATGGAGATCAAGAATGTTAAGATCGGGGTTGTTGCGATGGCCCAAAAGAAGCTCGAATCAGTCGCGCGAACGAAACCGGATTGGTTCTGGGAGCGGAGAATAAACAAGATTTAAAGCAAAAAGAGAAGAATAGAATCAAGGGAGAAAAGAGGAAAGAGAGAGAGAGAGAAAAAGGAAAAAGGAAAAAGGAAATAAGAAAGGACCCTAAATGAGAGCAGGAAAGCCAAGGCCGAGAGGAGAAAAAGGAACGAATGAGATGAAGGTCAAAAGAAGAAGGGGATCTGAACGTCAGGGCAGATCGTGGAGACGATAAATGCCGAGGCTTGTGGGATAAAGGAAACCGATCGAATGACGATGCCGATAGAGTTGAAAGGCCAAGGGTGATGGAGTATGGAGGAGTATGGAGTAGAGGAGCCGGGGGAAGAATGAGGATCGGAATGCGGCAAAATACAAGATGAACGGGTTTGACAGATTAGTGAGGAAGGTAGAAGAAAAGGAAGAGGAGGAAAAGAGAAAAGGGAAAATGGAAATCCAGAAGGAACCAGATCGACAAGCTGGACGTGGGATTGCGATCACCATTCCTCTCAGGGTCCGTATTGTCTTGGACTACTCGATAAGTTTAATTATTATATTTTTATACTGTAATGTTTAAACCTGGGCTTTGGTAATACTCCGTAGTTATAGAATCGATTGGTTGAATGGCGAACCAAAGAAACTCGACGACCCGGAAACCGAATTAAGGAATCTTCAGCCGAAATGACACTTTGCACGTCCGCTAAAAACCGGGTCTAGCCCCCCCCTTATACGATCGTCTCGAGGTTGCTCTTCTATGAGTCTATGGAGTATGGAAGACTATATATTATCTAGGACCTTAGGATCTAGTCATCTTATAACTATCTATCTCTACTACTACTACTACCTACACTACCTATACTTAATTACACTCCATACATACTTCACAAAAGAATGAAGGAACCAAAAAGTTCACCTCTCGGCCTCCGGCTATCACCTCCTATCACGACTCTACCCACCTCTTTCAGCCCGAGATCAGACCTCTTGCGCCCAAGAGGCATCCCGAGATCGGCAGAGGCAGTGTTAATGGATACCTGAACCAGTTTGAACAGCGCCTTGCCTTTTTTTTTTTTCCTTTCTTTTTCTTCCTTTTCGGATGGACCAGTCAAGGCGACTGGAGACCGTGTCCACCGGGGCCCCACCGTCGGGAGCCTGGGAATTGGCGAACCTTGTCTCCATTTACATTTGACGGAGGAGGGGGAAAGTCATGGCGTTCTTCGATCCGGAGGGGAGCCACGCCGGTAGGTTGCCCTTGAACTCGGCAGAGTTGGCGGGTCCCACTTGGGTCCAGCACTGCTGAGTCTATCCCTTGTGTGCACTGCGTTGTGTAGTGAAGTAATATTATCGTTGAACGATATTTTGTAAAATATAAGACACGGTCTTCCCATATCTAAGAACTAGTATACAATAATTGATAATGCACGGAGCATGTTCGAATCGTTCCTCGCGAACGTTTCCCGATGTTAACCTCCTAATGGTAGATCGGGAGCAGAACCGTCCAAAAGGGCTGGTGCGCCGCGTATCCTGAACGGCTAATGGATCGTCAGTGCTGGTTGGGACTGGATCATCTTTACACCAGTCAGGATGCAATCTCGATCTTACCCCTAAGGAGGCAAATTCAGAGTTTAATGAAGATGCCTAGAATTATTCGGAGTGTAGAACGCATGCTCTGTAGTCTGTACGTAGAACTGTGAACGCAGTTTCTATGGATAAAATTTCTATGGATAGCATTAAGCTCCCGACATCGGGCTTCTATGGAGCGTGGCGACAAGAAGCCAAATTATACTTCTGATCCAAATGCTTGCTAGGCCAACCAAATTGCAGGAAACTTCCGGCACGAACAGGCTTAATCCCTCCTGGTGCGTTAACCTACTTTTCTTGGTTATACCGCCTATTTCATAATCGTCTTATCCCTTACCCCCATTTAAAGTCGCTATATCCACGGATAGCACCTAGGTGGAAAAGAAAAGAAAAGGCATACGTAGCCTAGGGTATGCGAGAATGAAGATCTCGGCGCCCGCCGTGCCGTCTTCTTTTCTATGCAACAACCTAATAACAAGTTTAAAAAAACTACTGTACCAAGACCCGATTTTTTCCCCTTTCTTTTCGGTTTAGTTTAATTTTGTTCCACCGCTCCCGTTTCGTTTCATCTTCTGCACGGTTGCAAGCCCTGATCGACTCGGAAAGCATTCACCGGACCACATGGAAGCCCAGCCCAAGCCCGGATGTTGGCCCGGACAGTGGGGACCCTCATCTCCAAGAGCGGCAATAATTTGCCTTTTCCTTTTTCTCATTTCTTGTTCTCCCCTATCGCCCATCGTTGCTAGTTTGGACGCAGCGACGCCAGGCTACCCCCCATCTTTCTTCCAATCAGAAGGGACTGGCTTCATTCAATCTGGCCCCATGTCGCGTATCAAAGGAAGGTGGCTGAATGTTCCTCCCGATCTCAGACCAAGAGTTGTACATTCGGGTCTGCCGAGCCCTAGAGCCCTGACTGGTTGGTCCCGAGTTTTATCCGAAATAAACGTTGTTCGGGTCCCGTTGGGTCTCCGCAAAAGGGGAGAGATGTGATTTTATGGTTAACAACTGGGTTTACGGGATGTTTACCGAGACCAGAGCGAGGGGAGGCTAGGTTTCAACATACGAAGGTAAGTAACATATAGAATATTAAAACCCCCAAAAATCCCAACAAGTCAATAATAACATCCCTTCGCCAAGTATCCCCGTTAAAAAGCTTCGGTACAGAGTACATATTAAACTCGTCAAATAAATCAAATGCCCCGTGCGTGCCTTTTCCCACGTTGACCAAAAGCACAGGCTGCCGTGCCTCGTGCCTCCTCCCGAAGTTAACGCTGTTGGAACCTCCTTTTTCTCTAACCCAACCAACCACGACCACGCTATGCCAAACCCACGGCCCCAAGAGCTGCCCGTAGATCCACCCCTGCCATCTATCACGATTGGCCAACACAAACGAAACGTCTGATCACCCCCCCTCGAACGGAGAAGGTATCCCTCGCCAATCTGCTTAAGACAGATCTCCCACGGGTTTGGGAGTACGGAGAAGCCCTGTCGGCTTTGATCACAGGACCTGCGGTCTGCTGCAACCGGCGTGCATGCTTTGCAGCAAGCCTGAGCGACGCTGATGCTGATGCCAGCTTCAGCCGCTCATCCCCCTTGTTAGGCTAGTTCTCCGAGTCTGGTCATCTCGGGTCAGCCCCTTCACCTTCCTATTCTCGACCTTCGTCGATGCGAAGATCTATCGCGGGAATTCCGAGTTCCGATTACTTATGGTACAGTCTGGCGCAAATCCTACGGAATCATGGAGGATAGTACCGAGCAGAGATGCATTGACACTCAATTCATTTCCGTGTCATCTCATTCTTTCAAAATCTTGATGACGCTCAACGCTCGACACTCGACGTCTTGGCGCGCGGGCCCATACCCAATCTCGTCATGCTCACGAGCTCTCTAACAAGATCCTCCGAATCATCTACCACGTCTTAGAGAAATTACGGCTTCCCCGCACCCTTCGGCTACGCGATAAGACTCTCCGGCCCCAGATACCCAACCATCCACATCAGCCACTATCCACCGTCTAAGCGGCGGAACTCGCCTCGCCAATCCCCATCCCTCTTTTGTAGGAACCTGTCCGATTTCGAGGTGGATTATCGGACGCACCAGTCGCGATCATGCATGAGCCGTCTCAATTGCGCCATTCACCCCTGGCACGGGACATCAATGCGCCAGCTGCCGTATTCTGGTCCAAGCTAGCCATTTACTGTACAGTGTGCGCTGCAGTCGAACAATTCCAACAAAAGGAACCCAGTCGAGGACTCATCCAAGTCACATGGATAGAGCTGTGCTCAGCTGCATACCGCCTGCATAACCTTACCTCGAGTTCTTTCGTATAGTTTACTCCATACAGTACATGCTTTGTGCCTGTCTGAGAAATCACATTTGGTTGGGCGGTCAAGCCCTCGGTTCGTGCCGTTGCTTGTCGGGAGAATTTCTCCTGCGTTAGCATGTTAGCATATTAGCACGACTGGGTCTTGTCAGGGCAGGGATCATTACTGTGCTGTACTTCGCTCTTGTATTTTCCCCGCCTTTTTGTCACACACAAAATTAATTGTGCTTCAGCCTTCAGCGCAGGGGTGCCAGTGGTACGTGCTTTGATCTATCGTATACTTCGTACAGAGTACAGATGACATCCCAGTCAGGGACCTTGTGTGTCCGGGCTGTTGGGTAGAGACCCATAGCAAAATGAAAAGCAACAATACAGTAGCCAGCCACCAACCCAACCCAACCCATGCAAACACTACTGCACACTTATTATACAGGTCTTGGCAGTCGTAGTAAGCTCAGCAACCCTCTCAGCTCGCTCGAGCCGAAGACCAAATTCATCACTAGCGAAGCCTTGTCCTGCAGTCTTGCGACCGCTTGTAACAGCTGTTGGTTCATGACTCTATATACTCTGTACAGTAGCCCCGAACACCAGCGTCGTCATCTATGCCTCGTCTAATTCTCGCATGACCTTCCCCTGGTCAATATGCTTACATGTGTTTTGATGATAGGGCGGTATGAACTTATGTATCACTCCGAACCCCCCACCAGGAAGAACCATGCAGTCAGGCACATAATACCACAGCCCCGGGCTGATAATTGAGCTCAACTCATAAGCAATAAGCCATAAGAGAGCAAACCATGGCCCCAAACCACAGAAGCAATTACTAAAAAGAGGCAACCTGGCTAGTCTACTCTGCGTTCTGAGGCACTGGAAATCCGGCACCACAGCGCCGTATCCTAACAGCACTAGTGGACCAACGCCATCTACGATGAAGTCGACCTGCATACTACGAACATCCAAATACAAGCCCTCCCCCCCCCCCCTCTTCATATGCACACATCACACGCATACTGTGAACATTAATTTTCCCTCCAATTCCACCTCCCACCGTGACCTGACCCGATGGAGTCTATTTTTCCCGCCCCACAGCGGGACAACGATCCGAACAGATGAAACCGCCCCGACCAACAACCGAGACTTTCCGATTTGCCCCCCTGGCCCCAACCGGTGACCACGCTGAGGAGCTGGTCCTGAACGGCCCTTTCAATCTGAGACCGGAGTGTTCCGCGGACCTAATCACTAACGTTATTACGGGAGTCTCAGATTAAGCGATTGCTTGGCTTTGCGCGATGACGTATTGATCGGGTTGGCTTTTGCCTTTGGGCTATCGGGTGCTCGGGTTGTGATAGCCCGATGGGTAAGCGATTCGTACGTATGTAGGGTTGAAGGGAGTAGAGTATAGAGATAGTACGGAACATGAGATTATTATTGGTAGAGTGCATACTTCCTAGGTGTAATTCTCGGAGTCCGGATCGGTGCAATCTAGGTTTAGAAGGTCCATGTCATAGCGTTCGTGTAGCCGCGGCACGGAGAGATTTCGTTGTAACCCAAACTCACCCACGGTAGCAGCAAGTGCGAGAGATTAAATCTTGAATTGAATATAGAGTAGAGTAAAAAATTGAAGCATGGGTAAGGCTGGTTGCTATTGTATTGCAGTCACAGCTAGACTTTTCTACTCCTTAACTGCGTACGTCCGCCGGAACATCTCGTCGACTTCGACAAGATAGTATGTCCCGGGTGCCAGAGCGTCGACGCTGCCAACGGGTCTATGGCTCTTTTGTTGATATGCCTGCTCGCGCAGTTTACACATCTGATTATGATCAGCGTCTGTTATGTGCTTGAGGCGGGATTGTCTTACCTCGTCGTAGAATTCAGGCGAAACTTGCTCGCGAGCTGCGAGGCGAGCGTGCAGGTCGATCTTGGATGCGATATCGCTCACGTCGCCTACAACGCGTAGACTGAAAAGCGTACTGGCCAGACCACTGCCAAAGCTGTACACTCCCACACGTCTGCCGAGTAGTTCTGCATTCGGAACGTTGCTGAGTAGACTGACAAGACCCGAGTACACGCCCGCAGTGTACATATTCCCGCACATAGTCGGCGCTGTGAGGCTTTGCTGGACACGTTTTGCGAATCTTTCTTTCGACAGTCCTATGAAGAGTTTCTGTAATGTCTTGTCACTCAAAGATTCCTCGTAGGTTTGCTGTTGGACGGACGCAGGCACAATATCAGAGCTGAACAGTTCGTTCTGCGGGTTCGCCATGAAGTCATTATACAGCAGCCGTGCATAGGACTTGGAAACGAGCTTGCAGTTAGGCGCATGAAAGACAAAATGGTCAAACTCGTCCAGGGGAACCGTAGATGGGCCCGTCATCGAAGAATGTCCGTTCATATACCCGTTCACCATCCCATTCACCTTACGAACAACCTGCTTCTCACGATACCGCCGATAACACCCATCAAGTGCCTGCAAATAACATCTCGAAGAATAATGCCCATCCACAATCGGATACTCAGACTTGAGATCCGGTTTATAAAAGTCATATGTATGCTGCATATACGACGCACGCAACGGCTCCAAGACCAACGGTGCATCGGGCCCGATGAGCATCGCCACGCAACCCGCACCACCAGTCGGTCTCGCCGAGACAGTTTTGTACAGTGCAATATCCGAGGCAACGACAATCGCATTTCGTCCATCCCAGGCAGAAGATTCAATCCAGTTCACGGCGTTGAGGAGCGCGCTTGTTCCCCCATAACAGGCGTTGTAAGTATCTGCGCCTTCTATGTCGGTGTTAAAGCCGAAGAGTTGCATTAGTACGGATTTGCAGGATTTGGCTTTGTCGAGCATGGACTCTGTGCCGACTTCTAGGCGGCCGATTGAGTCCCGGGAGATGTTGTATTTGTGGAGGAGGGAGGAGACGGCTGTTAGGGCGAGGGAGTATACATCTTAAAGAGTGGTCAGCCACGGTCAGTGCATAGGTTTATCTCATTGGATCAATGGGCATTGAAACAGTTGAAGGATGTAGATGTACCCTCGCGATCGTCACAGAAGCTCATTTTCGTCTGGCCTAGTCCGATTGTGTATTTGCCGGTGCTAGCACCGAGGAACTCTTCCAGATCCGATTGAGCTACATACTGTAAGAATGTTAGATGCAAAGGAAATACAAGATTCGTAAGCTGAAGGCTGTTCTAAGGAACATAGTCAACTTACTCGACTAGGAAAGTAAAGCTCAATAGCTTTGATGCCAATGTTCTGAGGAGTCATGATCAGATGTATCTATCGTAAGCTTCACAGATAATTATTACCAGTCTGTCCTGATTCTGAAGCAGAACTGACGTGGGTTCCCCTCTCTATTTATATTCTCAGCAATACACAGGAAATCTCAGACCACCAGCTCATTCTCAGGAACAGGGACTTTATCCCGGTGGACCTATGCGTACAGCCCGTCACCGTTGGTCCAATCTCGTAGCCGCTTGCAAGTGCAGCGCAGAGGCACCAGAGACAAAAAGGCAACCTCCTTTCATCCGAAGGAAACGGGCAGCGTGGGTGTAAATTTCGGTGCCTGAGTGGAGGGCAGTTGGCCGTAGCATTCGGGGATGTACACTGTAGTTCGGATCCTGTATGCAATCCCGGCCTGGCCGGACTTGCTGTCAGCAAGCCTTTCCCGAAATTCGAATGCATTGTCTCTCTCATTGGAAGATATCGAGGGAGAAGTAATTGAAAACGTAGGGGCTGGAGAGGGACAAGTCCAAGGCAGCAGCTATAAAAAAGTAGTTTGACATGACGTCGTTGTGAGGCGAAGCTTTGATAAGGGAGGAACAGATAATGTGCTCCAAGATGACAATAATCTTTAGATGATTATGTTGTATTGGTCTTGCTTTGGTCAAACACATAAATTTTCAATTTTCAAGATGGGGACGTGGTTAAATGCAAGCTCTCCAGTAACGCCGCCCACATGAACGATACTCCTATCAGATCAATCCACTCTTTAGAATTTGTGATCATTTATTCTTTTGCGCTTCATATTTCTCGACGATAAGATTCACAATAAGCGTTAGGCCTTCCATTTCTTCCTCCACCGTCTGCCCGAGTCCGTTGGGATCAATGCTGCACCCAACATAGACAGGTTGTCGCACGCGTCGGGCAAGGATCTTAGCCACCCGTGTTGTATATTCGATGCTGGATGGCGTTGTGTAGAGTGTTGTCGAGATTGTCGCATTTGATGAAGTTCGCTGGGATTGTTAGCAAGGGTTGAATGTGATAATTGATGACAAGAAAAAAGGATGAGATGGCGATAGGATAGTGAAACAATCAGTTCAAGATGAAAACATTAATCCCCACAATCCAGGTGATTGATTTTGAGAAAAAAAAAAGCAAGTTCAATGTTGTAGATCGGTAGCTCCTGAACAATAGAGGTGGCATATGCCTCTATCCTTGGGCGACGAAGATATGAAATGACATAAAATATTGTACCAAAGAGCCCGAGGAAAGCTCAAAGAGTCCCAACAGATAGACAATGACCGTCGAATGAGGATTTCAATGCAAGAATCATACGACAGGTAGATGAAGGAGATCAAAGATGAATATTGTGAACGACTTACATAAGGCATTGCATACACAAAGCTACCCATCGGCTTCACAGACCCCGCCGAGTCACCTGGTGTCGATGTAGCAAGATGGACCATGATACAGTGACCCAAGAAGGTCAAATGGACATGGCCAGTCGTGTGGAGAGCTTTAGGTAGTGGGAAGGAGAGCTCTTGAGGCTTGAGAGTGGGGGAGACCAGCTCCGTCTGGGGGATTGTTGGTGCTGCGGTCATCGCCATGGTGTGTTCTCTACTTCAGACTCAGAGCTGAAGGTCTAGAAAGAATGAAGACAGAACTGAAGAAGATGTTTTGATGGCGCGTGGGGTCCTCGCGTGTCCGTTGTCAAGCTTGGAGAGGTTGAAGATTCAACGGTCCCCGCCGGCAAACGGAGGCGGTCCACCAATCCCACTTCGCTTTGCCCGCCGCACACTCACGAGGATCGACACTTGGACCTGTTCAGTCCATAGCTCATTGCAGAGGCGTAGCACATCCAGTGTATATATTGACGGTCACTGGGACTATATCTAGCTATGACAGATTCAGAGCCAGTCGTCAGCCACGAGGCTGAAGGGGAGGAGACCTGGGCTGGAGACTTTGATCCTTTCTCCGATCCCGAAGAGCGACGAGTTCTTTTCGCCGCGTTTGATTCCTTCCGGTACGCCATAATGAATACATGCAATTCTACTTGTTCGATGGCAACTGTATCAGCCAATCACATATCTTTCAGGACTAACCTACTACAGACAATACCGGCGAACGGCGCATCAAAACACGACGCATCGCCGGCGACAAGCTTTCTACGCCTTGCCCTCTGCCCACTGGCAGATGCTCTCGGAGCCTCCATTTAACATTCTAGACACCTTCAACAAGGTCGATGATGCTATTGACACCAATGCTGAAATCGCCGATGCCATCCTCGCCGTGGGCCTGGAGTCCTTTGGGCTCCCCGCCAACCCAGACAAGGACGACACCAACCAGAACTGGCACGAGACAGCCACAGCATCCGATGTGAACAAGGCGCATTCAACCATTCGCCAATTCTACCGCGACTGGAGCGCTGAAGGTCGCGCTGAGCGGGCAGTCTGCTACGACCCCGTCCTCCAGGACCTCCACGCCGAGTTTCAGACGCGCCGAGACGCGGGCGAGGAGATTCGCGTGCTGGTCCCGGGTGCTGGACTAGGCCGACTCGTCTTTGAAGTCTGTCTGGCTGGGTATGCAGCCGAAGGCAATGAGATCTCGTACCACCAGTTGCTAGCCAGCAGCTGGATTCTGAACCACACGGCCGGTCCCGCGGCGCACGCGCTGCATCCCTTCGCCCTGCACTTCTCCAATCTACACTCTCGAGCGCAGCAGTTACGGCGCGTCATGATCCCGGATGTCCACCCGGGCACGGCGATCCAGGAAGCAGCGCAGACGCGAGCGCCGATCGGGTCAATGTCCATGTCCGCGGCAGACTTTGTGGTACTATACACGGAACCGAGTAACCGCGAGTCCTTTAACGCGGTAGCGACCGTATTCTTCATCGATACGGCGCCCAACCTGATCCGATACATCGAGGCGATTCACCATTGTCTCATGCCGGGGGGTCTCTGGATTAATGTGGGACCGCTGCTGTGGCATTTCGAGGACGGACATCCCCGGTCGGATGGGGGAGAGACGGGCGAGGAGAAGGGCAAGGGCAAAGATGCCTCGGGCATTGGGGAGCCGGGCAATGTGGAGTTGAGTGAGGATGAAGTTTTGTGTTTGGTGGAGCGCATGGGTTTCCGGGTTGAGGCACGGGCTGGCGATCGGAGGCCGTGCGGCTACATTCAGGATGGGGAGAGTATGCTTCAGAACTTGTATCAGCCATCGCACTGGGTGGCGCGGAAAGTGGCTCAGTAGGTTCTAAGAGGTTAGGAGTTGTGGAAATAGAAAGTTGAATTTTGGGGGGCCAGTGGATAGTCCAGAACAGTGGAAGTCGAGACTTGGGCTCGTCTAGGCAACCCGTTTAACTCAACCAGATGTCTTCACGCCCCCAAAGTTCCCAAGAAAAGCTCCGCAAAGGGAAGTGGCCCCCAGGTTAATTTTACGATTCGATGGGGGCCAAAACGGGCGAACAAAGAGAAGTGGGATCAGCACGGTTCCATGGATCACAGACAAAGAGAAGTAAATAAACCGAGTGTCGTGATAGGTTTGTGTATAGAAGCCACATACTCGTTGATTGCAGATGAGCCTGAGGTATTAGTTTGTAGAGAATTATATTATCGTAGAGAATTACCATAGATAAGTCGTTTATTCTCGGGAATACCCAATACGAGAGTTACGTCTAGCTAGACCCTACGTGATGGACCAGGGCACTGCCCGCAAGGCATTTAGATCGACACGAAAGGGGGGCCCTGTTTTAATTCAGCTTCAAACTCGTTCTTTACTCTCTTCCTCTTCATTTTACTTTCTCCGTCTCAGCCGCACACCATTATTCTCGTCATCCTTCAACCCGCTCGTCATCTCTTTCCCCCCTCTATCCTGGGACTCCACTATAGTATACTATCTATACGGAGTACTCTTTAGACCAAACTACTATGGGATGATCTCTTCTCCTTTCACAATCCAAGATCTACCATCACTGTCATTGCGGTGGACTCCTCCTGCGCCTCTTTTTGTTTAATTTTTCTTGGGTCTTGATTTTCTTTGCTGACAGGCACCACACTGATTTTCTCGTATTTCCAACTCAGCCTTGTCCTTCCCTCGCCTCACCTCCACTCCACACCTGCAACCCCCCCCCTCTCTCACACACCCTTCCTCTTCTTTCTTCCCTGACACGTCCCCCTTCCTCCTTTCTTTTCCCCCCTCCTCAGCCTGTGGGCGCTCACCACACACATGTCCTCCATGAGCTCCCGACTTGGCAAGTTCACTTTCCGACGCGACAAAAAGCCCCAGAATCCCCCGCCTTCCGGCTCCCCCAACCCCCTCGTCGTGACCCCCTCCAACGGCACTTCACCTACCTCGCCCTCGCAGCGTAGCTCCTCGACGACCAGTCTATCTGTGAATCAGCATCCCCAACAAAGCCGTCCTCCAAGCTTCCCCTCAAATCGACCCACAAGTCCCATGGTCCCCAGTCAACTCACCCAGCACCCCGCCCCGCTCAACCCCAACACCACGATGCAGTACGCTGGTCACCAGCAGCCCATGAACCCACCCCCGGGGTATAGCATGCAACCCCCACAACAATCTCTCGGCCACCCGATGCAACAGTCGATGAATCAAAACCAGTATCGCAACCCCGCCGTTGAGATCGAGGGCGCCAATCGCAACAAAGCACAGCTCATTGTTGGTATCGACTTTGGTACCACTTTCTCCGGTGTCGCATTTGCATTTGCGACCAACAATGAAGCCCGTGAGGATATCATCACAGAATGGCCGGGCGCGGGTACGCATACAAAACAAAAAGTGAGCACTCGTTGGGAGATTTCCCCGTCGCAAGACAGCCCTTTGTTGACCATATCTATTATTTTATCTTAGATTCCGACCGTCCTTTACTATGATCAATACCAGAAAGTGGTAGGCTGGGGCCCTGATATCGCCGAGGCGCTCGCGCCGACTGGATACCCGAAACCTGGCGTGCAAAAGGTGGAATGGTTCAAGCTGCAATTGATGCTATCGGGCAACACTTATATCGATCCCATCAACTTGCCTCCACTCCCGCCGGGCAAGTCGGAAATTGACGTGGCTGCCGACTACCTTTTCAAGTTGCGACAGGCAATGCGCGCACAGCTGCAGAAGACTCTTGGCGAGGTGTTTACGCGAGAGGAGCGCAACATCCGCTACTATCTGACCGTGCCCGCTATCTGGAATGATGCCGGCAAGGCAGCAACTCGTGCGGCTGCCATTCAGGCTGGTTTCCTGCGTGATGAGAATGACAACCGTCTCACATTGGTCTCGGAGCCCGAGGCAGCTGCGCTCTTCTGTGCGAAGACGGGTTTGTTGAACTTGAAGATTGGCGACGCCATTCTGATTGTGGATTGTGGTGGTGGCACCGTCGATCTGATTGCCTATGAAGTCGAAGAGGAACAGCCATTCAGCGTGGCAGAGTGCACTGCAGGATCTGGAGACTCCTGCGGTTCGACTGCCCTGAACCGAAACTTTAGCAACATTTTGCGGGCCAAGATTCGCAAGATGAAGCTCCCTGATGGATCTCGGACTGCGGGCAAGGTCTATGCCAAGTGTATTATGGATTTCGAGAACCGTATCAAAGCGGACTTCCGTAACAATGGTCAAAAATGGGCGGTCGACGTTGGTATTGAGGCAGACTTCCCCGATGCGGGCATTGAGGAAGGGTACATGACTTTCACCAACGAGGAGATTCTCCAGTGCTTTGAGCCTGTGGTGAACCGCATTCTTGAGCTGGTTCGCAACCAGATCATCGCTATCCAAGCACAGAACCGCTTGCTTCAGGTAAGGCTTTTTCTTATCCTCTCCAGTCTTTTTTCTTTGCTAACTCCATTTTCAGAACGTGCTGGTCGTCGGTGGCTTCGGTGCCTCTGAATATCTCTTCCAACAGATCAAGCTCCACGTCCCACCCCAATACCAGACCAAGGTGGTTCGTCCTATGGACTCCGTCGCTGCCATTGTCAAGGGTGCCGTGACCGCCGGTATCACCGAGCGAGTGATCACCCACCGTGTTGCGCGTCGCCACTACCTGATGGCCACCCTTCAGCCTTTCAAGGAGGGATATCACCCAGAGCAGTACCGTGTTCCCAGTCTGGATGGCCGGGACCGTTGCAAGTACACACGCCAGATCTTTGTACAAAAGGGAGAGCGAGTCAAGATCGGCGAGCCGGTCAAGGTCAGCTTCTTCCGTCAAGTGGCACCTGGCGCTACTCTCATGTATGAGGACGTGCTGTACGCCTGTGATGAGGATGTCTGCCCCGAATACACCAAGGATCCTCGTAAGTCAACGTTACTTCTTGGTTTATTTCAACTACTCTTGCTAATCACCTTTCTACAGGCATCAAGGAAGTTGTCACGCTCACCTCCGACCTCTCGCGCAAGAACCTCGAAACCGACTTCGAGCGCATGGACACTCCCCAGGGTATCTTCTACCGGGTGTACTTTGACATCTACCTCACGCTAGACGGTAGCGAGTTCAGCGCTGAGCTGGTTTGCCAAAACGAGGTCATGGGCCGCTGCCGTGCAAAGTTCCGGTAGATGCATATTGCATTTTCCCTGTTTCCCTAAACTGATATACCCCGGAGTGTTATATAAATGCAGAACAGAAAAAGGAGAGATGAGAGACCGGACGAGCATGTGGTGGGGACTCGTAAATATCTTCCTCTTTGGATGAGAGAAAGTTGACCGAGGGGAGAACAAAAGGCAGAAATTATGGATTGGGATTGGTGTACAGCTCTCCCTCCCCCCATCCACACCGGACTGGACAGCACTACTGGAGAAATGGGCGTTGTTTTGTTGATGCTTTGCACTTTGTTCTAATCATTCTTTGACATACCTCTCACGGGCACTTTACCCATACTACCTTTTCCCTAGCGTTCTTCGATTCCCGAGATGCCATTCAGTTGACATCTGATTCTTCTTTGATTTTTCTGGCAGATAGCCTGTCTTTGCGTTTTTGTTCTTCTTTGATGGTTGCTTTAGATACCTCACCTTTGTTTTTTCTCCCCCTCTTTGGTTTATCTGGTTTACCTTGAATGAAATTTATGAGCCGTGATCAGATTAAAGATGGACATGTCCTTTGAAGATGAATATCTAAAGTCGAATGTGCCCTTCCCCGATCCTCCTACATCCGACACCACGCTTTTCTGTGACATACTAAAGTGGGAAAAGAACACATCATCCAAACTCTCATTCATCTATCTTATCGTATACAAAAATCATAGTCATTACCCAACCAACCAGACCCGGAAACCCTGACACTCAAGAATCAAGTCTCCAGGTTAATGCTCCTTCCGAACCGCGCATACAGCGCAACCTTAAGCTGCTGTAGCTCGTCGCGCAGCTCACCAAGCGAGTCTTCCAGCTTGGACACGTCAGCGTCAATTTGGGCTGTCGAGGCCTCGAGCATGGACTGGGCGTCTGTGAGGGGGAGTTGGAAGAAGGAGTCTCCGATTTTGTAGCTAGATGGTATGTTAGCATGGAATTGAAGAAGAAGGAGAACAGTGCAAGAAGCACTCCTGATGAGAAGCTGTCGAAGGAGGGGGATATGTGAAGGAGTTCACTTACGGGACAAGCTCGTCTTCATCCGCGAGTTCGAGTTCTGTAGAGACCTCTTCGAGATCTTCCTTATCTTTCTGTATCATTTGTTAGATATGGGTATGTCATGTCGGATATCAGTTAGACACGGGAAAATATTAGTTTCTCCCCGATTTTCTAACATACCTGCTTCGCCTTCAACTGCTCCTCCAGCACGGTCTCCCGCTGATGCAACCGACTAAACCGGTTAATCTTCTCCTGATCCTCGCGACGAACTTCGTTGTCCTCACTACCAGCGGTAGCTTCGTCAGCCCGCGAGAGCTGTCCGGGTTATGTGTTAGCTTTGGCCGTGCTTTCTTTTTGCCGTGGGGGGTTGTTGCGGGGAGCTAGTGCTTGGTGGGATGGATGGGTAGGCTTGTTATGGCGATGTTCTACCCCCGGCTGTCTGGGGCATACAGCCGGGGAAGGACTTACCATGCGTGGTTGGATCATGTTGGTGATACTGTGGAGGGAATTGATGTATGGGGAGTGAGATTAGGAGGGGAGTTGATGTGTTTCGTTTTGGACTTGGAGATCTGTTGCCGCTGGATTTGATGGTGGTCCGTGCGCGGGTGTGTGCCCTTGGTGGATGAGGATACTCGGGATAGAATTGGTAGGACATGGCTATGAGGGCGGCTATTTCAATATTGAGTGCTCTCTAGACACCTGGAGATTGTCTCTTTCACCAGGGGTTTTCTCTTTAAATATAGAGTCTTTGGGTAATAGCTCTATGATTGCTATCCTACGCATGCGACCACGTATAATGAGCCAACTATGGACCTTGAATGCCACAGAGTATATCAATTATGTCAAACAGTATAACATTTGCCTAGCTAGAACAACACTACTATCAAAAGTAGTACCAGTAGTATCCCAGTGTAGACCAGTCTGGTCCCCGACAATGCGAATGTTTGCGGTCGGGTGACATCATCCTCTTCCAGCCCGTAGAAGGATTCGGGCAGAAAAGACACAAGTCCTGAGGTTTGAAGCTTCCAGGACCCCTTTCCAAGTCCCTTCCAACCGATATATCACTTCTCTCGGTTCATCTCCTCTCTGATTCGCGGCGTGTCCCTTCTTGTGCTGCCTACAGCTCCCGCCAGTAACGAGCCGTGTCGGAGAATCGAAACACCTCCGCAGGGCCATCATCCGTCATCCTCGACAAACACCAGACCAACCCTCGTGCGCGCCACCAGAGCTTGCACCTCAACCCGCGTGGGATCCCCATCATCTGCACTTCGATCCCACTCTTCTCTCGACACTTTTTCTTATCCACCTGCTCACTCATATACGACCCTGCAAGCTCCCTCCCGCGCCGGAATTCGATCCAGTACCGGGCCCCCATCGACACATCCTTCCTCCCCCCTCCCCCGACTACACATTCCAGATCCGCCGCGATGCGATTACAATCAAGTGGAATCACGCTACTGCTGTCCGCGGTGCTACCCAGTCTCAGTTCGGCGCTGAGCTTCGACTGCGCTCAGCTCAACGTCGACAAGTACAAGTACGACTTGAGTCCCCTGGGCGGCGTCCATGAGCTATACCACGTGAACGAGACGGAGGCCGCGGTGACGAATACGACCTACGTTCTCAATATTTGCAAAAGCCTGGGCAGCAAGGCTTCGGACCGTGGAGATGATGGGAAATGCGGACCGACCAAGCGCAGTGCGTCTCGATTCAAGCTCCCTCTCTTCTAAGCTAGGACGTCAAGTCCAACCAGGGACCTGGTTAACTAATTACCTATACTTTCTAGTCTGCGGCTTCGTAAACCGACACCCAACCGACGGCAACGGCAGCAAGCGCTTCGGCTTCCCGATCGTCGGCCTCGAGCATATGGGCGGGGGCTCAATGGAGCCCGAGCTCACGCGACTAGCCACGATCGACCCCGAGACCGAGGGTGTCCGAGTCAAGCTCGCCGGTGGCGAGTTTAGAGGAGACGATGACGAGGGGAAGAAAAAGAATACAGCCGCCGTGATTGATTTTACGTGTGACCCGGACCGGTCTGGACTGGAAGGGCTCATCACGGAGGAAGACAGCGCGGATGCGGACGAGGAGAAGCGCCGTCGGGATGAAAAGTCCAGGGATGGCAGCCTGCAATTCAAGAGCTTCGAATTGAGTGAGGATGATACGTATGTGCTGAAGCTGGATTGGCGCACGCGATATGCTTGCGACAATTACCAGCGCGGGAAGCAGCCGAATAACTCGAATTCGTGGGGTTTCTTCACTTGGATGATTATCATGTAAGATCTCACCTTCTACCCCCTGCGATATCACATCGTCTTTTCGAAGCTTCCACTCACAACTTTTTCTTCTTAGTGTTTTCCTCTGCGTCGCCGCCTACCTCATCTTCGGCTCCTGGCTCAACTACAACCGCTACGGCGCCCGTGGCTGGGATCTCCTCCCGCATGGTGATACCCTCCGCGACATCCCCTACCTCTTCAAAGATTGGGTCCGCAGCGTGATCAACACCCTGCAAGGGTCCGGGTCGAGAGGCGGGTACAGCGCGGTATAAACGGTCTTTCTTACCTGTGCTGGCATCGGGTTTATGTGCAGGTTATCTAGCTTTTGATCTTTTTGCATGAGGCTTGCCATTTGGGGCTATATTCTTGTTTCTCTTTTGTCTCTTTTTTCGGGGCGGGTCATTGAATGAACAGATTGGGGGTTCTAACTATGTACCGTAGATTACTTGCGGGGCAGAGGCAAGTGGTGGTGTGCTTCTGTTGGTTGAAGATTCCAGTGCTTGTTAGGAAGGGCATCTAATGAGTCCTGTCTGTATGGCGACTCGGCTAGAGATGTTGTGTCTTGTATTATCGGGCAAGCCTTTTTGGGGGCCTGTGAAATATATATGGTTTATGCTGCCGTTTTAGTTCCAGATACGTACTTGAGATGTCAGACACTATTTGCACACTTTGCTTTTTATTAGTCTAATTGCCTAGTGCGATTGCTAGCCTGCATTGGGTACCAGGCACCTGGAAGACCCTGGATAGCTTGGTCTAGTTCTATATTTGAGTATGCCTCGCGGGATCATCTACACCAAACCAAGTTCTGGCCCCGGATTAAGGAGATCGGGGGTCATTATTGAAGTCAAGATGGATGCTAGGAAATCCAGAATACGTCAAGAGTACATTTTTCCCTAGGGAATGACCTCCACCTACATGAGGCCAGTGGATTTCCAGATCCGTCTAGGTATCTATAGACGTGCCGCCACCAAGCCATCTATCGCATTAGCAACCTTAACGCTAGGCTGTGACAGACTACGATGATCATAAAGTTAAATGAATATAGCAAAAGACACGTATCGTATTCATTCTCCCAACATACAAAAGACACCAGAGCAATACACATATCCAATCTCTCCGCAAACACAGCATTGGAACCTTAAAGCGGACAAACTGGCTCGAAAGACGGCAACACAAGAAGTCGGTGAAGATCAGAACCTCGAGTTGTAGCAACAAATGCAAGATCATGAGCAATATCCAGCCAATCCCCAGTCACCAATCCAGATCATCATCCCGTCTCACAGGAATGATGGGTGGGCAAAGCACGGGGATGGCGTGATCGAGACTAAATAATTCTCATCGCGGGCGTAACAATCCAACATAAAGCGGGAAAAATAGGGGGTGTGTGAAAATCATAGTGGGAATGCAGGGTTGAACATAGCACGGTGCAGTAATAATAAGAATAGTCGTAATCGTCGTTTAGCCAGGGAAAGGAGTTTGGGGGGTAGAAGAATATATGGGTCCCCCGCTTTCCTCTTTCCCCCCAGGCTTGGGTCTGATTCTTTCCATACTTCTTTCTCGCTTTCCCTCCCCCTTGCTATTCTTCCACATTATATATGACCATCTGAACGAAGCCAGATCCATGGCTGTGTCTACCTCTGGGCGGTTAGACCTTTACGGCAAACTGCTTCAGATACAGGTAGTCCTCCATGTTCTCGTCGACGGCCTTGCGGATGAGAGCTGCTGCTTCGGGACCATACTTCTTGGTCCATTCGGCATCGAACTCTTCCTCGGTCTTGTGGGCCCGTTTCTATGAGACCATGTTAGCACAAGGTTATCCAAAGTCATCTCATTTCATCCCATCCGATCTTCTCCCTCCACATCATGCACCATCACTCTATCATCTACCACCGGGGTCGAGGAATGCTTACATGCGCTCTCGCAACCAGTGCCTTCGACTCAATAGCATCGTTATGGAACCCACGCCACTTCTCAAAGCAATGGCACGCAAAGTCATAATCCTCCTGCGTATCCCACGTCAACAACGACGCATCATACGGCACATCAACGCTCTTGCAGAACGCCTCAATCGTCGCCGCCGGTGCATCCAGCATATCATCCGCATCAATGACGCAGATCTCATGGATGGTCTCCTTGGCTCCGCAATTCTCAGCCTTGACGTCCGGACGGGTCGCTACCCGCGGTCCTACGAGTCCCTCGCGAACGAGGTAGTCAAAGTGTCGCCGCAGCTCGTCATACCCGGCCTCGCGGGGGTCATAGTTATGGAACCCGGTCACCTCGTCCAAGGGTGGGATCGTGCACCGGTAGTACGAGGGCACACTGAAATGCGGGTCGCGGATGAGGAAGGCGAAGTGGAATCGCTCCTGGATCTCGCGCGGCATGACGGTGGGGTTGCCTGCCTCGGCGGGTGTGTCGTACGGGTATGGGCAATGTGAGACGCCGTTGGTGCCGTGGCCGCTGGCCTCGTGGATGCCATTGGTGATGCCGTTGGTGACCCTGTGGGTAACGCCGTTGCTCGCCGTGCCGTTGATACCGTTGGACGTGCCATTGGCAACGCCGTTGGTCGGCGCGGTAGCATAGCCGTTGGCGTGGGTGGTGCCATTTGCGGCACCATTCACCCCATTGGCCGGGGCATGGTCATCACCGTTGGTGGTGCCGACACCGCGCTTGATACGACGCAGCGAAGGAGCCACACTGGCGGGTTTTCCGGCTGGCGGAAGCAGATAGTGGTCGATATCCTTGATGAAGACTCTCTTGCCCTGCATTCACGGTAAGTATCTCCCTCGGCAAGAAAAAGACGCAAGTTACACATGACAGAAAGGGCATGAGACCCTCCGGTCGTCGGTCTTAATTTCTCGTGTGCTTTTGTGAACACATTCGTAAGAGGGAAAAAACGGTGAGTGATAGACAGGGTAAGCCATCTCATGGAGAGAATAGTAGGCAGTTGGTCTCCTTATATCGATCCTTACGGAGACATTGGGAGCATGAATTTGGAGGGGAGAAAAGAAAGCAAGAAAAAAAAGAAATCAGGGACGATTTCGCAGGAAGAAGGGTCGGACCTCTGAAGCTTCACGTTCTAGTCTCTCCAACACGGTGAGATATGTCGACTTGCTGAATCCGCTGTCAACACGAGCCTGTTCGTCATCTTCAAACCGGTCGGAGAGACGCTCTGGACCGTAGTAGAAGGCATCGCCAAACGGCTCGTGGACACACTGGATAGTAGCTCGCTGAGTCATAAAGACCTGTAGAAAAGCTGATTAGTCTGGATTCTCGAGATTGATATTTGCCTCTTATGCCGATCTGGCTCAGCTTTGGTAACCTACTCGCTCAAACGCCGTCGAACAGGCACGCGGATGCGTAGCCACAAAGATCGGCTTAGTCGACATTCTTGCAGAAGTAGATATGCACGGACGATCCGATGCTGATGGTTCGTAGGGAAGGGGATAGAAAGGGTAGATTAAGAATTTAGACCCTGCAGAGAACCTCGACGGGTGCTTGCAGGCTGATCAGAGGACGAGAAAAGAAGAGGTTTATGAGCACACGACAGGAGGGAAAGCCAGAAAAGGTAAACGGCAATAACCTCGTGGAATGTGAGCGGCTCGACTCGAATGGACCACGTCAAAATGCGAGGCAACACGATCCAGATCGTTTAGTCAGGTTCTGTCGAAAAATCCCGAGATAGGCTCGCGCGGCTAAGCCCAAATTTTCTCTTTGGGAATAGGGATTATTATTTCCTTGACGGTGATTTGATCTGCTGCTGGGATTTAGGATTGGGATAGTCTGAGGGAACAGACAGGAATCCCGGGCAGCGTCCAGCAAATAAGAGGGCTTGCAGATGATCTCAATAGAAGGCGCGATGGCGTGAGAAGAAGACCAGAGAAGGGCCAGGGCAGGATGCAGGGCCAAAATGCTTTTTTATAGGCGTGTTGATGACAGATGCGTTTAGTCTTTTAGTCCGTTGGATGGTGGGAAGGCTATTTAATCCCGTTTGATCGTTATTCATTAGGTGAATCTCCCCCTAATGGAAAGTCCGACTCCCCAATGAAAACTTCGAATCGTTAGAGACATTATTGGATCTGATCATTTTTACTCCATATTTTTTACCCTTTTGACCCAGTGAAAATCAAGGCGGCTTCGGGGCTAAACCGGGTTTTTCTTCTTTTCTGGAGCCTCGGGCGAAAGATCTTTCTCTAGATGGTACAGCTGAGCACACGTTGGTATATGCTATACTCTATCCTATGCTGAGAATTGAAAAAAAAAGAAACTCAGCTCTCCGAAAATACGTGCCAAGGGGAAGCTCGTCAAGGTCCACGGCCCTGTACCTACCATCCGTGGACGCCTCGTCTCCATGCTTCGTATGTTTCCAAAACTCCAGTCTGTTGTCGCCTACACTCCTCTGAAGCGGGGGTTCGGATTAGGATCTACGACCTTGTCATCCAATGTCCAAGCGGTATATCTTGTAGCTTAATGCTAGAGACGATAATTTTTCGTAGCTTCCACACACCCGTAGTAGCTACCATCTTCGAGAGATTTTGCTTGGTTGATCTAGTTCTTAGCCTAGTTTCACACATGCAGTAGTTACATCTAGCTACGGCCTACCTGCACAAATAATCCCAAGATCCCAGAATAGAGGGGCACGAGGCAATCGGAGCGAACGCAACGCCTTCGCCCCTCTCTTCCGCTGCCCCGCCACACGAACTTTCCGCTGCGAGTCCTTGCGCCATATCCGCGCCGTCGTCCATGCTCGGCCCCTCCAAAGATAGTTACAATTTCAACACGTTCCAAAGTCTACGTGTGGGCCAATGAGGAGCTCCGTTGTGGACAGACGGAGCCATCGATCTTCGTGTCTGGACTGCGCCGACTCGGAACAGCCTAACTGGTGTCCACCGGACAACTCCACGATGTCTGGGCTTTGCTGCGGGTGGACGAGGAACGGCTTTTTATTTGCGCATGGCCGATGGAGATGAAGGGCTTGATCCCCCTCTCTCGGTCTCTCCATCTCAGCTGTAGATGGACAACGGTCCGATGGAGAACGGTTTTTCTCTGAGCCGTTTTGACTGCTCGTTTTACGCTTTTCTTTTTTGCTAGCCTCGTTTCGTTAATCCGTAAAGCAATCGGCCGAAGTATGGGGAACTGTACTTATCATGCCTCGGACAGGTTGCTCGAGGTCTGATCCTAGGAAAGTCTGATCATCTCCTTTTTGCTTCATGGCCGGTCGCGCTTGACGTCAAGACCCGGGACGGCCTATCGCAGTAATTATTAGATCGGCTATTGTAAAGGTTGGGCCGGGCAGAGCTGTGATTTGTAAAGTAGTACTGTAGCAAACCGCCCGGCAAGGTACCAGGACTGGAAAAGATACTCTCTTGTAAAGCAAGTCGAGTGGCTGTCATACTATGGGGCTGCAGGAGAAAGCCGTACTCTATGTACTGTTCTTAGTAGTGAGTACACGGTAGGTCGAGAACGCCTCATTACCTAGGCTGGCGTCAGCGGCACCGTCAGTCAAATCAAGATCTCGCCACAATCCGGGATTTTCCTGGATCGCTACTGGTATGGCGGAGTGCCAGGGTCCGCGCGCTCCACCGCAGGAACAGTTACACACTTCAGGATTCCGCCAATAGCCTCGTGAAACTGGCACCGTGTCTTGTCTGGGAGAGTTGAGCAACGTGGGGGAAACCTTCCTGTCTGGACCAGGAGGCAATGATCGCTGTTGATGGCCTAAGGCATGAAGAACAGTCGTGACAAGTAGTAAGGCAACAAGGCAACAAGGCAACAAGGCATTCAGGTGTCGAGGTATCAACATCGCCCATTGTCAGGGAAGTATCGGGTTCTATACTTTGTGTGATAGACAAAAGCAGAGACCAGGCCCATTATCCCACAATATTAGCAACTCAGAACATACTATCCATCGCGAGAATACTATGGAGCTGAATTATTGTTCCAGAAAATATGCAGTGCTAACCATATCGGGGTGTGGGTATCATCTTACTTCCGACCGCCTTACCCGGGATGAGAACGAGAAAGCCTAGCTTGCTATTCAAAGTGAACATCCATAGCTATTCTACGTCATACAAGAAGCTTCGAAATGGATAACCGGAAGGTATGTCAGATTTTTCTATTCTGAAAGACGCAAATACTTACGGCTTCATAAAAAGGAAATCTACTTTACCTACAAGACCGTCGACGCCTATGAAGAGTTTGATGGGAAAGTACGACAGTGAGTTGAGGACCTTGATAGGACTCGATCATATATTTACCATACTCTAGAATTATCCAGGAGGACACTGGTCAAGAGTCTTGGATCGCTACTAGATCCCTTCCTCCCACCAATTATCCCCCGTGAGTCTTTGGAAGGCGATCATGTCCCGGTGTTGAATATCTTGACTGACTTGGCAGTTTATACTAGACCCCTGATCCCCGAGAGTATTGGGGAAATCAAAAAGCTGAGCGAGGATATTGTTGTCAGCGACATCTCTAACTAGGAGTTATCGTTGCTCATCAGTGCAGCTGCGGGTGTCGTAGTTAGCTCTTGGCCAGCATGGTTCAAATCTCCAATTTAAAATTGTTGGCATTGAAGATCAAAGCTAGTTAGAGTCTGGGAGTCCGGGAAAACGCTAGGGTTTAATGTAACTATTGCGAGGTGGATAGATATGGTTAAATTGTAGAGACAAAACAAACTGTTGATGTTTTACCGACCCTGTCTAGCAGATCATCCTATGTCCAGGGCTTAAAGGATCATCTCTTGTATTTCGAGGTATGAGGTGATAGTGGTTGCACTTGTAAATCTAAGAGTTCGGGGCCGACCTACATAGCCAGTATTCTTTGGTATGGTTGTCGGTCTATGATCACCACTGGTCTAGCTGGTCTAGACTAATTCGATTAGCTGAATTCAGCCAGTCGCTCTTGTATCTCAGCGAATCAAAACGCATCTCGCCGTGATCAACGTCATTGTTCATTATCTGATCGTAAGATATTGAACAACCTTGGCATAGTCATCACGTGACCTGTCATATCGGTGGAACGACGTGGATGTCAGGTGATGGCCCTGGCAGCTTCTGGAAGGCGGTGGAAGCCACTCATAACGTCATGACGGTCGGAGCAGCTTCGGGCAGCCTACCAGCCCAAGTATATTATCGGCTCGAATCACTGGCATTGTCGTCATTGTCATTTCTCACATCACACATCACATCTTACCGCTACAATCCCAACTTTCATCCTGCTCACTCCCTTCCGACCATCCAATATCACCTGACATCATAGCACACACGTCTCCCGTTCAACATGAACGGCGCTCAGTTCACAGACCGGGCAAACAAGGCCTTGCTGGATTCCAGCGCCCTGGCCGAACAATACGCCCACTCCCAGATTTTGCCTATCCACCTGGCAGTCTCCCTCCTCAACCCTTCCGTGGACGAATCCCAAGATCAGCAGCAACCGGCTGGCCACTCCTCACACGATGCCGCCTCGACCCCGCTCTTCCGTCAAGTTGTGGAGCGAGCTCATGGCGACCCTCAACTGCTCGACCGGTCACTCATGAAGCTGCTGGTCCGGCTACCCAGCCAGGACCCCCCACCAGAGACCGTCTCCGTTTCGCCACAACTCGCCAAGGTCATTCGGTCGGCAACGGACTTGTCAAAGACGCAAAAGGACAGCTTCGTGGCCATTGACCACCTAATTCAAGCGGTGTCCCAGGACTCGCAGGTTCAGCGTGCCTTGGCAGATGCCAACATCCCCAACCTCAAACTGATCGACTCCGCTATTCAGCAGATCAGAGGCACAAAGCGCGTGGACTCCAAGACTGCCGACTCCGAGAGCGAAAATGAGAACCTGAAGAAATTCACCATCGACATGACGTCCTTGGCTCGCGAGGGCAAGATCGACCCCGTCATCGGACGTGAGGAAGAGATTCGCCGTGTGATTCGCATCCTGAGTCGACGGACGAAGAACAACCCCGTTCTCATCGGTGAGCCCGGTGTGGGTAAGACTACCATCGTTGAGGGTCTGGCCCGCCGGATTGTCAACGCCGATGTCCCGGCCAACTTGACCCAATGCCGACTGCTCTCTCTTGATGTCGGTTCTCTGGTCGCCGGCAGCAAGTACCGTGGAGAGTTTGAAGAGCGCATGAAGGGCGTTCTTAAGGAGATTGAAGACTCCAAGGACACCATTGTCCTCTTCGTCGACGAGATCCACTTGCTCATGGGCGCGGGATCTAGCGGCGAGGGCGGCATGGACGCTGCTAACCTCCTCAAGCCCATGTTGGCCCGAGGCCAACTGCACTGCATTGGTGCCACCACCCTCAGCGAATACCGCAAGTACATCGAGAAGGATCAGGCCTTCGAGCGACGTTTCCAGCAGGTCCTGGTCAAGGAGCCTTCCGTCCCGGAGACCATCTCGATTCTCCGTGGACTGAAGGAGAAGTACGAGGTTCACCACGGTGTTAACATTCTTGATGGCGCCATCGTGGCTGCCGCAACCTTGGCTGCTCGCTACCTCACTGCACGCCGGCTTCCCGACTCCGCCGTCGACCTGGTTGATGAAGCGGCTGCAGCAGTTCGTGTCACTCGCGAGTCCGAACCTGAGGCTCTAGATACCCTCGAGAGAAAGGCTCGACAGCTGCAAATTGAGATTCACGCCTTGGAACGTGAACAGGACGAAGCCTCCAAGGCCCGTTTGGAAGCCGCCAAGCAGGAGGCCGCCAACGTTGCCGAGGAGTTGCGCCCTATGCGCGAGAAGTACGAAAGCGAGAAGCAGCGCAGCAAGGAAGTGCAAGACGCCAAGATCAAGCTCGACTCTCTCAAGGTTAAGCGTGACGAGGCCGAGCGCTCTGGCGACACGGTAACTGCGGCCGATCTCGAATACTACGCCATCCCCGAGACCAAGGCGCTCATCGAGCGTCTCGAAGCCGACCGCGCCAAGGCCGATGCTGAACGTCGTGCCAACTCAGGTGAAGCTGGTGAGGCCTTGCTTGCCGATGCAGTTGGCCCTGACCAGATCAACGAGATCGTTGCCCGATGGACTGGTATCCCCGTTACTCGCCTCAAGACCACTGAGAAGGATAAGCTGCTCAACATGGAGAAGTACCTGGGCAAGGTCGTTGTTGGACAAAAGGAGGCGGTTACCTCCGTCTCCAACGCTATCCGACTCCAGCGCTCGGGTCTGAGCAACCCCAACTCGCCTCCCAGCTTCCTCTTCTGTGGTCCTTCCGGCACCGGTAAGACACTCCTCACCAAGGCTCTTGCCGAATTCCTCTTCGACGACCCGAAGGCCATGATCCGCTTCGATATGTCAGAGTACCAAGAGCGACACTCCCTCAGCCGAATGATTGGTGCTCCTCCCGGATATGTTGGCCACGACGCTGGTGGTCAGCTGACCGAAAGTCTGCGCCGCCGCCCCTTCTCTATCTTGCTTTTCGATGAGGTCGAGAAGGCTGCCAAGGAAGTCCTGACCGTCCTCCTGCAACTAATGGACGATGGTCGCATCACCGATGGTCAAGGCCGCATCGTCGATGCGAAGAACTGCATCGTCGTCATGACCTCTAACCTCGGTGCCGAGTACCTCACCCGCTCCATTGACCGTGATGGTCGCATCGAACCTCATGTCCGTGAGCAAGTCATGGGCGCCCTCCGCGACTACTTCCTGCCCGAGTTCCTCAACCGTATCTCCAGTACGGTCATCTTCAACCGTCTCACCAAGCGGGAGATTCGCAAGATCGTTGATCTCCGTCTGTCCGAGGTGCAGAAGCGTCTCGAGCACAACGGTCGGAATGTTCTCATCCGCTGCACCGAAGAAGTCAAGGACTATCTCGGTGCTGCTGGATACTCCCCTGCATACGGTGCCCGGCCTCTGGGCCGTCTCATTGAGCGCGAGGTTCTCAACCGCCTGGCCGTGCTCATCCTGCGTGGCAGTATTCGGGACGGTGAGGATGCTCGTGTGGTCATGACTGACGGCCGCATCAACGTTCTGCCCAACCACAGCCTCAGTGAGAGCGAGGACGAAGATTCCGAAATGGCCGACTCGGACGATGCACTTGCCGAGATGGATGATGACAGCGGTGACATGGACCTCTATGATGAGTAAATGTCATACTTGCACATACTCTCAAAAGTTGATTTAATCGCCTCCAATCACGAATGATGTCAACGAATCCTTTTCTATTTCCTTACATATCGGCGCGGCGTTGGTGTTTTACCTTTTTCTGTCAAATATTCTGCCCCTTCACCTGTTTTTTTACACCATCTGCATGACTGTTTTAGGGTTTGTTGCTTTCCGGCTTATCAGCACGGAAGCCTTTTATGGAGTTGTTAATAAAGATAGCATAGCATAGCACATTGACAACATTATGACCCTGGCTACCTTTCCCTCCCTTCTAACGTATTTTGGACCCGTAGAACTGCTATGGTAATACCCACGTAGCCTGTAACTCGTTAGCCTCACCTCTTAACAAAACAAACCATCGTCGTTTTTCTTACGCTCTAAACGGAAACTCGAATCTGAAATGTAAATCCACACAACATCAAAACAAGTAAGCAATTGCGTAAGATAACAGAGACTCCTTTCCTGTAGGTAACATTACTCCGAAGAAAGTGAGATTTATTGATTCCTACTGTCCAGGGAATGTAGTTTCAAGGAAGACCTTCAAGGGCCCGGCAAAGAAGGTTCTCAAAAGACCGTATCTTTTTCTCAGCCTCCTTCAAGGTCAAAGCAAGGATTTAGACATAATATGACGTCCACGAAATCTAACTCTTTGCGTGAAGATACATAGGCTGCCTAGGGTTTGAGGCATACTGTACATGAAAGGTTATCATCCATTCTTCCAAGGCAATATACCTGAATATTGAAGAATTTCTCAGCAGCAACTAGCCATAGCAATCAATCGCTAGTGTATATTCGGAGAATATTTTTACGGGGCCTCTCAAATTCGAACCGAGTAACAATGCCTGTCCGCTTCTCTAGGGCCTCGGATTTGAAACTTTCGGCCTCCCTTAAAATTTAATATTTTACACAAAAGTATCTTTAAAATTCCAATTAAAATACTAACTTTGGTATAGACCTACTTAGTTATTTCAACTAATTAGATATCTGTAGATTATATTAGTTAATTCATGCATATAGTCTATTGTGTAGTTGTACGAGACATTGCCGATGTCGAAACCCCTTTGCGGTTCTTTCTGGTCGTAGAGTTGCCTACTGCTCGTTCTTCTTCTTTGCGTTATTCATTACTTATGTTCATGGTGGGTGCTGGATGGAAATAATTGAGGAATTAGAAATCTGTTTTCATTGCAAGTTGGAGCACCCAAACGCGGTAGCGCTTGGTTCTGCAGGTAGCCCGAGTCTCCCAATGTCTCACTCTCATTTTTTTCACTCTCTTCACTTCACAAAGAATGGAGAAGAAAACGACAACTAAAATACCAACAGAAAAAAAAACGACCAATAATGACAGATGCAAAGAACACGAACCTGTCCTCAACAACACCAATGGCAGGTTCAGCCTCGGCCTCGGCCGCGGACACAGACACAGACACAAATGCAAACGAAACCATGCGCCTTGCCATCACGCGCTTCCGTAGCAGAATGGCCGCCGCAAACCAAAAGTTTCTCCAGGACCGCATCAATGAAATCGAAGAGAAAGGCCTAGCTACTGAAGAGGAGAAGCGCCGCCATCTCCTCCAGTACAAATGGATGGACGATATCGAATGGGACGATGAAGACTCCGAGACGTGTGGGAGGCGCGACTGGACCCGGATCCCACAGCAGACGTCAGTCAAAGACCTCGATATCCCTGCTGTACTCAATGCCTTGCCGCCTCATCAACCGGCGGATGGTGTAGTCCCGCCCCTGCTGCGCACAGAACAGTGGCGGCAAATGTACCTCGATACAGTTCAGCGTGTGTGCCAGCGGCAGGCGGACGCGATCGTTGCCGAGGATGACGAGGAGCTTGACATCGCGTGCAATTCCCACAAAGACCACAGGCCGATGGCTATCCCGCGATGCGACGAGCTAGCCCTGTTCCTAAAGTATGCGCAGGAGGTGGTGGACGTTGACTTCCGGCTGTCGGCCATTCCGCCGTTCACACCGGCTTGGTCGATTGGGATTAAGGAAGAGGAACTGGACGGACTTGGCGAAGGACAGAGACGCGACAAGCTAGCGGATCCGGACCTCCTGAAGCGCGAGGAAGAGGGCTTGCAGCGGTATTTGGAAGATGAATTGTCGAAAGGGTGTCTGGAGGCGTATATCGACGAGGACCTGGAGGTCAGAGCTGGCTTTATCACCGGTATTGGATTTAGCCAGTTGTACGAATGCCCATCCTGGTATAGTGCGTATGTGTACTGCCGGCTGTGGACGGATGACGAGGAGGACGATGGCAAGCATAAGGATGAAGACATCCAGGATGCTACCAACATCCGGGACTGGGGGTGGCGGGTAGTTGTCTTTCAGGCCGAGGTTGTCAATCCTAGCATTCTCCACGGCCGGAGGGCACGCTTTGATTCGATTCCAGAATTTTTGGATTGGTACGCCAGCTGGCTGGACCATCTGGATGCACGGGGGTTGCTTTCTCTGCGGCGCCACGCTATAGGCTGTGAGACGGACTGCGAGTCAGACTGTGAGGATCATGCCACCGGGATATATGCACAGAATTTCTAGTCGACCAGCTCTTTCCCTTACAATGAATCCGGAAAGGCAGAGAAGACCTTCCTATGAAAGTCCGATATCAACCCCAGGAGAGGATGTCACAATCAAGGCTCCTTACTCCATTCGCTTTGATATGGGTTATCAAAGTCCTTTGGTGCCCAAGTAATGTCATCGATGCACCTATAGGTATCGATTTCCTCCTGCGCAGCGTGGTCTTTTGGCCAGAAGTAACGTGGGGGTACCCTTACCGACCCCATGATCTGTCCTTGTTCAAATCCTGGATGGTGACTCTGTGGAAGTTAGGTCTATCATGTTTCTGCAACTGATCCGGATTGTTTCGTTTCACCACAACCATGACTTTGTCCATATCATGCCCCTCTCGTGACGCTGGATCAGTGAGGCCGCGAAGATTCACTCTCATCTCAGACAGTTGATCAAAGATGACCCGTTTATGTGGTTCCACGGCTGAAGAGTGATATATCTCGACCGTCAGACTGCACTCTTGTAGTACTCCAACCATTCGCCGATTTTGAGTTCAAAATTCGGAGAGTGCGCGCTCGCTTTTGAGACTCCGGTCGGGGATATCGCTGCGCACCTCGAAGGGACTCATGGAACCTGCACGGGGGGTAATGAATCGAAGCTCCTTCCAATGGCTATCATCGATAAAGAACTCAAAGATATTGTCCAGGTTCTCGTAGAACTCGAATTCACACCCCAAGACAGTAATTGTTTTCAGACGCAAGCCCGATAGCAGCTGGAATGCTGAAGGGAGCTCGTACTCTTCCACTTCATATAGAAAGCGCTTGCTCCACTTTTTGTGAGCCTCAGTGGTAACATCGAGATCCAGATAGGCGAGATGGCTGCGAATGTGGCGGATTTGGGATAGCACTGACGGTGGTCGATAAAAGAGTTTCTCAGGCATGCTATCCGGATGCTTAAAGCTGAAGGTGACTTGACTCATCCATAGACCTCTGGCATCCTCATACATCTGGCGGTAGGTACGGAGAATTGCGAGGGAATGTGGTGCTGACTTGATCCGTCTCCATTTTCCTTTGTGAACATATCGCCTGCCAGAGGACAGCCTGGTCGATGCAAAGAGGAAGTCGTAGAGAAGATTCCGTATCTCTCCAGGAAGGCTCAAAAATTCTCGTCGGTCATTCAAATCCGGTTCAAGGCATGGCTTCTTACTTTCACGTTGAAGGAATAAGCCGGGCGAGTCTGGTGTAGCCATGGATGGGTGGTCATCCGTCATGGGAGGTTCTTTGTGCGCCATCGTATCTGGAAAATTGGCCGGGTATGGAGAAAGGAAGACGAAGGACGATGTTTTATGAACTCGAAAGAGGATACGATATGAGTGTAGCCTGAGAATTGAATATCAATTCGGAGTCAACATCTCCTGGAGACAAATATATATCACGTGATGTGTTTTGAGATTTAGTTTCATGAGTATACTATATGTTTGCCAAAGGCGTTGACCGTAGGCGGTATATAAGGTAGAAAGATTGCAGAGAATCAAGGTGACTAAGTGACAAAGATCCGGCTGGCTCATATGTGTGTCATGTAGCAGGAAACATCCTGCCCAAACGCCGGGATACTTCTTTCATGCTATTGGTGTGTCTGGTATTACCACTGACGCATTGTAGATATGCTACTATATGAAGATAACTTTACAGAGGAGGGGTCTCTTAATTAGCTAGGCCTATCTGACTACTGTTCCCTATAAAAGACACCATATGTACAAGTAGAGAGCCAGAAAGAAACTTTTACAGATATTGTTACCCACCAAGTCTTATACGCATAGACTATGTCTGAGAAGGGTTCTGGGCCACTAAATGGGAAGAGAGTAGTTTATTTTGATACTGAGGAATAATAAACGGTATGAAAGGGCTGAGACGTTAGCCAGACTTCACAGTCTGGAGCATTCTGATAAGAATTTCACCTCACGGAACAATTTTGTGGAACAGTTGAAGACCCAGAGAATCTGATCAGGCTCTTTTTCCAATGGGCCAAAGTTTGTCTTGACGGACATTACAGTAAACTCCCGTTTTCGGCACGGGCCTCCGTGCAACAGAATTCCGATGTGCCTAATGAAAGTGTGCCACTAATATCGCGCTAAACCTCATCTAGTAAGAACTAGTCTGTTTTTGGTCTAAAGTAGTCATCCACCCTTCTCTGCTTCCTCCCATTGATCTCGAATCGAGAAAAAAGATGAGCGATCCTCTCTATATCACGTAGATCTCTCTCAGTAATTCCCTCTTGGTGCTGGGCAAATTGAAGAGCTTTATGCATATATTCAATAGCTTCAACACGCGAGAGGATATCCAGCGGTGGTCCGAATATATATTCGTCCTGGTCGTCCTCGCTATCCTGAACCCCATTATCCCCACCTGTATTTTCTTCTGAAAAATGAACGATAATATCAGATAAATCAGGCTCTTCCACGTCGATGTTTTCTCCTGGAGGGTCTAGAAATTCATCTAATGCCATAACCTCTGTACCAGGAAGCCGGTCGGTCACCTCTGCGTATAAATCACCTAGTTGAAGGTCCTCAGACGGAGACGTATTCATCTCATTAGTGCTAGGACTAATAAGCGTGCTCTTGATAAAGCACTTCTGAATAGTCTCATCTAGGACGTCACGTCTCCAAGCCTGGGTGATCCAATGTAGTGTGTAATAGAGGCTCATTCTCTGCGTAGGATCGACGCCGCGGTCTATCATATTAACCATCCATGTCAACCATTTCTTCCGATAATGGTGCTTAAGGTTTCTGATGATACCCTAGTCTAATGGCTGGTAAACCGAGGTCGCGTTTGGTGGCAAAAAAACGACTTTAATATTAGACGGCGGTGGCGCATGTTTAAGCGCAGAGAGATGCGCGCTAAAGTTATCGAGCAATAGCACGACTCGTCTTTGTGTGCTAATATGCCTATAAAACGAGCGGAACCATTCTTGCATAACATTACCGCGTATCTATGCGTTCTTGTTCCATCGCCAGACACATCCAAGTGCTGGGATATTGAGTTTTCGTAGAGCACGAGGTATCTTCGCAGTGCCTATTAACTATAGAGGCATTCGATCTGAACCAGTAGCATTGGTCGTTACTGCGAGAGTAATCCTGGTCTTGTCTTTTTTATAACCAGGACTACCCTTACTCGATAGACCCCTATTTGGCATTCGACGCCAGAATAGACCTGTTTCATCCATATTATAGACATCGTTTGGCTGATATTGGTCGCAGATAGCCCGAATAGCTTCCATGTCGGAATACATCGAAGCCGGAACCGATGCAGATTCGCCATAGGAGGTATGATATCGGATCGAATGGCGCTGTTTGAACCGTGATAGCCACCCTTCAGAGAAAAGTGGCGGGTCGAGATCTTTATACTGGGGTATTTTCTTCCAATATTCGACGGCTTTGCTCTGAATCAATGGGCCTGTTATAGGAAAACCGGCATTCTCGTGACGCTGCTGCTAGATATATAGGGCCTCATCTAATAGAGGCCACCGAGATGCTAACGGGCGTTTGTTCTGACCAGCTAAACCAGTATCAAGGTACTCGTATTTGGATGAAAGAATCTTGGAGACGGTCGCACGGTTGATATGACGATTAAATTGAGATGAAAACCACTCAGCGCATTCTCTCTGAGTAGGTTTAGGGCGTGTCTCCGATGCATAGATACGTAATGCTTTTTTCTGAGCATCGGATATGCCTTTGTTGGGTTGTTTTGGTATAGCCAGTTTAGCTGAAAGAGCGACCGAAGAAGGGGTGGAAGGGTTGGAAGGGGAAAAATCCTGCATTCTGATTGGTCGGTTTATATGACTAAGCAAAAATTGAAGAGAATTTTGTGTGCCAGACAAAAAGGTGTGCCGGTTGGCCTCTTATATATGGGAAAACTCTAAGAAGTGGGTCCATCCAACAGATTTTGGTGCCTAATAAAAATGTGTGCCTAACCTGGGAGTGCCGAAAACGGGAGTTTACTGTATACATCAGACAATAGCTATGAGTGCACTTCAAAAGAGGTAGGTATTGATACTAGCTGGAGGTCTATGCCACTACTAGCATTCAATGGGTATTTATGTCTTTACCCGCCTTGCTATGTACTATCTCTGGTTCTGGCTCACTGTTATATTTTTTTCTGCGAATACCGCTACTTTGGCTTCCTGTCCTATCGCTTCCTGGCTCGGCCCGCTAGGCTCATCGAGCTCACAAATCTATATATCATGTTTCCAGCCACTGGCCTTTGCGTCGCCAGTCGCATGAACAGGGCATGAGGAAAATGGAACACTTTATGTTTATGTAGCTAATTACTACCTGACTCCAATATTGGGTCAATTTGGAGGCTTTCAAAGTCCAATTTCTCCCAAAATAGTAGTACGAATGATAAGCGGTGATGTAGCACATAACAAACGCAGCAATGCTATGTCAAACGAGCATTTTCACCACAACCCCACCGCATACACGACGGTTGTGTTGATTCTCTTGTCTCAGGAATGGCCGGTCGCTAAACAGACTCAAGTTACTGTTACCATCGGTCGAATGAGCGAGTCAAAGTGGGACGCTGATGATTATGGAGGACCTTCCGAGATATCTCATGCTTATGTATATAGTTTAGCACGATCGGCGTCTAATAAAGAGAGTTCTGGGTTCTAATGAACTAGTCCAGTATTTATATATTTACAGTCCTGCCTAATTAGGCAGGGATGATCAATGGCCACCAAGTGAGGCATTATTTTTACCACGCGGAAGTCTTCCACTGCCGGTGGAAGGATCAGCAAAGACAGACTCGAGTTGTAGAAGGATGGGCTAATCCCCTGTATATACAGCTCCAACCTAGAGTATGCAGCCTTTTACCATGTGCAGCCTGCATATGTCGTCAATTATGCCCTGTGTTTCGGGAAAAATGTTTGGGAGTTTCACCGATATATCAGAATAAAGGAGATTTTTGTGCCGACCCAGTGACAAAGAAGGTCCCTACACAATAATACAGATAGCAGGAGGGGTCCGGTTTTTGTAGGGGCGTGCCTGGAAATCTAAGTGGACCTGGCACTTCCAAGAAATCTACACCAACAAACAACCTTTGGGCTATCGAAGTTAATAGATTTTGCAACTTGATATTTTGTTTCTGCAATATCTTATTCGAGGCTCTCGTACTTCCCACCTTGTTTCCTATGCGAATGGGCCCCTTGGACAAGCTTTCGCAATGGATTGGGATCGGAGTTGTTTGAACGAACAGACAATCGAGATTGACTTTCGGCTGCCTAGACAAGATTCAATAGTCCTAGCATATCGGTTCTCGATTTGTGCGATCTCTCCCTCATGTGGGGGCTTCTCTTCATTTACTTGGTCGTCGAAAGGCATGGTACAGATTTGAATGACACCGGCATTGGCGAGGCCTCAAGAACTCAAAATATGACGGTGACTTCTTCATGTTATCGGGTTTCAGTTGCTTCTCGAGAGTCACATCGTGAATACCAATGCGAAATGGTAGTAAGACATTTCGCCTAGCAATCATATTATTATACCATTCGGATATCGCTACGGAGTAGGCCTAGGATAATAAACGCCACATATTACATATTACAATTGTCGCACCACGCCCGAAGCCGAGAAGCCACAAGCGTGTCTGGCCAGAATCACAGCGTCCAGCCACTCCGTTCCTCAAGCTTCGAAAGACTGGAAAGGTTGGTTTAGATGGCAACGCTTAAGGTTCTGGTCGTCAGGGGCCAACCAGGAAGATCGGAACTCGGGAGCAACATTCTGTAGCCACAAAGAGCAACAGCACTAGCAGCACGGACCTGCGCGTTCATGTGGACCAGGAACCACAAATTAAGACACTCAAGCTAGGCCATGATCAAGACCAGTGCTATTAGCACGGCCATTGGCCCATTTACATACTGAAGCAAAAGGCCCACTGCTTGGATTTGGCTTAGATTGTGGTGGTCCTGGACGGAGTGGCCCGATCTGGAATAGGAGGAAAGGCAGTGTTCGTTTGAGGTGTTCTGGCACGCGAATGGGATAGATTAATCTATACAGACGGTTTTATCCGTACATATTCCGAATCTTGGTAACTTTTTTCGTAGTGAGATGTTAAATTCGAAGGCTTAGGCTATTGTGCGAGTGAACCGAGGATTTCAAGCGCCATGACTCGGTCAATTTCCTCGGTAATCAATTATCATGATACATAATGTAATTTCTCAGTCAATCCGCTGGTACCGTTGTTGATTATCTGGAGAAATGGCCGATAGCCACTTGATCCGTATGGAAGGATCCGTACGTCCGTAACACAGTAATACATGTGGCAGTCATGTATATGGCACTATTCTAAGCGACATCGGACGATACAGAGGGTAACTTATCCCGAGGTACAAAAGCCTCAGGTACAAGCTTAGGATCAAGGTTCCTACCGTGTGAGTTTATGAAACGCATCTTGTTGGGTCGTATTATTGAGGAACTCTTTTGCACAGTGGGAGTATTATTATTGAGTTAACTTTTGTAAACATACTTTTCCTGTGACATTTTTTTTTGTCAGCGGACCGCGCTCCAGACACCGTGGGTCCGAAAGTTTGTCGAAACTCTGTTAGATATAAGTGGATGAAAGTGGCTGGCCGAGCACGCTGTTTTCTGGAATTTCCAAGTTAAAGTGAAAACATTCGTTTCTTTTTTTCTTTTCCAGGAAGACGTTGCATCCTTCGGTCTCACTATCACGTAGAAGGAAATACGTGCGATTTAGCGACTGCCGTGTTGCTGGTAGGGAGAAGCATATCGGACGGGCGGATAGTCGGCTCCGATGACCATTAGAAATTGATAATCGCTTGGCTGTCTGATAATAATAATGCCGGTACTGTACACAAGTCAATTACTCCAGACTCCAGACCGCTTATCGGTCGCATCTCTCCGCAGGTAGTAGATCCCGCTGGACATTCCTTGGATGCAGTGGACACTGCCCCAAAGCGCATCCGGAAAATCCTACGCTCCCTATCTATTTGGAGTACCATGGACGGTAAAGAAGGTGTGCTGGGCTCGGGGAGGCAAGTTCCATGGCTGTTGCAATGCTGATAGACAACAGGAGCCAATGTCTGCGGGTCGGTGATGGTGAGCACGACTAAGTGGAGCCTCCCAGCACTTGACTGCCCGGGGAGAGACGGACTGGACCAGCTGTATTCGGCTCTTGTGGTAAGTAGGAAAACCAGCTTAAGGAGGAACAATTGATGCGCCTAAGTTGGAAAGGGCCGTTTGTCAAAGACGCCTTATCCGGGAATCGTTCTTCATTTGTCGAAAGGAGCGGAACTATTGGATGACTCGTGGACAAATTGCGCTTTTGGGCAGGACGCGCATGAACTTGGCGGGGGATAGGCATGGAACTGGACTCAAAATTGGGATAGATCCTGCGTGGAATGTTCTATCGTACTCGGTTTAGATGTTTAGGGCAGCCGGGGCTTGTTGATTAACCCGGCTCGGAACCGGCAGACGTCGGATTTCGAGCTCAGGCCCTGAGGAAATAGTTAGCGAGACCCGGCAGGATGGGAGCTGGGACTTTTGGTTCTGCGCCAAACGGCCTTCGGAATATGAATCCGTAGAGCTAAAAAGAAAGCATCAATTCCGTACTATAGGATCAAAATTTACTTGCATAGTAGGACTTGGGAGGCGACCAAAGGCCTTGAGCTGCCATCAGCTTCGACAGAGCAGTCGGCGACCCCCGAAACAGAGCAGATCAGCAGTCGTTGACGCAGTTTACGCAAGGAGGCGGGAGATCGGCGGGGTGGGTGGCTCTCTAACTGGCTGTATCATAGATTGGATCCATCGGCGGTTCCGTGGGAGTTGTAGAATGGCTCGATGGATGGCAAAGATTGGGCAATTTGGCTATTGCCGTTAAGAGGCAAATTGATACTCAAGGATTGACGCCCTCTTGTTCAGTGGAAATGTTGTATATCATAATATGTATTTCTATGGAATTATTGTATTGTATGCCGCATTCACGGCGATCCCGGTAAGAACCCCCCACCCTTCTCCGTCCGCCCCTCCTCTGCGACGATCGTGGACAGAGGCCACCCAATCAAAAATCAAAAAAAGTAGGTCTAGAAGGGAATATGTACAGGTCAATCAATGTAAGAAAAGTGCTCAAGAAAAGGAAACGATATAGCAATATAATGGCGAGGCGATGAACGATCAAAGGCTGGGTATCTGGCCCACCAGGACTCCGTGAGTTCGTAACAAATGAAAAAATTTTGGGGTTTGGTTTGGCGTAAAAAGCAGGACGGGCCGCAGCTAAACCTCCTCACGCTCTCGGGGAGCCCGAGTGGCATGCGCTGTGCTGGTCTGGTAGTCTGCTGGCCGGGAGTCATGCTGCACGGTGACGGTGATATCTTGTCGGATCCGCAGAGCGCGAGCGGATCCATCATCGCTGCTCATATCTCGATCCTCACTAGCGCCGAGGCTCACGTCGGAAACCGCAGCAGAACCCTTCTGCGGGGTCACGGTCGCATTGTGTCGGATGTCGTTCATGTCGAAGTCGCCGGAGCGTAATTGACTGTGTGGTCCGTAGGGTCGAGAATTCTTGCTGGTCCAGGGGCCAGACTTGTAGCGGTCGGTGCCTCGCTTGGATCCTCCAGTCCAACTCTTGAGAGCGGGGAAGACATCACGGAGGAGGGACCAAACGAGCGGAAGGTTGGTGACAAGAATCGCAACGGTGGCTTCACGGAAGTACCAGTTCATGTAGACATAGGAAATGAGGGCGGGAACGAGACAGTAGACCTTGTTGAGGACGGCCGCCACGATAACGAAGATGCCCATACCGAACAGAAGCAACAGGATCAACTTCTGCTTCGTGGGCACGCGGACTTGCACCAGCATTGGAATGGCGACGATCAACATGAACACATCGGCGGAGATGGAGAAACATCCTTGGATGATCTCATAGTACTGATAGGACGAGCATTGATCTAATACGAGAAGTTAGACAGTTTTTTAGTTTGATCCCAATGGTTGACGGGTTTAACGCTCTTACAGTCTGGTGTAGGCACAGCCCAATAGTTGGTAATTGGGCGGCAGATGAGGAAAAGCGACAACTCGGTAGCGACAAAACCAAGGGCAACATAGGCGGCGATGTAGTTAATCCACTTTCGCTGCTTCAGACCCTCACTGATGAAGATAAGTTAGTGCAAGGACGAAAGTGAAATATGACGTTGAGTTCGACATACGTGATACGGGAGTAGATGACGAGCATGCAGGCCTTCAAACTCCAAATACATAGGATAAAGGCATGCTCAGAGACGAACACCCATTTACTGCCCCGCTCTCGCTCGGCATGCGTGGTGGGCGTCAAGTTTTTTATATCCTCGTCCGACATCAAATTTGATCCTCCACCCGTTGCTACCGAGTTGAGCGCAACACACAGAATTGTATACCAGACCAGGGCGAACATCATAAGGTAATCATCAACTTGGAGATTGCGAATACCCAGACGTCGAACACGGGCAACACTGTCGATCACAGTGAGTTAGTTGTAAGTCCACACTATACTCCATGGCGATCAAGCAGTATCATAAGAACTCACAATCGAAGAATAGCGCCCAAGACGCCGACACTGTAAAGCGTCCATGTCTCGCGCTCGAATTGGCGACCGAAGTCACCTCCCAGTCCAGACATAGTGTCGGAATGGAGCCTGTATCGAGTCGAGAGGGGTGTCAGGACAAAAGGTCGAAACGAAAGGATAGAGCAGTTCGGAAAAGGTGGACAACCCACATATTATAGAATTAACCGGGGAGGAAAGGCCGATATCTGGATTATTGAGTTTCCGGTAACGTATGCATCTGCCGAGCACGATCAAATCACCAGGGGTTTGGCTAACGGAGAGTTCGCCGGGTTAGCGTGATAGGTATGATTGGAGCGTGAGATGCATGAGAAGTGCAGCAGCTCGAAGCGTGGAGGAAAAAGGCTTATCATAGGCGAGCGATAGATCTCCCAACGACAGCAACCAGCCAACCACAGGACTAGGTGGAGAGTCAAAGCCAGTACAAAAGTTTCCATGGCTGTGGATGCAACAGGGAACCATGGAATTGTGATTTTTTGGGAAATGATCGGTTTCCCTCTTACAGTTTACAATACATACATCCATACACTCAGTGCATGATTTAGATTTGGTACCTGGCAGTGCTGGTCGATTGTAGTCTTTGGCTCCACCCTCTGACCCCTCAGTTCCTAACACTCCAAGTCCAACGCTACGCGGCTACTCAGGGGATTGGCCTACAGACCTTCCAATTCGAGCAAGGATGTCCTTGATTTGGTTTGATTTGCGCAGGCCAAGCATTCCTTTGGCTTGGAAGAACGGAGTAGCACTCCGTAATTAGACTCTTAGCTGCGAGTACCTGCCGGCAATGCCTCAGTATTGGCTTAAAAAGTTAACCAGGTGGACTTGCCGAGAAACTTTTGTTCTCGAACCCACCGGTCTCGGCGGCAACAATTGACTGTTCTGACACAAAATGTGGTGCTAATAATGAAAACCTGTAATCTATGGCTAAAAGTCGGCTACCTATCGTATGAAAGGTCAGCCAACAAGTGAGCACGCGAGGCCTGGGCAATTTGGGGAACTTAAACGGCCTTCCTAAGAAAGTCGAGTGGCTGCTCGTGGGGCTTGGTATTTGGAAATCGCGTACGGTATGGCAACATCGTACAATCTAACTGCTGAGCTCATTGCGGAGTTAAGTTCCACCCGCAATCAGCGAATTGATGAATCGGCGTCCGGCCACTTTACTTTCGGCGGATCCAGTGCCTGGGGAAGCGGGCATCCATGACTATAATAGACTTTGGTGCTAACCTGGTAAATGGGGACTAAAGTGGGTCTAAATGGAGCCCAAGGATGGAACAGACCGGGCACTCTCAGCGACGCCTTTGCGAATTGAGGGATTTTGCCAGTGGAGAACGGGGATCCCTACTCCGTACGGGAGTCCCGTAATTTTTTTTAAATGGAGTAGTATGGAGTGTGCTCCCCCCAAACGTGACCTCAGCGTGGCGATGTACTCAGTAGACCATCTGGAATGATTTTAGGCGGACCAATGCCAATGCATAGGTGGGAAATGGACACAGTGGTTGCATGGATTTCTTCTGTGATTCACTATCAAGTGCCATGCAGGCATTATTACGATCGGATCTGCACGATTCTGCAGGTTCGTTCTTCATGAACAGGGATATTACCGGCATTAACTGGTCGCTGCAGTACTAGTCTCCCGCCGAATCCTGGTTCAATCCCGCGGGAAACCCTAGCATCGTCTTTTTTTTTCTCACGTTTATGGCCCCCAAATCAATTGTCTTTAGGCTATGATGATAATTAAAGATAGAAAGGACAGTAATACTGTTGTGGTGCTAGTAATGTATCTGCTACATTGCAGTATATTAACGGTTGCTGGGATTTGGGCCTTGTCTAGATCCAGAGACACACGCCACACAAATCCCACTAAAATCCTTAGATCTAAGGCTAGATCTCTTTTTCTATCCGCACACAGTCAGACTAGAATTTGACCGGCTGCATCTGGATAATCCACCTTGGCCAAAACGGAGTATACCCGCTCGCCTAATGGGGGCGGGGATTTCCGAGTATATCCAGAGTGTACAGTCACTTTCTTGGGGGATGTGCTTTCGGTAACGTAGATCGTGGGCCTGATCCAACACAGAATGTCGTGGATTGATTGTCTTCAGTTTGATGCGAGTCTGGGAGACGTTTGATAAATTTCAAAGGAGTAGACGGAGCACTGACGTTTCTCATAGCTAATTTCCAGAGTATATCTACTCGGATCCGACAGTATTGCAAGACTCCGAGGTACTCCGCGAGCAGTGGAACAATCTACTATGAGATGCTCGTTAGTGCATCTATTGTTCTAGCTACGGTGATAACTCCATAGTGAGTTAGTAGTAATAGTTCTAGCTTCTAGCTCAGTAATTTTCATAAAAAAAAAAACCAATCACACCATGGAAGAGCCGCGATCCTTCGAATCCGCGCGATGCCGCATTAGCGTTGCATCCGGCCATAAATCCGTGAAACAATAGCCTGACCGAAGACTTTATTGAGTGGTGCCTCAACGAGCAGTATGTCTCACCCTGCGAGTAATTCTCCGAGCATTAAGATGTGTATTCTTAGTGCCCCTGAATTTTGAGACTTCTGGAAGCGTGGAAACCCACCGAGGGCCAGCCCTGTGTGTGCCATGTGGGAAGGAAATCGATTGCCTTTCGTGGGAGTCTCTCTTGCTGGGACAAAAAAAAGGAAGGAAGACGATACGTCACGACCCAAGATGCTTTGTATACCACATGGCGATGCAAAGTATGTTGTGTAGGGCAAAAAGCATGTTGAATAGTCAATGTAAACCACCCAAAGCAGCAAAGGGTCGAGAACCCCGCCACGCCCCAGGATTACTGGAGTCTTCTGCCATGGTTAATCTTCCTACCCCGGTAGAGGCGGTTGACAAACAGCAGCTTCGATCGGTTATAATCCATTCCGTCGTCGAGATGATGATAATCATCTGATCTTGGCGGACACAATGGTATCGAATAACAGTTCATGAGCAGCGCCAGAAAAATCCAGTCTGCTGAAGCTCCCCTTCTAGGTAAAGCGTCGATGCGCAACTCGTTGCGTCGAGGCTGACTTTCCGTTGGAGTTTGGTCAAGTTGCCTCTGCAAGTGCCCAATTGCAGCGCATTTCTGGGGCCGCGGTGCCCCACAACCGCCGAAGTGGCCACTCTGAGGTGCGCTGCCGGGATCATGATTGGATACAGATTGGAGTCTCCGTCGATTAGAGTGGCCAAGGGGAGTGGGGTCATTCAAGGACCATTTCATGGTCGAGTGCTGGTGGTCGACCAAGTCGGTCCTGATGGGTTCGCTGTACGTTTAGGACACTCCGCACCGGCAACTCGGAGGGCCCGCCATCGCGTTGGACAAGGTCCGAAATCCAATCGTATATATCTCTAGCCCTGCTCCCTGTTTTTATTTTTAATGAATCACTTCGGTCACTCCATCCATTCCCCCTTCCCCAGCATCAGGGAGCGCGCTCTTCGTGCATAATTCCCCTTACCTCCTCCCTGTTCGCACACGAGCTAGGCAGAGATTGATTCTCTTGCAATTTTGGAGGGGACTCGATTTCACGTGGATTCATACACAATGTCGACCGAATTCGATGAGAAGACCAAGGCCGTCGACTCGACGGCCGCCGAGGACCCCCAGGGCGAGTTGATCAACGCGTCCGGTCACGTCCAGGAACTGGATCGCAACTTCTCCCTGCTCAGTATTTGTGCCATTGCCGTGACGACCGGCAACACTTGGATTGCCCAGGGTGGCAGTGTTGTGACCGCATTGAGCAACGGTGGTCTGGGTGGTACGATCTATGAATTGTATGACAAACTATCTCATCCTTCAAGTGGGAATATAACACGCTAACCTTTTCGTCCTTGACAGTATTGCCGTGTCCATCTGTTACTGGCTGGTCGCTGCTTCGATCGCCGAGCTGGCATCTGGTATGCCCTCTGCCAGTGGTGTCTACCACTGGGCTTCGGTGACTGCGGGCAAGTATGGTCGCGCCTGTGGTTTCTTCGCTGGTTGGTGGAACTGTTTGGCGTGGACTCTGGGTGCTGCTTCGATGTGTTTGATCATGGCCCAGCAAACCGTTTCCATGTACGCGCTGATGCACCCTGGCTTCGTTCCTCAAAACTGGAACGTGTTCGTCAGTTTCCTGATCTGCACCTGGGTTTGCTGTGCCATTGTGCTCTTTATGAACCGCTGGTTGCCCTTTATCGGTAACGTTGGCATGTTCTTCATCCTGTCCGGTGTCTTCATCACCATCATTGTCTGCGCTGTCATGCCCCATGTCAACGGTACTGGATACATGTCCAATGACGATATCTGGGCGACCTGGAGCAACGGAACTGGCTACAAGCAGCAGGGCTTCGTCTTTGTCATGGGTATGCTCAACGGTGCTTACAGTGTCGGCACTCCTGACTGCTCGTCCCACTTGGCCGAGGAGATCCCCCAGCCTAGCCGTAACATCCCCAAGGCCGTGCTTGCCCAGATGAGTGTCGGCTTCATCACTGGCATTCTTTACATGATCGCCATCTTCTACTCTATCCAGGATCTTGACAGCGTCACCTCCAGCACCTACAAATTCCCTCTGGCTGAGATCTACCACCAGGCGACCGGCTCCCGTGGTGGTGCGCTGGGTCTCCTGATCATTGCTTTCCTGCCCACCCTGGTCACCGCGTCCGGTTGCTATATCACTGCCGGTCGTACCCTGTGGACCATCTCTCGTGACCGTGCCACTCCGTTCCCCAACTGGCTCGGCCGCATCAACACCACTTTCCACAACCCGTTCAACGCCACCCTGACTTGCGGTGTTGTCATCACCATCCTGGCCTGCATTTACCTGGGTTCGACCACTGCCTTCAACGCCTTCGTTGGCTGCTTCGTCCAGTTGTCGTCTCTGTCCTACTTCATGGCCATCTTCCCCCACATCCTGACTCGCCGCTCCTCGTTCACTCCTGGATACTTCTTCATGAACAACAAGATTGGATACGTTGTCAACACCCTGTCCTGCATTTACATCATCGCCTTCGTCATCATCTTCTGCTTCCCCTACGCTCTGCCCGCGGAGGCTGCCTCGATGAACTACGCCAGTCTGATGACCGGCGGTCTGACCATCTTCGTCACCATCTGGTGGTTCATCCGCAAAGGCTCCTACGAAGGTCCCAAGAACATTCCTCTGTCCGACAAGGCTGTTCCCGATGAGGCTAAATAAGCATATCCAAAAAAAGTAAAATTGTGGCGGGGATGTAAGAAAGATGACCGATGAACTGGCTGTTTTTTGTTTGAATATACCATTTTGGACGCATTTATTATACCTTCTTATCGCTGATGATCTGCATGACCTATTAGATGCAATATTTGATCTGACTATGATGTGATTTAACTCGTTATGTACACCAATCTTTAATGATGCTAAAGTGTTTGGGTTTCTATCTATAGCTCCAACAAGTAAAGACAATTGACCTTTAAAGCACAAATTTATCTCAACTAAATGAATATATTATGCATGCTATATTCAAGCTTAAATTGAAGATAAAACCAGCTCCTATACCTAGAAACCCCAACATTGTATCCTAAATTCGGTTGTTTACTTCCCCAGATTCGTTCATATTGACTCGATAGTGGTCATGTGACCACGCGCTCCACGCCTCGCGTCTTGCTGCCAGCCGCGTCTCTCAAGAGATCTCACGTTTCAAGCCGCCATGGTTTTCAAGCCCTTCAAACCTCCTTTGATCAGGAAGCCCGAGCAATCAACTGAGACGGCCGATGCAAATGACCACCCGACTAAGAAGCCTCGCTTGGTGAAGGACGAAGCAACATCCGAAACCCAGACAAGGCCCACACCGACTCTAGGTAGCCGAAAACCGCTATTGCAAGTCAGAAACATTGGCAAGGACTCTACGGCCAAGGAGATAAATGAATCGGTAGCCAAGGAAGACGCAAGCTTCGAGAGATTCTTCAATGTTCTCTGGTATGTTCGCTCAAAGTTCTCCTCGGCCGCCAAATGCATTGGACAATTTATCTGACATACGGCTTTTATTCTTAGGAGAAAGCCAACAGCGAAAAAGAACAAAACATGGGATGGCGATGGTATACTTGCAGCCAGAGGAGGATTCCTCTACCTACGCGATGTGGGAGGCAAAGACATGGGACGGGTGACATACGAGTCAGAACTTGAGCCCGGTAAAATGCTCTACGTTGCTGGGAAAGAGGTTGAGATCGAGTCGGAGATACCACGAGCAGAATACCTGGCTGGGAAACAGTTCTTGAGCAATGCAAAGCCCGCGCCACCACCCCCGTCGTTGCCCAAGAAAACACCCCTGCCAGTTATGCAAAGAAGCGAGTCGCGCCGGCCGTTGCCTACTGGTCCTAGTTATACGAGTTCGCTGAAACGCAACTCATCTGCTTTGGAGAGTGGCACCTCCACTAAATCAGCAAATGCCCTCGGCGCGTACAAAGCGCCTCTACTCAACAACACTGTCAATTCGTCAACGAGCTCCGAGGCGATAGTGCCACGACATGATCCTTATGCAAAGGGAGCGTTGGTCATGCCACGGCCGAAATCATTGCCCCCAGGAAAGCGCGTTGTTGATGTTGTTGTTGACCCATTGTTGACGAAGAGCTTGCGCCAGCATCAGCGCGAAGGCGTTAAATTTCTCTACGAGTGCGTAATGGGCATGCGCGATTTCAATGGCGAGGGAGCTATCCTGGCCGATGATATGGGTCTCGGCAAGACATTGCAGACAATCGCTCTACTATGGACTTTGCTAAAGCAAAACCCAATTCATGGCGAACCTCCCGTGATCAAGAAGGCGCTCATCGTCTGTCCTGTGACCCTCATCAACAACTGGCGAAAGGAGTTCCGCAAATGGTTGGGTAATGAGCGAATTGGAGTGTTTGTATTTGATGATAAGCGGAAACGCTTGACCGACTTCACTAGGGGCAGGGCTTATAGCATCATGATTGTTGGATACGAGAAACTGAGAACGGTGCAAGAAAGTCTGGCCAAGGGTGTGGGTGTCGACATTATCATTGCAGACGAAGGCCATCGGTTGAAGACCTTGCAAAACAAGAGTGGGCAGGCAATTCAGTCACTCAATGCCGCGAAGAGGGTCATTCTCTCCGGCACGCCCATTCAAAATGACCTGAAAGAATTCTTTGCGGCTGTCGATCTCGTCAATCCTGGTGTTCTGGGCAACTTCAAATCGTTCATTCGAGAATTTGAAACTCCTATTGTACGAAGTCGACAACCGGAGGCCACCAAAAAGGACATCGAAAAGGGCGAGTCCAGAAGTGAGGAGCTTCGCGAGCTTACCTCTAAATTTATTCTCCGCAGAACAGCCGATATTCTATCGAAATACCTCCCGCCCAAGTCAGAATATGTGCTCTTCTGCAAACCAACTCGCACTCAGGCAAACATCTATAAAGCTGTCCTTCAATCGCCAATTTTCCAAACGGCTATGGGCAATGCTGAAAGTGCCCTTCAACTAATTACCATCTTGAAGAAGCTTTGCAACAGCCCATCACTTCTCTCGGCGAAGAACAATGATGACTCGCCAAATGAAACCATCAGCGCCCTTCTATCTTCACTGCCACCTAACCTCCTTCGCCACTTTTCAGCCTCTTCGAGTGCCAAGGTCCGCGTCTTGGATCAGATTTTGGATAGCATGCACTCAAAAACATCCGAGAAAATTGTATTGGTGTCCAACTATACGTCAACATTGACCCTGCTCGCCACCCTCCTCACCTCACTTGGTCTTCCATTCCTCCGTCTGGATGGAAGCACACCCGCACAGAAACGCCAGCCACTCGTTGACGACTTCAATCGCCTCCCCGCAGAAGCATGCTTCGCCTTCTTGCTCTCGGCCAAGGCAGGTGGAACTGGACTCAACCTCATCGGCGCTAGTCGCCTCATCCTCTTCGACGTGGACTGGAATCCGGCTACTGATATCCAGGCCATGGCCCGCATTCATCGCGATGGACAAAAGAACCATTGTCGTATTTATCGTGTCATCCTCAAGGGTAGTTTGGAGGAGAAGATCTGGCAGCGTCAAGTTACCAAGCTCGGGTTGGCCGACAGTGTGATGGAGCATAAAGATAGCGTGTCACAATTCTCCACGGCCGAACTACGCGATCTATTCCGTCTCGACGAGGAAAGCACCTGTCAAACGCACGAGCTCCTCGGTTGTGAATGTGGCGGCAAGGGAGTGTCTCCCGCCCCGTCAGGCACGACTACACCCGGTGACAACAGTGACTCTGAACTTTCTGAGCTAAGCGAGCCCCAATCTGACGATGATGACTATGACGACCTTCCCGACTTGCCAACCCTGATGAAAGCTTCGGAAGTCGACATGGAAAAGCAAGAGCGCGAGGTTCAAGATAGATCTCGGCGTGGTCGGACAGCCTCTAAAAATGAGAAGGGCAAGGGCAAGACGCAGAAAGAGAAGATGCACCAATCCCTCGCACATTACTCTCATATCGACCCGTCCTTGCTTTCAACTGGCACTGAGGATGACGAGGAGATTGCGGCTGCCGTTGACGATGATGTCCTTGTTAATTTGCTTAAGGATGAGTGCAACATGATTGGCTACATCTTCAAGAAGACGAGTGGTGCGCAGGTGGAAAGCCCGACGGTGGTGCCTGATGCTTGAATGATGGTCATGTACGAAGATGTTTACTTTTCAGGTCACAACAGCTTAAATTAGATTTGGAGGGACAAACCGTCGGTCCTTGTAGTATAGTATCCAATATGATCTTTGTCAATAGATTACAATGATGCACCATATCTTTTCGACTCTCAACATTAACTCAAGCCTTCAATCGCACATAATTTAGGTAGAGTCGACTTATTCTCTAGTATCAGTTTTGTAGAGACAGATTTGATATACTAAGGAAAAGAAAGAATCGGGGTTAGCTACAGTGACTACGAGGATGACAAGATGGCTAATTCATCGAAAATGGTTTAAATCCATTCACTTTCAGCAGATGCTCGAGTTTATCACACAGCCGTAAAGACAAATGACATGATAATCATTAATCCATACGGCCACCAATATCTAAATGTACAAAAGAAAAATGGGGGGTAATCACATAACGACAGACAAGATCTAAAGAGATCAGTGGTGTAAAAAAACATCATAGAGAAGAAAAGAAAGTTGCATGCACGAAAAAAGATCAGCCGCTCTCCACCGATGCACTACATCATGAATGATCCATCCTATCCCTGTCTCCCTCCCGACTCCAAAACACAAAACCAAGTGTCACCCGCAGCATACCTAATACCGCAGTTTGCCCACGAGGCCAAAGGTATAAGCCGCCTCGGCTTCGGACTTCAACTGGATCATGTAGATGCGCTGGGTACTCGTGCCCACACCACCTTGTTTGGCGATGGTGCCACCTTCGTTCTCCTCATGCACAGAGACAGCGATACCCGTGCGAGCAACACGCTCGAATGAACTTTCAGGTAGACACACATCCAGCAAGACTTCGCCGCGGGTCTTGCCACGGATGATAATGCGTTTTTCGGGCTCCACGTCACGGCGTGGTGTAGCTGCGCCTGAACTGGGGGGTGAAGTGCTATCGTCCCGGCTGCCTTCGCTACGAGCACTAACAGCGGTTCCTGGACGGGAAGGTGGATTCTTTGGTGGTGCAGGCATAATTGTCAAACGGGCAGCACCCATGTCGCGCCACTTGGAGGCAGACTCACGAAGGTAGAGACGGATCTTGGCATTTGAAAGACCGATCCCGTCGGCACCCTTGATTGCAGCGGCAATCCGGCCAATGCCTGATGATGGAGAGGGGTCGGAAGAGCCCCCCGAGCCGGAGTACATGCTACCTTCGCGGCCGCTACGAGATGTCACAGTCGAACGAGAAATATTAAACATCTTACTGCCGCCGCCAAAGCGCTTCAGCGCAGAGAAGGCGCTGCTCATTGTACCGACACTACTCTCAGAGCCCTCGGCAAGAGAGCGCGGGGAATCGGAAGCGCGGTAGCTCTTTCTGCGACGAGGGAACCCGAACCAGCGGTTTCCTTCTTTGCTATCGGGCTGCTCAAATGTGGGCATGTGGTTGTCATAAACAGGGCCGCGGGCATTTTGAAGGGCGATGTAGGTAGGGTTGTTGATTCGAGCTTGATTGATCAGGCTGTAGAGGGCGTCACAATCATCAGGGCTGCGAGAGCGGAACATAATATTGTTGCTCGATGTAATCTTGGATCGGTCGGTGGGAGGTGAGCGGATGCTAATGTCGATCGCGGTACCTCGGCGAATTGGAACCAGTGGTGTGAGTTCCATGGAGATGAGAGGTCTCGAAGATGAATTCGGGTCAGTTCCCACCTTGAAAGCCTCAATCAGACCAGGGCTGACGATGATAGTGCACTCATCGGGAACTAAGCTATCCCAGCTACCCTTGTCAGACCAAGCAAAGATCGATGCAATCGCCTTGGTCGACTTGGTTGGTTGCAATGGCACAGTGCGGTATCCACCTTGCGATGCAGAGTTGGAAGGAGACAGGGAGCTCGCGTCAGATGTACTAGAGTGAATTGCTTTTGGCTTGGGGAGATCAGGCACATCTTCGTCCTCATCCGATGCCGAGGAATAAGAGTCCGAGTCCGTTACAGAGCCCGAGTATTCAGACGAGGAGTAGGTGTAATGTCGCACAGTCGATGCATCAGAGTCGGTTTCGGAGTAGTCTGAGGCAGTCGACGGCTCGTATTCATGCTTCAGCGGCGAGGAGCCACGGCGCTTGAGTCGAACACCCGAAGGGGTAAGCACAGGGCTATTGGAAAGCTTGTTCGAGGAAGAGCTCGGCGAACGATGGGGAGGCGGTGGGGGAGGAGCATTTTCATGCTTGGACTTTCGTCTAGATTTCCTCCTGCTAGATTTGGTAGGAGTCTCTAGGGGTCCTTGGTCAGGTAGAGACTCCAGTGGTGGGTAGTCTTCCTCTTGTTCGGGCTCAACGGTGGATGGAGAAGACATGTGGGTCTGACTGCTGGCACTGCGAATCTTTGGAATCATAGGCAGATAGGGAGATGGTGTTGAGGATACTCGAGGGGGAATCCCTCTCTGGAGACTCCTTCTGGCGCGGCGTTTGGGGTGCCTTCTTAGAAGTCTTCTCCTTCGGGACGGCTGACTCCTTAGCACTGTCGCCACCACCATAGAATCTCCCAGCTGCGGGTGTGGATGTCGGAGTCTCGACTGGCTGGTCTGAGACAACAGTCTGGGGAGATTCAGTCTCCGGGGCCGGGCTATCCGCATGACGAGAATGTCTCTTTGCCTTGGACCGCTTCAGTCCACCAGGTGACTTCTCAGGGCTGACCGTGGAAGGCAAAAGAGGCAGGCCAGGACGAACAGCTTGTTTGCTAGAGACTTCAGAACCGCCAGTGGTATATTCCGTCTCTCGAGTAGCAGTTGAGACGATAGAGCTCCTGTTTTCAGTGGCAGAGGAACTGACAGTACTAGGCTCGGAATAGTGCTCTTTGGGAGTAAGAGAGCGTCGTTTGGTAGCTTTCTCCCCAATAGGAATGTCCACATCGCTCGGGTTGACCCTTGGTGGAGAGTCACTGGTACTGGGCTTACGAGCCTTGTGCTGCTTGGCTCGACTGATAAAACTCTGGCTTCTGCAAAGTGCTGGGGGAACGGGATCCTGGCCCAGCAATTGCACCCATTCAAGACCAATCTCGACTTCATCAATGCGAAGCGAAATAAGCTCCTGCCAATACTTATGCTCTCCAGGAGCACTGCGTAGCATAACCACGATCTCACCCTTGCTGTCGCCGTTGCGGGCCGAGACGCACCGGAGATCCATTGGCGGGAAAAGCAACCACCGGTCTGAGTGATCAATCTCACAAATCAGCAAATCGCCGCCGGGGCCATTGCTTGATGTATTGTCTCGGTAAAGGAGTTCGGCTCGGCAGTCAACCAACTGGCCACTAGAGTGGTAAAAAGAGAGATTGAAAAAGTCGCGGGCCCGCACGCGACGAGTCTGATCGACCACAACATTGCTGGAAAGCCCCAACGTCATTGGATCTCTGGCTCGAGTAGGATCGATGCTAGCAGCGGATTCATCCTCGAGTCTTGCTCTTTCGTCCCGTGCTCGCCTACGGGCGTCCGCCACCAAGGAAGCATACGCCGTAGAGATCTCCTCGGCCTTGGCAGATGGCTGCAGGTGATTTATCCCCTTGAAACTCTTAGCAAGATATTTCAATCGGACTAGAGGCCGCTTCAGTAGATAGGCCACATCGACCTTCTCGCCATTGGAGCCAATGACATCGCCCTGTTCGTCTCGCTCCATTCCTTCGTCCAAGCTCTTCGTCTCGGCATTTCCGGTATCCTCACCCTCCTCTAATGGGGCCAGGTTCACAATGACATCCTTGAAGCCGAGCCTCCATGCCTTTAGGTATTCGCGGTACACTCTTTGAGCACCCTGCGCCCACGTGAGTAATGCTTCAGCATCATCTTGAGGAATTCGTTTATGTAGGGTCTTCAGACGCTCAATAGCGACACCCATATTGACAATAGGCTTCGAGAAGTTGAGGTCATCCTTTGGATCCATCGAGGGCCGGAACAAGCCCGCAGCAATAGCCGAGTCGGATCGCGAAAGGACACACGTGAGCAAGACGGGGATGACTCCCCCAACGAGCGTCTTAAGCTCACGCATATACTTGGCTTCATCAGCGGTGAGCTCAGCCAAGAGATCGGGGATGGTCGCATTAGCCAGTCGACTTTTGTTAGAGCGGATGCTTCTTCGGGACCGAGTACTGCCACTCCTCGAGACAGGACCCGATAGTACAGACATGAGGTCCTTGTGGGTAGTAAGACGCCGTTGAAGTTGCGACGCGACCACTGGCAAGGAATCAGGGTCAAATTGATCTTTCTCTTCAGCCGCTTCCTCGGCCTCTTCCAGAGTTTCAGGTGTCGACCGCTTGGCCACAGGTTTCTCGGAGATAGTCGAACCTTCGGGGAGGGTGCTCAGAGTTTCCACCGATGCAATGGTCGACAGTCGATGGTAGCCAGTGCTTGGGAAAGGCTTCTTGAGACCAACTGGAACGGGCGCGTTGTTTCCAGAGACTTCAGAGCCGCCGTCCGAAAATGGCTGGAAGTCTGACTCGGAAGGTGCCAGACTATCCTCATATGGTTGGTCACCAAACTTCTCCTTATCATGGCGGATTCTCAGGGCGAGTGGCTTCTCGGCCTTATCCATGTCAAACACTTGATCCTTGCGAGTCTTTTCTGAGGATGAAGCGTCGTCCTGCTCCTTAGAAGTTCGACTATGTGAGCTCTTTGGTCGAGAGCCGCTACTCTTTAGATGAGTTTCGCTTTTTTGAGACAGCTCGGAGATAGACAGCTCTGACATAGGATTGCTTGCCGCAATCTCGTCCACCATGCGCTGGGACCGTCTCGCGCGGGCTGATTTGATATCCAACGGACCGGGCATATCAGTCTTCGAATCGCCATTGTCCACGAAGGGATCCGGAGTTTCAGATAGCCATGCTTCAATCTTCGCTCCACGAGTTCCAGGTGGAGGTGGAGTTGGCCTTGGTGGTTCGGGCTCTGGTAACTTGAACATCTTCCTCGACTCGTCCAGCATGTGGGCGAAGATACCACCCTTTGGCGGTTTTTGAGGGCCACGAGCGCGTCTCCGGGATAGCTCCGTGAAGTCAGCCTCGCTTTTTGCCCACTCCACATCTTCGGGTGGCGGCGAGCTTCTTCTCTGGCTTTCCGCTAATTCTGACGGTATCGTAGACTGGGGAGGCAGGTCGGTCTCCAAGTCGCTATCGGCAACGGATTCGGCATCCTTCTGGACAGACGACCGCTTCAGGTCTCGGGTTGGCGATTTAGAGGCATCCACGATGCGATAGGCTTTAAGCTTTGGAGGTTCTCGACTCTTGTCTAGGGCATCCTTCTTGGTATCTTTCTTGGCTCGTGGTGACCCAGAGTCTCTGTTGGTCGTGTACTCGTTGATGCGCCTCGGGACGGGCAAGTTGCGTGAAGGCGTTTGCGTCGTGGATCGATTCTTTCTCCAGTGCTCATCACTGATGACTCGCTTTCGGGGGGTGCTGTGACTGCGTTTTCGGACGGGCGGGACCTTCTCCTTCTCCTTCTCCTTCTCCTTCTCCTTCTCCTTCTCCTTCTCCTTGTCGGATTTCTCCAACCGCTCCACGTTCAACTTCGTCACCTTAGGCTTTGGTTTCGGTCGGTTCTCTTCCTCGTCATCGTCATAAGTCCCATCGTTGATTGTGATTACGCCTCCGCCCTGTTGCTGCCATTGGCGCACTCGTGAGCGAACGGTGTTTGTGTCATGGATTCCCAGCGGCTGTCCAATATCGAGTGGTTTGCTTGGAGTCGATTTAGCACTCCCTCCACGGTTGGAGGGGCGAGTCGGCGTCGCAGGGGTCGGCATGGATGTCTATGCGACCACATAAAAGATCAGTATGATCGATTTTGTCGAGTGTTGTTGACTCTGCGGATAACCGAAATATGTTTGTTGACAATCGTCATCGGTCGGGGGGAGGAGGGTCGATCACTATAGACAACTCACCACAGTGACCCAACGGCCTGGTTTGGGTCGCAGATCTTAAAGTGACAGCATTTGCTTCCTTGCGACGAGGATCCCAAGGGAATAGACCCGAGGAGGGGGGAGAAGTAAACACAAGACTCCTTTGAGGCTGACCGTAGCTTGGGCGGTTGGTTCAGTCGATAAGCCCACCAAACGAGTCAAACACCGCTGCCGGGGAAACCACGCGCCGATCGACACCACACGCTACTCCGTACTTGGTCCAGACAGTGATCGCCCTTTGACTCCTGCCCAACCACCAGTCAAATCCGCCGCCGTGTTGAGTTTTGCTGCAAGGATCGATCCGCCTGATAGGTCTGCCCTTGTGATTTGATCGCGCGGCTTTCAAGAGCAGCTGAGGGCCTCGATGCTCTTGGCATCGCCCGCTATGGCCGTCCCGGGGGGGAAAGGCTGACTAGACTCTCTTAGAGACCGAGGTCAGACAGTGCTCGAATAGGATGGCAAATATGTAGGTCATGAGAAGAAGCTTAAAGGTGGACAAAGGGCAGATTTTATTACCGGGTTTGCGCGTCTCGAGTAGTGCGGTGGTGCCTCATATGCATGGGCGTCATCGCTGCGTTGGACAGTCCACTTTGACGATGTCTTTTGGACTATGCTGGAACTACGTACAGTAGTTTTATGCAGTATTTTGTAGATGCCTGATCAGATCCACCTATTTAGGCCTATGACTCGTTTTATCATCTGCTATTCCATTCCTCCAGTCGTATCAGCAAGTATCGAAGTCTACATAATCAGCCAATCACTTTTGTACTGTTTCACATTTCCTCTGAAGATGTCCTGATCAGAACGCCTCTTCCCCTCAATCTCAATGCTGACCGACTCCCGGTGTCAACCCTGTTGGAGATTAACCCTGTCTCCACCAGTGCCCACCCGCACATGCCACTATGACGGAAGAGGTGCTATTGGGCTTTACGCCTCGCGCCTGACTCCTGCTGGGCCCGAATCGCAGCCGAGAGTGTGCGGATGCTGTCGACCAGGTAGTCTAAATAATGCATAGAGTCAGTTGGTCTACGCCACCCGAAGAATTGATATAGCTTCTATACTTACAAAACGGAACCACAATCCAGATAAAGTTCATGAAGAAGTAATACAGCCAGAAATAGTAGGGCTCTGGTCGGCTGTATGGTATATCGTTCACGTAATGATCGAAGAGACTAGTCGCATAGTACAGTGTATCTCCATAGAGGTGGCTCATACACACGATCAACTGCATGGGGTGGCGCAAGGAATGCCGGGTTGCGGTCAGATATGCAACAACGAAGCAAAGAGGCCCCCACAGCAGCTGGGAAACAAGCGGGTCAGTGGAACTGGTAGGAAGTAGTCTTGAAATGGCAGCCTCGCGTATCGCACAATGTACGGTACACTGTAAAATCCAGCTATTGTTATTGGCGTGCTATTGACTTACCACGGTCATCGTCTCCATGCACAACACCAACGTGTCCGATGTCATGTATCGAGAGTCGGATAAAGCATACTCCTTCCACAACTGGCCGAACAAGTCCTGGGCCGAGGCCATATGGTCATGGTTGATCATGAAGTAGCCTTCAAAGAAACAGTGGAGCGTGCCGGCTTAATGTCGATCCTGTCAGTTCCCAGACTAACGTTTTCCTTCCATTCCATTGCTGGAGCGCTGTCAAGGGCGTGGGGATGTCATACAGAGCACAAACCACAGAATCGCAATCCGATCGGCCAGACGGAGCGTCGGTCGCACATAACTGGCCATGGCAAAGGTCAATCCGAGAAGGGCCGCGCAGCCTCCGCCGGCTGTGACGAGTAGCTCGAGGACGGAGGATTGGTTGGGCGAATAGCCAACGATATTGGCCCCAAGGGGGTAGAAGGGGTGGGCAGATGAGATCCCCGTCATGGCGTAGGCATGGAGCGGGCGAGAAAGCTTGTTTATGTTGAGATTGAATCTAGATCCAGATTTCAAGATATGTCGACCTGAATCCTATTTATAGTCTGAGCTCTGATTAGCTCTCCACGCGGCAACGAAGAGTACAGGATATTCGGGAGTTGTTTGCTTGGGTTTTACTCTTCGCGGAGGTCTGCGCGATGATCGCATCGGGTGGATCTGCCTGAGCTCGTTGGGCCAATTGGGAAAGGGGCCACCCAGAACTACGAAAAGTAACAACAATTCTGGCTGATATCCATGAACATAACAGCTGCCGACACAAATAATGAAAGAAGGATATAGTGTACTAGGCGTTCACAATCTCAAGCAAGCACCTACACCCAACGAGAACGGAAGATCGGCTTGACTAGGTACTCGCTTGGCTCTTGTTTGAAAGTCTAGGAATATATAACCCTACCGTTTACACTAGGCTTCAGCTAGGTCCTCCGTCATCATCTTTATTTTATGTTTAAACGCCGACGAAAAACCAGGGACAATCTTAGATAAGGATTTCAACTGATAGTTAACTATCGAGACTATATTGTTTGCTAGACTAGGTTAAATGATATCGCATATCTAAAGTCCGGATTACACAGGGCTCCGCCACTCTTGGAAACGAATAGGTGAGCGAACAAAGAACTTGACCATGGCAGAGTACCTGGCCAAATGATCCCATGGATAGAAAAGGATGACTGTAAGAATAAGAAACCCTCTCAAGGATAATGAGCCCTTCATTCTAGATGCTCCTACCTAGGCGCTCAGCGTCCTTTGAGCGAAGGGAACGATCAAGGGGCCGCGGCCTTCAAACCAAAAATCCACTGCTCGGCTAAGTAGGCTATGAAGTGTGGTATGTACATGATTTAGCTCCGCACATTCTGGATCCCCCTAGTAAGGGACGACCACAATGCTTATCGAGTTTTCTCCTGGGATTCTATGTGAGAACCATGATTATCAGAAAGGTTAAGTTGGCGGGCTTTGGAGATGCCAAGGAGAGTATCCTGCTCATATAGCGCGTTGCCAAAAACGAGTCTCCTAACACACCATACATTACAAGACTTAAGCTTGCTGCTTTGTTCTCAGTTTTGAACGGAAATACGAATATGCAGGTGATAGGACGCCACATATCCACGGGCACCTTCCACCTTGCCTCCACAATACTCAAAGATAGTGAATGTAGTATAACCTAAGTGTCCCTTGTCTACACTACTTAGTCACGGAAATTACAAGCTCCCCTATCACCATGCAAGCGTCCCGCTGCACAGTAAAATTACCAAGCTATTAGGTATCTGTCAAGAATATCTGAAGCTCGGCAAATATGCCATTGTTTGAAGTTTCTTCTACAAGAATGAGCCAAAATTTCAATCGTGTACTTTTTCATCTTTCGTGGCTTGTTACTGTAGAATTCCAGTTCGATGTGGCCACAAAACCCCTTCTGAGGCAAGTCAATGTCTACTTAACTTGACCAATTACAGTTCAACCTCGGCTTTCGTAGGCGTTATTGCGATTTGAGGGGTACAACACATCATATAATCTACCGGATTGGCGACGGAATCATCAACCAAGGTTGATCAGGGATGAAACTATGTGCTGCGATATTGACATGAGTATATACTTGAGCATTAACGGTTGAGGGTCTAGATAAATAGTCTTCTCTCTGTCCCTGGCCTTCCACGGACCACATTTCATTCGTACGCCTTCGACAACATCTTTCGCCTACCGCGGTCATGTACTTCATCAACATTGCTGCTGTTCTGGCCCTAGCCAGTATCGTCTATGGCGCAGCTATCCCACAGGACCCCCTGGACTCAATATTACAAGTCCTCTCTGGTGTGCCTGTGGCTGGTAACTTGATGGAATACGGTAAGTGAAAAGAAGAATAGGACGCTCTGTCGAGGTGCTCATTGGATCTCAATGCAAAACGCTAACATAATAACATAGCCTCGCGACCAACTAGTGGGAACTCTGCCACGCCGGGTGGTGACGATATCGAAAATAGTAGGTGATTATCGAAAGCCCCCATTTGGATGGTTCTGACAGCTTTCCAGTGACCGACTAAAGAAGCGCCCCCCAATCAAGATTGGATTCGATTCAAGGGAACATCTCGGGTGGGCCTTTCGTTTCACTGAAAAGTGAAAAGAATGTTTGGATTAAAATATGGGTTCGCAGGAGTTGATGTGATTATTTGTATCCTGTGGTTATTGCAGAATTATGGCCAAGTGTTGCGTGTCATATTCTCGCTCTTTTGCTTCAGATTCAGCCTCGGATCTATCTACAATATACGTTCCCTCCATACCGGCGTCCTCCAATTCTCCATGTTATCCACTTTTATAAGTTACTGCCTGAATAATGTATATCCATTTTATTTTGACTACCCTTTTTAGGAGCAAATCACATCATGTACTTCGTACTTCGTATTTCGTATTCTGTATCTTGCACTGCACCCGAGCGGTCAAGCTTTTGCTGCCTCAGGCCACAAAGGTCCTCGTACGATTAGTCTCCGACTCTCCGCGCCAGTTCCCCGATAACCCCCTCGGCCAACCGAGCGACCTACCGTGATCCCCCGATTGCTTAAATGGCGCCCCAGCGTCTGCTTTCCTCTGAAAATGGCCTCCGACACTCCTAGGAAACCCTCCGCTATTGACGTCTCGCGCGCATCCATGGAGTCGCCTCCAGGCATTGCGGCCTTGTTCGTCATCCGCTTCGACATCAGGACCGGGTAAGTCATGATCCCCATCGTTGAAGCCCCAGAGCTCGAGGTGGTCGAATCGCTGACATACGTGTGCTGTGCAGGTATGTGGTCTCATGGAAAAGAACTGCGCCAGGTGGTAAGTGATCCTATGCGCTCGTTTATTGAGCTCCTTGGTGTTTCCGGAGACTCAATGCTAACCCGATTCCTGTATAGTTGAGGTGGAAGGGGTGGTGGAATACAAGTCGCTTCCTTCTGGACTACACAATGTGCATGAGGACTTGATGTAAGTTGACTCGGAGCTTCTGCGATGCTTGATATTCAGGCATGCTAATCAAGCATCTCTCCGCTAGTTACTTCGTTCACGACGAGTATGCTGGAGTCAGCGCGTTCCTTAACCAGCCCGCCGAGGAAGCAGAGCGCAATGCCAAAATGTTCGCGATTGGCGTTCTAGTCCCCCTCAGCTCGGGGAGACTTGGAAAGAGCTGGAGACATGCCCCAAAACTCAAGGAGTTGACGCAGTACGTGATATCTGGTCTCAATTCTGAATGGCAAGCTCGCCGCTAACTCCCAACTCCATTGATAGGAAATACGCGACGGATATGTCTGATATGCAAGCATTGTCTGATTACTGGGACTCATTCCGAATTGGAGGTCCTGAGTCTTCTGCGCCGGATTCGCCGATTGACTCGCCCCTTAGCCTCCGATTCCGACCAGGCGAGCACCGTAACCGTGCCTTCAGCGACGCGATGGTATTGGAAAACTCTAGGCCGGCCCTGACTCCTTTCCATCCCGCCTCATCTCTTCCTGATTTCATCGAATCCTTCGGACCCTTGATATTCCCCCTATACCGAGCCGCTCTCTTACGCAAGCGCATCCTCATCATGGCAGAAGCACCAGTGCACACACCATGTAATTATGGTATTACAACCCAATCCAAAGCCTCCATTGGTTCAGTACTAATTGAATCTCAGTCTATGACTTATCCTTATTGGCATCTCTCCCAAATTCTCTCCTGCAAGTCCTCCCCTCGGACCACATTCCGCCACTACGACCCCGCCCCCTCTTCAATATCGGCATTCATGACATCCCTGATCTTGCCTCTTTTGATCCGTCACGGGTGACCATGGATCCTGAGAAAGATCCCAGCTGGATCGCTTGCTCAACAGACAGCGTCCTGAGCATGAAGCCTGATCTCTACGATATCCTCATTACTCTCCCTCCATCATACTCTCAGCATGCCAATGAGCGTGTCTTCCCCACAATCAATCTGGTGGACCGTTCTAGCACCAAACATAACGCGAATCAAACTGTCAGTTTGAAAGCAACACAGCGCGACGCACGCCGATATGCTATGCTTCGCAGGGGTCTCCGACAGTTCTCGCATGACCGTTCAACCTCCCCAGACACGGCGGAATCTGACGCAGACTCAACCTATTCATCTAGCCCGGTCGTGGAGCCACTCTCGTGGACCCGCCTCGCCTACACTTCTTTCATCTGGTGGGCTTCGGCGGGCGAAAATCGTGACGGCCTATCTGAGGAAGAGGAAGAACATCAAATCGAACAAGACGCTAGGCTTCTGGCAAGCGTGGAAAGTCTTGCATACCCTTCTACAAACACAGTCCGCCGCTCAATGTATTCCGAAGACCATGGCCAGGAGCCCCCAGAAGTCGCGCTGGTAGCGTACTTCCGCCGTCTCACCTCACAAATCTTTTTCACTCTTGCTGGAGCTATTGATCGACACGACAGTGACGGCCGGGGTGGGAATGACTCGGGTGATTCATACACCGACACGCCATACCTTGATGACATGACGAACGAAGATACAGACTTGTCACTATCCATGTCGCGGCAATCGATTAGCGGCGACGATGGAAATACGCCACTCCTGCGACAAAGATCACATGCAAGCCACAACGACCGCAGATCAGTATGCGAAAATCATGACGCAGATGACCCAATCACCATCACAATTGCCGACATGGCAGAGATGGGTCTCGATGTGTGGAGTGCCACAGATCGGATTTTCGTCGAGGAGCTGGTATCTTTGTGGTGGGGACGCTCTGCATATGTCGATAGCGCCCGTATCCGGTGCTGCGGCATTTCAATCTTGTAAAGACCTTTTCGGAAGCTTTCTATCAGGCTTCTTCCTCAGACACTCAATGAGGCGGCCCTGCAATCTCGGGCAAGATCTACTGCCTGAGCACATCTGCACATCTGCACATATTCTCCTTGTATCTGATATTCCGGTTTAGATAGCTTTCTATATGGCAAGATACAAAGCGCATGCATCCTACCAAAACTTGGTTTTCTGGCCAAGTCTTATACATTTTTCATCACTGCCCTGGTTTTGACAACGACTTCTTTTTGCTGGATTTGCGTGGAAGCCTCTAGGACTACACTTGTCTCCATGATATCACGACTCTAGCCTTTCTATCATTCCCCATTTATCCAACGTAGTTTACACCACTCCCCGTGAGGACTTTGATCCATCAATTTTTGATGCAAGTAATTTCTATAATGTACAAAGTGTTCCGTTACCAAGGACGCGCAAACTTCGTATAGATTCAGAATAAACACATGGCATACAGTCTCAAGGTGATACGGATCTCTCTTCCGTTCTTTCTAGCTCCGTCAAGCTCATGTAACTCACTCTGGAACCGACCTTGCGAAGTTTTTCTGGTAGGTACCATATGGCCCAAGCACTCAAAACCACCACCATTTGATAGCCGTCAAATGCATATGACGGCCACTCAGTCTCAACCAGAAATGCAACCCCTCCCGCCATAGTCAAGCGCATCACATTACGACCAGCCGCAATAATAGACACGGATAAGCCGAAAAGCTGATTCCAGCCTTTCCAGTGTGAAAGTTTGGTATTGCAGGCCTCTGTTGGCTGGCTGCGCAGCTTGATTGCCATGTATGTGTTTTCCGCAAACGTGAATAACCAGAAAAATAGTTGTATCACGTAAATAGCAATAGTGATTTTGGTCCCAATTTCGATGGTCTCGATGGAAGAAGATGCGGTGGATATCACGCCTCCCACTAGTTGGACTATCATCAAGGCCACGTTCAAGCCCAAATAAAGCGCTGGTTGCCATGGAATTGGAACCCAACAGAAATCCTTTGCATCAAGCACCCGGGCAAAGTCTATTTGGGTCAAATTGACAGAAAACATAATGAGGGTTGGACCCAGGAGCAATAGCACCGATTGAGTTGTAAAGGCAGCTCGATTACATGTCGAAAATATGCCAACTGAGTAGCCAGATAGTTGTGCTGGAAACCATTAGCCAATCCAGTTTGATAATATGTGACAATATGACCTACCCAGCCCCCGAGACAGAAAAATGTACTGGTCCATGTCTTTGCCTGGATCATACGGAATGTATGAATCCCGACCAGCATAGAATAAAGGATGATAGCGACGACCGCTAGCGGAAGGCTAGGTACATATGGGTATAGTTCACACTGCGATGCGGACATGGTATGACACTAATGATAAAAGTAAAATATGGGAGATTGATAAACTTAATTGGGTGTACAGCTGGAGCTATCTCCTGCCATAGATGTATGAAGTATGTTTTTATAATGCATATCGATTCTAGGCAGTCACATAGCGGTGGTGAAAGTTCGGGATGATGAAACCATCCAGATTAGAAAAAGGTTAGGGTTAGAATAGATTTGAGTCTTCTTTGTGAAGATCCTAGGCGACTCTGACTAGCATAAAGATCGACACCCAAAACGTTAGCCAAGCCTCAAAAAAGGGGTTGAGCGGGTGATTGAAATCATTCAGCCTCGAAAGGGTGTCGCCTAGCAAGGGCTGTACAATCCCATGGCACTAGATAAAAGATTTGGAACTAAAATAAGGATTTCCCGGGCGCGAGAGTTAGCTTAACCGCCTAATATTAGCTCGTTATCCTAACTGGGGGTCCTGCTTCACTTGTACAACACCCAATGAATGGATGCCAAGCACGATCTCCGTGAACGATTCTTTGCAAGGCAAGATTTAACTTTCTCGAAGTCATCTGTACCACTGATTGTCAGATCTCTAGAGCTATAACGATATTAACTCTAACTCCCCGTTCTTCTGTGCTTGTTTTTGGGTCCGGGTATTGTCGTATTCGGCTTCGGCTTCGAGTTCGGATTCAGGTTCCACTATTACGAAGATAGAATTAGACTTTTTGGCTCCACTATCAAAGTAAAACACGAGGTGTGAGAAAAATTGAAGAACTAGCTTAAATCCGGATTCTATACATATAACCATTTAGAAACGTCGCTGCCTTGTGCCCTTCCAAAAGTACTCTATCACAGCCCAATAGTTCAGGTCAGTCAATTAGGAGGTTCTATCTCCAAAATTAAACCAAGGCAGTATCTAACAGGAACGAAGCTGCCTGGAAGCACAGAGGCTGGTATAAAGTCCAGTGATATCTGAATTACTCCAATACCAAATCCAGACCTCTCCTGGCGCTAAGTTTGGCTTTCAAAACACCGCCCAGATACACCGAAAATATTCGACTATGTCAGAAAAGAAGGAGCTTATGCGCGCCGAGGAAGAAGTGATATGGAACGAGATGGATGACTTGGGTGAAAATGACATGGAGTCCCCACCGACATACAGTTCCATCTTCGAGGATGCTTCAGTGAATTCGTCACTACTTATAGCCGAGGATGATGAGAAATCTCCGGCGGCCTTTGAAAGTAAGTTTAAACCCAACTTGTATGGAAATAGCTTAACTTGTCTCAGAAGTTACTAACGCTGATCGCTTGGAAGATGGCCGTTTCAGCATAGACTTGAGCGCTGGGTCACGTACATCCGCTGTTTTACAAACCCTGGTGATACCAGCACAGATCCCAAGAGTGATAGACATTACATCCGACTCGAAGCCAAGGCCACCGCCACAAGAAAGGACAGAAGAAACATTTCAGAAGTATGGTGTCTCCTTAGATATCGTACTGATGCTTGTGGGTACTAGAGGTCAGTACAGACACTCAGGATAGTAGACAGCCATCCTCATATTTGAGACTTACATACGCTCTGGTCATAGACGAGATCAAATCTTGTATCTCTGTTGGTCATGAACTACAACGGCAGGGCCACCGAGTTCGAGTCGTGACACATTCTATCTTCCAAAATATCGTCATGAAGCTTGGGTTGGAATTCTTCTCGGCTAGCAGTGACCCGGAACATCCAATTGCAGTGAGTTTGTGAAATTAAGCGCCCCTTCCAAGCCACAGGAGTGATGCTGACGATTAATATCAGAAACAAGATTCAGGCTTGATGCCTGGCCTATCCAGCCCAAACAAGACCGAGATCAGGAGAAACAGCAAGATGCTCTTGGATTCTCTCAAAGCTTGCTGGATTGCGTGTACCCACCCAGGAAGATGGAAAGAAAGACCATTCTTAGCCGACGCAATCATCGCGACGCCTCTTGCTCATGCACACATTCATTGTGCAGAGCGCTTATCGATTCCACTGCATATCATGTCTACAACCCCGTGGACCCCAACTAAAAGCTTTGCGCATCCGCTAGCACAGATCCGATTGAACGACGGGGTCGATAGGGAAACGCAGAATTACCTCTCCCACATTCTGATTGAGGACACTGTCTGGCATGAGTGAGTGGTACGCTTTTACAGGGGTAGAAGACCGACTAACAAAATCTGACAGAATTTACTATGTCGTAGATCATTTTCGGCGGTCGATCCTAGGGTTGCCGCAAATCCCTCTTGAAGATAGCGCAGGTCTGCTACGAAGGTCCAATATCCCTCATACATTCCTCGTATCTTCTGCGTTGATCCCACGACCTGAAGACTGGGATAATCAAATAGGTACATGATATAAACCCGAACTATATGACCCATTATTGCTAACAAAATTGACAGATATTTCTGGTTACGTGACGGCGGATCATGAAGTACCATACACTCCCCCTGAAGATCTCGTTCAGTTCCTTGAAAAGGCCGTCGCCCCGATTTACGTCTCACTACATATAGATCTTCTCAACAGCCCAGAAAGATTTATCTATTTCCTCAAAGAAGCTTCCAACAAGTATGGGTTTGCTTTCTTGCTACCAAGCCACTTCGAATCTGTGAGCGGCATTTCAGATTCCCATTTCTTCGTGCTGCACAATGTTCCAATAGGTATGTGAAATGCAAATTTCATGGGATAAAGTGGGATAATACTCACGGCCTTTTGCAGACTGGTTGATACCCAAGATTGAGGTGCTTATCACACACGGTGATGCTGATATGGTATCGATGGGCCTTGGCCATGGAAAACCCATGGTCACTTTGCCAGTCATTCGCGAGTGAGTTCCAAAATTGGCTCAAACAATTAATATTCATTGTTAACCTCGTTACAGTCAGCCGTTCTGGGCTAGTGCTGTCTCTCAAGTAGGCGCTGGACCTATTCCTATTCACGAAAAAGGTATTTCCAGCGAGGAAGTGGCCCAGGCAATCCGCCAATGTCTTCAGCCCGAAACTCGCAAAATATCCAGCCACATCAAAGAGGGCCTTGCAAAAGAGCGTGGTTTAGCAAATGCCGTCAGCTCGTTTTATCGTCATCTCCAATGGGAAAACATGCAATGCGATCTCACCAAGACATCGCCTGCAGTATATCACATCGAGAAGGGCCAGTCCATTAAACTTTCAGCTGCGGCAGCGGCAGTACTTGTGAGATCCAATGCAGTGAGGAGGTCTGACTTGAACTTGTAAGTTGCTATCCAATTCAAGCTGGACACTCTGGACCCATTTTAATCGAAGATGCCAACAGGATTAAGCGCCGAGAGTACGACACTACGACTGAAGTCGCTCCCGAGGTCCCACCCTCTGCTCCCGTTACAAAATCTGTGGGCAAGAACTTGATCAAAGCTATTATCAAGCCGACTGTCAGCCATATTGCAGATGCCTACAATGAGATGGAGGTAAGCAAGACAACAACTATGAAGATTCCGTATCGGTCGCTAACTCGAGTACGACCACGTGGAAACAGGCCAGAGATGATACCGATGCAGCTAATTCACACAAGTTCAGGGGGAAATCAAAGAAAGGAATGGCAGTGGGTGCCGCCAGAAATGCCGGTTTCGTGTCCGCGGTATTTCTGGGGAAAGTTGCCATGTTGCCTTTTAAGAGTAGGCCATCTCCATGAGCTATCCTAATGATATCGAGTGGTTGTGTTGACATTAACTAGCTGTTTACTACATGGGTGAAACTGCATCATACAGTGTGAAAAGTCTGCAAGGGTCAACTCATTCTGAAAAGCAGAAAGACACCAGTACAAACGAGTCTGAAATGGCGTCCGAGTGTGACATAGGTGAGTGAGCCAAAAAATCACACCAAGATCACGAACGCCTATTAACCGATGCCTTGGCGTGTTCAGGGGCCTCCATAGATGAGAAACGAACAGAGACCATTCGGAATCTGCATTTTGAAAAGGGAAGGAGAGATGAAAGACTTCGAGATCCCGAGTTCACAAAGACCGTTCTGTCGAAGTTTGAAGATATATGTACAGCCAGTCTAACCAACAAACTCGACGGCTGAATTATCTTCACTCGCTTGGTGCTATTGATGATTGCCCAATTCCCAAGGTTATCAACACCAGGAATGTACGGAATGGGGAAGGGGACGTGTACCAGGAGCTGTTCGACCAGTCGGAAAAAGCTTGCACGTCCACATGGCCCATGTTTGTTGTACCTACCGCAATATCTTTGAGTCAACTCGATTGCCTTTAGAATGCCCGTGTGGGAATTTCACTTCTAAAATCCTCTTTGCTCACAACAAGAAGTTAAAGTTACCTCTTATTATCCTTAGGTTATCGTGTCTTGAAGAGGATACCGGTGCTAAATGGAGAAGAGTGAACTCAATCATTGGATGAATATCACAAATAGTATGCATATGTACAGAAACGAGACCCAGTCAAACAAAGGAAATGTAGAGGGAGTGTGTAAGTAGGAACGTAAAGCATGATTTCCAAATGAAAAAGGGGGACATAAGATCAAAAGGAATGCAAGGAGAATAGTGTTGCAAAACGCCGTGGTTAAACAAGGAACCGAAATGCACGAGAATTATTGCCACTCAGCCGCGATGCAGGTAAATAGTAAGTGGTTGTCCCAAGGCCGAGAATGCAAGATAGAAACAATTTGATGCACCGGCGCCGGGGGTATTTTGAAACGAAGACGAAGACGAGAACCGGTTGAACAGAAGGAGAAACCCAAGACACACTCATATACGCATGAAATCAGACCAGGCCAAGACAAAGAGACCCCTAGCGGCGGTACATCCGGACAGGAGCGCTCAAGTCTCGGCGCTCTGCGAGATCATTTTCAGTTTTGCCGTCTGCCCGTAGGTTGGGCATACGTCTTGGCCCGCGACCCGAGGTCGTGGCTGTGGAACCAGCTGAACGGCCAGTTGCTTCATTTGCACTCACAGAGCGTTGCTTGCTTCGGGCACGGTCGCGACGGGCCGCGATCTGGGCGAGGGCATCTTCCCGATTGATGGGGGTGTCTGGAATAAGGCCAGAAGAACCGGAAGTCCGTGCGTCAGATGCTTCACGGAGAGGAACTCGTTTCGTAGTAGAGATCGTATCTCTCTCGACACGTCTGGAGGGTCGAGACTCTACAGAAAGACGGGAATTCGCGCCTTCACTGTGAACCGTCTCTGTTGGGACATAGAGTTCTCGGGCATCCCTCGGGTCCTCCGAGGGGGAGAAAGTATCGGGGGCGTAGTTCGAAGATGCAGCCGAATCTCTCCAGTTTTTCATAGGGGGCTTTAGAATGGGCATTTCGGGGATAGGGAATGAATCCGTTCTCCGAGGCAGGACATTGTCACGGAGAGGCGACGGGAATGTCTTGAAAGTTCCGGTCTCCGGAGAGAAAGTCACCAATGGCTCTTCAGGCATCTGCATCTTCTCGGGCGGTTCCACTGGCTCGGGTTTCACAGTAGGCTCGGGTCCGGGCTTTGGATTGGATACCTGCTCTGGCCGATAGTGGACAGGGGTAGGGGGCTCGACGCTCGGGGTGTGACTCGATTGAGGTTGGGGGGTCATCTGCTTAGGTTGTGTCTGTTGGACTGCTCTAGCCTGAATCTCGGCTTGTCGAGCAGCTTTGGCCTTCGCCTCAGCTTCAGCCTCAATTTGAGGCCGTTGGAACTTTTCAAAGTATTCGGCATCATAGATATAGTGACGACCCTCGCTCTCGGCGATTCGGCACGAGCAGCGCTGGAACTGGCACTCGATATTCAAGAAGTGAATCATCTGTTCGGCCTCGTTGCGACGGCGGCGTTCGAGGTCAAGTTCATCTCTCAACTCTTCCAAAGCCTCAACGTTGGCGTCGGACGCCGAGATCTCAGATGTGGTTTCCTCGGGACCAGCAGTTGTTGTGCATTCAGAGAGGCGCTGACGCTTAGGTGGAGTGGCTTCGGCAACTTCATCGGCTTCAATTTCCGATGCAGTCGATTTGACTGATCCCACAGCGCCGCGCTTGGGTCGACGCGGAGTCGTCAAGAAAGCGAGATCACCCTCTACTAGAGAGATTCGCCCGAATTCTTCTCTGCGAATCTCATGAGCTCGGACTTCCAGGGTGCTGGATTGATTGGCGGCTTCCATCGATCGCAGCTTGCCCTTGAGCATTTCCAGCTCTTCGGTTAGGCCAGCAAGAGCGTACGCACGTTCGAATGCTTCTTGCCTCGCCTTGTCCTTGGACTCGCGTTCGGCAGCGACTTCATCTTTCAGGGCCTTGGACTCGGACTTGGAATGTTTCAGTTCTTCCTGCAGTTTGACGAGGGTCGAGCCCGCTCGGAAGGCTTCTTTGCGTGCTTTCCTTATCTCCTTCTCGAAAATTGATCGTTCGTGGGCTTGGCGCTCTTTAGCAGAATGTAGTTCTTCTAAAAGAGATTCGAGCCGCTCGCTGATCCGACGTTCCCGTGATTGCGCTTCGGAAAGTTCTTCTTGTACGGAAACTAGGGTAGACTCGGCTTCTTCGCGACCGAGAATTGCTCGCTGGAGGGCGGCATTGTGTGCAGCGGACTGGGTGTGTGTGACGGGACTGCCTCCTCGTGAGAGGCTATTGAGGAACGCAACCTTGGCCTGGACTTCGGATACACCCTTGGTGTTTTTGTGATGAAGCGACAACAGGTCTGTAGGCAGCGATGGCGAGCCGGGGATTGTTTGTTGATTCATGCGTTCCGGCGAAACCGGGTGGAGGATCTTTGTGGGACTGAGGATGGGACGCGTTGGAGAATCCATCGCGGATGATAGCGAGGGAATATGGCGTTTGAGATGGAATTTCAAACAATCATGAGGGCGTCGTAGAAAGGAGACGGGTCGGTCCACGGGGGAAAATCACCGTTGACATTTGTCGAGTGACGCACCCACTCAGTTGGGTAGCGTTGTTTATTGCCCTCTTGGGACAAATCAGGTGACTGTTGCCCTGGACACCATGGTGTCTTCCCTATTTGGGTTAGATCATGCATCACGAGGGGCTAATCATCACGTGTCATGATGGACCCGATAAGGATTAGCGATAGTGGGATAGTCGCGTCTGTGCGCCTGGAACGGCCTCGCTTGTATGAGAAAGCGAATTTGAGGAACGTCATATTAATCACAAGCGGGCAGATCGATCTCAGACGATGCATGAGATTGTCACACTCCAGTTGGGTCAGCGGGCGAACTACCTAGCGACCCATTTCTGGAATCTCCAGGTTCGTTCTAGTTCTGCAGGTTGCCGAGATTTGACATTCTTATTTTCTAATCTATGAATAGGAATCTTATTTCACATACAAGGAAGGCGAAGAGTCGCCTGTGGACCATGATGTCCATTTTCGCCCGGGAGTTGGAGCCGATGGGTCTGAGACGTACACTCCACGGACAGTCATCTATGACTTGAAAGGTGGATTTGGAACCTTGCGGAAGCAAAATGCGCTGTACGAACTCACAGAAGACTCCTTGGCCGGCCAGGGATTGTGGTATGTTGTACCCGATATCATAGCCCAGCTAGTCTGTATGTTTTTAACTGTTCAAATAGGGATGGCCTTGAGATTGTACAGAAACAAGCACCTATCTTGCAAAGCGAGTATCAAAGAAGCTTAGATCTTGGTACCACCGCCCCTCGTTTAACATCAGAAACGGTGCGATACTGGTCTGACTACAACCGGGTCTTCTATCACCCACGATCCATTGTTCAACTTAATGAATATGAGCTGAACTCCCAGGTCATGCCTTTCGAGGATTGGAACGTAGGTGAAGACCTGTTCAACGACCTCGACAAGGAGCATGACCTCTTGGATCGGGACGTCAGACCGTTCGCCGAGGAATGTGACCAAATGCGAGCTCTTCAACTGTTCACAGGTTCCGATGATGCGTGGGGAGGCTTCGCTGCTCGGTACATCGATAGGTTACGAGACGAGTATGGAAAGAAGAGTATCTGGATCTGGGCTATTGAGGATGGGGCAAGAGTACAGCGAGTCAGTTTGAATTTCTAACAGAAAACTAACAAGGAACATGCTGACCCGAAACACAGCACCATCAATTCAAGAGGGACACGAATAAGGCCAAGTCGCTATACTCGATCTCGCCTCAGGCAAATCTTTATGTGCCACTTGTCGATATTCCTCAGAAATTGCCGAACTACCTCAGTGTAGACCGTCACTCTGAATGGCAAAAGTCTGCTCTCTTGAGCGCCGCGGTAGAAACAGTGACATTGCCCTCTCGACTACAGCCATACCATGACTTCGAGGCCTCCCTAGCCGGAGACGATGGAAGACACAACATTTACGAGCTGCAATCAACCTTCAACCCCGAGAAACAAATTGATGACGCCTCCAGATCCGACGACGAGGGCTCGCCTAAAGCTCGAACCAAGTTTGACATTGACTTCACCTACGACAACGAAAACACCGAGACAGCAACTATTTTCAACCAAGTTCAGGTCATGCGAGGCAACGAAACCAAGACATCCACTCAACCACCGGAAAGTGGTGACATCGGTCATCTTCGCAAACTTCGTTTGTATAATTCAGAGCCAATGCTACAAAGGTATGAACTCGGACAATTACTGAGACAGGTTCAACCCATCATCCGCTGACATACGACCGTGGTTTTGTCTTAGTTACCACAGTCCACTCCGTCTACCCATTCTCGACAGTTTCCCGCACGGCATGTTTTCCGCGTCCCCGGCTAGTGCTGATGGGTTGAGTCTCTTTACCGCATTGACCGCGTCGACTCGGACAGCCGACCGGATCAAAGCTATTCAGGCCACTGCTGCACGGATGCTATCAGTGGATGAACGAGAGGCAATGGTCAACGGGCTGGGCGAGATCCGGGAATGCTATGAGACGGGATGGAGCAGTGGATCGTCCGACGAGGACGATGATTAGACTAAGCAAAATCCGGCTTTCGACATCGACCATCACGGTTTCTGACTTCATCGTTCTCGGCTGTCATATTATTAGATTGGCGAGAGACGAGCCGGTCTTTCCGTAGTCATCGTTGAGCGTCGATACCACAAGAATTTAACTAGACAAAAATGGCTCTTTTTTCGCTAGCGTGCGGCGAATATCTCTCCCCTCTTTACCCCGGTCCGTCTCTTCTCGATTTAGGGCAAGTTTGTCGTTATCGTCAGCCACCAAGCCCTCGACCGTCAGACCGTCAGACCTGAGTCATGGAGTCATAAGTAAAAGGTTCTTCTAGAAATACGAAATCTACCTTGCCCCTCCACGCCACTTTTTTATTCCCCCCCCCCCCCACGTTGGACAATACCGGGCATGGCAGGTAGAATAGACTTTATAGTCCGTGCCCAAGGAATAGCCACACCTGTCTTAAATTGTACCGAGTACGGAGTACTCCGTTTAAAGTGGCGATTAGAGAGTTTAAGACACATTCGCTGGGCGAAGATTCTGCTTTGCGTTCTCTTTGCTTCGACCTCTCCCGGGTAAGACAGCTTAGTGGTTTCCATAGACAACCAGGCGACTCCTCACGAGGACATTGGGCCCTGGGGGATTTCTCGAGATGTGTTTTCTTTTTTTTCCACTGGGCAGCAACAGGAACAGAAGGCAATAAACGAGGCTGGTGGGAACCTGGCTCGGCGTTGCACTTTGGATGATGGGCCAATTATTTCAGAGCAGTTTGTAGGAGAGAGGTTGGGAGATAGTTATGAGGTATTATTGTTATATTGCATACGACCAGCCTCCCCTGCCAACCATTGATAATAACATGCCGAGATCGGACCTTGTAGTACCAGACCAATTGAAAATTGCCAGGAGAAATAAAAAGCATATCTGAAGACGGGGGATTCTGACTCATGGCATCATGGTAACTAACTGATGGATGATGCGGTGACAAAAGGTCGGTGTTGTGACGAGGAAGCCATGGAAACCGGCCGGTCATCCGAGACATTTTGGCCGAACGGGAAAGGTAGCGGATAAACATACCCTGACTCTGAGCTCTCACCAAATACTAACTGGACTGATCCTAGAGACCTAAATTGCCTGTTCCGTGACATCATGAAAGGTTCTATCAGTGACATGGCGGCTGGTATCGCACCAATCGCGTGGGCTACGCGGCAGCTAGTGCCAAGCTCAGGTCCGCTTGAGCACCTGGTCCACGCCGCACTACCCCGGTCTAGGGCTGTAGTCCCCAGTACCCCGGTCCCGTCCCAGTGCCCACACCTTCCCACCCTTGGGCGTCAGCTTAACATCATCTTGTTCCTCCACAACTCTGAAAACCGGGCAGAGTCAACTCTCTAGCATGTAACGTTACCTACAGGAGGTAGTCCCCAGGGACCGACGCGGTGAAATCCCTAAATAGCCGTCCCCACTGATACCTCCGGGACTTTTCTCGTCTGAGCTTTCGTAGGATCCACCGCTATTCATTCTCCACCGCCCAGGAGCTGACCCTGAGAGGGGTACAGCATGATGCTTATGATTATTTGGGTGCTATTCGCAGTGGCAAAAGACGGGGGAAAGCGGGTGAACTGCAGGAACTAAACTCGTGGCATGCATTTGGCCCACCTATCCAGGACCCTGTCGGCCCTGGACAACAGGAAAATTACATGACAACAAAGCAAAACAAAGCAAAAAATTCGATATCGACTTTACCCATGCTGATCGCAAAGTTGATGGGTCTAGATTCTACCCAGTGCGGAGATATTCTCTAGGTTACTGGGTAAGTTTTCTGTTCGAATTGACTCTTTGCCTTATGACAACTCAAATTACTCCAGTTCTTTTTCCCCAATAATACCTCAATACCCCAGTACGTCACATAATCCACCCAAAACGGTTCTAGGATGCTTCGCTAAGATCCTTTGCCCAAGTGCGGTAGGGTCTCTGGACTACTTTTTCTCCTGCTGCCCTGTCATTCGTGAGGTTTCCCCACACAAGCACTCGGCCCACGACTAGCAAATGAAACCCATTCCATCTATTTTCGGGTCTACGAATGGCAGTCCAAGCGAATCGAAGCACACAGAGAATGAATCTGAAAGGAAAGAAAAAGAGAGACAGAGAGGACTGGGACCTCCCGCCACGTCTCAATAGTCTCATTCCTCGCAATTGATCTCATGACGTCCCAGACAGTCATGTTCTCAATCGATAATTCAGGGACCGTCACCACCCCCGCCATCAAGCCATGATCGTGGCCGAACAAAGGGAGGGGCGGGCTCTATCGACATGGATTCCATGGCCACCATCCCCCAGTCGCAGCCTCAACCCTCCGAGGCCATGGATGCTGAGTGGGTTGTGGAGCGATCCACCCATCAGGCCGCCAAGCCAGACTATGCATCATCGGGACTCTGTTGACTCGATCTCACTCCCGCTCAAGCGTCGGCTCCTTCGATGGCTTTGAGTTTTGGCTACAACTTATCCCGGTCTTCTGATCTCACTTGATTCAGCGAACCTGTCTCCAATTTTCCACGGCTACGGCCGTACTCATTGGACAGGTCCCATTTCCAGTACCAAAGCACAGGTCACCGAGCCAACCGGCTCGAGGCGTGCCACTAACTTTGGCCCTGCAGCTAGACCCAGTTCACGGTGCATCCACTGCATATCGTGGGCTAGCATGGACACAGAAGACAGCGGAAAAGTCTCCACGTCCGCTGCACCTACCATGTCCGGTTACCCTGTCAAGCTACTTTGCCAGCTGTGGGTCTCGTTGGGTATTGTTCTCGTACCACCTTCGTACGGATTGACTCTCGCACTGCACAAACTGTGACGAGGCGGCGTGGTTGATTCATGCATTGGGCCATGGAGAGCAAAAAAAAAAAAGAAAAAAAACCCCAAATCCTGATGGCTTGATCGGTCGATGGCCTTGTCCGTCACCCTGCCTCCTCGGAATCCGACTCCGGTCTGCGCTGAACCTTGCATCTTGGAAATATAAAACTGTCCATCCTCGTCGCCTTCCCGATCTGTTTCCTTTGATCTTGGAAGTACTTCGTTACCAGGAACTCTCTCGCTAAGGTTCCCATTGTCCTTCGTTTCCGAGGATCGGCTCTTGATATACTTCCTATTTAGGCAATTATCCTATTGCCCGTCAAATATCCGACTCTTCTTCAGCTCTAGCATAACCCTCGCTCTTCTGCTAGACACGATGCGTGGCGTCTCGATCCTGGTGCTCTACGCCGCCAGCCTAGTCTCGGGTAGTGTTCTGCCCAGAGACGCGGCTGGCAACGTTGCCATTGTTGCCCGTGGTGGAGGTGGAGGTGGAGGCGGCGGCGACGAAGGTGGATGGGGAGGAGGAGGTGGTGATGATCATGGCGGCCATGGCGGCCATGGTGGAGGTGGCCACACTTCTGCAGAGAGTACTCCTTGCGAAACTGATACTCCAACGCCCACCTCGACTCCATGCGATACTACTACTACGGCGCCGCCGCCGCCAACTAGTACGCCGTGCGATACTACTACGACGACGACGCCTCCTCCAACCAGTACGCCATGCGATAATACTACTACGACGACGACGCCTCCTCCAACCAGTACGCCATGCGACACTACTACTACGACGACGCCGCCGCCAACTAGTACTCCATGCGAGACGACCACCACTCCAACCTCTACTCCATGCGAGACGACCACCACTCCAACCTCGACTCCATGCGAGACGACCACCACTCCAACCTCGACTCCATGCGAGACGACCACCACTCCAACCTCGACTCCATGCGAGACGACCACCACTCCAACCTCGACTCCATGCGAGACGACCACCACTCCAACCTCTACTCCATGCGAGACGACCACCACTCCAACCTCTACTCCATGCGAGACGACCACCACTCCAACCTCTACTCCATGCGAGACGACCACCACTCCAACCTCTACTCCATGCGAGACGACCACCACTCCAACCTCGACTCCATGCGAGACTGAGACGGGCACTCCTCCTCCAACCTCAACTCCTTGCGAGACTTCTACCCCAACTGGTCCTCCCCCTACTTCCACTCCCTGCGAGACTGAGACGGGCACTCCTCCTCCAACCTCCACTCCCTGCGAGACTGAGACGGGCACCCCTCCTCCAACCTCCACTCCATGCGAGACTGAGACGGGCACTCCTCCTCCTACCTCGACTCCCTGTGAGACTGAGACGGGTACTCCCCCTCCTCCTCCCGAGAGTACCACCACTTTCACCACTGTGTACAGTACCACTTCCAGCATTGTTCCTCCCACGAGCTCTGCTTCTCAGCCTACCGAACCGGCTCCCGTTCAGTCCTCGCCGGCTGTCTCTGCTGTGACCAGCTCAGTCCAGACTACCGCGCCAGTGGCTCCCGCTACCACCAGTCCTGTCTTCAACGGAGCTTCTTCTCAGTTCCAGCAATCCCTGACCGGGCTCGTCCCCGCTCTGGCTGTCGTTCTGGCCCTGATCTAAGCTCTTTAACAGTCCCTTCATTGGCATTGCAAGAAGTGATATAATTTCCTTAATGCGTCACGGATAATATACGGATTTTGTGCAAGAGGAAGGGAAATGGACATGGAAAGCCGGACAACCGAAAACTAAAGAAACCGAAAAAAAAATCTTATTCTTGGCAGTTTTTTGGGCACGGTGTGGATGGCCCGAGGACTTGTTACTCTTAATTCCTGCTACCTGCATCCTGGCAGGTGGTAGCATTTGATGAGGTCTGATTTATGACTGACGGACATTCCTTATTACTATATTTGATGCACGGCTTTAGTTTAGTGCTGCATAAAGTAGTTCACTAATTCATTTGATATCTGATTTGATAAGATCTTTATGTTCTGCAAAGTTTCAAAATAATCTTTAGAGAGATTTGATAGATTTCATACATCAAAAACATCTCATAATTTATATTCCTCTAGCTTTTTGTTTCTCCTAGTGATGCTGTATGTAGGGATATCCACCTGCCAAGAGGACCCTTTTGAGGGCTCTTACATAAGGCTGACCCCAAACAGTGCAAACACGCCTCTATCGTAATCGGACCCGTGGCCTTAGATGCGCCTCGTCCGTTCTATTGACAAGTGGCCACAGCATCCCCTCGCGCCCGGATGGCCTGAAATTAGTGCATTCTCTTGTTTTCTTCCATTTCCTATCCTCCGGATCCCCCGATTATCGCTCAAGGGCCACATTGTGTCCCGATTTCATAGCTCACACAGCTTCCCGTTCGGCGCAAGGCCAGCTTTCCACCAACACACGCCTTGGCGATTTGGTGGTTCAATTCCAAGCCTATCTGCAATTTTTATGCTTATATACTGCTAGCTTAATGTGCGCCGAGCTCCCAGTCACCGAATTAGCAGTTGGATAATACCAGCTAACTCTTGAATTGCAGTGCGCAGCTTAGATAGACCATGGCTCTCCCGGGCCGCGGCAGGTTACTTACCTCGCCGTTCCTTTCCCTCGTGATCCTCCCATTCTTGATTTTCCTCGTCAGTTTCACCAGTCCAGCTGCCGCAGCCGGATCAGCAGTCCTCGGTCTTGATGTCGGCACCGAATATTTCAAGGCCACCCTAGTGAAGCCCGGTATCCCCCTCGAGATCGTGCTCAGCAAGGACTCGAAGCGGAAAGAGTCAGCCGCCATCGCATTCAAGCCGACAAGAGAGAGCGATGCCCCCTTCCCCGAACGGTTCTACGGTGGTAACGCGCTGGCCCTGGCGGCTCGGTTCCCGGACGATGTGTACATCAACTTGAAGACTCTCTTGGGCGTGTCTTTCAACGATGGAAACGATGAGGCGGTCAAGGGCTACTGGAGCCGGTATCCAGCTTTGAATCTTGAGACTGCTCCCGATGGTCGCGGCTCTGTTGCGCTGCGTAGCAATCGTCTCGGCGAGGTGCAAAAGAAGGATGCGTTCCTGGTCGAGGAGATCCTGGCTATGCAATTGAAGGAGGTCAAGTCCAATGCTGACGCGCTGGCTGGTAAGGGCTCTGATGTCCGCGATGTGGTCATCACGTACCCTGCTTTCTACACTGCGGAGGAGAAGAGAAGCCTGGCTCTGGCTGCCGAATTGGCTGGTCTGAAGATTCAGGCCCTTGTTAGCGATGGTCTGGCCGTGGGTCTGAACTACGCTACTAGCCGCAAGTTCCCCAGTGTGTCGGATGGCGAGAAGCCAGAATACCACGTCGTCTTTGATATGGGTGCTGGATCGACCACCGCCAGCGTATTGCGTTTCCAGAGCCGCAAGGTCAAGGATGTTGGAAAGTTCAACAAGACTGTCCAGGAGATTCACGTTTTGGGAAGTGGTTGGGACAAGACCCTGGGAGGTGACTCTTTGAACGATCTGATTGTCAACGACATGGTTGCCAAGTTGGCTGAAGACAAGAAACTGAAAGACAAGGTTACTCCGGAGCAGATCAAGGCCCACGGAAAGACCATGGCCAGGCTTTGGAAGGATGCGGAGAAGATTCGCCAGGTTCTCAGCGCCAACACCGAGACTTCCACCAGCTTTGAGGGACTCTATGACGAGGAACTCAACTTCAAGTACAAGGTTACCCGTGCCGATTTTGAGAAGATGGCTGCTGAGCACGTGGCTCGCATTGGTGGTCCTCTTGAGCAGGCTCTTGCGGCCGCTAGCTTGAAGCTTGATGAGATCGATTCTGTTGTTCTCCACGGTGGAGCGATCCGTACTCCCTTTGTCCAGAAGCAGTTGGAGAAGATCTGCGGATCTTCCAAGAAGCTGCGCACTAATGTCAACGCTGATGAGGCCGCCGTCTTTGGTGCCGCTTTCAAGGGCGCAGCTCTTAGCCCCAGCTTCCGTGTCAAGGACATCCGCGCCAGTGACGCGGCTACCTACCCCATCGTCCTGAAGTGGAACTCGGATGGCAAGGAGCGAAGCCAGAAGCTGTTCACGTCAGTTTCCCAGGTTGGCCCTGAGAAGCAGGTTACCGTGAAGAACCTTGAGGACTTCGAGTTCAACTTCTACCAGCAAGTTGAAGAGCAAGGTCTGCCCGTTCTGAGTGTTCAGACTCAGAACCTGACCGCCTCTGTGAACAAGCTCAAGGATACTTTTGGCTGCACTACTGCCAACATTACCACCAAGTTCAACATTCGTTTGAGCCCTGTCAACGGTCTCCCCGAAGTGACCAGTGGCAATGTCAGCTGTGAGGTCGAGGCCGAGAAGAAGGGCAGCGTTGTTGAAGATGTGAAGGGCTTCTTTGGTCTCGGCTCCAAGAAGGGCGAACAAGAACCCCTTGCTGAGGATGAGCCTAGCGAGTCGATTACCCTCGAGCCCGAGTCTGAGTCTTCGAGTACCGCCTCTGCGAGCTCTTCTACGACGACTACCACTAAGGAGAATGCCAAGCCGACTACCCAGACGAAGCTTGAGATTATTCCCATCAACTTGAAGTCGACCCCTCTGGGAACCCAAGCTCCCTCTGTGGCCGAACTGGCTCGTATCAAGGGTCGTCTGGCTGCTTTCGATGCTTCCGACCGTGATCGTGTTCTCCGCGAGGAGGCTCTCAATGAGCTCGAGTCCTTCATCTACAAGAGCCGTGATCTTGTTGACAACGAGGAGTTTATTCAGGCGGTCAAGGAAGACCAATTGACTCTCCTCCAAGAAAGGGTCGCCAAGGCTAGTGACTGGCTCTACGAGGACAGCGACAATGCCAAGACGGCCGACTTCCAGTCGAAGCTGAAGGACCTGAAGTCCATCGTCAACCCCGCTCTGAAGCGCATGAAGGAATCTTCCACCCGCCCCGCTCGTATCCAACTCCTCCAGGATATGCTCAAAAACGCAGAGTCCATGAAGCAGTTGATCGAGAGTCAGATTGCCAACGACGAGCAGACTTACTCGTCTTCCCTTTCGGCTTCGAGCACCTCAACCGCCGCGGAGTCAGAGACCAGCTCCGAAGCCACCCCGACTCCTTCTCCTTCGGATGAGACCCTGGATGAACTCGACGATGACTCGTACTCAACCTCGACCACCTCGAAGACCTCCACCAAGTCTTCGGCCGCGGCTAAGCCCACTGGCCCAAAGTACACCCTTTTCACCCCGACCGATCTCGCCTCTCTGACAACAATCTACGAGTCCACGAAGCCCTGGTTCGAGACCCAACTCGAGCTGCAGGAGAAGCTCACTGAGTCTGATGACCCGGCTCTCACCGTCGTGGAAATCGACTCACGTCTGCGCGAGTTCGAGCGCATCCTGAACCGCATGTACGAGCGTATGACTGCCGCCGCTGGCCGCGAGGCCAAGAAGAACAGTGGCAAGCAGAATAAGAAGAAGACCTCCGAGGAGAAGGGTAAGGGCAAAGAAAAGGCGAAGGAGGAGAAAAAGAAGGCGAAGGAGGATACTAAGGACGAGCTGTGATGAATCCTGCTCTTAGAAAACCTCTGCATTATCTCTTGTTTATCTTGCATTTTGGGTATCTTGTGCGCCTTATAAAGTACAGAGCATGATTTTCCTTTTTTTCTGTTAACACCTTTTTCATATCCCATGTACCATGCACCAGTGTCAAGCAATAATAGAGAAAAGAATTGCAATGGAGTTTTGGGTTAAATCTTTGATTATTTTCTTGACATTAAGACTGTCTACATTCAGACCGAAGATTACCACATCCACGGTTTACTTCAACAATGCCCCATTACTCGCAACGAAGCGTGTCGCCACTAGCATAAAATTCACCACTGACGCAAGCACTGTGGCATTTCTCTTCATTCTCACAGTTCCATCCATGCGCGCCAACCTTGGCTATTATCACATTCAGTCACTATACAAAATAGCCATGGAAATAGAGGTATACATACGAACAACCTGGGCTCCACTCGCTGGCGATACTGGAACAGATGTGGCTCCTGGGAGTTGAGGTTGTGGCATAGCCACAACAGCAGATATCATCCCGAGGACAGAGAGAAGAAAAGTAGCTTTCATGTTTGGTGATGTCGACTGTGAGGATCATCATTAGACCAAAGACATCTAGAGTGTGACGGCGACTCACAGTTTATTAACTCAAAGATAGCTAAACGTTGATGGTGATACACAGCAATTCGAATCTCAGATTCGGGGTACACACGAGGTATATCACTGTTGAGGGGCAGGTCTCTCCTTTGTTCAGATCTCAATTTTGAGTCCTCGTGCCAGGTCCTGTACACAAAACAAAGCAAGGGGCAGGGCTCTCCGCTGCGAATGCCATTCCAGGCGCTGATTGGCGGCTCGTTGCTTTTTTTATTGACTGTGATTCTCAGCCTGAGAACAAGCAATGGCTCTAATAGTCTATTTAGTACGCCAAGAACACTACTACTAACTTATGTGGGTAGATGGCTATTGTTGTTTCTACAGTTCTACGAGCATGGAACAACGAGACAGCCGCTTTGACTAAGCTCTGTCGTTAACTAACTAACTACTAACTAAGAGCTACAAATCCATGACATAGTGTTAAATATATAATTCTTCGAGGTGTATCTCGAGATGTTTCTCGCACTTCTCAGTGCTCAGGGAACATCATCATAGACGCGGTGTGTCTTTGACCTCTGGCGAGACTGAGCAGGATTCGAAGGCTTCTTTCGCCTCTGAGCCCCATAGCTTTCGGGTCATGTCGAGTAGCTTGTCCACCGAGGGGATATCAAAATCCTAAGATGTTGCGCCATTCAGTAAATCTCTCGTGCTTAGTGCTATAGTTAGATGCCCGCCAACGACTTCGCCAATGCATGCTCACGGTTACTAGTTAGTTACATAATGTTCCTGTGACGGTCGGCGCGGCGATTAGTGGACATCCGCCCGCGTATTGACAAGGTCATTATTTCATGTTGGATTTTGTTACTCAGAGCAAAAGCGTAACATCTAACAGTATCTATAGCACATCGTGAGGTTCTCGGAGATTATATACGGACTTGGGCTTTTTTTTGCCAATCAAAAGCTCAGCTCCGGCCTCATTGTGATGAGGACGAAAGCCGATCAGGAATGAACGCACTGCCACCGCAAATGCGCTCGGCTAGATTCTTGGCTCTCGTGTTCTCTGATGATCATCATCTAAAACACCATACAACTACGGTTACTGTGAGTGAAATTTAAACTAGTCATATATACTGTGGATACATCAATTGAGACACTATTAATAAAACCACTTAAATTTGTATCGACATCCCACTCGCAGAAGGTCCAAGAGAAAGATAACTCGATCACTTACTTTACCTCCACATTTCGATTGAGCAGAAAAAAAGAACAACAGCATTTCTTGACGTCTTAGTCTTTCCGGCCTCCACAATGCCTAGAGGCACAGACTTGCTCCAACGATTATGGTCTAAGTAAGATACTCCCTCGTTCTCGTTGGCTGGCTGCAAGATTAAATTAACACCGTTATCAACCTTTCAGAACAAATAAAGCATCACGTAACAGAAGCGAAAATCCGGATGAACAGCCACTTCCAGATGATTTATCATCCATCGAAGCATCCCAAATCCTAGAGGCGCGAGTGGAAAAGCGCAAACGAGAGCTAGGCCCGGAGCACCCCGACACGCTCGTGGGAATGAACAACTTAGCTTTCTCCTACTGGAAACAAGGGAGATGGAAAGAGGCTGAAAAGCTCCAGTTACATGTGATAGAAAGTCGCAAGCGTGTTCTAGGACCGGAACATCCTCAGACTCTATCCACCATGGCTAGTTTAGGCTTCGGCTACTGGAATGAGGGACAGTGCAAGGAAGCGGAGGAGTTGCAAGTCTATGTGTTGGAGAAACGGAAGCGTCTACTTGGACCAGAGCATTCTGAGACTCTCGAGATCATGAACAACTTGGTTTGTACATACCTCGACCAGGGTCGATTCAGAGAAGCCGAAGAGCTACAGACTGAGGAGTTTGAACTGTCTTCCCGGGTGCATGGCCGCGACCATCCCGACACCCTCATCAGCATGGGTAATCTGGCATCTACCTATACGAAGCAGGGGAAATGGGCGGAAGCAGAGTCCTTACAAAAGAAGGTGATCGAGCTCTATTCTCAAAGCCTGGGAGGAAAGCATCCTTCCACGTTGGATAGTATGGCCGAATTGGCATCCATCTACCAGGAGCAGGAGCGATGGAAGGAAGCACTGGATCTGAACTTCCAGGTGATGAAAGCTCGCAAAGAGGTACTGGGACCAGACCATCCCGACACTCTGGGTGCTATGTCCAGCCTGTCATCTATCTATCGAGAGCAAGAACGATGGGAAGAAGCCGAAAGGATAGACGTCCAAGTGGCAGAGGCCATTATGGAATTGTTTGGACCGGAACACCCAAAGACATTAGTCTCTATGTCTAACCTGGGATCCACCTATCATGGCCAAAAGCGTTTCGATGAAGCGGCAGCAGTACAGGAACAAGTCGTGCATATAAGCATTGAGCTGCGAGGACCTAACCACCCCAGCACACTCACCGATATGGCCAACCTAGGATGCACCTATCGGGGCCAGGGACGAATGGAGGAAGCAGAATCGCTGGAGCAGGTGGTGATGGAAGCCCGCCGGCAAGTGCTGGGGCCAGAACATCCCGATACTGTGACCAGCATGAACAATCTTGCTTTTACTTTCAAAGCATCCGGCAAAAATGAAGAGGCGTTGCTGCTCATTGGTAAGTGTGTGGAGATCTTGAACAAGTCTTTGGGCCCTGACCATCCTCGTACCATTCATGCGGCTGCCGCCCTTACCGAATGGCGCAAGACGCATGCTTCTGGGTCCATTTGAGTGCATAAAACGTCGATAAAGTCAAGAGTGGTACTTTCGCTCATCAAATCACACATTCCAATGAATACATAAGTACATTTGTTTTGTAGAATGTTATATCTTAACTGGATACCTTATCACCTCTATTAACGGTTCTACTGAAGATAAGCCAAGTTCCCACTTTATCAAATACCATGTGCTCCGAAAACTCGAGGGGACCAAGCAAAAGTCTAGGCAGACAATCAATTAGTGTATCTAGTTTTCAAATTCGGTGCAGGGGTAGGCTTTTGGATTTCGATTCTATAGGAGTCTCTATAGGGGGTGTCTAGATATTCAAAATTAGTTAAATTTGGGTGTGCACATGTAGCAAAGCCCGAAATAAAAGACTACAAAAGAGATTACGATCATATCCTAGTCGACCGGTGTCGACTTGCCAATTAGGGGGTTAGGCCAGTCTTATGCGTTAGTAGAATCGTATTAATTTGTGACCAGGCCTGAATATAGTCCTATTGCGCGGGATTTAGCCACCATCCTCACCGTAAGAGTCCATTCCCTGGCTCAGGTGATCAACAACTCTCTGTTTTTAGAGGCAGGAGACAGGATAATCGGCAGTTGAAGAGGTCAACAAATCCCGTCCACAGCCATTAAGACTATTAACCTCCCCCAATCCAGCCCCACGTCGCCCCGCGACCCAAAGAGAAACCCCCCGCATTCTCATACCCCAGAAGCCACACTTGAGCTATGATGCACACCCCGACCGGGTGTTCCGGCCCATACGTCCGCTCAAATCGGGCATGGACTTTGTCCAGCTTGATGATAGTTTTTGAAAAAGGGGTATTTATGACGAAACCCTCGGCAATAGCTTCTCCGCGTTTAGGCCCCCTACTCCAACTAGAGGTTGTCCGAGAAGACGACTGAAACTTGATTGGGCCTGATTGGCGGCATGGCTCCCACATGCTAGCAGGATCGGTGTTGGCTCCACGATGGGGCTTTAATATCCTCGATGATAAGCATAAGCCTTGGTCCAGGTCGTCGTGGCAAGTTCCACCCTACAACTACTATTCCTGGCAGGGCCCGGTAGTTAGAAGGAGGAGTGACATGCCGATTTGTACTATATCTTGCACTGGGATATCACTTTTCTCTGACTGTCTTAATATTTTCATTCTTTCCCTTCTCCAGGAATATCCCCCAAGATGCATGGACTAACAGACCACGTTCTTCGCATCCTTTCTGAGCACTGGATAGCAGTGTCTCTGACAGCCCTAGTGCTATGGCTCCTCAAGAATCGATATCATAATGGTCTCAATAAGTATCCAGGTCCGCTATTGGCTTCTTTTACAGACTGGTGGCGCTTCTTGGATGTCTATGGCCGAAGGCCTGAAGTCACTCATCGTGCTCTTCATAAACAGTACGGCGATGTCGTTCGTCTTGGGCCGAATACTCTTTCTTTCTCAGATCCTCGAGCTCTCAAGTCGATATATGGTTTGAACAAAGGGTTTATCAAGGTAGGAACATCATATAACGCTCCCGAAAATAGGGCCAACGCCATTGCTAACAATCTTTATAGTCTGAATTCTATGTCGTCCAGCAATCTATTGCTAGAGGCCACCGCTTGCAGTCATTGTTCAGTTCAACGGACAACGATTTTCATGCGAGATTTCGCCGTTGCGTTAATTCTGCATTTGCCATGTCTGCCTTAGTTCAATATGAGCCCTTCGTCGACAACACGACCAAGCTGTTCCTGGAACAAACAAGGAAATATTACGTCAACAATCCCGAAGGTTGTGATTTCACTCAGTGGTTGCAATTTTACGCCTTCGATGTCATTGGAGAGATTACATACAGCAAGAGACACGGATTCGTGGAAAAGAACAAAGACATTGACGGTATTGTGTCCTACCTGTCATGGCTATTCCTCTATGTTGCGCCAGTACGTCAATCTCTGATACCATTGTCATGTTCATTATTAACATTTCTAGATTGGACAAATCCCATTCCTAGACAGACTTCTTCTCAAGAATCCAATCTACCTCAAACTCTCCCAATGGGGCTTCATCGATGCCACTTTCCCCGTGGCACGATTTGCCAGCAATCGCATGGCCGAGAGACTCCCAGAGCTATCCCAAGGAAAGTCCGCTTCCGAACTGGGCGTCAAGTCGCCAGATCTTCTCTCCAAGTTCTTAGCAGCACACGAGGCACATCCCGAATTCATGAGCCAGACTCTGGTCCAGACCATGGCTGTAAGCATGGCTTTTGCCGGCTCCGAGACTACGGCTATCAGTCTTTCAGCGGTATTCTACTTTTTGCTCAAGAATCCCGATACTTTGAGGCGTCTTTTGTCTGAAATTGATGATGCTGCTCGCGCTGGAGCCTTTGGAGACTCCGAGACGGGACTTGTCACTTGGCACGAGAGTCAGCGGCTTCCTTACCTGGACGCATGTATCAAGGAGGCTTTCCGGTTGCATCCTGCTGCTGGACTTCCCCTGGAACGTATTGTACCGGAGCAGGGCGCCGAAATTGCTGGACATTTCGTGCCCGGTGGTACTATTGTTGGCTGTTCGGCTTGGCTGATTCATATGAACAAGGGCATATTTGGTGAAGATGCCGAGCTCTATCGTCCTGGGCGTTGGCTTCCAGATGAAGAGATAAGCAAGACAGAGGCCGGCAGGGATGCCGAAGATCGTCGCATCAAAGAGATGAATGGTACAATGTTCCAGTTTGGAATGGGCAGTCGTACCTGCATTGGAAAGAATATCAGTTTGCTCGAGATCTACAAGCTCGTGCCTAGCATGTTACGACGCTTCGAGGTGAGTTTCCCGGGTATTATTCGCAGTCATGACAGTCCTAATAGGGTATCGAATAGATCCAATTCCAAGATCCCTCTCAAGAATGGGAGTTGATTAACGCGTGGTTTGTGAAGCAAAAGAACTTTACGACGACATTCAAGCTTAGGGATATTGTGAAGCCAGAGAGCGAGCCTGTCCCCTCTGCCCCTTGAGATAGTCTCTTTCTATTGATCTTTCTTTTGAGCGGTAAAGCATAGCAATAAGCAAGTAGAAGTACCCTTTTCTTACACAACACCAACATGCGGTCAACTTCAAAGAAACATTTCAGGTTTCCCGGTGACACTTCAAGAACTTCTATTATAAACAATGTTTGAGACACGCTTCGAAGCATTTTAAAATGCTCGCACAGCAACTATAACGCCCAGAAATGAGAGACAGAGTTGTAAATTCACTTGGTTCCTTGATGAGGGGGGCAATTACTTCACGCTGCCCTTTGACATGATCTCAGATGGACTGTCCACTGAACTGGCGAGTTCCTGTACCCGATACATACCGTCCAACTCTACCGGCCGATTCCCCCCATCGCGCAGGTTCGTATACGGGCCACCATATGGTGTACCCGTAGCTGGCAACATTCCCCGGCCCTTCAATGCCCGCCGCCGCTCAAACAGCGCCCATACTATCGAGAGTAATGCGATTACACCAAGTGGCACCCCTACTCCAGCACCAATCGCGGTTTCATGACATGTGGTACAAATAACCGATAAGTCAGATGAGGATGACGATGAGGATGAGACCGAAGCTGTTGCAGATGGTGACGATGTCGTTGCAATCGCGTCGAGTAGCGTAGAATTGGCCAGCAGTGCGCGACCGGGAATAGGCCAGCCTGTGGGGACTTCGAACCCGGAGGTAGGATTATCAGGGCAGACGATCTTGTCACCGTCAATGACTGGGGTGCCACAGCAGTAAGTTGCGGTGCCATTATAGAACTTCAGGTTGATAATCGAAGCACCCATGTTCGGGGTGCTCGTGGCTGAAGCCCGCCATATCTGTTAGTTGCGCTGTCTAATCCTCACTCTACCAGAGATTCAGGCGCATTTGTCGTGCACTCACAGCAATAGCTCGCACATCCCGAATTCCAGTCGGAATTGGTGCATGCTCCGCGAGATAACACATAGGGCTGATGCCCAACGTTCAAACAAAGTCCGTTCGACAGGCAAATGTCTTGTGACCCGCAACAGGTAGCACTTGTGTCGTCGGAACAAGGAACGTTCCCTTTGGCGATATTGCCGGAGGGAAAGTAACAATATCGATTGTCGGCGACCATTTCTGCAAGAATCTGGAGACGTTTTGGAGCTGTGGGTTGGAACGGCCGGTAAGGGTCCGACCCTTCCCACTATTAAAGGACTCATTGCGAACTAATTGAGTCGAACGATCACTATCCCTGGCCCCACTAGGGGCGGATTTGAGCTGACCCTGAAGGGATTGATGAGCCCTGTCCGAAGACATGATTGGCGGCGGCCGCAATTAAAGCGTGGCCCCCAAACTTGTGCAGCCCCGAAGGCGCTAACACTTAGTATCAAGCCTCAGTCTCACCGTTTCGAGATCGGCCCCCACTGACGCTGCAGAAAGTCTCCCATCGAGTGATTCGGTTGGCCCCAAAATTTGCATCCTGCCACAAAGGATCTTCCTGGCGAGCAGATAGATGACAAGGAGGTAAGGCAGAAATCTAGAGGGTGGCAGCAGCGTCGCCCATGACAAGGCCATCGCAAGGCTGCAGCCTTGGACCGTCGCTGCGACTATAATTTCGTTTATCCTGTCAGGGTCGGGATCAACAGGGTACTACTTAACTTTAGACTCCACTTTGGTGCATGGAGATGGCTCGCGTGTGGTTTTTTCGGCGAGAAGCATAGAAAAGGACAAGCTTAAATATTGATTCGCACGTAACTGAATGGCGGGTGGCTGAATTTCGAAGTAATAATACAAACAATGATGGTACAAGTACAAGGCTGAAACAAAAGTGGGTATAGGTACAAAAACAAATAAGACAAACATAGGTGGTCATAAAGGGTTGGCAAGGGAAAGGGGTAAGGGAGAATGAATACAAAGGTCAAACTCGGAAGAGTGGCAAGTGTTGGCAAAAAGCAAATCAGGTACTCTTCGTGGGCCATCCAGTAGCAACCACCAAGCGCCAAAGCAAGCAGGACGAATGGACAGCATGCTATGCACAATCCATGCGCATGTAATCCGAATCAACTTCCTCCCGTTGACGGAGGAAGGACGCTTCTTCAAAGTCATCCAGGTCCATCTTTGGCTGGTTGCTAGTGTGCTGAGCGAACAAACGGCGTCTTGGAGATAAAATAATGCGTCCTCGAGGAGAATCCTGCCCAGTCTCATCCTCGTCGGCATATACGTCATCCTCAAAGTCGAACGATCGTTTCTGACCATTCAATCCATAGGTATATGAGCCTGTTGATGTAATGGACTCCTGGCTGCTAGGAGGGAGGGAAAATGCGTCACCATCATCGGTGACCATTGAGTGTGGTTCGTCGATGGATTTGGAGAGGCCAGAAAAGGGCGTCAGTTCCGCACGACGAGTGTTCCCATAATAAGGTTGAGCGAGACGGGATTGCGTTGCAACGACTGCAACTTTGGCTTTCTCGGCTTCCAGTGACAATTGAGTCTTATATCCATCTGCAACAGATTTGCGGACCCGCATTCCGACCGACAGTAGTGAGGCCTGCACCTTGGCTGGGACTACCGGAGTTGCAGAGGAGGTCGAGGCGGAATAGTGGTTGTGTGAAACGGCGTATCCATCAACTGATTGAGATTCTGATGGAACCGAAGGGAAGAAACTTGTGATTGGTGTCTGGAAGCGACGTCGCTTGGAGAGTATGCTGTTCGAGGCAGACACGGTCGGGTTGGTGACGATCGATGGCATGATGGAGAGTGGAGAATGTAAAGAGGACGGCAAATCCGAGCGAAAGAAGAACGAACAAGGAATGTAAACGGCTAGGTGGGTGTGAGGCTAATGCTCGAGGGGCAGATGAGATCTTGCAGGTAGGGTTGAGGGGTACAGGAATGGATGCGGGATAGAAAAGATAAGAATTGAGGTGATGCAAAATGATGCGGCTGGGAAACGCGACGCGGGGGACACGCGCCTGACACGTTTTCCAATTAAGCCTATTTGGGTTAGGGCTTAGGGCTCCGTGCGTCACCAGTCACGTGGAACTGCTTACATTTAGAGCTGGACATCTTGACCTTGGAAGCATCGAAAGGTAATGGTTGCAACCCTTGGAAACCATTACCTTGCATAATATAGCCCCAATGATATTGCGAAATACTGTAATTACCACGTATTCGATCTCCAGTTATCAGCCATCTGAACCATGGGCTGAATGGTAGTTATTTTCTGTTCAAATTGTACAACCTTATGAGGCAGCCGAAGTATATATTGTTGTGATCCACAAGGTACCTCATGTACACAAACCCAGCGCTATGCCCGGCCGCAAGTACTAGGAAACTAATGACATGGATTGATCAAAGAGATACAAGAACCCTCACTACCTAAATTGAAGATCGTCCCATCCATATGTACGGGGTACGTTCCACGTGCTATAGTATACGTACACTGCCTCAAACCCCAAGTTAACTCGACCCATCAATGACCAATACCTACTTCAGAATGGAGATTTGAAACACCAACTTGGATCTTAAGCAAATAGCAATATAGAAATCAGTTTATCGAAAGATGCAGTTTAGAATAATATTGTAAATCACGTTTTGGGTCTCATATATAACTTGCGAACATCAAATGAGGTAAAGAGTAAATCAAACGCCAATTCCTCGACAGATCAATGGCCATTATCTACAACGCGATGCCCAGAGTAAGTGAATCAAAGTCAGAAATAACACGGATGGACTTTCGATCAGTTTCCAAGATTACCACGCTTGCCGCCTCTCTTCTGGCGTTCGTGGTGAGCCTTCAGCACCGCCCGAGTTTCCACCAGACTGCGCTTGTTCTTGCTCTTCGCCTTGCCCAGGGTCATGAGGAAGTTCTTGCGGCGAGCCTTCTCCTTGTTGGTGGTACTCTTGCCCTGCTCCTGCTTGCGTTCTCTCCGCCTGCCTTCCTTGCTCTTGTGCTCCTCGCGATCCGGCTTGCCCTCACGAGCATGGGCAATACGTTCTTCACGAGTGGCCTTGCCAGCGGACAAAGACGCCAGACCCTCGATCTCTGCAGCAGTCAACGGGTCATCCGTGTGGCGGGCAGCAGGCTGAGCAGCCCGGCGGGACCTTGAGCCGTTAACAGCAGACTCGACAGATGCCTGAGCACGGAGCTCGGCAAGCTTCGCGAGATCGGCGGGGGTCAAAATTCTCGTGGTGGCGAGGGTGGATAGCTTAGCCTCTTGAGCCGCATCTTCCTTCTCCTTCTCCTTCTCCTTGGCCTCGGCATCATCCTGCTTGGATTTCTTCGAGGGTCGGTTCTTGCCCTCATCTTCGGAGTCGCTGAGTTCAATCTCAACATCACTCTCGACATTGATCCATTCACCAGAGTCATCACTGTCGTCATCATCCTCAATGTTCCAAGCAGCCCAATCATCTTCCTCGTCCTCGTCATCCTCGGCGTCAGAAGCCAGGCCCTTCTCCTCACGTCTCTTGCGACGCTCCTCTTCCTTCCACTTCTCCAACAGCTCGAGACCCTCGATTCCGCCAATATCCTGTTGACCGAAACGTCTCTGCTCTTTCTCGCCAGAGCGGAGACCCATAGAGGCTTCCTTGCCACGATCCCGCTTCTTGAGCATCTGCGCTCCAACGTCACGGTAGAGACTGAGCAGACCCTTGGAAGCCATCATCACACCCTTATCTTTGCTCTTCTTGTACATGACAAGGTCCTGGAGGAGGGTTTCGTTCATAGCCAGTGGCTGTCTCACACAGATCTCGCGGATGGCATTGAGACCAGCAGTGGCGACCTCTCCAGCAGATGCTTCAGAGACAAACTCGTTGGCAATCTTCTGAATGAGAGGTTCAAGGACATCTGGAGGCACCAGATCGTGCGATGCCTGAGCCAATGAGGCCAAGAAGGAGGTGACCGAAGGCTGGCGGGGAGTAAGGAACTTCTGGAAGTAGGAGTACAGCGACATGATATGCAGCTTGTGCAGGCCAACAAGGCGGGAGACCAACTGTAGAACAAGGAGCTTCTGCTCCAAGTTCAGCTTAGCCCTGCTGCTTTGCAAGTGCTTGGTGAACATGCTGTCGGCGAATCCTTGAGGGTCATGGAGCAGATGGAGGGCTGAGAAGTTGAGGGGGTGCGGCTGGTTCTTCTTGCGCTCCTTCTTCTTATGCGTAGCCATGGCCTTCTCCGCAACACGGGCCTTCTTCTTCGACTTTTTATTGATCTGCAAGGTATGACGAAGACGACCGATGTCGAGGGTCTCTTCGTCACTGCTCTCATCCTCCATGTCCTCACGCTCCTTATCACCACCGAGGAAGAAACGCACTCCGCCGACGATCACCTTTTCATTCTCCGAAAGCGCTGCCTCCTTCATAACCTCGACAGCCTTGGCGTCCGTCCAGATCTGGCGCTTCCATAGCTCTCGGGTAATTTTGATGGCCCACAATGCTTTAGAAGACGTGCGATCGGAGGTGACCAGATTGAAGAGGACAGTCTGCATCGTCCGGTTCAACTTGTGGTTGGTGGTTTTGGAGTTAGCCTGACGTAGTTCCGACAGGATCTTCTGGAATAGAAGAGCACGAAGGGTCTTGCTGGGCGTGGTGATGAGAATCGGGAAGAGAGTGTGAAGCAGCGTAGCCGAATCGAGAAGGTCCTTCTTCTTGAGAAGCACGATGCTTCCAACGATTTTCTCACGCAGTTCAGGCTCCAAAACCAGGTGGTGTTGCATCAGCATGTCAATGAGCTGCTGTGGGAAGTCCTTCAAGATCTCCGGATAGCAATCAGCGACATGGGAAATGAAGTCAATAAGCTCCCTCAGAGAGATAATGCCGGTGTCCGTGGCGGCAGAGGGAGCCGCCATGAAAATTTCGCGATGCGACTCATATTGGTAGTGCTGGGCGCGGAAATCCTCGATATAAGACCTGAGCACAGTGAAAAATTGATCAGTATTAATCCTATCTCAAATCCTTGCATCAATCGAGGACTTGAGCCACTTACTTGGGATCCCTTCGAATCTTGTGCTGCAAGTTAGGCCTGCGGAGGACAGAGAACGGGTCAGTATTCGACTCCACAACATGGTTGCACCCAGGCGCACTGCAATTTGAGGCACAGTAAAAACTCACAGATCAGCCTCAACCTTTTCCAAGGCCCCGAGCTTTCTTTTGACCATCTTGAAAGCCTCTGGCGTGGATGTAAACAGGCGGTGGAGGGAAAAAGAGGCTGGAGGTCAGTTGCGCTCCGAAACTTTTTTTCCGCCGTATCGATAAGCGACCCAACTTTGGAGAACAAGCGCGCCTCCACCATAATCTAGTAGGCCTAATAATCGTCCATCATTGTTCGAGAACTCGGAATGATAGACCCTTAATTCCGTTGAATAAATTACTAGATTTATTGTTTAAAATTTATTACAATGAAATGCTCCTTGAAGTGTCATCTGAAAGAACTCGTAGACTACTTTTGAATGCTACAGAAAATCCATAATCGCATGATGTGAACAGTAAAAAAATTTTGTTTTTTCACTTAAACTTGGCCATTACCACCCAAGGCCCCTGCGACCGCATCACAACTGCTGGAAACGAAGCTATCCGATTGTGTTCCCATTTTTGGATCCTGCTTCCTCCATGGCTGTCCCAATCCATGTACAGCTTTTGCAGTTGTATGTCAATCATCCGAAACCCGGTGAAAAACACCCCGTTCACTCCAGTATCCATAAAACACATAGGACCAAACGGAGAATGCATCCAGTACACCCTTTACCGGTTAGACTTGGCAACACGCTCCAGCTCGTCCTTCTTCTTGATGGCGTAGGAGTTGCTGCTGCCCTTGGCGGCGTTGACGAGCTCCTCAGCTAAAGGGAGATGTTAGTAGAAATTCTCATAAAAGATCGCAAATGGGATCTAGAAAAAGGTTGGATAGAACGAACCAAGGCACTCAGAGATGGACTTCACGGAGCGGAAGGAGCTCTCACGGGCACCAATGGTGATCAGAGCAATTGCGGTGTTGACACGGCGGAGGGGAGAAACATCGACGGCCTGGCGACGGACGGTACCGGCGGAACCAATGCGGGTGGAGTCCTCACGGGCACCGCAGTTGACGATGGCATCAACAGCGATCTGGATGGGGTTGGAGTCGGTGGTGATGTTGATCTAGCGGGGAAAAGTTAGAAGGGAATCATGAAGGATGCGAGTCCAAAGTATATCAAAGCGGAAGTTGAACGGTTGTCCAGTTCCTCGCAATATAGATATCCTCCGAAACAATTTGTAGGTAAAGAAGGGGGGAAACGCACGATCTCGAAAGCGTGGGCGACAATGCGGACAGCCATGGCCTTCTTTCCGTTGTTGCGACCGTTCATCATGATGGAGTTGGTCAGGCGCTCAATGATGGGGCACTGGGCCTTGCGGAAACGCTTGGCGGCATAGCGGCCGGCGGAGTGGGAGGTGTAGACCGGCTGGCGGATCTGAATGTAGTCGCTGTTGGCGGGAAGAAGAGAGGTTAGCCATTTCGAATTCTGCGTGATGAATTCGACCTTTGGTTCCTCCAGAAAAATTTGTCCCGGTGCGCGCAGAATGCCCGTCTGCCCTTTTCCTTCCCATCTCTTGCGGCGCAATTCGCTCCCTGCGTATAATCCCCGGGACCAAATCCATCCGGAAAAACTCGTTGTCGGTTCGATTTTGAGGTAGACTCACGTCAGGGAGATGTCGCGGATCTCGACATCCTCGTAGCTCCACTTGCCGAAGAGGAGAACGGGCTGGTTGTCGAGGTGAGCAATCTCCTTAGGCAGCTGAACGGCCTGAACATCCCCGGAGTCGGACATCTTGATTGTCGAGGGGGGGTGGTGGGAAAGGGTGACCGGGTTGTCGAGGGTGGTTGAACGATCAATCGGGATGGCTATCCACACAGGAATTTGGAGGTGCTCTCGCTTAGCGGTGTGTGGTGTGTGGGTGGAGTCACATGAGGAATTTTAGGGCAATCACTCGGATGAGGTAAGCAGTGTAATTTCCCTGAGGTCATGTGATATTCATCTTTCCTGCCTCAGGTGTCAAAAATAGAACACGGACTTCCCACTTGTTTAATGGCCGGCTTGGCATTTGACATTGAAGTGCCACATTTCCAATGTGCTATGAATACTTCCCCGCCATTGGATTTTGCCATGTCTTAAGTCCTATGGTACTGTTACCATGGCATTCTTTGGACGGATATCCCTGTACTCTTATCATCCAAGCACAAAATAAGTACTAGGGTAACTATGTAGAAACAAATGCACACATACATAATACCCAACTGACTGGGGGGCCCAGACAACGCCCACTGGTACCTGAGTAGTAAAGCCACAGTTTCTATCGTGACCACAGGCAATGCTACACGCCATTTATAGCCCCCTGATTTTTTTTCGTCGTAGAAACAGTCATATTTCTCGGCTCGCTAAAAAACCGTCATCTCCATAAATATAGCATCAATTGCCCGACTATAGTTCTTCTTGGCCGGCCTTGTCTCACTGGTACATTCGGCAGTCTGACCGCCTTTGGGGAGGGTGACGTTGTGTCCAGCGCGGAGGTCCGACACTTGAGACTAGACAACAATTTGCTGGTAGGTTAGTCAACGTTACTAGGGGATTCAACTACAATCAGCAGGGGTCTCTGCAGGTCACCCCTCTTCGTCTCCCCCTCATTGTGCCTTGGGAAACTTCATGAGATGAGGCTTTATTGACTGAATACATTCCCCATTCCTCCCCCGCGTGTTCGATCCACTTGCCTCGAATTGAGGCCCTTCCCGTATTCTAATGGCGGAGGAGAATCCAGAATTCCAGTCCGCTTTGCGGGAGCTGGATAGGGAACTAGAGGTATGTTTCCCTGTCCAAAGACGATGGTGTCTTCTTGCGCTTACATGGGGTGTTATTCAAACAGGAGGGCGATATCACAGAGAAAGGGTAAGCAGTCGTCCCGTAGCGATCTGACGAGCATGAACATGGGGACATGTTGATCGCCCACGGAGTTACCTGAGACCTGCTACACAAGAACGGCGCACTAACGTTAAGTGCAGGTATCAAAAGCGACGTACCCTCCTGCTCTCCCAATTTCTCGGCCCTAACAAACCACTTGAGATTGGCGCTCATGAGGCCACAGGCTATGGAGGCCCTTCTGAAGGCATCTATGTCACCCCGCCAGCTATATTGAGCGTTCGACCGCCGACCGCCGAGTCTTCGCAACCGACCATCGCTTCCCCAACCTATGCAGGCGGATACGATGCAATGCAGAGTAGCGGAGGATTTGGGTACAATCGTCGGGTCAGCGTGGACGCACAGAATCCGTCTCCGGCTCCAGCCGGATCTCACGAGCGAGACAGTACGGGCATGTTACAAGCTCTTGATCGAATGCCCTCCTCGGCCTCTTACGATTCGCTTTTCCTTCCCAAACCTCCGGTCCCCGGATCGCAAGGCCAAGATGGGTCGCGCACCGCGACTCTCATGAGCCAAAACTACGCATTCAACCCCGAGTCACAAGCGGAATATGCTCAGCCCGAATACGCTCAGCCCGAGTACATGGATGATGGCATGGGAGGCTATGATCCAGCTTCAGGTGGGGTCACGCGACAGTCGACAATGTTGGATTCCCAGCAGGGTTACTTCTCGGACTTTGCCGGACAGCAACATGATGATTACAGGGAAAGTTACGGTGGTGGCTTCCACCGCTACTCTCAATCAGGCGAGGCCTTTTCACCGACGGCAAACATGGCGCCGCCGTTCATACCTCCCTCCGAACTGCCCCACGGCCCGGCGATCGAGCATCTCCTACCCCTCGAGCCTCGAGACATTCCTTTTGCTGTGAACGACCCCCATGACAAGAACATCCCCATGTCAAACTTTGACAACATTCCGACGGTTCTTCGACACCGTGCGCGAGTCCACCCGAAACAGCCTGCTTACTGGGTGCTTGATCAGAAGGGCAAGGAAATTGCTTCAATCACATGGGACAAGTTGGCAAGCCGCGCAGAAAAGGTTGCGCAAGTTATTCGCGATAAGAGCAACTTGTACCGCGGAGATCGTGTGGCACTGATCTATCGCGAGGCTGAAATCATCGAGTTCGCCGTGGCCCTCATGGGTTGTTTCATCGCAGGCGTAGTCGCTGTTCCGATCAATAGCCTGGATGATTACCAAAGCTTGAATCTGGTGCTCACATCAACACAAGCTCATCTAGCTTTGACTACGGAGAACAACCTGAAGGGATTTCAGCGTGACATCACAGCACAGAAGCTCAACTGGCCTCGTGGTGTTGAATGGTGGAAAACCAATGAATTTGGCAGCTTTCATCCCAAGAAGAAGGACGACACACCTGCCCTTGTCGTTCCAGATCTAGCCTTCATTGAGTTTGCACGGGCTCCAACTGGGGATATGCGCGGCGTCGTGATGAGCCACCGAACCATCATGCACCAGATGGCTTGCCTGAGTGCCATTGTCTCCACCGTACCTACGGACTCTAGTGCCAGACAGTTTGCAGCCAAGGGTGAAACCATTATCAGCTACCTTGACCCAAGACAAGGAATTGGCATGATTCTGGGTGTTCTCTTAACTGTTTACGGCGGCCACACTACCGTCTGGCACGAGGACCGCGCGGTTGAGACTCCCGGCCTGTATGCTCATCTTATCACCAAGTATAGAGCGACTATTATGGCTGCGGATTACTCGGGCCTGAAGATCGCCGCGTACAACTACCAACAGGACCCCATGTCCACCAGACATTTCAAAAAGAACTCGGAACCCAACTTCAGCAGTGTCAAACTTTGCCTTATCGACACAATCACTGTTGATTCGGAGTTTCATGAGATCCTGTCGGACAGATGGCTACGACCGATGAGAAACCCACGTGCTAGAGAGATCGTTTGCCCAATGCTTTGTCTACCCGAGCATGGTGGAATGGTCATCAGCGTTCGCGACTGGCTTGGTGGCGAGGAGCGAATGGGATGCGTTCTGACCCATGAGATGGACCCAGCAGGGCGAGACAAGAAGGAAGAGGACGAGAAACTGGAGAAATCAGATAACAACACCGGCTTTGGTAGCAGTCTTCTGGGTGGTGGTGGTGCTCGCGTCTCGGCGCCAAAGGAGAGCGCAAAGAATGACCTTGGTGAGGTGCTTCTTGACAAGGAGGCCCTCAAAAGTAACGAAATTGTCGTGGTTGCTATGGGAGAGGATGCTCGCAGGTATGCTAGCAGCATGCCACATACTGTGCGAGTTGGTGCTTTTGGCTATCCTATTCCCGATGCTACACTTGCTATCGTCGATCCCGAGACAAATCTCCTGTGCACACCAAATGTGGTCGGAGAAATTTGGGTGGATTCCCCGTCACTGTCGGGAGGCTTCTGGGCATTGCCCAAGCATACCGAGGCTATCTTCCACGCTCGGCCTTACAAGTTTGAAGATTCCAACCCTACACCTGTTCTTGTTGAGCCTGAGTTCCTGCGTACTGGTCTGCTAGGCTGTGTGATTGAGGGCAAAGTTTTCGTGCTGGGTTTGTATGAGGACAGACTACGCCAGAAGGTTGAATGGGTTGAGCATGGCCAGGAGATTGCTGAACACCGGTACTTCTTTGTTCAGCACTTGGTCGTCAGTCTCTTGAAAAAGGTGCCGAAGATCCACGACTGTACGGCATTTGATGTGTTCGTGAATGAAGAGCATCTCCCGGTCATTGTCTTAGAATCGTATGCCGCTTCGACGGCACCTACAACGTCAGGTGGTCCGCCGCGTCAGCTTGATTCTGTTCTTCTTGATTCACTTGCTGAGCGCTGCATGGAGGTTCTTTATCAAGAACACCATCTCCGAGTCTATTGTGTTCTGCTTACCGCTCCTAACACTCTACCGCGTGTGACCAAGAACGGTAGATTGGAGATTGGAAACATGTTGTGCCGCAAGGACTTTGAAGCCGGTATGTTGCAGGCTGTGCATGTCAAATTTGGCGTCGAGCGGTCTGTGATGAACTTGCCCGTTGGTGTTGACCCTGAGGGTGGCATCTGGTCACCCCTTGCCCTCGCGTCCCGACAAGATGTCTTGGCCTACCAGGAGAAACAATATTCTGGCGTGGACTACCGGGATGTTGTTATGGACGATCGAACCTCTACTCCGCTCAACCAATTCAAGACGATTGTCGATCTTTTTCAGTGGCGTGTCTCACGGCAGGCCGAGGAGCTTGCTTACTGCTCCATCGACGGTCGTGGTAAAGAAGGCAAGGGTATTACCTGGAAGAAGTTTGATTTGAAGGTCTCTGCGGTCGCAACTTATCTCAAGAACAAGGTGAAGGTTCGACCTGGTGACCATCTGGTCTTGATGTACACCCACTCGGAAGAATACATTTACGCCGTTCACGCCTGTTTCTGCTTGGGTGTTGTTGTCATCCCAGTGGCCCCCATTGACCAGAACCGTCTGTCGGAGGACGCCCCTGCTTTCCTGCATGTGATCAACGATTTCAATGTCAAGGCCATCATCGTCAACACCGAGGTTGACCATGTCATGCGGCAGAAGCTTGTCTCCCAACATATCAAGCAATCTGCCCAGGTTCTTCGCATTGGTGTACCGGCCATCTACAACACCAGCAAGCCTTCAAAGCAATCGCACGGCTGTCGTGAGCTTGGCTACACTATGAAGGACACTTGGCTCCAGGGTAATCAGGCTGCCCTCGTTTGGACCTACTGGACTCCAGACCAGCGACGCATTTCCGTACAAATCGGACATGACACTATCATGGGCATGTGCAAGGTGCAGAAAGAGACCTGTCAAATGACTAGCTCGCGTCCAGTTCTTGGCAGTGTGCGCAGCACTCTGGGACT